GCGAAAGGGGCGGCGACGTGGGGGTTTCGTTATCCAGTCGTCTGCAAAGACATCGCGGAGTCAGGTGTCAAGGAGATGAGCAGAGAGACAGAATGAGACGTAGAGGACCCGACCACTCGGTCGAGACGTCGCATTTCCCGAAGGGCATGCATCGATATGCGCCCCCCGCTCATCTGCGCCTCCTCGGCCCCCCTCCCCCCCCCCCGTTTCGCAAGGCGAAGACCAAAGCCAGACGTGGGATGTTGCACGCGTGGGATGTCCAAACCGAACCGAGCCGGGAAACTGGCAAACTGGATGAGGCTCTGTTCTCCTCCCTGGGTAAGAGGGGGTGGGGGAAAGAGCAGTGATTCACGCTGTCTCGTCCTGCTGGGCCGTTTCGTTCACGATGTGGCGTGTACTCAGTTCGGTGGTATGTCTGCCGCGTGATAACGAAGGCTCGGTGAGCTGAGGTGTGGCCCATGATCTCCGGAATGGGGTATGAGGGGCCGTCATTGCTATGCGTCTGTTTCCTATGCAATTGCCATGCGCTCCGGTTTGATAACAGTTGCACGTACTCCGTACCCACGGCGGATCTGGATGCGCAGCAACGCAGCGCAAAAACACAGCCATTCTTCGGCTACGGCCGAGAAGCGCCGAGGATAGCCAAAAGAATGGGAAGATGTTGATGACTCGGCCAACAGATGCTCTGGCAGTCAAGTCCTCCTGCAGCTGGTAAACGGCTATTTTGTGCGCGCCGTACGGGTAGCACCGTAGTGATCCGTTTGGCCCGGGACGCATACCCGGTACGTCGTAGAGATACCCATTTTTGATAACCCGGGGAAGGGGGAAAGCTGCAGCAATGTAGCCCACCAAACCCGAGTTCGTGTCCCAAATTGCCGGTACGATTAAGGTACGAAGTACAGAGTAGAGGAGGTTTGCCTCTTAGATGTCATTGGTGTGTGTGAGTGGTTCAATCTCGCGCCGTGCATATGGCCAATAAGAGAGACCGGGGGGGGGGGGGATGGGATGAACTATCTCGTTGGTCGAAGACTAGACACAGCGTGGGCATGTTTGCTCCATATGCGGGTTGTGTCTGTTGGTTGTTCTTGACTTTCGGCCGTTGGACGTTGATTGATGGCTAGTTGTTGGTACTGTAGGTACGGATAAGTTGGTACTTGAATGACAGGTTTGTTGGTTTGCGCCAACACGTCAGTTGTCGTAATGACGGCAAGCCAACGACCAACAAGCGTGTGATGGAGACATTTGATGTGATGCCAGTCCTCTTTTCGAGAAACTTTGAGGAGCGCAAATATTGATGGTTGTCAATCTTGCGTTTGGATGCAAGATGTGTGTCGTTGGTGATTGACGATGCAGGGGAAACAAGCAGACAATCCTCGTCGGCAGCGCAAGCCGCAAACCTGAAGAAAGTGACCGACCACTTTTTGCAAATTTTTGTCATGTCAAAGCCAAAATAGGAGATCAACAATTAGCCCCCTTTGATTGTCTCACAAGAAGAAGAGAAGAAGAAACAAAACGTGCCCCCTTCCTTCCCTGCATTGTAACTACCGGAATAGGTCAGCACCTTCTGCAGGTCGCGCAGTAGCTGCATGGTTCTCTGCAACCCTACTCCGTATGTACTCCTTCCGTGTCGGGTCGGATGAGCTGAGCCTGCCGTGGCACCTACCTACTCCGTACCTCCTTCACCTTACGACTCAAGGTGTGTGTGTGTGTGTGTGTGCCCGGTGTGCAGGTGTGGGGTCCGTTCGTCCCTCCCTCCCTTTCTCTCACCTGGACCTCACCGACAGCTCAGCTTTCTTTCGTCCCAAAAAGAAAGCTGGAATAAAGTGGGTATACACCGAAATGGTACCTAGCGCAAATTTCGGTCAATGATAGGCCCGTTTCATCTCTCCCTCCGGCCCACCGCGGGCCACTCCCGAACAGCAGCAAAGAGGAAAAAAAAGAAGGTCCCAGCGCTTTGGTACCCGGGACGCCGCCGCTGCATTAGCGCCGTACGAACACATTTGCGCAGCCTCCCCCCCGGGCCGATACATACAGCAAGGCAGCTCTCACACAACTGAACTCACACCACCCCCTTTTTCTTCTTTTCGCCCTCCCAATTCTAGCGTTTCCACAATTATTTTGGTCCTTCCTCCCCCGGGGCAGGGTGGTGTAAGTGTGTGTGTGTGTGTGTGTGTGTTCCTGAAATTTCCCCTTTTTTATCTTGCAACAAATTTTTTTTTTTTTTTTTGCAATTTTATTTCATCAAACCCAAAATTTTAGCACCTTGCCTGATTGCGCAATAGTTTGACCATCTGATACGGAGCACTGCTGTACCGATACGTAGTTTGTAATATTTCGGAACTTCCTATCACATGATACACACACAATCGCGCAGCGCTTCAGCCACGGCGCGTGTTCGCGATTGTTCCTGAATGAAACCGTTCCAACGTGTGTACGAAGTATCCTTCCCTCGTCCCACGCGTGACGACAGGTCGCAGCTCTTGGGGTCCGGATATTCTGTACGGAGTAGGGTGTTTCCAATAGTACCCATGTGCACACTTACACGGCATCATACCAAATTCAATGTTACAGAACCGAGCGCATCCGGGAACCATCGTCTCGGAGGGCTTTGTATACCTTTCGTATACGATGTCTTCCCGTACGGATACCTCCCAGTAAGGTATATTGGTTGGACGACGTACGCGACTTCTACTCCAAACCCATCAAATGACAATCGTGATGCGACAATGATAACACCCGAGCTGCCGGGCAACCTCATCACGGTCTCCGTACCGTACTCTTTTTTCCCAGCTACCACGCCGCGATCCAATTCCCCGTATCCCAAGTGCCACCAACTACTGCATGCACTTCCACATTGTACCCAATAAACCCCATTCACCCAACCCTTTTCAGCTCGCGCAGCTCCTGAGATTGCCCGGCTCCTATCCGTAATTCTCTCAGTCTCGGCACGTTGAAATCTCGGGGAACCCTACGGCAGTATCCCCCCCAACGTCGCATCCGTAGGAAAATCACCACGACACTACCATGGCACTACCGCCTCAGCGGGCATCACTAGTTCCAACATACACCCGTGATCGACTCCCCCTCCCCCCTTCTCTTCAGCTTCATTCCCAGCTCCTCTGTCCCGCGCCCCGGCTCGCGCCCCGTCCAGTCGGCCCGCAGTCGGGCTCGTAAAACACATCTTCCGCGCGAGACCGAACAAAAGTCTAGAAAGAAAACGAACGACTCAGAGTCGCAGACCAAGGTATCTGTGTATTCGTACGGACACAGAGTCACACACACACACACACACACACACATCCCAAAATAGGTTTTCTCAGAGAAACCAAAACTCCAACGTCACATCCGAACATGCAAGGTCTTGGCAAGAAAAAAGGTGGCAGCACCACGAACACTTCCAGATGCCACATCCGTGCAGACCTCACAGAGTCCCATCCATGCCATCCGAACGAACCCTTTATCCAAACTCTCTTCACGCCGGTTCCCAGGCCCTCGAAGGTAAACCACGCATCCCAGTACGGGTACAGAAAAACAACTTTGCTTTTCATCATTCCCTGAACATATCCGTACATTGAAATCCTTCACCTGACTTTTTGATCTGATAGAAAAAAGAAAAGAAAAAAAAAAGGTTTGAACATTCAAACCCATGTCGATCCGTCTTCCCCGGCTGCACGCATACGCCCGTGACGCACCACCATGCAAACACGATCTACGACACAGCTCAAGAACATCGCAAAAAAAAAAAAAAGCAATATGGTTTGTATCATCACATTGCCCATTTTTCTTTCTTTTTTACCTTGCCATAGTCCGAAAGAGGATTGATCAACGAATCACACACCACCACTATCTCAACCACCCCCTTACCTCTCTCTTTCAAGAAATCAAAAGTCATTCATGTCTTGTCCTTCCTTGATCCCCGCTAAATCGATTGACGCTGCAGCGCATAAGCGCCCGGCCGTCCCTCTCTCTCTCTCTCTGTCTCTCGCTAGTTCCGCGTTCCTCAAATGGTGCTCCAAGTCTCTGATCAGACGAAAGGGGGGAGACACTAGCAATACAGGGTGTGTGGCGGCAGAAACGGCGACCACGGCCGGAGCAGGCTCCTCTGCTTGTTCGTTCGACTCGGCCTGTTCGAGTCGCCGGCAGACAGGCACACACGCACGCACGCACGCACGCACGCGCATACATACACACACAACGTGTCGTCGGCAACGCGTCTGCGTCCCGGCGTCCACATCCACATCCTCGTCGATCATGTAAGTCGTTCGTAGTTCGCATGCCCGCCCCGTGATGTGTCGTGCCGCTGCTTGCTTGCTTGCTTATTGTCGCTTTCACTGCGACTGCTGCTGCTGCTGCTGCTGCTGTTACTACTTACTACTACCTCATGTACCTTCTACCAATTCGTTGTCATGCCATGTCAATGCCAGCCGGTGACTGGAACCTAACGTGACTGAGACCCCCTTTCTTCGCCTTGGCCGAGGATTTTTCAACATGACGATGATGGATGGGTGGGATTGAACCAAACCCTTCACGTGTTGTCGCATTCCCCAGAGTCTAGACCCTCCTCCTCAACTTGCCCCCTCCCGCATCCCGCATCCGCGTCGGCATCCGCCCCCCCGGCCCCCCGATTTTGTGTGGCCCCCTCCCGTCCCCTCCCTATAACCTATCCGATCATCTACGTACACTATCGTGACTACATCAAAGTGCCAAAGTGAACTAAACCTCTCTCCCTTTCCTCCCCGGATACACGTCCCGCGTGTGTGTGTGTGTGTGTGTGTGTGTGTGTGTGTGTGTGTGTGTGTGTGGGTGGGTGACTAGCTGTACATCATCCTCTCTCCCTTTGCCCCCTTACGGCACACCGAGTTGAGGGGCCCCTGCGCTTGAAATATTCAGCTACTCTTTACCTTACTTTTGCCATGTCTTGCCGTCGCCTCTTCCTTATTTGAATTACTCGGGCACCTCACTTCGATTCAGTCAAGAATTCTCGAGCCGAGTCGAATGTGTCGAGTCGCATGGCATGGCATGGCCATCGAGAGCAACGACGGCCGCCGCCCTCATACGGGGGGTGAGGAATGCTCTCTCGTCCAACAACTACCCCTGTCCGTCTCAGATGCATCCTGCACACACTCACGCACATCTGCCAGATCTGGAATGTCTCTACGTCAGATTGGGCACTCGCCTAGGTAGGCAGGATCAGTAGGGCTTCAAGTCAAATATCGGTGTGCAAGAAAAAGAAAAAAAAGAGTGATGTAATATTTGAAATGTTTCTTGTTTCGAATTTGGATATCTCCTCTTCCTATGCGCTGGCGCTGTGTAGCTATCTTGGCTCTTATAGATGGCAGTACTATACATATGCAGTCTAAAGAGGGCTAAACCCGCGGGGTATCTTCTTTTGTCAATCCCAGAGTCTATCCAAGCCCGCTTCGCCCACAGATGAGCGAACGACTGGCCGTGGAGCCCCCCGGTCTCGAGCACACCATGAGAAAGCAGAAAAAAAGAAATGGGGGAATAATAAAAGTGTAGTGGTAGTAAATCCATCATCGCCATCGCCTTGTTGTTCTGACAAGGGAAAATAAAAAAGTAGGAAAGCGTTGCTGACATATCCTTGGTGCTCTCGCTCAAAACCAGGACCGCGAGGTAGCTGGTTGTGCGTCAAAGTCAACCAAACCTAGAGAATACAGGGGGTAGTTGGTACAAACAAAATGAAAGAAAATCAAAGTCTATATGCGAATCAGTTCTTTTCCCAGTCCAGTTCCCAGATTTTTTGTAGCCCGTCCCAGAATCGCATTGCCCAAAACGTGAAAGCAAAAGAAATAAAAAAGGAAAATTGAGATGGAAAAAAAGGAAAACAAGCGCCCGAAGCTGCATGTTTCTTTTGTGCCCTTGTCCGAGGAAACCCCATGTAAAAAGAAGATTGTCGTCTCACACCCTCGAATTTGACGGTTGAGGCGGCTGCGAGCCATGTGCGTCGAGGATGGTGGTTGCGTTGTCATGCGTTGCTGCCCGACCAAAGTGCCTGCGAAGCACTCACCGACAGTTTGGAATGGATCCGCCGGGGATATTGTGCCGTCGCCGAGTGTCGTATCGTAGGACGTCGAGGGCCCAGATGAGGTATGTGAGAGCTGACAGGAAACAAACGTTTTGTAAAAAAAAAAAATCCCGTCGAAAAAGGAGCCAAAGTTCAAGAAACCCAGATCCGTCTATGTTGTAACGCCATGCCCTTTTTTCTTCTCCCTGGTGCAGGTGGGATGAAATGATCCCACAAACACACAAAATAAAATCGATGCCACATCATGAAAACCGTGTAAGGCGTTCCCGTTCGCCTTGCTGCTGGGAAGCAAGTTGTGGCTGCGAGCCGGTATGTTCTAGTCTTCGACAGGTATGCGTATTAGATGGTGTATGATAATAATAAAAAAATTGTTGCGAAAATCGGCCAGGACGTTTGGTTGTACAGGTGAGGTAGTACAGGTGGAAATGGACCGCCAGTATTAGTAGAGTCGTAGAGGATAAGTGTGGGTTGAGTGTGCAAGATCGAATAAGACACGCGGTAGCGCCGAAAGTAGGGGGTTGGATCCTCTCGAGCTCGCGTGGGAAAATCATCGCGTCGGCCTGAGCCCGCGGACCAGTTGAAATGTGGAATTCGTCGGATCGTGCTCATGGCACGTCAATTGCGTGTCGCTCATCAGGATAATCAGCACGAGGCTGATTTATCGAGGCTTGGGGCGAGGAGGAGGCTTGGGCACTCCAGTCGTGTCGTAGGCACCGCGGCCCATGTTGGAGGCGGGAGTGATCTCTCTGACAACCATTTTGAATGTTGTAGGTGCTTTCGAAAGCGAGAATTGATTGGATTGGAGTGTCTTTGAAATCGCTTGTTAGCCATGATTCGATCAAATCTCTCGAGGATAACGAGGACAGAGCGTCAACTTTATACAAGCCATACGCGACAAGACGGTGAAGATGGTACAGGGCAGTCCGGTGTAGGACATGGGAGTATGCGCACAAGGTGTAGAAAAATTGGCTAGTGGATGCCGTTGCTGCAACCGTGACTCACAATTTAGAACGTCGTAGTGCGACGTGTTGGAAAGCGGCCTTGAAGACTTGGGTGCGAGTGTCTTCAGGAGATGGGATTGGTGAGAGTTGACGGGGGTGAAGAGGCGGTGATGATGCAAGGAGGCCTGGGTATGTTGCCAAATTGGGCGTCACCAATGCTGCTCGGTTGTTTCGCAGAAAATAGGAGGAGCTGAGGCAAAACAGGCGGTCCGGAGGAAGCGAGGGAGTGTATTATCGGCACCGTTGCATGTGGATGGCTCGAGCAGGATGGGCTTTGCGCAGTTGCAGGCGGGAAGTCTTTTTTGTCGTGTTGTGGGTGTGCCGTCGGGGGGTTGGGTTGGATATCGAGACGGTGGTTGCGCAGGTCTCGGAAAGTCGCTTCTGAATGGGGAATTTCCCTTGTGTTTTGGTGATATTATTTGATTCGGTTCGGGATCGGGTCTTGGAATAAACGGGTTCCCTGGACAGTCTTGAAATGTGTGTCCCTTGTTCTGATCCTCTCTTGTGAAGCGCGGGTCGCGGAGAGTATTGCCAGGTATGGTAGGCGTGTAGGGTGTGGTGCGGAACGGTACGAGACGAGACGAGGATGGCTTGCTGCAGGTTCTCTCGCTAGTCTAGTGAGCTGAGGAAATGGGCAGTAACTGCTTTTGCCGGTGGGTCGCGCGAACGGCTTTTTGTTTGAAGTGTTGGCAAACGTTGGTGGTCCCAGGGACTGCGGTGAGCTTGCAGGAGAAAAGGGGGGCGCGTTTATGTGTGTGATGGAGCGCGCGTGTGTGAGAGCTGGTGCTGCTGCTGGTTTGATGCTTTGGTGGTGGTAAAGCTAGTAGATGCTGGCAAGTAGCGCAGAAAGATGTAGAAGATGTCGAGAGAGAGAGAGAGATATGTAGAGAGACCAGAGCGATGCGCCGTTGAGGAGGAGGGAGAGGATGGGAATAAGAGGAAGAGTGGTAAGTGAGGATAGGAACTCAGAAGAATGGAAACAGGAGATGACGGATGGGAGGGAGGTGATTAAGAAGTCTCTCAGTCTTATTCCAGACGCCCCGACCGAGAATGGGAAATTTTTTCTTGTTCGCAATGTAAAGTAGGTAATGTAATGTCAGGGCGGGAGCGCAGGGAAGGGGGTTCATGGGCTACTGGTGCTGGACTGGAACCATGTAAGGCGACTTGCAAGGTGAGGTAGGGCCAGGAAGAGGTAGGTACCTTTCCTTCGGGGCTGTCTGGTCAGGGTCAGGACTGGTCTGGTCTGTTTTGGTTCTTGGCCTGGGTGTAAGGTACCTTACGGAGTATGGTAATGTTCCTCAGGTTTGGTGGTTCCTTTTTTTCCTCTCTCTTTCCACCAAAAATTAAAGGGCAAAAAAAGGGAACCAAGGGAAGGGATGGATGGATGGGAACCAGCATCTCTGGTTGTTGCTGCCGCTGCTCATCCTGCAAGTCTGGAAACCGCACCCTCCCCCCCGGGCGAGACGGCTAGGTCCCAGGCAAGGTACCGTGGTACCCAGACAGTAGACCCCAGGCCTCAGGGCCCCCCTTCATGTTGTCCAAGGGGGGAGGGGGGAGGTGAGAGATCATGGATGAGAAAGGAGGGAAGGGGGAGTGTGGCATTAGCCAGCCCAAAAGCCACGCCAGGACAGGCCCTGGCTTCCTTGCAAAAGATGCCCGTCCCATGCCACGCCACGCCATGCCATGCCATGCCTATGCCAGGTACCCGTACCGGGCCCCAAAGTGAAGAGAGGCGTTTTGGGTACGAAGTACTCCGTAGTGTACCTACCTTACCTACCCAACTTTAGCTACCCGTACGTAGCCCGTTTTGTGCCTGGCACCTTGCCCAGCTAAGGTAAGGTACACTACGGAGTACTCGCTGCGTATTTGGTGCTGCCCTCAGAAGATGAGCAGTGTAAAAACACTTCAGGCAAGCCAAACGGGAATCCTTGCTCCATGCCGATAATCAGGTACGTATGGATGATCTTGACTGCGCTGGGTGGCTGGGTATATCTGTAGTAAAGAGGGAGAGGAGAGCCTGAGCGAGAGATCGAGAGAGAGAGGCAGCTGAAAGTTCTTGCTTGTTCCGCTGTTCGATATTTGGCATTGCGAGGCTTATCCGTACAGAATTGTTGTTCAGAGGCGAAAGCATGGAACGTACAGAGTACTGTGAGGTAGCGGCTACCTCACACCCGTCTCCTTAGGCTATCGGGGAAGCTCTTGGAACTGCACCAATCGAGACTAGAGCCATGCCGTGGCTTCTCGCCGGTGGATGCGCACTGCGTGACTGCGCAACCTTGGTGTGGCAGCAAAGAGTCAGGAGTCAGGAGTCAGGAGTCAGGACTCAGGCAAGGCCTTTGGTCTCCTTTTGGCTTCAGGGAGAGGGCGACTGAAATGGTGGAATGCCCTAGCTCGGCCAACTTGAGGCGGCGAGGTGAAGCAGCTTGAATGGTGCTTACCTTACCTCACCATACTTTCTGTGTCCTATTTTCAGGTCCAAGTGTCTGTCTGGCTCCGAATCGTCTCGCGGCTTGTCCCCAGTCCGCCTATCCCGTACCTTAGTATTAGTCGCTGATCCTACTTTGCGCCGCTGGTCTCCTGCCAGCAGTTGCTGTTGAGGCCCAACCAGCATGGTTCATGTCTGCACAACTGGCGCGATCCGGTGAAAATTCAATGGCGAAGCAGCCAAAATCGCGGCCTTGGAAAGGAAAGAAAACAACGAAAAGGAAAAGAGAAGAAGAAGAAGAAGAAGAAAGAAAGACAATGCGCAAATGCAAAAGGGTCTGCGATGACTGATTCCCGGTACATTGGGCTGGTCCACTCATGGAAGCATCAGAAAGAGTGCAGGGCTCCTCACGTATGTATCCGGAGCAGCAGGGCACTTGCACCACATCGCCGGTATTCGTACACTGTGTATGAGCCTATAGGGTATCTTTACCACCAATGCATCCGCAATGGGAGTGAATCAAACCCATCCACTTGGGGCAGGCAGACCACTGATCAGCGAGTGAGGTAACTTCTGTCCCACAAGAAGGACCGCCGAGCAAAGAATGGGCTCTGGGAATCGGAGATGGGGAAAGGGAGAGAGGACAGAGAATCAGAGATACGGAGTACTTACGGATACTCTGTGCTTGGTGCCCCGTACTCTCTGTACTGGACGGCAGTAAGGTCAGATATCCACCGGTACATGGAACGCCGAGGTTCCTTTTGCCGGTACTTATCGCTTCATCCGTCCTCACCTTAGGCTCACCGGAATACCTCGATTTTATCCCCGTCTCCATCTTTGCTAGCAGCTTGCGGCTTGCCCTTCTGCTTGTCTCCTGCTGCGCTCTGCACTGACGGTTGTCGCCCCTACTAGGATCTTCCTGAAAGACCACGGAGAGCAGGGGTCAGTGGCCGTCAGGGGTACACTCTATCCGACCAATTCATCCATCCGTCCACGCACACATGAAAGGATGATGATGGAGGACTGGAGAACGAGCCTCGACGTTGCTTCCAATCCACGTTGCCATGCTGCTGATTGTTGTGTGTGTGTGTGTGCGTGTGTGTGTGTGTGTGTGTACGGATTTTCGTATGTGTCCCTCCCATGCTTGCATGCCTCCCTCCCTCCATGTCTCCCTCCCGCACTTCACCTCTCCCATGCTTCCACTTCCACCTCCAGAGCCTTTTCTCAGACATAGCGGCTTGAGAGAACCCTTGTTCTGCGTGCTGCCGACCTGTCATTCTGCCGCGGTCCTTAGCGCATGTATTCGCTGCAACCCGATTCAAAACGCTGCTGTCGCATGCTTTGCGAAAGACTCTCTGTTTAGTCAGTCGCATCCTTTAATTAGCTTCGCCCTCACGGCTCACTTCAGCTCAGCTCAGCTTGGCTGTGTTTGTGCACAACATTCATCGGAGCAGGTGCTGCAGTAAACAAAAATAGCTACTTGCCATGCGTCATGTCGTGTTAGTAAGAGAGGAAAATCGCATTGAAGAGGAAAAGGGAAAAGAATAGAGAGTCTCGATGCTTTTGCAAGTTCGGCTCCCGATATCCCCTTCACACACACGAAGAGACTTCGCTTGCCAAACTTGCTGCACACCCTCTCTTTCGCTTTCTCGTCTCTTCTTCCGCACATTCTTGCTTATTGTTGCAAGGCTCTCCCATCTTTGCATTCTGATGAGAGCTGCACGTCCCGTCTGACTCTCACGACTCGGGCGGGTGTGGGCTCTAGCTGCGGGCCAAACCGAAGCAGCAATGTGAACGAAGGGTCGCATTATACGGAGGCATCCATGCCGATGGTTCTCGGTGATTACAACTTTGTGTGTCGCGTTCCCTGTGATGCCTTCGTTGGACAGCCATGGCCGGGCCCAGCCTGACAGCGCCGATATGCTATTGTCCAAGTGTGGCTGTCCGACCCAAGATGGTGAGCGTAAATCACACTGCCTCGTACGTTCCATCCCTTGGTTCCTCGAGCAGCTTTGGCGGGCGGCCGGCGACGACGACCCGGGCGTGTCACTCTTCTCCCTGCCGTGCTCCTCATTTCGGAGGGGGAATGGTGACAGCGATCCGTTGCCCATCATCACGGAGCCCGTGCCCCCTCGGTGAGCACCATGATATCCAGGCACTCCAGGTCTGTCATCCTGGCTGCTCCTTTTGCTTCTTCCGCTTGCTGCTTCCCCGTTGCTCCGCTTCAAAAATTTCTTCCGAGCCGCCAGTCATGGACAGCTTGTCGGGTAAAAAAGGCGAGAGTAAGAATTCGCCCGTATGTTCGCTTCGAGCCGCGCACCTCCCGTCGGCTTGTTTATAATATCGTCTGCAAAATCTTGATTTGCTTCTCATATGCGGATTTGCTGCTATTAGGCCGAACACGAGGGCGGGCCGCGGAAATGGCCTCTGTTGTCTGAGCCTTGGAATTGTCCCGTTGGACAAAACACCTTGAGAGGCGGCTAGATCCAGCATATTCGGTCAATGACCAATCCATGGCATGCAACCAGCCAACTCCTGAGGCTAGTGTGCGACCTATCCGTCGTGCCTCGCGATGAGCCACAGCATCTGATAATTCGTTCCCGTCCTGGGTCGGTGCTTGCAACACCATCCTGTGTATGAGGCCCACGTGTCTGCACCTTCCTAGAACCCATTCTTCACGTCCTCTTTGGCCAGTTTGCGGGCGGGCGGTAACCAAATCAATGGCTCTGTCAGATTCACACAACCTGAAAATCCCGTTCTGTCACAGAACTGTGAGGTTCTGCGCGTCGTGGCGCACTCGGGAACGGGAACAAGACAACCGCTGTCAGGTAAACCAACTGTCTACAAAAGCGCAGTGCAATGTTGAACCTACAGGATCCAGAAAAGTTTAACCGTGTGTCGTCATCATCGCGAAACACGAACTCAATATCTCGCGATCCAAAAGGAATTATTGACGGCCGCTCGGAACCCTCCTCCAAAGTTTTCATAGCGGCCGCGGAAGGACGGCTGGACGGGTAGCCCTCGGTCAGAGGTACACGGGCGATACGGGACTTTGCCAATGTTTCTTGGACGGTACGCAGCTGTGCACCAACATATCAACGGATGGCAACTGGCATGCGGCCCAAGATCCGCTTAGCCAAGACAATAATCGACTTGCTGAATCGCCAGAAAATTGACGGTACGCCCGTCTCGACGTGTGCCTTCTTGTCTCTTCTGACTAGATAGGCGATGGGTCTTCCGTTCCGGTGCCGACCGGTTTAGAAGCGTGAGCATGAACATCTGCCACAAGCGATGCGAGGATTTGCGTCAGTTCTCATATCCGCAAATCTCTAGTATCCGGAGAACCGGCTGCTCCTGTACGATTGACAGTGAGAGAGAGAGAGAGAGAGAGAGAGAGAGAGCGAGAGAGAGAGAGAGAGAGAGAGAGAGAGAGAGAGCGTGAAGTAAGGTAAGTGGCTCCCTGAGTGAGTGCACAGAGTAGGCCCAAAGATGACGTTGATTGGGCGCACCATCTGAACTCTTCGGGCTCGGCTTGTCTAGTCTTTGAAACTCAGTCGATGATTCCGAATGTCAGTATCTTTTCCCCTTGGAACTGAGGCAATTCTCAGGGACGTAGGGTTCAAGACGGGATGAGCAGGGGTGCATTAGTGACGATCTTTTGACGGTGCGTCCTTGATCATGCTTCCGAGGCAAAAACAAGAATTCTCAACGTCCTCTCATGATGGAGGCGATCGCCAGGTGGGTAAAAGGCGAATTTAGGCCAGCGACCTTCCGTGTCTGTCACCTCCGAGCAGTAGGTGAGCATCGCGCCAGGAAGATCCGCGGCGGATTCCTCACTAGCCTTTCCCACCGCGAAGCCCCTCAGACGAAGATCAGTCCGCTGTAAGACTGTTTCATCTGACAACGATCGCCACGGCCTCTGTTCTCAATACGGCATGTAACAGACTTGCTGGTGAGCCACCAAACACTGACCGCTCGCCCAAAGAAGACAAGCAGGCGACGGGCTTCAGTGGTTGCATGAAGCGAGCGGATCGTTCCCGTCCGCTCGCGCAGCCCATGTCGTTGATGAGGCACGCCGCATACCAGTCTAGTCATTTGCAGAGGCACCGATTTTGTGAGTACCTGGCGATTGAACTTTTGAGAAGCAACGATTCGCTTCCTATCGCTGATTGTCTTCTGATTGCGTCTCTCCTGAAAAGACTTTACTCTGGTGGCTTGGGCGCTGTGATGTTCGACTGTCTTTGGTATAATCGAGACTGGTGCGGCGATGCATCGGTGGGCGTGGCATGGGTTGACCGTAGTGGTGGAAAGCTTTGTCGCTAGAAACACGTTTCCCATCCTATCTCGAATTCGCGGCGATTGTGCGTGCAAACCAACGATCTCCCTGTCACAAATGATCATTGAGGGAGAGAGCGGCAGCGGCAGGGTTCCCAGTTTCCGTACAGAGTATCTGCAGTCACAAGTACGCCAAGTGAATCGTTTGGTTGGCGATGGCCTACACGATCATCACCTCTGTCATTGCTAACAGCACGAATATGACAGGTGAGCAAACATGTCGTTCAAGACGAGCTTGGCTTGCTGGTTAACGAACAGCAGCCGCAAACAATCATGTTTCCACGGAAGGCAAGGTCCAACAACGTTCGTTGCCTTTGTTGTCTCTCGTCTCGGTAACCATCTCGCGTAGCGTTGTGTCCCCATTGCTCGAAATAGGCGGACGAGACAACTTTCCCATCAATCAATCCGGAACCCTGCAGACGTCGCCTTTCTCTGTATTCGTAGCTGCCATTGCGCTGCGGTCGTTTGTTCGCATACCCCTCTGCCCCGTCCATGTCGTTCAGCCAAGGCTTCCCTGTCTGACGGCGGATTCAGGGACCTTTGTCCGCCTCTAGGGCTCGGTGATAGGGGACCTGAGCACTGTCCTTCCAGTGAACTGCTGCTGCATCGAAGCCTTCCAGAAGCTGTGGAAGCATGGAAGCATAAAGTAAAAGACGCTTGGGAGCCCTGCAGCAGCCCTCGCCCCCTCGGGAACTGGCTCAGTGCAGGAAACCCGCCGTTGAGGATGAGAATACCCTGGTAAAAGGGTGGGTATGGAGTGCTTCCTCCAGGATCCACCCAGCAAGTCCACTCGGTCCTATGTACTGCGATACTTCACACCGTGTTGACTTGTCCCCGGTGCTGATAATTGCACTGTATGTTTCAGGGATCCTCGCGGGATCGTTGCCCGGGTCCTGGAGGCTGGTTGGCGCCGGGGCCCAAGACGCCTTGTCGATGGCCTCGAGGAGAGATATCCGGGCATCTGGTTCTCGGGGGAGGATACCTTGCGGCCGAAAGCAAAAGGTTGATGGCCCGGTGGGTGTACGGATTGGTCTGAGATAAATCAGCGTTTACTGGGAAACAGGCCTGGTAAAGCAACTCGCGACTCGACGAGGCCCAACAGTACCCATATCCGTATGAGGGTTTGCCATAGGTGGAGGAAACTACCGCGGCAGGACGATGTCATGGCACACATGTCCAGAGAAAGGCGGTACGTAGTGCCCGTTGCTCCCGTACCGCTCAAAGCAAGGTAATCAAAACTGTTGGCACCGCCGTTCCTGCATTAGCCCATTCGCCGGCTTGGGTCTGCTGGGGGAAACATGCGATGAAACAGGGGTAAAATTGTGACCCTCCTCGGTTGGATACCGAGGAACCGGTCGTCCATCAACAAGAAGCTCATGCTTCCGCCCCCTTTTCGGGAGGCCAATTGCCGTCCAACGTGAGCCGATGGCTGCTTAACGCTCTCGTCTCGGAAACCGCCTCGACGCCCTCTAAACAAGTGGTTGCAACGGGTGGTGCTTTCCAATTCGTCGCGCGTGTGCGGATGACGCCCAGCGATGCTCGCGTACCGGTAGTCGTATGTGCAAACCCCGTTGCATTTGAGGGTAATCATGTGACTTCTGTGGCAAAGAGGGAACCTCGCCGGCTGGTCAAATGGTACCCCGAGGTCTGATGAGGTTGTACCCTGTCAAAGCCCAACCCAACCCAACGGTGAGGACCTGCCACGCCCACCACTTCGGTTAGCTCCACCAAGCCATGTGCAACGCGCCTCTGTCCACAATTCCGCATGCTGGGCCGGCGGATGAAGCCGTGATCCTTTGTGTCCACCTTTCGTGGCTTGCGATCCCACGACCAGCGGCAGACACCGACTCAAGTTGACCAAGCCGGAGCGAAATTCAACGTCCAAGAACCTTGCAGACAAGGCTTTCGTTGCCGGGCACTTGGGACCAACGGAAAATTGAAGGAAAACGGCCCTTTGGGCGACCCTAGCCATGCTGGTATGTCGACAGGGCTTGTAGGGAGCTCGAACTTCATCGCTGGGTCGGGTTTTGGTTGGTGCCACGTTTGGTGAAGAGTCTGCCCCGGAGCCAGTTCCGACCAATTGCCCGCCGCGAGGATCTCTCTTCAACGGGGCCGGCGCCACGTACGTACTATAGCCGCTGAGACTGAGCTGTCGGTGAAGGTTGCCACTAATTTCTGTAAAAACTATGCTGTATTCAAGCTTCATAACGACCCGAAGGTCAAGGTGTCAAGATGGTGCAGGGCCCCTAGTCTTGTTGAGGGGGTACGGAGATCCCGTCTCGATCAGCCGGTGAAGAGCTCGTATACTAAGGGACACCGAGACCACAGTGGATATTGGTAGCGGATCAAGTTGACTGTTGGAAATTTGTTGTTGGAAATTTGACCTCCAAATTCCTAATGAGAGCTTTCTCGGTGAGCCAGACCGCAATCTAGCTCTGATCAAGCGAGGAGACGATGCCAGAAGTGCTCAGAAAGCTCCGGCGCGCCGAATGCTGCGGCAGGGCCGGGCGGCGGTCTATGGCAGCAGCGCAAATTTGTCACAAATGACAGGCATCAATGATCGTTTCGTCGCCCACCGCAGATGTTGGTGAACTGACTGTCTTTTTCGTGGCGTGCTAGAGAGACGCAAAAGTCGACAACAGACGCGTCGCATTATACCATCCACACTTCCAAAGGTTGCCCTGTATCCACCTCTGCGGTGCTGGAAGGGTTCCAGAAACTTTCTGCTTGGGCAAACGAAAAGAGTTTGGAGCGACAGGTCATGACTCAGCCCTGTCGTTTGAGCCTGTTGCGAAGGTGGTTATCCGTGTCCGTCTACAGATACGGATAGCGTTGAGTAGCATTGGCTGCACAGACCAACACGGCATTTTGGAAGTCTCGAACCGGCTGATTGCGACTGGTCCAAGTTGATGAGGATGTTCGGAGACGAACTCTATAGCGAGTCAGAGCGGGCACCTACATGCTGCGACCGGAAGCGAGTGAACGTTTCCTCGCGTGGCCAGATCGGCCAATTGCATCGGCAACGTTGAGTATCCGTAGTGGTCTCCTCAAAGACATGCGGTGACAGGCTTGCATCCTTGACAATTCGGAGAGATCCATCATCCATTATCCATGATGGGCTTGCTCGTCTAGAGTGTCGAAGCCAGACGGTGTGAAGGGCTTAGGGCACAGCAATCAAAGTTCAACAACAAGCGACTTGCTGGCTTCAGTTGATTGCCAAGTGGGTGGTTGGTGCTAGCTGTATCCGTACAGCCTGTGGGCTGTCACAAAGGTGCCGTTAAAACCTTGTCGGGGATGAGATGGGACGGAGGGATGGGGATAGACCTCGTGGCACCGGGGAAGGTGTTCCGCCAGGTGTGCGCGGGAGTCTGCCGGTGAGGGATCCATGATCCATCAGAGAAGCGGTGCGTTGCGATGCGGTTTGGTGTAGAACGGTGGAACCAGAAGCAGCAGCTCGAGCTGTGACCATGACCATGTGGTGACAGCGTTGCAATGGTGATTGTCGTGTTGGCCCTTTGGGACCCTGGGCGGAAGCGTTTGCAATTTTAAAAATTTTCTCGTCTTTTTTGATGACAATAACCCGGGGATCCTCAAGCTCAGACGGCAGACCGAACTCTGGCAGCTGGGTGTGGTGGTGGTGGAGTCCTGGAACCGGCTCTCGTTTGCGTCACCCCCCGTCCCAAAATTGTTCGCTTGTTCTTCTGGAAAATAGGATCTGCGGTGTCACCCTGCTCGAGGCATATGGATCATGTTTGCGGGGCCGAGAATATGTGTCTTCTGTTTGGGACAGATTGTCGCGTCTGCGTCGTCTGGGGAGGGTTTTGAGATGATGGATTTTCGCAGATTTCCCTCTCATTGGGATGCAAATGGAAGTGAGGGCAGAAAGAGAGGAAAAGGGGGCAAGCCGTGAGCAACAAATGTGAGCGAACAGCAAACGGCATGTGAAGATTGCCCTGGAGCATTTGCGTGGATAAGGGAAGTAAGGAGTGATTATTCCGTACACCGTACCTTACGGATACGGATATTCGATCGATCGAAGAAAGGTGCGAAGGTGTGAAGGTGTGACGGATGCCCGCCCACACCTTCCTCTAAGGTACCAGTTCACCGAGGGCAACATCAGCACACTCAGGTTCCTTCCGCATCTCTACCTACCTACCTTACCGGGCTTGCCTTTGGCTTGCGTCGCCTCTATGGAAGCGAAGAAGAAGGTGCTACGTAATCGTTATTTGCCGGGCCGTGCCTGCCTGCAGCCGCCGGTTGTTGCTGCTGTTGTTGACCGGGACCTCAAGGTTTCCAAATGCCAGTTTTGTTGACTTCTATTTACCCAACAGAGAATGCACTCCTCGCGGCTTGACGTCGGGAGGAACCCACAATTGACAATTGGAGGCTGGAACTGCGCACTTTCTTTTTAGGCCCAAGGTCAAACATCTCGCTATCGTTGCCTCACCGAATTAAGGTAAGGTAAGAAGAGATTGCTCGGCATTCCCTGCACGTTGTAAGCACCTCGTCACCGAGGTGAGCCCGTGTACCGTGTACGAAGTACGGAGTACGGAGTACGGAGTATCGAACACACGCAAGGTGGAATCGGTGGATGGGACTTCTGTTCTCCACCACCAAGATCTGCTGAGAGTGTGCCGAGGATCAAAGACAAGTCTGACAGGTGCTTTCTTCTTCCATTGCTGAGCATACCCGATTCCCAAGCACTCGCTTCGATGGATGGGGAAAAGAAAGAAACGGGCTTGTCGTCATATCCCTCGGCTGTGAGTCCATATACGAGCTCGTCGCCGGCCGGCTCAATCTGACCTTTCCCCCGTCACTGGTGACGATGGTACCCACCTCGGTGAGAGCCGTCAACCGCCCAGTTGACACATCGTGGTGTGAGCTTTCGGGTTATTTCAACGTCAATTGACCTATTTAGGGATAAAAGAAGCATTTGCGAACTGCTATTGATATTAACAGAATATTCGTCTAAATGACCTGTTCTGGACAAATGTCAGCTTCGAGTTGATCTACAAGTTTGTCGTTTTTGAATGTCTCGTTTCTGGGGTGATATAAGTACCGAATCGTACGGATCAGGGCATTCAGCTTTCACAGACTGGAAGACATTGGAAGACATATTTGTCAGACAGATGAGCCCACTAGAGGGTTTGAAGACAATCTGACATTTGCTCCGGCCGATTTCTAAGCACAATGTTTTCAGAGTGCATCATGTTGAGCAATCCGACAATCCAGGAGCCAGCTAAAGCCTCTGCACCCTAGTCGGACGTGAAGGTATACTTACGGCATAAAAGAACCGGAACTAGCAGGCGTCTGTTGTAGTAAGATATGTAGCCATACTTCATGCAGCCGAGTGGAAACGCTGTAGAAGTAGTCTTATCTACGAGTACCTGGTTCTGCTGATTACAACGTGTATACATCGTATACGTCTACAAACGTCCTGTTGTAGAGTCGAGCCGAGATGTTAAATGAGGCGATTCAAGGAATGGAATCAAAAGATACTCACCGTTTCACGTTTCATCTTGCATACTAATCGATTCGTCACAGTAAATGAGAGTTTCGGGTGCCCATCTCCAGATGTCCCAAACAGGATCTTGCCATATATGAGGCATGGAGCCATTACAGTGATTGATGGACTGCACTGTTAAAGGCTCATTGCATCTCATCGGCTGTTGAAAACTACCTATCATGGGAACTGAAATCTCTGTCACTCATACGTCCATCCTGATGAAGAAATTTAGTCCATAGAAGAAGGGTAGCCTTGGTATCACGATCTAGTCGAAGGACATATCCTCCTTAACAAAAAGCTGTGTAGGTTAAGAAGCTATCTATTCCTGGCAGATACCATAGGCGGTATGGTACTCGTAATACCTGTAAGGATGAAAGGCCTTGCAGGTTTGTCAGTGAGATTCGATCTTGACAACCCACTGCAATATGCTGGCCAAAGATGCAAACCCGCCATGGATACTAGTAGCTAACAACTGCGGTAGAGGATGAGATATTTTTGCGACGGCGACTGAATCCATTTAACATCTAGCGAGTTGCTGCGACTAACAGCGGCAAGAAGATGATTGACGTCTCAAATCAAAAGTAAAAAGCTCCCCTGTAGAGACCGCCTACCGGGTCGAATGATGCGTTGGATGACTTCAACCACAATTCGAGTTGAACAGGAGTTTTCCTTGATACTGAACATCGGAACGCCTTTGAAACTCTCTCATCTATCCTCCATCTTGCGTTGGGTGTTGGTTCCTCGTTATCACTCTTTCTACTCTCCATCCGACGAAGGACGACACAGTCTCTCGAGAAAACCGCCATCTAATGCAGCATCGATCTGTAGCATTAATTCATCTGCAACTCTGTTTTCACCCAACTGAACACATTTACTCAGTGTTTGGCCTGACCAAATCCGCACTATGGCAATATTCATTCTATGATTTGCGTCCGAAGTTTCTGTCAATATCTCAAGGACTGGATAAGAACTCCGCCGACATTCTTCCTCATTCTGTTCTTCTCCCTGCTTGAACATCCATAACTTAACCTCAACGAGGGACCATACCATATAGATCCAAGAGAGCCATCAAGGTTGTCCATTGGCAAAGAGCAGACTGCTCACAAAGACCGTCTCCCTTCCCTGAATGAGATTGCCCCCAATATCCTAGTATAACTTCAGTCGTGATGATGACAGCAGCGGCGAGTCCATGGATCCTCCATGGGCCAGTTTCGGTCAAACTGAACTTGTGTTCCTTCATTACGTCCTCGTAACATCTACGAACCTTTGCCTGGGCCGCTCCGATGTCAAAACTGTTGAGAACCTCGACAGATGTCCGGAGCTCAGGGTCAAATGGTTTCGGGTCTGGTTCCTGCTGCCAATATCCTTCAAGTCTCATACTTCTCTCACTACAAAGAGCTGAATCCCAACTCTTCTAGACTAGGGTATTTGTGGAAGATCCATCTCTCCGCTGGATGGATTGATGAGGCGTGCAAGCGCCTGATTATCACGCTACAATGACTGTGCAGAATGAAGAGCTCTTTTTCGAGGTTTACAATTGATACGTGAAATAATGATAGCCTTGAAAACCTCTGGTGCAGCCGACGGTTTGATAGTTGTAATACAGGCTGGTTGTTGTTTGGCTAGCTTCTCCGTTGCCATAAGCCAGTTGGCAGTCTGTTCATGGTGCTGGCGGAGGGTTTATCGAGAATCTAAAACACTAAGTACACATACCATGGACTGTGTTCGGGAATAATTTGAAGAGCCTTCCTGGTTTTCTCAACTAAATCTTTTAGGACGTGGCAATTACTAAGTAGCTACCTCGCCCAAGACTATCTATTGACTACCTTCGACAATCATGAGATGATGCCACCTACTTAAGCGAACGATCAAAAAACATCACAAAAAGGAATGATAACCATGTAAGACCTACCGCATCTAGATAATCAACTCATACGTATCGACGCGCCTCTGGCTTTGCTGCTGGTGCATCTGACAGCTGATGCAACGCTAAATACCACTGTGTCGCCTGCATGCGGTGCTGTTTAGGGGATCTCACCCGCGTTCTTTGTCCACTTCCTTTCGAGAACACGAGCTTTAAGTCGTAGGGCTGAAGTTGCCAACCAAATGCGTACTTTCTGCAGAAATTCCAAGCATTTCGTTGGTCGTTCATTCTTGGCGAACGGTACCCCAATTCCAAACCCGGACAGAATCTTGCCACGATGCCTACAGGATCGGGAATGGTGCCACTCGAAGTCACTGGTGTGCCCTCAAACTTCCAGAGGCAACACCGTTGGCGAGTTCGTACTTATCCCTGGAAGTCCCGCACCAACACTCTTCTCCTTCACCTTATTTGCGATAAGGTGAGGTCAGAGTGCCAGCAGTGCTCAGGATACCACCGCGGACTCTTCCGAATAGGGCCATTTGCACCGTTTACATGGGTGCGAGCAACGTTGCCAAGGCCAGGCATGTCTGAAAAGCGTCCCGCCGATTGGTTCGTTCGTGTCGATCGGTCTGGGGAACTTTCTGTTGGAGCTACTACATCGGCATGAGCCTCAACCTCCAACTCTCGACTCACATCAAACGCTCGTTGCCTAAGTCAAAAGAGGGGACGGAACTAGAAAAGGAACACATATCGTTATCAACCGAACTCCGTCGTCGAGCGAGATCGACCGCTTCCTCTTCCTATTTCTGCACGTTATAAGATGGCCCGCAAAGGCAGCCGCAAGACAAGAACTGGCTGTTTTACCTGCAAGTAGGTCCCCCCGCCAAGATCATACCCCTCCCTGTGGTTAGGATCGCATTCTTTCTAACCACCACCACCGCCGGAGCAGGGTCCGAAAAGTCAAGTGCGACGAGGCCAAGCCAGAGTGTACACGGTGCTCCAGCACCGGCCGCATATGCGATGGCTACGCGGACCCGGCCCGAGCCGTGTCGGACCAGCCCCGGCTGCTCAAGACCCAGAGCATGTTCCCGAGCATCACCAGGCAGGAGGGCAGGGCGCTGCAGTTCTTTTGCGAATTGGTCGGGCCGAATCTGCCTGGCACCACCGACCCTTACTTCTGGACGCATCTCGTCATGCAATTCAGCCGGTACGAGCCCGCGGTGAGGCATTCTATCGTCGCCATCAGCTCGCTGTACGAGGATGTCGTCCGGGTCCAGGATAGCCCCTTTGACGTGGGGAACGAACAAATCCAGAACAACACCCTCGCGTTGCGTCACTACAACGCCGCGATCAATCAATTGACCGTCATGGAGAACCAGGGGTTGGTGTTGTTGGTGTGTCTCCTCTTTATTTGCATAGAATTCCTGCAGTCTAACCGGGAGATTGCCCTCCGTCACTGCGCTCACGGCACTGCGATACTCGCCAGCGCCGATTCTGCCTCGTACAAGTGGGTGGGGCAATATCTCACGCCATTATTCAGAAGACTGAGCTCATTGCCCTTCTTCTTTGGGAGTGGACCGTCGGATGTGCTCGATTTGAGCATTTCAAGATACCCGATACCGGACTTCTTTGATAACTTTTCCGAAGCCGAGGGTATGATTGACGACGTATTCAATCAAGCGATGCAAGTTATTCGTCGCGGCGATACGTATCGCGTAGGGCAAAAGCATGATGTTCCAATACCATCAGAACTCCTAGAGAAACAGGATATAGTCTTAAGCCAACTGAACCAGTGGTACGCCATGTTCACAGACCTCGAAGCCGGAAAGGGTCAAACGACTTCGAAAAGCTCAAGATTCGGGCGCGCGTTTGCACTGGCGAGGTACCGCATCTGCCTGATCTGGTTGAGCAACGCATTCGTCCGTTCCGAAATGGGCTATGACGACTTCCGCGACGAGTTCAGCAAAGTCGTCGAGGAGACGGCGGAAGCCGCTGCCGAACAAAACAGCACTGATATCAAAACGAGTCCCGCATTCGAAATGGGCTTCATTGCACCGCTTTTCTTCTGCGCACAGCGGTGTAGGAACCTGAGTCGCCGACTGGAAGCCTTACGTCTTCTTAAGCTTCTCGCCGCACCCCAAGAGAACTTGTGGGATAGGGACGGCATGCACGCCCTGGCTCGAAGAATTATCGAAATAGAGCACGGGGTGGAATTGAGTATTGAGGGTCGGGTTACTCCAGGGGTACAACCCAAATACTCGGGCTTGCCACCGGAGACGACGAGGATACAACAGTTCAACGTTGAATTTGTCAGTGGACGCCAAAAGAATCTTTATGGACACGACGTACGCGGCTTCAAGGCGATGTTATTCATGCGGAGTACGAGCGGCGAGATTTATCTTCGGCCCGAGACCTTATTCGAAGAGAACCCTCAACTGCCTGATGACGTGAGTCAAGGGCACATAGGGGCAGTCCTTTTTCCATAAGTTGCGAAAGCAATCAGTTAATGAACATATTAGAAATACAAATAGGAGCCTTGTGCCCCGCGCCCAAAAGATCCCTGATGTAATGGAAAAAGAATCATTGGCACTTGAGAATGTGAAACTGGCTCTAGAGGCTCATCGTAGGTGAAGATTCAAGGTGATTGGGATTGGCCCAGGCCGAGTGATAAACACATCTGCAAAGCATAGGTTTAGTTGGGATGTATTTTGATTGTACATCAGACTAAATACGGCATGCTTTGTTCGAGAGCTCAATGGGCTTGTCATTTTGTGAGAGATAGATCCTGAGACCACGAACGCTACGCTGATTGGGTATCTAAACTTCATCTCGCCCTCATGACTTTGCTTCAGCTAAGCTCTCGACTAGGACGCTTGGTGCAAAGCTCCGCCAACATCCATTTACTCATCATTGACTAGAAAAGCTTCTTGCTCTTGCCAGACTCCAATGACCGCCTTCTTCTGCAGGGAGGTGCAGTCTTGTTCTTCAATGCCTCAAGAACTCCATCGTAAGCCGGGTGCTTGCTGAAGTCCTCGAACCAGAGGAGAGCAGCACCCTCACCCGGGAAGACGGCGGGAACCCAGCTGAACGGGTCGTAGAAATCCCAGATCGTGATGCCAATGCAAGCCGCTACCTGAACACAGGCACTGGTAGACTACGGGCAAGAAAGTTAGCGTTTTCGATGCATCTCAAGATGAGCAACTGAGTAACCTACGTTATAATACGCCTCTTTCTGCCAGGCCAGGTTTGTTTCGTTGACCGGGAGCTCAATGCGGACATCCAGCTCTGTAAGGGCAACCTCGACTCCAAGCTCGGCGTAGCTGCGAATGACCTCGACTTGCTGGTCCAGGCTAGGCGCGCGATCAGCCACGAGATGGGCTTGCATACCAATGCCATTAACCTTGATGCCGTCGTCCTGGAGCAGCTTCACAATGCGCTTGGCGCCCTCGCTCTTGGGACCGACCGACTCGAGGTTGTAGTCGTTGTAGTACAGCTTCGCCGCCGGATCGACCTCCGCCGCGGTGCGGAAAGCCAACTTGAGGTATTCTTCACCGAGAACGTTGTAGAATACGGACTCGCGATATGTGCCGTCCTCGTTAAGAGCCTCGTTGACGACATCCCAGGCGTAGCACTTGCCTTTGTAGTGGCCGGCAACCTCGTGGATGTGTCTGACAATCACCTCGGTGAGCTCCTCCGGCGTCCATGTTGTGGTCTCAACCCAGGGGGCGAGCTGGCTGTGCCAGACAAGAGCGTGACAGCGTAGGATCTGGCCGTTCTCTTCGGCGATGGAGGTCACGATATCACCCTCTGTGAAATTGAAAACACCCGGCGAGGGCTCGGTGAAAAGCCACTGAGCGAGACGTTAGCTTGATGTGTGTCAGATGTGAAATACCATTCAAACACCAACCTTTTGACCATTAGTCGGGGTAGTCTGGCCAAACTCGTTGATGTCGTCGAGGATAGCATCGTACTGCTCGTAAGATGCCTCCAGACCAGCGCGCTCGCGCTGTCCCGGGGAGTCAGTTGCAGCACCAAAGTACAGCAAGCCTGCCTTCTTCGCGTAGTAGTCCAGCTGGGCCGAGGCGATGGGCAATGACGCCGCCAAGAGGGGAACGGTGAGAGATTGGATGTGCATCTTGACCGTTTGGCAACAGTGAGACTCGGGCGATAATCAAGAGGACCTATCTTAAGAGACCGAGGTCGGCGTGGGCGAGGATGAGAGGTCAACAAGGACGCTCCATAACGAGGGCGACGCAATTCATATATGCAAGATCCGGCCCGCGATGCAACTCCGTTTCCCCATGTTTACCCCTATTTTCCGGGCCGCTGGACGAGAACAATCTCCAAATCATCCAATGCAACAGTGCCGAGCTAGCAAGGACTGCCGCCGTGGGGTGACGTCCTCTAAGGGATAGGAACCCGGCTTGAACATGTACCGGCGCCTTGGTCCCAAGACCTGCAAGCCTAGATAACACGGCGTTGGTTGGAAGGCGAGTTTCCAGGTCAAGTCCCGTGATGTGGGCTCCGGGACAAGTGCGCTGGAAGAGGAGTTCATTCCGGCGAGAACCAGAGACGCCATGGTCGTGGTTGAAAAGAACCAATGGCGCTCCCAGCTAGCGGCGTACAGGGATCGTCCCTGGCATGGCCTTCCCCATCTTCTGCTGGGGCGGGATGGGGAACCGTTCAATCAGGCTGTCTGCGGTTAAATTAGAGTTGGATTGAGAGCATTTATCCTAATAGCCTCCTCGGGTAGTCTCCAGAGTCCCCCTCACGGCCGGTGCGGAGGCGTGGAGAATCCCTGACTGTTATTATAACTTCGACCTCTGCGGTTATTGTCGATATCACTGCCAAGTGCGTTTGTTTGGCCGAGCATTCGGCGAGAGCCGAGGCTGTGTTTGACAGCCCTTGACGGGGATGGGGCCACAATGGGATGAGGTTGCTTGGAACGCTAAATGGCTTCGAATATTGAACTGGTCATTGATATGGACAAAGTCCGTCAACAGTGACGAAGGCAATTGACATTGTAGCGCTAGCGTTGATAACCACTTCAGCCAGCCTGATTTGTATGACCCGCGAGGTCCCTCATCATGTGATTCAAAGCAGAGTGAAGTTGACAAGGCGATTGTGCGTACTATGCGATGCTTCCGGGCGTGAACATTGAGACGAGTTGCAACATGCCGTGGGGTAAATTCTCTGTTTGCTGACGCATGTATGAGGGTGTTTGTTACGACGGGCCGTCGTCTCCCAACACCCTCGCGGCAGCGAATCACGTCTTATTCGGGTATTTGTCTCGTTCCAATCCATCATCGCCTCATTGCTTGATCACTTAGGGACTTCTTACAATGCGATTCCGAAAGAGGGATGCCTAAATGCAAGTAGGGTCTCATTCTTGCGTGTGAAATATTACCACGGGGACCCGTGTTGACGTGCATTTCTAGAGGAGACCAACAAGCACGCAACCGAATGAACGAGACGGAGTAATGGCCATAAAATTCGAAGACTCATAGGCAAAGCGCCAGTTAGCAGTCGTGGTTTACCCAACAAGCAAGCAACTGCTTCCGGCTGAAGAAGTGCTGGTTATGAGAATAACTACCATGAATTACCGCCAACCAAAACACTTAGCCAGAACAAGTCGACACGTACGGATCATTGATGCTACTCGAGCCAACCTGACTTATTCAAATGACCAGTGATATCTGCGGCACTCGGATCATGTTGCTCAATAAGATGCAATTGCCGAAGATCCGGGGAAGCTGATGTGCGTCCCATTCATCGCTTTGACCGCAGGCGACCAATGCCTCGAACCGCAGGCATATGATTTATGAACCGCAGCTGTAATCCTGTCGAAAAGGCATACCACCTTATGGGATGAGCTTCTGGTGGCGAGGCTGACCAATATGTAGCGGGGATGAATGTGAGGTTGGCAACCTTTGCTGAGAGCTTCATGAGTCAAAGATGATCTGCCAAAGGCCGACCAAGTTGGGATGCCTGGTGGCCGTACCCTCGTAGACCAACCATGATGGCGCCAGAGCCGACGCAATGACCGAGAGTCACGGAGACGAACGATGACAAGATATCTGCCGTTCCAGTCATAGTCCTTCTAGTCAGGAATCGTGGCAACAAGACAAGACGAACGGCGCGATCGCTATTGCCCTTGGCAACCCCTTCGCCCTCTTGGCTCGACATTACGAGCCTCGTCGGCGTGGGTGTGATTCCTCAAAGATCGGCCCGGTGGCTTTGAGCCGTCGATAACGAAGGTGTCCCCTATGTGTTTTCCGTACCAACGGGCTCAGGCCGGTTTCCAAACATGATCTTGTACTTAACGATCTCCGCAATCTCAAGCTCCTCCTCAGCCTCTCCTTCACCGCCAGTGGCGGCGTCCCCCCTCCGCCGAATGATGGCCATGGCCTTCGGAAGCTTCTTCACTTCGCCCTGTAGTCTCTGATGCTGGCCGACATAGAGGAAGACGCGCTTCATCCAGGCCGTGCTGCCCTCGTCCTGCGTTTCGGGGTGATAATCAGGGAAGATCACTTTGCCAATGGAGATCTCAGGCTCCTTTTTGCTGGGGGCCTCGTCGGGGTTGAAGTGAGGTACGTTGACGGTTCCTTGCATCTCAAGCAGCGCGAGTCCAGAGGGTGTCTTGATGAGCGGGGGCAATGGGCTATCTGAAGCTGACGAGCCCTTCTTGGGAGGATGAATTTTGACCGATGACATTGCCGCGAAAAGGGTCCGTGCGTTACTTTTCTTGGCGATATACGTGGTACAGAAACTTGATCGTGAGAATGACTGGGTGACAGGAACGACGTTTGTTCGTGGTATGCGGATATCTTGATCGCGAATCGTGAAGCGGGACCCTATGATAGCGGAGTCGTCCATCTGAACCTGCCCAGAGAACGGCGGCTATGGTGGGGGTACGTATCCCGGTCCGCTCACCTTCCTAAACGGGTCGAACACGTGACCCGGGGCTGGCTCAGCACGGCCCATGGAAAAACTCACCGACAGAACTTCAAGCGGCCTGTGATTGGCTCAGGGATTTTTTTTCGCAGCAGGGCTCTAGCGACGCACACATTCTCGAAAATTCAAGAGTAACTTTCCGCTTTTCCTCCTTCCCACTGAACAATCCACGCCCAACGCCCAGCCGCAGTCGACAACTCTTGCACCACCCAACGCCGGCAAGATGAAGGTACGATAACACCATATCCCGACAGACGAGAGCGATACAATCGAACGCGATGGAATTGCCAAAACAACGACGTCGAGTTCGAAATCGCTGGCGCTCTGATCACTGAACCGAATATCTGGATATTTGGAGGGGGAAAGTCAGTTTCGAGATTGCTGACATTTTTCTTTGAACAACAGTTGAACATCTCCTACCCTGCCAATGGCAGCCAGAAGCTCATCGACATTGAGGATGAGCGCAAGCTCCGCGTCTTCATGGAGAAGCGCATGGGCGCTGAGGTCCCCGGTGACTCCGTCGGCGACGAGTTCAAGGGCTACATCTTCCGCATCACCGGCGGCAACGACAAGCAGGGTTTCCCGATGAAGCAGGGTGTCATGCACCCTACCCGTGTCCGCCTCCTCCTCTCCGAGGGACACTCCTGCTACCGCCCCCGCCGCACCGGCGAGCGCAAGCGCAAGTCCGTCCGCGGCTGCATCGTCGGCATGGACCTCTCCGTCCTCGCCCTCTCCGTCGTCAAGCAGGGCGAGGCCGACATCCCCGGCCTCACCGACGTCGTCCACCCCAAGCGCCTCGGCCCCAAGCGCGCCACCAAGATCCGCAAGTTCTTCAGCCTCACCAAGGATGACGATGTATGTGTGCTCCCTGTTGCGGTCCACCCTTCCAACAGCCACTTCGTCATCGCCTACCTGGTTCTGCGGCGGAGGGTCGAGCAAACCAGGTAGAGTGTGAGAGACGGGACCGTGTTTCCCCTCTGCCTTCGAACTATCTTCTTTCATCAGACGATATCTGTTGAATGCCTTGAGAAAGAGCGCCAGATATATCAGAGAGCGAGAGAGAGAACGAGAGAAGGACGAGGTGGGAACATGTGTCGGGCTTCTAACCCAATGCTATACATATCACAATACCCTTTGCAAGTGGCTAACGAGGCATTCTTTGCTGCAACTTTTAGGTCCGCAAGTACGTCATCCGCCGCGAGGTCCAGCCCAAGGGCGAGGGCAAGAAGCCTTACACCAAGGCTCCCAAGATCCAGAGACTCGTCACCCCCCAGCGTCTCCAGCACAAGCGCCATCGCATCGCCCTCAAGCGCCGCCAGTCCGAGAAGGTCAAGGACGAGGCCGTACGTACTACCCGCTCACAATATCTTTACGTTCCATCCATGCTAACCCCTTTATCCAGAACGAATACGCCCAGGTCCTCGCCAAGCGCGTTGCCGAGCGCAAGACCGAGAAGGCCGAGCTCCGCAAGCGCCGCGCCTCCTCCATGCGCAAGTAAACTTGTCGTCATGGCGGCGGTGTTGTTGCGTTGGGACTCATGAAAAAAGTGAAAGATTACTCGGGTCTTCTGGTTTTCTTGCATTGGCGTGGAAAAAGGGAAATGGGGCACTGGGAACTTCTTGTTATGAAACCAGTTTTCAGTCACATCACATGAATGTAATAGGGCATTCAAAAATGGAAATGCACATCCTTTTGACACGCGAAATACCACCACAAGCAATTGTTTTATGATGTTTAAGAAAAAAAAGATTGATACTTCGCTCGTGCCGGCCGCCTCATCCCGCCAACTGGCCCACCTGCCAGACGGACGACCTGGACTCCCAACCCATCCATACTCAGGCGCTGGAAAACATAGAGTCTGAGACCAGAGTCCTATCAGCCATGCCCCGCACAGAAATCCGGGGTTGGGCCGTCTAGATTTTCATTCTCATTCTGGGCGGGGTCGACTCTTGGTCTGGAGCTGGCATCAAGGCAGACCCACCAGACCCTGCAAATCTTTTGGCCACGACTGACCGCAAAGCCAGGGGAGGTCTGACTTCATCTATGAAGCAAGAGAGACATCACATAGCCTCGTGAGCGAATTCATAGAGAGAATCCATTTCGTTCTTCTGATCTGGAAATACGTCGGTTCACCCGAAACTTTTCTCTAAACGCAGTTTTCTTCCTGCCGGTAAAAAAAAAAAGGAAAACCCGCAAATGACCCGTTTTGTGCCGTTACGCCCCCTTCCAATATGCCATGAAAACCTAAAAGGCTGCTGCTACCGAAACTCTTTGAAACCTCCCCCCACCCATCACGGAACCCCTCTCTAGACGGGAACGTGGTTGAAGAGGTAGCTGACGCTCTCGCCGTTGTGGGTGCGGCGGATGGCCTCGCCCAGAACCTGGCTGATGTCGATGACGCGCAGCTTGGGGCAGCGCTCAATCTTGTCGCCGAGGGGCACCGTGTTGGTGACGACGACGCGGGAGAGGCAGCTCTTGTTCAGCGTCTCGACGGCGTTACCGCTGAGGACGCCGTGGGTGACGATAGCGATGACTGTTTTTTGAATGTCAGTATGTAACTCTTCCCGTCATGGGAATCAAGGATGACTTACCTTCACGCGCACCGCCGGTCTCGAGAGTCTCCGCAGCCCTGTTGTATCGGTCAGTAGTGTCAAACATGATGTCATTGAGTTATACGGACTTGGCGAGGGTGCCACAAGTGTCAGCCATGTCGTCGACCAGAATGGCAATCTTGTCAGTGACGTCTCCGACGAGAATCATGCGGCCGACAACGTTGGGGCGCGGACGCTCCTTGTGGATGAGGGCGAAGCCGGTCTCCAGGCGATCGGCAATACCGGTGGCACGCTTGGCGCCGCCCGCGTCGGGACTGACGATGACGCAGTCCTCGACGTTCATGTTCTGTCTGATCCACTGGAGGACACTCGGCTCGGCGTACAGGTTGTCGACGGGGATGTTGAAGAATCCCTGGATCTGCGAGGCGTGAAGGTCCATCGTGATGACGTGGTTCTGTGTTGTGCCGTGGGGTCAGCCCGAGATGCTCTCTCTTGAATGCCTCGTCCCTCTTTCCTCTTCCACCAGGTACCCAAAGACTTACGCAGCCGGAAACCTGCAACATGTTCGCGACAAGCTTGGCGCTAATCGGAGCACGGCTCTTATCCTTCTTGTCCTGTCTAGCGTAAGGGAAGCAAGCTGTGTGTAAATATCTCCAGTCAGCGAGCGTTCCTTCCCAATAATGCGACATCCCTATATTTCGTTCGGAGATAGGAGGAAGTAGACTGACGAATGACGGCGGTGATTCGGCGGGCAGACGCGGTTCTGCAGGCGTGGATCATGATGAGAAGCTCCATGAGTCCGTCGTTGATGTTGCCGGGCTCGCTGGACTGGACGATGAAGACATCCTCGTCGCGGACGCTCTCGCCAACGGTGACACAGTAGAGAAGTCAGCTTTTACAGGCCACTCAACGAATCGGAGCCTGCCCGGGTTCGAGAGATTTGTTCGCTAACCTCGTCTCTTGGTTGGAGTAGTTCAAGCTGTAAGGAAAAATAGCGGTCAATTGAACTGTTTCCCAAAGGTTGTCGCGCCTGCGCCCAGAGGGTGACAGATCACGGAGGGAAGGTGAAAAACATACCTCATAGTCTTCGCAAGGGGAATGCCCAGTCTGCAATATTCGCAACGCTACGTCAGCGATCGCTTCTTCTTCCTCTTGCGCCCATTCCTCTGCGTCAAGGAGGATCATACCGCTGAGCGACCTTCTCGGACAATTCCCCATGGCTGCTGCCCTTGAGGAGCTTGATGTCGTTCGCCATATCACCCATGAGGCCGGTCGATGTGTGACGACGAGGGGAGAAAAAAAGAAAAGAAGGATTTCGAGGAGGGGCGATCGGCCGAATATAAAGGGTTCCTGCTGCTGCGGCACCTTGCTGAGGTTTGGCAGGCTAAGGTACGGTCGGATTCGGTCTGGACGAATCGAATCGCAGCGCGGGGTCACGATGGAGGGGTATGGCTATCGGTCGGTCGGTCGGTCGGTGTGGTGGTGTCACACACACTATGGTCGAGGTCGATTGGGGGAGGCTTTTTTGGTGGTGATATGCGGTTGAGTGAGACAGCGTGAATCTTGTTTCCGGGGGGTTGCAAGAGCAAAGAGTCTGTGAACAGCTTCCACTATGAGTAATTGCCGGGTCGGGTCTATCGTGTGCTTGTCCACTTGGAAATTCGCACCGGCTGGGATCGGAGTTGACTGCTTGGGAAAAAGAATACGAAAAAAAAAAACTAGTGCTTTGTCGGCATTGTTCCGCAATCCCTGAGAGGTCAACATTATGTGGAGAAAGGCATGGATCCGTCCTCGGCTCTTGCTTCACTGTCGCCTTACATTCTTAGGATAATAGCTAATAATACTATACTGCCTCCAACTGCAGATGCAATCAACCAAATCAACAGTTCTTCCCTCTACATATTCAATGATCAAGGTACATCTGGAATTAGACTCAGCTATCTTGAACAATAGAACTCGAACCGCATCAAAGACCGGGCCACAGATAGCTTCAATACATGACCCGGATACATCAATTTCATGCTGTTGTTGGCCGACGGCCGGAAACCCAAGAGCAATCCCAAGGCAGAATGCTTCTTTGGACTTTCCACTTTAGTATTCTTGTGTTCATTATCATCTAACGAGCTTCGCATTGGATACTCTACATACTGGACCTCCATACCATCATCAGCCCAGCTGTTGTTCCAAGCGGCCTGCACTCCGCAAAGAGCCAACTGACGACTCGCGATAAGAAGGCCTCAAAATCGAAAGAGGATAAACGCGAGCAGACCTGACCTGGTAGTTCCTAGGCCAAGGCCGAGAAAGTTACCATATGTACACGTGGTTCGGCATCTATTCACAATGCCCTCCCACTCGAAATCACCCGCGTCACCCCCACGCCAATGTGCTGTGTCGCCTTCCATCCATAATGCAAATGCTGACGTGACCGCAAAACTGTCTATGTTTGCTCGCTCCCTTCTTATGCAAAGCCGAAGTAGTCGCTTCCTGCTGTAATGGCCTTCATGAGTTGTTGGCGAAGCATTTCGTAGTTCTCGTATTCTGGGAGATCAAGTTCTATGACTTTTGGTTAGCGCATGCATTTCGAAACTCGCTTCCTAGGGATAACGTACGGTTGAAGCATGTGTGGGAACTGGGCAGACGCTCCTTGTTGCCATAGTCTCGGTGGATGTTGAAGCGGTTGATACCATTCATACCCTCGAGCTCCTTGAATCCATTGAGAGGCACCTTACTGGTTCCAGTCACGAACTGCAACAGCTTGGCGCGCTCTTCCTTGTCGAATGAGCGGATCGCTCGCCAGAACCATTGGATCTGCGGTGATGACGGAGTGTAGTTGTGGTATTCCGTGTTGCTCTTCCAGTCGTCAACGTCAATGTCGGGCAAGCCGGAGATGAGAAGTTCCAGTTCCTGCTCGTTGAAAATGGAGATGAGATCCGCGGGAATGATATCATGGAATCCTAGTGGATTCGTTAGCAAAATGGCTTCTCCTCCCAGTTGGATCATCTGACTTACCCTTCAAGAAATGTTCCATCTGTTCCTTAACAGACGACAGCAGCTTGTGCTCCACGACCAATCTCACGTAGTCATGCTTGTTCTCCTCGGTGACGGCAATATCGCGGCCGCCGGGGCAAAGGTCAACGGTACGAGTCACACCGAACTCATCGTCCTCCACTGAGAATGTCTCTGTGATGATATCCGTGATATCATTGTCGAGCATCCATACCAAAGACTTGTAGTAATCCGGATCAAAAGATTCCATATCCTTGACGGACACCGACTTGCCGAGAATACGCTTGTACACAGCGCGGCTGAAGTAACAGTCGAGCACCCGACCCTCATACAAGGCCTTTCCGATGATGCGGCCAATGAACTTGAAGAACATGAGATGCTCGTCGTTGATGCCACTCAACTTGTTGGGGTGGAATGTGGTACGGTCGGAGGAGACCGGGATGAAGAGGGCATAGTTGGCATCGAACATTTGCCTGGACAAGACCTGGAACCACTCGCGGGTAACACCTCCGGCGTCGACACCTTCCTCGTTGTGGAAACGAATGTTGAGCTTGCCATACTTCATCTCGTCGCCGGTCTTGAAGTAAAGCGACTTGAAGGAGTCGTGGAACACATGCTCGCGACGTACCGAGAGTTGCAACGCAGGGAATGACGGTCGTTGATTGTTACTGGAACGGCTGTGGACACTGCGGTTGAAGTAATTGCGCTTGTTGTCGAACTCGAGAACCTTTGGATTCTTGACCAGAAGCGAAAACGTGCCGGACATGAGCTTGGGGCTGTTACGGACCAGCTCATTGAGGATTCGGCGGTGATCCTCGGTGAAGGTGAAGAAAAGGCCGGCCATGCGATTCTCTGGGGGCGGGCTTGATAGCAGCATCTCCTTGCTTGTCTGGTTCTGAGTTTGCGAGTCATCGTTCATAGCGGTATTCTTGCAGACGACCATGAGCGATTCTATCAGTGGCAAAAGGATCGTCGCTACGTTAACCATGTTCTCCCGCTCACGGATAGCGCTGAGACAGGCGCTCAGTTTCTCCCACATCATAGAGAAGGTCGAATTGTGGTACAGTGAAGTAACGAGGTCCTGCTTTTCGTTGATGCCGGTCTCGGTTTCTTCGTCCGCCTTGTCACTCTTCTTCTTGTTGTCGAATAAGTGATCGAGCGCCGTGAGAACACGGAGGAGCTTGTTCTGCTCAGAAGCGCCGGGGGAAAACTTAGCAAGCGCAACACCTTGAATCTCGGTTCCGGAGGTAGCCTTCTCGATATGAGGAAGAAGCTCATCGAGATCCGCGACAATGTTCTCACTCAACACACGAGCTTGGCGGACCAATTCTTGTCCGAACGTTGCCTTAGCGCCAGGGATGGCAGACAGATTCTTGATGGCTGAGATGGTGTTTTGGAAAGTCTTGGAGCTACATTCCCGAGCAACAAAGATCTTAACCACAAGGGTAAGATTGTGCGGTGGAATTATCGGAACCTGCATTTGACGAGGTGCATTTTGGGTTGTCGACTTGTCGGTGGTCTTGGCATTCTCGACGCTCTCGCCCTTCTGATCCTGGGCTTCAACGTCGGTGGTAGTCTCGACGTTGGTGTCTTCAGCAGCCGGATTGCTTGTGGGTTGGGCGGCTGAAGTCGAAGCTCGGTCGGCTTCCGCTGCATTTTCCGCAGCCTTCTTCTTTGCATCCCGAGCAGCCTTCTCTAGGGCTTCCCGACGGCGTCGCTCCATAGTTGCCAACGGTACAGTGATCTTGTTCAGTAAATCGGCGAGGTAGGCCATAACCACCGAGCTCTCCATTACCAAGTCTCTATCGAGCAGAGTGAGCAGTGAATTGATTGCATACTTGTGGGCCTTGGAGTCCTTGGCCTTGCCCTTGCGGCTGAGTGTACGCTTGAGGGAAGAGCCGACCGCCTCATGTTCTGTCAGGAAAAGCATGGGGATGTGAGGGTTCTTGGTGGAGAGATCTTGCAGCAAATCCAAGCACTGGTGAACGACCATGAGTGGCGATATCTCCGAGTTGGACTGCTGGTGCACAGCAGCGCTCAGCGACGTCAGAGTCCGCTTAAGGTTCTGAGGGGTCTTGGGGTCTGCGTCCTTGTCCTTGGACTTCTTGGCCTTCACAGAGAGTTGGCTGAAGCTGCGCTCAACAGCTTCCATGTCTGTGCTTCCTTCTTGTAGAATCAAGAGAATGGTGCTGATAACTTCAAGGCGGTTTTGACGGTTCTCGCAGACGTCGGCCAGAACACTGAAGAGGTAGTTGCGGATGGAGCCGATCTGGGAAATGAACATGAGACGAAGCAGAGTAGCAACTCCGGGCTTGTCCAGCATCTGCACCACTGTCCGCCGCTGTACCTTGTTCTCGCTGTTTTCTCCAAGTTCGACAGGCGGAGCACCTGGTCGTCGAGCAACGACAGGAGGGCTTCTGCCTGTGACAGCAGGGTGAGCGCTATGTTGCTGGGCGAGCAGACGGGCCTGAGCGGCCATTTCGGGAGGCAGGTGGTCCATGATGTCCTCTCCTTGATCCATGAGAACTTGCTGCCGCAATTCAGGAGGAAATGTCAACAGGATGCTTGCCGGATCCATGTCTACTGCGATCTGATCTTGGCCAGCGGTTGTCGCCTGGCGGCGCTGCTCATCTCTCTCTCGCCGGCGCGCATCCTGACGTTCTTGCTGAACTATTTCTAGGCGCAGGTCCTCCGGGAGGGCGTCGAGGAACTCTTGGAAGACTTCGCCCTGTTCGCCGGTGGCAGCTTCCTCCCGTGCTTGAGATCTTCTGGTGCTGACCGTTTGTGCGATGACTTCTTCTCTGAACTCCTCTGGCAAAGCTGCCAGGTAATCAGGGTCAATGCCAAGTTCAGTGACGTCGACTTCCTCGCCGCGGATAGTTGTCATGACGCGACTAGCGTCGTCTGCCGCGTCGTTGTCGACCACGGGTGCGGAAGGTTCTTGTGTTTCGACCCCTTCCATGGCTTGTGAGCCAGCACTGTCAGTGTGGCTTTCTTGGGTAGATGCCATGTCACGCTCTCCGGCGGCGGCAGCGGCTTCAGCAGCAGCACGCTCTTGTTCTTCGCGCTCTTCCGCTTCTTTCTTTTCACGGGCAGCCCTCTCCTCGGCCTCCTTGGCTTCCAAGATCCTCCGAGCTTCCTCTTCAAACTTTCTGCGCTCCTCGTCCCGCACCTTACGCCGCTCCTCTTCTTCGGCCTTGAGCTTCTTCTCATACTCCATTGCGGGAGGAACGAGCTTGGATAGAAGGATGTTGACGAGCTTCTGTGCTTTCTCGATGAAGTGAGCTCCGCCGAAAACCATGCGAGCTTCTTCTTGGTAACGCTCGAACGTCGACTCGGGAGTAAACGCGACGGCTTGTTGGGGCTCGTGGTAAGTCGTCTCGCGACGGTTGTCTGCCCGAGATTCGCGGGGGGCAACATGGTACTCCCTAACTTCGCCGCGTCCATTCTGAGTAATGGACAAGTGGACGGCAGATTGACCGTGTCGCATGACTGGAAGAGATGCGACGAGATCGTTGAGAATAGCGATTGGGCTGTTAGACAAATGCTGTACACCCGGACCAAAGATTTCAGGAGGCAGACGCAAGCCAATCATACCAGAACCCGGCGCAGGGCGGGGTGATGCTTCACGGCCCTGGCCGTTTCGGCGCAGGAGAGGATTGACGCCGTCGTCGGCATTGTTAGGCACCGCATTCGGTCTGTGGCGAGGAGAGAAGTAGCTTCGGAAATCTACAGGGCTAATCAGTCGTCTGTTCTGCCGATTAATTGCAATAATGGAGGAGAGCATACCGCCTAGAGGATCGCGGCCACCGCCAACCATGAAACCAGGAGGGAATGGGCTACGGTGTCCATGACGATGGCGATGAGCGTGTTGAGGCTGGCCTCCGAATGGTTCGACGACCAGGGTATCCCATCCGAGTGCAGAAGGGAGGTTTGAAGGTTGGTGGTCATCTAGACGAGTGTTAGTGATTGCAGCGTTCACGGATAGTGACAACTACTTACGGGGGTAGGCCTCATCATAGATGAGCTCGTCTTCTTCCATGTCTTCGTCGTCATCTTCATCGTCTACACCTTGTGTCAGAATATTGGAGGGGAACAAGCCAAGTTGTCTGAACCTACCATCTTCGTCACGACCATCATCAATGTAGTGATCACCAAGATCATCCATGTCATCGCCCTCGTAGTCGTCGGGGTCCATGACTGCTCGGGCTAGGTTCTCGATGATGTCCTCAGACTCCATGCCATGAACGTGAGCCTCTTCGCGGTCCTGAGCCTCCGCCTCATAGTCAATGTCTTCATCGTCTTCGTCTTCGTCTTCCTCTGATTCACTCTCCCAATCCGAGGCGCCGTCGTCCTCGATAGGATTGCCGTCTTCGTCGACAATCTCTTCCACGACGTCAATGTGTTCATCCATCTCGTCCATGTCGTCGGAGTCCATTTCGTCATCCTCACTGTCGTCGTCATCCTCGTCCATGTCATCGTCTTCGTCTCCCATGATGACCTCAACGACACCAGGATCTCCATGAAGACCCTCGATGTGACCCATCTCACCCAGTTCTTCGTCTTCGTCACTGACGCCATCTTCGCCATCATCAGATACTTCTTCTTCGCCATAATCAAGCTCGTCGCCATAGTCGTCGTCGTACATCTCTTCGTCATCGTCTTCTACACTTTGGTTAGTAATGGTGTGCAACTTAAGTCTAGTGCACGATACATACCATCCTCATCGTCGGACTCGTCATCGCTTCCACGAGGCTCGAGCATGCCGAGAGTGGAGTTACGGTAGAGATCCGGCGTTTCTTCGCGGTCGTCACCCATTTCGGACATTGAAGATGTCGAGATGATGTCGTCTTCGGCGTTCTCGGGAAGAGATGTGGAAGGAAGGACATGAGAGCGGCTCAGTTCCTTGGCGGTGTCTGTCAGAACGCGCAGAACTCTAAGAACGTACTTGATAGCCCTCTTGACGCCGGCATGGCTCAGGTCCACCTCGGCTATAGAGGAAGTCAACTTGTCGAGGTAGCCCTTCTCGTACATCATCCTGCGCAACTGTGCTTGCGATCGTCCTTGCGGGGAGTCAAGTGCGCGCTGAGATGTTGTTTCTTTGTCCTTCTCGCCGATGATGTGGTTCATCAACTCTGCGAGACACTGCATCTTCAGGTAGCGGGTGTCAACAGGTTCTTCGGGTGTGGCGGTACGCTCATATGCCTTGAGAATAGTGTCCAAGACGAATTTCCGAACAAAAAGTAGATCGGGCTCGTCGTCGTATTCGAAGCGGTCTCGGCTCTTGTCGATGACCCTTTCCCCTGTCTTGGCTACGAGCGCAGCAAGAACCTGTTGGGCTTGGGCAGAGGTGGCGGCTTTCTTCTTCGATAGAATGCTGTCTGCGTTGTCGCTGAGGTTACCTTGGCACAAGAGATCGTGGATGAGGTAGTTGAGTATATTCGATCGAGGCTTAACGGGCGTGTTCGTTTGCAAAGGAGCGGTACGCTTGAAGTTGATGAACTCCACCTTGGCCTGATTGTAACTCTGGAGGAGCTCTGCGAGGCAGTTTAGCAGGAAGCATCTGTAGATGAAGTGCGGATGGTCCTCGGCCCTGAAAACCGGCTTTGTGGACTTTTTATCCTTGTCCTTGCTGTCGGCTGCATCCTGGATGTCTGGCGTTGCCTCTTTGGAAGCGCTCTCTGTGGGGGTGCTTCCTGATGGCGCGGCACTCTTGTTGTCCTTCGCGGCTTGTAGAGGCTCCTTGTCATCAACTTCTCTGAAATTGAGCAGCTCGCACAGGAGAAAGTGAATGATACCGTGGGGATTCTCGACTACCGGCCGTTTCAGCTCCGTCACTTGCTTAGGCGCGTCTGCCATTTCCTTGTCGTCCGTTTCTGTGGATTGCTTGACATCATGGATCGACAAGTCTTCCGTGGCCTGCACAGCCGGCTCGACGCTGGCCTCCTCGTCATGGGCTTTGGTCTTGGATTCAGAGTCAGGCTCCTTGAGTGCCAATTGCTGGGCACGACTGCTACCCTCACTCCCAGGGGTCCAACGAGACAGCTTGGTCATCTCATTGGTAATCTCGACGAAAAGATCCGGGGATCTCAGAGCAAGAGGTGCCATGTTACGCAAGTATGTGCTGAGATCCAGGTTTCTCTGAGTTCGTTGAGGGTTGTCAAATAGGTTACGAATCTCAGCTCGCATGATTTGCTTCAGTGTCTCCTCGTCTTCAACAATGTGTCTCAGGATAGACATGATGCTGCCTGTAGTTTTGCTTTCTTTCAATCGTGCTGAACCAACAACAGCAAGCTGTTTAGCCATGGCAAACAAGCTTGAAAGGTTTAACCTTTCTCCGACCTTTTGCGCGATGGCGGGCTTACGTGTCAAGATGACGATGACACGAAGGACAGAGGTTGCGAGTGTCTCCTCCTTCCCGAGATCAGGAAGCAGCTTCAGAATTGCATCCACAAGCCTGTTCCGCTGCTCATGAGAAACAATGAGGTTGCGTTGAGGAAGCACAGCAGGGACAACTGTCTCGTTGTCGTTGCTCGGAGGCTTCCATTGGGCTTCGATGGGCTGCTCATCGTATGACAGCAAGAGCTCGACAATCAACAGAATGTACGGGATCCAGGGAGGGAGCTCTTTGTTTGAAGTCGACGATGACTTCAGGTCGAGGAAAGATATGTACTCGTCCACCTTCTCTCTCAAAGTGTCGATATTGCATTTGAAGAAACTCTTCTCTTGCATAAGAAGTGCCAGGAGATGAGCATAAGCAGCAATGCTGGTTCCATTCGCTTTGGAATCGCTATCATCGAATGACAGGGAAGTCAACGCATTTGCCAGAGTCGCACCGACCTCATCTCGAGCCTCGTCATTCGGCTGGCGGAATATCATGGCGTTGATGAGCTCTGAAAGTTCGATGGCCGAGTGGGGATGGGCCCGGACAATGTCGAGAGTCCTGTCAATGAGGTTGTCGCGTAATTTTGACCGTTCCTCATCGAGGGTTTCCTTGCTTGTCGCCTGAATTTCGGTACTAGCACGGGCCTGTTCTTCGGGAATAGCTGCTGGCGTAGAGGTACCGGGCCTCGCTTGAGCTTCGTCAGCTATAGCAGGACGGTCGTCGCTGTTGCCATTCCACTCAGCGGATGCTCTGTTGCCCAAGTCGCCAAGGACGGCATCACCAAGTAGACGGTCCAACTCCGGAGTAACGAATTCCGGTGCCACATCGACCGCCATGGCATCGGCATCAGCGGGTGCTGCAGGTACCGACGCCGTACTCTCCGGTTGACTTGGAGGATTCGTTGGCTCAGGGCGGTCGGGATTGTAAGCATCTTCAGGCGGAACCGGGTTCCGCTGGCCTGCTTTGCCAGCCTTGTGAGAGCGGCAATACTCCGTCGCCGACGGTTGGTTCCAGTTGGCTCTGAAGACAGCTTCGCGGGCCAGCTCCACGTCGGCCCCATCTTCTTCAAGTAGACCGATTAGAGGGGTGTGGGCCTGCCAGTTGAATAAGACTGTCGATTTCTTGAACAGTTCGACCGCTGGCGTGTTCCGGGATGGCTCTTGATCACCCGCGGATATGATCTTGAGGATCTCAATCACCTTTGCCACTGCCTCGGGTCGCAACTTCTCGATCAACGTAGACTCCCAAATCTCGCGGATGACCGGAAGAACAGCCATTCGCACTTCAACGACAATTTGGTGAGATATCGGGGTGTCCGGGCGTCTCTCGGCTGAACGAGGCAGGATGCCAAACTGTGCGGTCGAGTCGGAAATGTTCTTGCCGTTGACGAGAGCAGCAAAGAACTCGAAAATTTTCCCGAGACCGAACGAGGCCACTCGAGCGCTAGCAGTGGCACCGACGTCTGACTCTCCAGCATCTTTGCAAATCTCGGCCGAGAACCGTCGCACCATGGTCGTGAGAACTTGGAAACCACCCTGATCCAGGAAAGCGACAAGCACAGGGATAACGACCTGGACCGATGGGCGTTCTCCTGATGCTCGAGTGTTGTCCATCAACATCTCTGTCAAGGTATGAAGCATAATGATCCAATAGTGGTACTCCTTGCCTGTAGGTTCAGCAGGGTCAACTGAAGGAGCTAGCTGCGCCAAAATCGTCCCTGACAACTCTCTGGCGATATCAATGTGCTTCGGACGTGAATAAGGATCGCGTTCGCGTCTTGGGAAGAGAGCTTTGCCGAGTTGCTGGAAGAAGGGAAAGGTCGAGGGAACCATTGAGTGGAGGAGGATGCGAAGGGTCTCGTAGTTCTTGTACCGGAAAGTGGCTTGCTCTTGTTTAGTTGGTGTCTTGAGCTGAGTGCTAGGAGCCGTAGCAGGCACAGCACCGGACGCAGAGTCCGACGGCTCAGCCGGGGCTGATGCCACCTCGTTCTCGCCTTCGCCCTCGCCAACGCTCTGAACTCCAGCAGCTCCGCTGATGGATACCATAACGTCACTTCCAGGAGCCGGCCGCTTAGCCCACCAGTGTTGGGGCAGCACATTATGCCCAGCGCCCTCTTCTGCCAGGACAGCCTTCAAAAGCGGCCCCAATGACTTGACGAGTTCGAGATAGTAGTCAAAGACATTGATGGGATACAGCTGAACTGAGTTGGAGCGCGGTGAAGACGTGAAGCATTCATACAACGTCTTGATCAGCGACTGCGCAGTAAGCAGTGCCTTGACCATTTTGTTGCCGTTGAAGATGCGTTCTTGCACCGAGGGGTCAAGACTACGGACTTCATCGAGCGTCAATTTGCCGTCGAGACCGAGGAAAGGATGAAAGTAGGGAGAGTCTTGCTTGTACTCGGCTAAAGGTTTGAGTGTATCGACCGAAGCCTGTGCGCGCCTGAGGAGGGAAGGCAAGCCAAGAACCGGAGACTGCTCGACAAGCTGGGAAATGACCAGGTGCAGGGTTCGGGCTGCATGCGAGTCGCAAAAGTCGTGCGGCAGACTGGGCAGCTCTGCGACGTCTAGCAATAGCTCAATGCCTCCATGGGTAATGAAGTAAGCCTTGAGCGTATTGTTATTGAGGTAAGCTGAGAGGAAGCTTGACAGGGCGTAGACGTAAGGCGTAATGTCGTCGTACGCTGTTGTAGACGTAGACGGCTCCTCGTTACCCGGAGTTCCCTTCTGCGCCGTAGCTTCGGTAGCATCTGACATTTCGACGTCGGAATTGTCGCCTCTCCCCTTTCCTTTACCTTCGGTAGCGGGTTCAGTAGATGGGTGCAGTACCAGATCCTTGTACTTCTCATCCGCTGAAGAGGGGTTCTGTGAACCGTCACTGATGAACAGTTTCGCGCCCCAGCCAGCAGTCTTGGCCTTGTAAATACCAAAGGACCTCACCCTAGCAACCATATCGATCACAGCATTCGAGATTGGACGCCTCAGATTGGGATGGTGCCGGGCGAGTTCGTCAAAGCTAGCACCCACATTGCTGGCGAGATGAGGGTCGGTTTCCATGGCATTGACGTGGGCAGGGCTTTCGAAAATTTCGAGGAACGATTCAAGGGCGCGAGAGGAGGCTACCATCTTCATGCCTGCATTATTCAGGCAGATGGAGTTGAGAACTTGCGGGACAACGTTGATGGCGTCGGATGTCGGCAAAATGCCTTGGGCCAGCGGGCGACGCTCATGTGATTGGGCGATCTCTTCCTCGGGGGGCGGGTGAGATCGAGTATCAGGCTCGATCTGGATGGAAGCCTCAGAGGACTCAGGGCTGCCTTCGTCATCGTCGTCACGGTCTCTGTTGTCTCGATCGGTGTTATTCTCGCCATTGTTGTCACCGCGGTCAGCGGTGTCTGCCGCTTGCTCCTCGGCGTCTTGCGAAGGTGGAATGGTAGGCTGAGAGGTGACTGGATGGCCAGTGATGGCTTCCAGATAGGTGACGATGATTCCAGATTCTGAAATGGCAGCGAAACTTGTAGGGTCGTTGTTGATGAAATCGCTAAGCACCGTAACTGTAGTCGTCCACAAGACCGATCCATACCGCTTCGTGTTCTGCATGATGTCTCGCAAGCTGGCCAACAGCTCCGATTTGTCAACGAGATTACGGAGAAGTCGATCAGTATTTCCGCCGTAGGTGTAAGAGTTTGTCATCATATGATGGATGAACTTGAGAACCCATTTCAGGGTCTGCTGTTGATTGTAGGGGATCTCATAATCAACAACCTGGCAGTAGTGTTCAGGTGTGTTACCCTGTCCAGCTTGCACAAGTTGTTTCGAATCGGCCACCGTCGTGACGAGGAGCTCGGAGATAGCATCAAGACCAGGTCCGCTGAAGAAGGACTGGAATGCATTCTGGTAGGTCCAAATCAGTCCGTCGAGGAAGGCCAAAATCATGGATTGATTGCGTTGGGCGACATCGGACCTGATTTTGAGAATCTCCACCAGGATATCCATCAGTCCGGCCGTCACCATCTCAGCCCCGATTCTAGTGGACATGGCCAAGTGAGTGGTCAAAGAGAAAAGGCTGGTACGCCACTGGTCGACTTCAGTGGTATGGATACCGCGGTCGGGTTCACTCGTCTTCATACCCGCGACAGCCTTTCGTATGACGTACAAGAGAATTCCGTGGTTGACATTCGCATTCAGGGCCGACAAAACATCTTGGTATCTCGCCGCATAGTTTGAGATGACCTCGAGGAGGGCCAAGACAATGGACTGAAGCCACAGCGGTACTTGAATGGAACCATCGGCCGGCGGGTGAATGAGCTCCGCCAGTTGATAAGCCAACTGATAGCGTCGCGTTTCGTCGTTGTCGTGACGCAGAACCTTCTCGACGAAAGTCGTCTCTGGATGGATGTAGGCCAGGTTTTGGATGGCAAGTAGACGGACGGCAAGTGCTTGCTGTCTAGACTCGGCACCTTCCAGGAGAGCCTTGGCTACTCTCAGGCGGTTGAGAACCTCATACTTGGCCGAGGCCGGCATATCCGCAGGGCAACGTGCAAGGAGCTCATAGATGGGCGTAGAAGCAACGACTGATTGCGGCAAATCGAAGATTCTCTGACTCGACTTGGCATGGTCATTGGCGACGAGGGGGCTTCGTGTACTCAACGGCGAAGCCTCGTCAACGCCGGCCTGACGAGCGGATCTCGGGGTGTTATGCTGGGATCCGGCTGTCGTGCTGCGCCTCAGCGGAGTTGGTGTAGAGGGCATGTTTGAACCAATGCGATCAGGAGCCATCGAGACAGGGTGGTCCTTTGCGGTCGAGGCCACGGTATAAGTGATCTTGATATCTCCCCAGCCGTTCCAGCGCGTATTGTCTGGTGTAAGAACAGCACCCAAGTCGTTGGCGAACATGGCTGCGGCGTTTTTATGGCTGGGCGCCGGAGCCTTTTCCTTGCCCTTGGCACTCGATGTGGGCGTAGCGGTAGCCGCCGAGTCTGAGAGACTGACAATCGGAGTCTTGGCAAAGGGGAGAGCGACGCTATTCACGCGGTCGAGGTCGATCTGGTAGTGATTGCTCAACAGAGCAGTGCTGACTGTGCGGGAGGCGCTTCCTATCCTCTTCACGGAAGCTTGGTAACGCTGAGCCAACTCGGCACTAACCTGTAGAGTTGCAAGAAGAAGCGACAGAACTGTAGTATTGAGCAGCTTGTTCAGGACCATGCTGCTAGAGTAGATGCTTCGGTTGCCGCAGTGCTGCAGGAGTGTACGGGTGAACTTGAGGACAGCCTCAATAAGCTGCCTGTCTCCATCTGCATTGTAGCCCAACTTGGCAAGACCATCGTTATCCCAGGTCTGATCACCATATGTTTCGGTCTTGGCGCCTTGGTTGAGGAGCAGATCACGGCCGAAGTCGCGGTTCTGAGGGCCCTGCTCCAGGTTGTAGGTGGTGCTAAAGCAGTCCAAGATATCGTCGAATCGGTTCAGGAGAGGGATCCAGTGATACAGGTCACCTCTCGGGTACGGCCATCTTGTCGGAAACTTGTGGAGGTGGTCTGGAAGGAGAGGCAAAGGTGTGGAGCATGCCGACGTGACAAAGTCCTTGAGCCATGGAGACTAGAAAAATAGTTAGGGACGCTGGCCTGATTTGCAGAAGAAGAAAAAGAAGAAAAAGAGCGGGCAGGGAGATGAATTACCAGAGTCTCAGCATGCTTGGGCTGCATCTGCTTCGTTATCTTCCCCATCGTGGGCGAGCGCGGCAGGGCCGCAGGTTCATATGTGCAGCCTTGCTAGCTAGCCCGCGTCGGAAAGTGAAGGTCTAGATAGCGCAGCAGGGTATCTCGTAGGGCGTTTGCGCAAACGGAACAGACGCGTCGCAGGCGAAAGGTTTCCTTTTTAGGGTATTGTACAGTCGAGTAGAAGAAGAGGTCGACGGTCTGTTGTGTGGTAAAAAAGTGGAAAAGAAAATCGACCAGGTGATGACAAGAAAGCTTGGGTTAGAGAGGCACAGAAGTGCGAGGCCGGGTGCAGGTCGTCCTCGCGGGCTACTGTGACAATAGCTCTGCCAAGCAATGGCTGTTGATGTCGTCGTGATAAAAGTGCGTGTCGCTCAGGTTCAAGTTTCGTAAAATCCTCGCGGGTAGCAGTCGGTGAGATCAAACCGTCGATCGCAACGAGTGTCGGGTGTTGAAGGTGAGGTGTTGGCGGAAGGCGGGATGGGATGTTGGAGAGTGAGGTGGAAAAAGAAGTTGCAGATGTCAAATCGGCAAGGAAAGGTAGGTGCGGTTACAGTGGGCCCTTTGCGTAATGGCAAGGTAGGTAGAGGTAGCTTTGCCAGCTAAGAAAGTGCCCTCACAGTCATCTATCTACCTTACCGTAGGTGCGGAGGTACTGTTTGGTTGGAGGTCATGGACGACGGGTGGTCTGCCGCCTTGCGAGCGGTCAGACAAGGTGGGAGGAGCAGGCGGGCAGCTGCCGGGCTGAACACGCCCCGATTTCGTACTGTTTTCTCCCTCTTGTCGAATATGTATCAAGACAGTGTCGGAAGGTCGGTGACACAGTGACCGCGGTTGTCTGTCCCTCTACGTATTGTTTATGCCTATGACGGGAGGATAGCGTGGAGGAGAATGCACGGTCCATCCACTCCGTAGGTAGATTTTGTTGGCGGGACGCAGGCGGCGGGCAGAGTGGAGGCGGCATCACCTTTGTCGACAGTACGTACCGCACCGTAAGGCGACCAGATGTGACCATCTTCCACTCGCTTCTGGAAACCGTTTCTGCCTTTACCTTTCATTACCTAAGGTAAGGCAGGCAGGCCAACACAATCATGATGCTGCCCTAAAACCTACCTTATGAAGGCAAGGTAAACACAATCAGATCATGAATGGTTACGGTAATGTGCATCTTCTTTCTCTCATAGGCATTGCCCACTCCCTCATGTAATATTGCTGCTGCATCAGTGTCGTACAAGGTACCTTCGTGACTGCACATTAGGCAAAGAAACATCCTTTGCTTGCCTGATGTCTAGTCAGATGGCAGTCTAAACCTAACCTCAGACTCATTGACTTCCTTGAAACATTGCAATTTTTCCATCTCACTTGCTTGAGGAGTCAGCCACAGCAATCTACCTCACTCTACCTACGATACACTGTATTACCAGTCTGCAGTCTGCCTCATCATCAATGTGCCCCTGCCACAACGCAAGATTTCTTCCTTTAACATGATAGCACGTTGCTCCGTACATACGGGGTACAATGGAGATTTATGACAGCATTCAGCGCCAAGCAAGTGGACTCTCAAGTCACAGAGTTGATGAAAGCGCAAAAGTCCAAGGAGTTTGGCCCACGATTTGTCAGAGAAAATTTCTGTTAAGCCACTTGGGAAGAAGTGCCTTACTCGACAGGCTTCCTTCGAAAGAATTTTCTGAAATGCTGTGCTCTCATAACAGAGATGTGATGCCTAGGAGGCATTTCTAGCTCACATCAAACAACTCATTCACTGCCAACGCATGGCACGCCAAATTGTCGGAGGTTGTCACTTCTCCACGTGGCTGGTGTGCCGAGAATGCACGTGTCGACGTGTAGTATTGGGGCTTTAAAGCCTCAACTGACCAGGTGTTGGTTTGCGCTGGGACTTGAATCTCATATTTCTCAACAGAGGGCTTGAAAATGCGACAGAGGTATTCGTATGTATGGCTCTTCGGAATTAACCCTCTGGGCACAACAATCTCCCCATCTCAAGCACGGGGCACGGGATACAGGAATGACGCTAGGCAGTGTTGTTCGTAGGTAAGCGAGGGATGTACGGACAGTCCAACGCCCTTTTCCCCGTTGGAGGTGATCACTAAGGCTTTCAAATTTCGAGTTGATATCGTCAGTAAAATCCTCCATAAATATCAAGCGTCGAGTGACAAGTGTGTTGAATCTTTCTCGTCTGCTCTCGCCGTGATAAGTGTAGCGAGCTGTGACATTTTTGCTCGTGGCTCAGAGCACGCACAGGAACAACTGGGGCGGCCGATATGAAAGGCCTGGGTTGCATTCCAGTCCATCCGTACCAAGACACCAACCGGAGCTGGCTCGAGGCTGGTAAAAATAGGATCCAAGAGTGCCAGGCATGCCAAACAGGCACCTCGGAGATCCAAGAAGACTTCGCATGGAAAGCAAAGACAACATCCGGGATCAAAACTGTTCGAACATAAGGGCAGAAGCATAGTGACTGCCGAGTCCCGGCGATGAGGGAAGAAAACGGCCTCGGTGCCGTCGTCCCCCGAAGCCCGGGTGTAACCAAACCAACAAACCTACAGACGGCGTAACGCCGGGTCTGCGGGCGGCCGGCCGGCCCTTTCTTAGAGTTAGGAAAAAGGGGGAAGGGCACAAGGGGGTCGAAAAAAGATCTACCCCCCCGATTGCAACGGTGCGAGAGATACGCAGATCATAACGTTCCAACGGGGAAAGGCTGGCGCTACCAAGAGTCTACTCAGACTGCGGTGCCAGATAGCGATAAAGAGCAAGTACTGAACAAGTAGCCACATCGCACGAATGCTTTGCCTCGGATGGCCAACCATCAAGCCAGTCAAGCCATCCAAGAAACTTGTGCTGCAGGGGCAGCGGCTGTTGGACTGAACGAAACTCTTTAAAGACAAGGTCGTCTCGGAAGACGCGCACACATGCTAAGAAGCCATGAAAGCAGATGAACAAACAATACTCCATATTAGAGCTGAACAGTAAACTTGGGCTATTGTTGGTCACTCGTATTATTGTTGGCTATTGCTCACACGAGATAGTGCGGTAAAGGCTGGCCCAAAGATCGGACGGAATATTGGAGTTACTAAGAAAGGGCAAGGCAAGCTTTCATTCTGACAAGATTGAGGCTCCCAATACGGATATGAGTGATGTTAACTATTGGAGACCCAACGTGAACTCGTCCAAAGGCAGAGGCTTCGGGATGGGGCCATCGTATCTGATATTGTATTGATATGTCTTTCTGGACACGCACCTGGTAAAAGTGACTTTAGCGAGAGCAACAGAGGCAGCAAAAGGCTTCTTGGAGGCTGGAAAAGGTGTGGGAGGTGGTGGGCAATTATTAAGAAACATCAGCTTCCCTGCCGCGTCGATCCCAGCAATTTCCTTTTGGCTGGCCCTTCCAGGCTGGTTGGCATTTCAAAGGAACGCCCCCTGTCATTCATGGCATTTGGGGCTGGCAAGTTCTGGCGCTCCGGCGAGGAACTCAGGAACTCACGGCATCCAGACTTGCAAGCTTGCAAGAAAGAAAGTGACTTACGAGACCACCCCTCGTGCTCCCCCCCGGAACAGAGAGCGATCCCGTTCCGCAGCGGCGCGCTAAGCTATCAGTGGTTGGCCCGGTCCCTCACCTTTTGCCTCCCCCTGGCCCCCAAAACTCGACTGGTTGAATCGAACGTTCATCTGTAGTGGTGGACCTCGAGTACGGATAGTGCTTAGGGTCGATTGTATTTGGGCCAATACGGACGGGACTCGAGTATTCGCAGCCACCGTTCGGGGGTCTACTTCCAGGTCCCCCATTCAGGTGGGTGGATTCCATTGGCTTAGGTACTGTGTCACGTTGAATAGGAGAAAAGATACATCTGAAAGGGGTCTTCGCCCCCCATCTGCGGTGAGGCTCGGGGCAGCTTCATTCATTCAATTCAATTCCCCATCCCATCCCCCATGCCCGCCCACCCCCCAGCCAGGAAATAGGAAAGAAAAAAAGGGAGAGGGAGGCACAACTTGCGCGCCACAACCGATCCTCGACTGTCAGTCAACCCTCGACCCTGACCTGCCTTACTCCGTACTCGCCTTCTCGATTCCCCGTCGTCCGTTCTGACAAGCTTAGCGACGAACAACAACACACACAACGACAAAAGCAGTTCCAAGCAACCAACCCTGCATCCTACCTTGAGAGAACGAGACTGCAGCACCCGTATCACAAAGTATTCTTCAGCAGCACAGACGACACGGTCTACAGAATTGCCTAGTGCTGGAGTCCCCCCCCCCCCCCCCCCCCCCCATCTCCATGGACACCAACTAGGTTCCTTTAAACAGTCCGACCTCGACCTGGACGAGAGCTATCCCACCATACCGCACACCCACATAGGTCAGCGCAAGTTGACCTACAATCCTTTATTTCGCAATGTCCCAGCCAGACGAGCCTGTCGCGACCGTTTCGCCTGAAGTCACCAAGGACATCAAGGAGACCACGGAGACCAAGGAGAAGAGACTCTTGACTGACTCCGATTCCGACTCTGATAAGGAGAATGTAACGCTCCCCTCATCCTTCCTCCCTTGATGCACATACCTGCTTTGGCCTTCCAAGCTCGACAACAAGGCACCTCTGCACACAGGAAAAGAACAACTCGCTGACATGACCGAACAAGCAGCAGGATGCCTTCGAGGATGCCGTCGTCGATGTCGCCGAGGTAGCTGAGGTGCGTTCTCTTACTCAGAGAACGCCCTCGGTCTCCAAACCACCACCCGCCGAGGAAACGGACCCTGAATCCCCGAAAAAGGAGGAGCACACAGAAGAGGACAGGGTGGAAGCACCAGCTCCGCCGTCACCAACGCCAGACGATCACTTTGTCGACGAGGACTTTGTGAGCGACCATGAGGACGTGGATATCAAGCGCAAAGCTTCTCCCGTATCTCATCGACTTTCCAACACCTCAAATCTGGACGATGTCAAGCTCGACGACGACCACCCTGCCCCACATGAGGAACCAGGTTTGTTGTTTCGCCGCATGAATTGATTGACGTGTGTCAACAATGCTAATTTTAAATACAAGAAACGAAAGCCATTAGCCCGGTCGTCGAAGAGAAGCCACTGCCGCCCAAGAAGATATCCATTAGCAGCATCACCGGCGCCCTTCCATCCATGCCGTGGTCGCCGCCAGCCGAACCATCGCCTGCCAAATCTCCCGTAGTCCCAGCCGCACCCCCACCGCAAGCCGCTTCCTCTGCCGCCCTGCCACCACCCCCTGGGCCCCCGACCAGGAAGCTCACAAGCCCCTTCTCCTGGCTTTCCCGAAACAGCACAAGCAAGGAGAAGGAGACCTCACCGCCTCCACAAGCTTCTCCTCGCCGAAACACAGCCAGCTCCATCGCCACGTTAACGAGTAACCCCGAGATGTCGCTGGGCAGGTTAGACGAAGAGAAAGAGGGTGGCATTCCGCGACACAGCTTGAAGGACCGCTTCAAAATGGTGCGCCTACGGGAAGAGGCCGGCGTCACGCTGCCATCCGACGACGATAAACCTGTGCCGCCGCCCAAGGGATTGGGGTTGATCACACCTCCCGCCCCCCACAATGGAAACGACAAGGAGCTTGGAGCCGATCAAGCTCCCAAGTCACCTCTTCCAACGGCCCCGAACCCGGCGCTGGCACCAGGAACAGTGTCTGGTGTATCGGCTGGACCCTCCGACATGTCAGACTCCCAGGTAGATTGGGATCTCTGGCAGTCCGTCGTCTACGAAGGCCCGGCGGTTGTTCAACGTACCAGCGCCGAGGAACTGAACAAAGCCATTGCCAGTGGTATTCCAAACGCTATCCGTGGAGTAGTCTGGCAAGTACTGGCCCAGAGTAATAATGAAGAGCTCGAAATCATGTACAGAGAGCTAGTGGCCAGGGGAACCGACAAGGAAATCAACAGGAACAGTCATAGCACTGTTAGCTCGAGCAGCAACGGTACTCTCAGCATCCAGAACGACATTGTCAATTCATCCTCCTCATCTGTCCACTCGGAACACTCGGCCGCGAATGGCATGCCTTCCCCTTACGAGAAGAGCGCGGAAGCGGTCCTGAAGGCGCAGCAGGCGGCTACGGTGGCCAGACAAAAGAAGCAAAAGGAGGATACTGCCATGCTCCAGAAGCTGGAGAAGACGATTCGACGAGACATGGGTGCGAGAACCAGCTTCTCCAAGTACGCTGCCGCTGCCGGGCTTCAGGAGGGCCTTTTTGGCGTGTGCAAGGCATATGCTTTGTTCGATGAGGGTGTCGGCTACGCTCAAGGCATGAACTTCTTGATTATGCCTCTTTTGTTCAACATGACAGAGGAAGAAGCCTTCTGCCTGCTGGTTCGGTTGATGAACCACTACCACCTGCGCGATCTTTTTATTCAAGACATGCCCGGCCTACATAAGAACTTGTACATCTTTGAGCGCTTGCTTGAGGATTACGAGCCAGCTCTGTACTGCCATCTTCGCCGCCGCAGTATCTCGCCTCACCTCTACGCCACGCAGTGGTTTTTGACACTATTCGCCTATCGGTTCCCCTTACAATTGGTACTACGCATTTACGATCTGATCCTGTCTGAGGGTCTCTCAGCTATTCTGCGATTTGGTATTGTCTTGATGCAGAAGAACGCAGCCAATCTACTTGCCATCTCGGACATGCAGCAGCTCACAGTCTTCCTCAAAGACAAGGTTTTCGACGCCTACATCGACACCGCACCAAGTGCAGGTAGCATTCTGGAGAACGGCTTCTTTGGAAGCTCAAGCGCCAGCATGGACAAGGAAGTCTACCGCGCCGACCAACTCGTCAGAGATGCCTGCGATCTTGATATCACCCCTGAGATTCTCAAGACCTACACGACCGAATGGGAGGAGAAGACCAAGGCAGAGAAGGATCGTGAGGCCGAACTGGAAGGGCTCCGGACTGCCAACATCAACTTTGCCGTCAAAGTCCGTAAGCTCGAGGAGCGTGTCGAAGCGTACGATAGTGAGCAGGCTGCTCTCGCCACGGAGCTGGTCCACACCAAGGTCGAGAACGAGGAGCTCAAGGATGAGAATGAGAGTCTCAAGGGCCAGGTCCGTGAGCTGCGAAACGTTATTGAAAAGCAGCCGGAAGAGCTAGAGAATGCATGGAAGGCTGAGCGTGAGGATCTCATGAAGCGTAACCTCAAGGTTCACGAGGAGAATGAGAAGTTGGAGAAGGAGATGGCGGAATTGGAGGAGGAGCTTGTGCAGACGAAGATGCAGTATGCCGAGGTAAGAGGATGCGCCGTCCACATTCGCCAAGTATCGTCTGACTGACTCTATGACAGATCAATTCTCAGCACGAGACACTCAACCGCAAGTGGACAGACCTCAAGCGACAGTTTGCTTGAAGCAGTCAGTGAGGAATACGACCCTGGTAACCCAGAAGCAGAATTCTCTGAATATCTTAATGTACAAAGTAATGATAGCTTCCCATTGAGTATGGAGGTTTGCGTGTGTTTGCTGGCCCAACGCACATCTGGGCGGCTAGCGGGATGGGTGCGGGCACCGAGGAATCAGATGGATCCTTATGGTGGTCAGTGATATCCCGAAAACCAACACGCGGTAGGAGTGAGCAGAAGCATGTCGGCCTAGACAGGCCACGAGGAACTGGCTAGCAGCCATCGGGGTTACTACAACACTCGCAGTAGAGACCAGCAGCCAGGTGAGCATGGAGAGGGGTTCAAGGCGCATACTCTAGCTTCCATAGGTAGACTTGACAGCTACAACATCAAATACAGAGAGCATCACAACACATTGGGAGAGTGGACAACAGGCGAAGAGTGATTACGGCAGGCAAAAACTTGGTGGTATAGTCTTTTTGAGTCTTCCTAATAACCCATATCCGTCCGTGGACTCGGGTAGCTTTTCCGAGCCTACATTTCATTGTAAGCTGATCACGCCCCATGATGGCTTGCCAGACGAAAAGCAAAACCTGTTGAACACCAAGAACAACCCAAGAGCCCGATAAAATGTTTTTTTTTTCATTCCCGTAAAGTTGATTCCGTGAGAGAGTCACAGTTATCTAGTTTTTCCCCCTCCATTCCACATCCCATACGCCCACAACGCGACGCTGTAATCGTTAAGACATGGCTTTTCACGCAGCAACCCCTGTAAACGAAAGGCGATACGTTTACTTGTGGAGCTTGCGCTGGTAGAAGGCGAGCTCCTCGCCCTCGAGGATGTATCCGTCGCAGCGACCGGACTGGCCGGGGCGGGAAGAGATGACGGCGTACAGGCGACCGGCCTCGAACTGCTTCTCAAGAACGTTCTCGACCTTGCCCTCAGCGGCGAAGCGCTCAGCCTGCTTCTTCTCGACGGACTTGGACTTCTTGGTCTCGTCCTCCTTGACGCCGGCGGCGGCCTGCTGCTTCTGCTGGCGGCGACGGCCGAGGTTCTGGCCGTAGTGGGCCTCGTACCACTGACGGAAGGGGGCGGCGTCGATCTGGACGACGGCGGACTTGGTCAGGGTGTTTGTGCGGACGAGCTCGTTGTTGGAGGGGTGGTAGGCGACGCCGATGACGCGGGTCTTGCGGGTGCAGCCCTCGGAGGCCCAGGCAAAGTTACCGGAGTCGAGGCGGAGGGCGCGGTACTTGTGGTTGCCGCCGCGGGTGCGGACGGTGTGGACTCGCTTGGGGCCGATACGGGTGTTGGCACCCTGGCGACCGGCCTCGAAAGCGCGCTTCTTCCCTGTTGAGCAGAAAGGTCAGAACGCATGCTTGATTAGAGCATACGGGCTTTCGATTGTATTACGCACGGTAGTAGGCGCGCTTGGCACCGGAAGCGGAGCGCTTGTGGCGGGAATCTCTCGAGATACCCATGATTGCTTATGCTGTTCATGGAGAAGAAGTTAGCCATGGGTTCTGGTACAGTAGTGGAAGAGTGACAAAAAGGAAACTTCTTAATCGTGAATGATCCCGAAGAGGGGCACTGGTGCTGAGGGGGGATTGGGAGAGGGGATGCGAAGTGTTTCTTCAATGCCCACCAAGGAGATATCGCGAAATGCCTTTCTTCTTGCGCTGACGGATTGGAAAAGCCAGCGAAAAGAATATTGGAAGATCGTGGGATATCGTCGTCGAGGCAGGTGGATTTTTTGAATTCTCGCTATTCCTCGTTTCGGTAACTAACCTGATGGTTCCTCAGGAGGCAATCGACTGGTGGCTGGCCGGCGTTGGGTGGTTGACTGTCGAGGTTGTCGGGAATGAACTTTTTTCGGGAGGTTGATGAGATTCGAGAAACAGCACCTGGCAAATTTGGAGTTTGTGCGGGCTCGCTAACCCCACTAGCAAAAGTTGGGAAAGGTGCACGGTCCAGGCTAGGGCATGCTTTTGGCCTGAGGTTCGCAAGAATCAGGGGTTTTCTCATTGGGCGGCTGTGATTGGTGATTGCTTTCTTGTGTGGAGTCTCTCGGTGAAGAACTCTGACCGAGATGCATCTCACCGAAGGTCTCTACTTCTGCTCAAGGTACCTACCTTTCTTGGGATGTGCCTTTGATCGCCTGTTGACAGATATCATGCCTGCAATCGACAATAAAGGATTCATGCCGGGCTATTTTGGGAGTTTGTTTGCCTCCCAACTCTAATTTACTTACGATAAGGAGCCCTTTCAAGATCGTCGACTGCCATTGGAACCAACGACCACAGCTGGTCCAACTGCCGGTCGAGCATTTGAAGCAAGCTAGCAGCGTCAACGCATCATTGAGGAGCTTACTTTTGTATCGCCAGAGAATCGACACGCAGTCCTCCCTGTTCAACTCCAAGGGACCCTTCTTCACTGCGACAGAAACGCCAGTATGTTGGGATCATGTTCCTCGTGTCTTCGATGGCCTCTCGAAGGCGGGTAGCTTCATTATGGGAAGTCTGTGTAAAGGGAAAATGATGCTTTACGAACGATTTAGCAATCAATTTGGCCACTTTTGAGGAGAGATTACCCGGTGTAAAAGGCCGTCGGGCCAGGCCTCTCTATCTCTACCGATCTTTCAGACCTTCTAGTTTATGCGTGCAGGTGAGGGCGCTTAGGACTATGATGCCCGCCAAGACGGAGACGCCATCAAGTCAAATAGCATAGCAAAGCCATCGATTGAAAGAAAGGTTAAGCATATAGTCGAGGATCGGGCTGGACAACTTACCCGACTTTTCGCCGTGTTCTAGACTCCAATCAAGTCTGAAGCTTCTCACGTTTCTAGACCAATTCAAGAATCCGATTCTCGTACGTCAACTCTCCCATATGCGATATGGACAAGGTTAAGAGACGCAACCCTTGGGGTCCTTGGCGATCGACGCCTGACTTTGCCTCTGCTTACCATTGCCTCCCTGTTCCTGCGACCCTATCTTCATAGTTAAAGCAGCAAAAGTGTAGGAAGGTTTACAGTGGCATCTCACTCCAATCCCTCATTTACTTCTGTCAGACACGATCAAACATGACAGCAGATTGCACTCTACGATCGCTTTGAAATTCTTCATCCCATGTTTATCTTTCTGTAGCCAAGTTTCTCGCGATTGAATTGCTATCAACAAGAGACACCACACTGAGAGGGCGAGGGAAGGCCCCATCTCATCTGTAACGCCCAAAGACGCGAGTTCAAAGGCCGACATGCCCATCGGGTCCGGGATCTACTTTGTAATAGTTCAATAGCCGGAGCCTTTCCCACGCCGGGCCTTGCGGCATATCCGGCCTTTATGTGCTCCCTGCCTTACTGATGACAACCACCAACTACCAAACCCCCCGCTTGGAAAAGTCGGGTCTTCTCAAGCATAGACTGTGTCAAGAAGAGACAAACTGCTCACTACAAGCTCTTGACAGCCCGTTGACTATCCGAACTGTTTGGGATCTGCTGCGAGTGCCCCCGTGCAGGTTCCCGGCCACCAAGCAGCGGAAATCATGTCCAGAAACAGGCAAAATTCACCGGGTCAAGAAACACCATGAATCGAAACTTTTTGAAATCATGAAGAAGTGAATTGGCCTATTCTAGTGTAGGCAGTGTATCGCGCAGCGACCTCGAAAAAAGGGGGCCGGAGACAGCCAAAGTTGGCCTGCCTCTATGCCAAAATGCTTGTGTTTATATACATTAATGTAGCCGCAGAAGCTCTTCCGGCAGCGTGCGTATGTACTGGTAAAGGAAAACCATCAAGAGGTCTGCTCAAACCTCGTCACCATCAGGTGCGATCAATATTCGGATATCCAACCTGTGCCGTCGCGGATGTTTCCGATATTCCCTCGACTTTTCCGCCTGGCCATTGGCCGTCCCGCGGGGAAGTATGGATCTTCCATCACGTATTGTGACGGGGTCATCTGTAGCTGCGATGAAGGGATGTCGTTTTTCACCTTGATGATCCCCATCTCCACGCTGTGTGCTAATGATGGCTTGTCGAGGTCCAGAGGCAGGATATTCTCCATGCTCTCGGTGGTTGCTCGTGTTGAGGTTCCATAGGAACTTGAGCTAACGGATAGCTTTCCGCCAGCTTTCCCCTGCGTTGCGCGTGCGTACGCATTTTGGGCCAAGTATGGCTTCGACCCGCCTATCGTCGTTCGCTGATTGGGATAGTAGACTTTGGAGTATTTTCCTGTCGATAGGCCGAGAGCCTTGTTGAGAACGGGGAAACGGGATATCAACGGTCGTAATGATGGAACGCCGGAGCAAATGATCAAGGCGCAGACTTCGACTTCTGACCAGAGCAAGGGGTCGGCGACCAAGACTGCGAAAATTAGCTGGTGAGCGATGGAGGGGAACTAGAATGACTTACAAGTAACGTCGCGGTCAAAAGCATTGATGTAGCTCACTCTGATGACGGAAATTACGCATACCCTGTGGCTGTAAGCTACTTGTCTCAAGAGGCAGACACTGTTTCCAAAAACTCACAGTAAACCGAGGGACAACATAATGATGACTCCTACCCGCTTCGCCATCGGGAGTTGCAGTTTCCAGACAGTCGGAATTGGCTGAATGAACAACACCAAGTCTGTTAATAATTTGATGACGAACTATGTCAAGTTAGCTGGCTAGTTCGCATCACTTCATTTTCCTCCCCTCCTAAGGAAACACTTACAGCAGAGTAATAGAAGATGGTCAAATCTAGACATGTTCCGGGTACGGATGGTGTCCAAGCTCTTTCGATGGGAGTGCATCTGAAGATGACGACGGCAGTCTCTTCAATTCCCTCCGCAAGCAGCAAGACGATGAGAAACTTGTTGATACGCTGGTAGACCTGATCGGGGAGCAGCCGAAGGTAAAGAACTGCGAAAGACATTTTTACCGTCACGAATGCCCAGATGTATGTGAGCTGCGTGACGACTTGGAACTGAAGATGGTTTGTCAGTGCGGTTCGAGGAAAGTCTCTTTTGGTGTTCTCTACCTTTAAGAATTCGGCAAAGTCTGACTTCGAAACGTCTTGAAAGTGAGAGCCCAAGCCCATGCTGGTCACTATTCGAGATCAGTATGAAGATTCTCTTCAGCTTCCAGAACGGGTGGCAGCTTACTGGCAAGAATTGCACTGCATAGTGCCATGGCAAGGACCTATTCATGATTAGCAACATCCACAAACTCTTATCGCGGCTTCATTTACCCAGCTGATGAGCACAAGTGCTAGAAATAGTTAGCAAGATAATTGTGATATTTCTTCAGTCGTTGGTACTCACTGTCATCCCAGCCCAAGCTTCGGAGGAGGACACTCCGTACAAAGGTCCTCATCACGACTGTCAGCGTGACAAAAGACATCAGCATGATGGTCACGCTCGCCGTTTGAGCGACCTTTGTGTCCGCCATTTTTGCCGATGGTTACATTCAGGTCGAAGGTGCCTCTCGATAATTCTCAAGACAGCGGGGGGAATAGATATTCACAGTCCGACATAGAGGACCGGAGTGGAGGGTGACAGGATGGACCATGACTGATAGGTGGTTCCCTACGTATGTATGTGCTTGACATAGCCCTTCGAACGCTGATGCATTGGACACATACTACGAATGCGAACCCAATCCCGGTCCTTCCACTGCTGTCTGATCTCTTCAGCGATGTCCCTAGACGACTCTGTCGAGATAGTCTGAAGAAAGAGACGGACTGGGCGTCGAGGACGGGCACCCGGGGTCATGCGTGTGCTGGTAATGGGTGCGTATGGCCACCCGAACAGAGGCACGCTTCATTGTGAACCTCGTTCGATGCCAGCTGTCTGGGACAAGCATAGACTTTCCGCGAATGGACTGGTGAAGAAATCTACTTGCGAGCCCCTTGTTTGGAGGTTAAACTTCCAACAGCCAAGTTTCAAAGTTCAAGGGCTGGTTGATCGCCGCAAGGAAGGCCGTTCAGAACATCAGGCTCTGCTGCAAGATGACCCACGGATCTATGAGATTCAGTGGCGTGATTGGTAGGGTGAGACGCGAAGCCCAACGGCTTGAATCCGTCGATGGGTCGCCCTTGCGACTATCCACAGGGGAATCCGGGGAAGGCGAATCGGGTCGCGGGGCCACGCTGCGTGGATTAGGTCATGCATGTGTCCGTCCTCAAAGGGCTGGCGAGCCGTGCTCTCCCCGTCAAGGCAATCCAGAGGAAATTTGATAATATCTGTGTCTGCCTGCCGAGAAGTAGGTATACAACCAATGACTCGTCCGGACATCGGAAAAGGTGCGGCTAGCTGTCCATGCCCGAACCTGCCAGTCATCTATAGCCCCAAACTCTAGTAGGGACCTCAAATAGCCTGATGCTAGAACAGTGCAACAGCCATGCTCGTGTGATCCGATAGTATCCAACTTAATTAGCCGTGTAGCATTCGCAAAGTCGTATATTCGAGAGACTTTCCCAGGGAAGCTTGGCCAGGCGCAGCCGCTGTGGGCTTGAGACGACAGAAAACCGACCTCGTGGGAGCCTCTTCCTAAGCCGCGTTGGGAAATTCTAGCGGCGAGGCCATTGATCAAGCCCCGTGTTGCTCCATGTAAGTCGTCTAAAACAACAGAAGAGCCACGAGCTGGCTATGACGAACTTGTCTGTGCGGGTCTCTATCCTCCGAGTGACCCAATTTACTAGTTATGACCAGAACAGACTAGTCAGGCAAACGATTCATCGTGAGCAGGCCGGTTTATTTACGGAGGAAACGCTGCCTCGTAACATTTCGGGTCCGCGTTGTTGAGGCACTTGCGCTCCCCGAGCCGCTGTTTGATGTGCTCTCTGGCCAACTGTGAAGCCGGCCAAGGACTATTTGGCCAGATCCTTCCGGTCAATTCGGTCTTCTTTCGCGCGAAGAACGCGGACTTCGACGGCTGAACGACGGAAAAACATGATGAGAATATTCTCCCGGTGGAGAGGACAACGGCATGTGGGAAAAGTGCGCTATCCGCCAGAATCGCGGCGTGTTGTGTGCCAGAGGCATTTCGTGTGATGGGTTTCAGTATCAACGCCGCGGCAAATCCCGACAGCTCGGGGCAGTCCCGATATTCAGTGTGAGTGGGCGGGAGCCGAGTAAGCGCCGTTGCGGTATCGTCATAATGGAACAATATAAGCGGTTCGAATACCCTCCCACAGGCCGGGAGGCAGGAAAGGGTAGCCTGTGTAATGGCCACGATTTCGATGTCTGTGCTGTGTTCTTGTTGGTGCATAGTCGGTAGACGAGAACGAAGAGTGGCTTAAGAGGCTCAGATTCTGCGAGGCGGTATATCTTACTCGCTGTTTATTTGTGGACGAAGCGAAACTCATCTCATGTTTCGCGACAAGAAACGTCGCAGCTGAAGAAGAGATCTCGTTTTGGCAGGCCTAACCCAAGGGATCCAGGCGCCCCAGAAGCCATCATACGAGCCTTTTTAGTCACAGAGCCGCCGTTCAGGCGGAAAAGCCGTTTATCCTTTTACTGACAAGGTGCCGCTTGTTTGCGAAGATGTGCGAGAGTTTGGCATGCAGCTGTCGACAACGGCGACGAGCCAAGGCGCCGGGCCATCATTCGCCTGGAGACACGTCGGCCGACGAGAAGCAATCAGACCTGGAGGCTGAGACATACGTATCCACGTGTTGAAGTCTCGGTCAAAATTCAAAGTCATGATTGCCGGATGGATGGGACAAACACGGCCACTAAATGCGATTGTCTGATGAGATGACGAGTCCCTCGACTCGAACCTAATTCCGCCTTGCCGGCGATATTGCTATGCTGCCAAGTATGAGTAATCATCTGCAGACAATCGGCATGCCATTTTGGGTTGGCGGCAAGATTGTGAAGGTTTGGGAAGATGCAAAAAAGACTGGCACTCATCTTCGAGAGGGAGTGGGGCGTCCTCTGCCGGTTGGCTGTTTGACTGCGGCTGAGAGACCCTTAAAAGAAGGGTCCGCGGTTGTTGGTCCTTCTTGTCTGTAGATGATTTGTGATCATAAAGACGACGCAGCTGGTGAAGTTGGCCAGAACGGTCCAGAAGACATCGTCAGTGCCAGCAGAGTGGTTGCCAAGGCCGTCGGTGAGTGATATTGAGTTGCCGGCGGGACGAGACACAGACCTATCTTACCTTCCCTTCACATGAAAATCGGGCGGGCCATTCCTGCTGTTGGCCGACAGAGACAAAGCGTTCTTACCTCCATCCAAAATACAGGAGCGACTCGATCGTGACACCCGAAGATGGCAGCGAGTCTGGTGTTGTAGGTGGGAAAGAGACGATCTCTGGATGGTGTTTTGAAGTTGTTCCAGAAGGAAAGAAGTTCGCGCCGGCCCCATCCACCGGTCCCTTCCTTCCCCAGAAATACCACCTGTCTCGGAGCCATTCCCGTTGATCTCCCTCTCCACTCACAGGGGTTCCTTCCGTCTGCCTGGAGATTTGCCCGGTGAGGGACTTACACGACCACGTTTTGCTGCCAGCACTGCATCGTCAAACTTCACCTTGCCCATCACAACCTCAATTGGCTTTGCCTCGCCCTCGGGTTTTCCTAAGATCGATTCAAACACAAAAAGATTGTATCCTTCCTTGGTATGTAAAAAAATCACCATGGAATAATCCGATCAACACTCTCTCAATGTGGGCAAACGCTGACTTCTTTCTTGCTTGGTCTTGCAGCAATTTCCTTTTGGCGACCAGAATTCCTACGAAAAACCACACTCAAACGATACCTAGCTAAGCACCATTGTACCTACCACAATGAAGCCTACACTTTGCATCACGGCCTTTACTGGCATGATCGGCATTGCTGCTGCCACAAGCCCTCCTGCCTGTCTTCTTGCAGCTCTCAGCCAGCAGCCCAAGGTCTCTGCAGTCGATGCCATGTGCACCGATTTCATGGACGCCATGCTCAGCAACCTGACCAGCGTTTGCCAGGGCTCCGATCTTCAGGGCGCCTACAAGTCTTACGCATCTACGTGCGAGGAAGTCGCTGGCGTCAAGGTTGCTGATCTGCCCTCGTCCTCGACCATGAGCACCACCCCTACCTCGACTCCGGAAGCTTCAGGTAACCCCAGTTCTGATGCTACCTCGACGGCTACTCCCACGTAAGTACTCTACTGCCGGGTTGTTGCTGAAATCTCCATACTGACACATGGTAACAGCGATGGCCCTCAAGAGTCGAAGCCCAGCGCTGCTGGCGCTATTGCTCCTCATGCCGTCCTCTTCACCGTCCTCGGTTTGACTGCGACTGGCCTCGTCAGCATAGTATTCCTGTAGGGGATACCAAGTTACGTCAAAAAGCGAGCAAGCATCTGATTTTTTCTGGAATTCGACACAACATTCGTGGTCAAACAGCACACGAATTTCTAGGCACTCATCTGGGCCAATCATCGACAGACGAATTATGGTAAAACAGGACACCAAGGTTGCTTCGGGATCAGGCTGCAGGAAAATGGGCATTTGCAATAGCTGGCGGCGTTTCGGACCAAAGGGAATTGATGAACCATCTCACGAAGAGCATTGGCGTTCAAGGACAAGGCATGAGATTAAAAGTTGAAATTGTACGAATTGGTATCTTTTCCTCCTCTTCTAAGTCTTGCCAGACCTTTCTCTCTATGCAAGTCTCTATTTCAGCGTGACCAGCTCTTCGGCGCTGGTGGGGTGAATGGCAACGCAGCTGTCAAAGTCCTTCTTGGTCGCGCCCATCTTCACAGCAACACCGAATCCCTGGAGCATCTCTCCACTGCCAAGACCAGCAATGTGCAGACCAACAACCTTCTCCTCAGGACCCGTAGTAACAAGCTTGTAGGCGGTGGGACCCTTCTCCTCAGGCTCCATCATGGCATAGTACATGGCGGTGAAGCTGGTCTTGTAGACCTTGATGTTGTCCTTGCCATACTTCTCAATGGCCTGGGGCTCAGTCAGGCCGATGCTACCGACCTCGGGGTGCGAGAAGACGACGGAGGGGATGTTGGAGTAGTCGAGGTGAGCCTTGGCGTACTCGGCGCCGCCAAACAGGCGCTCGGCCAGACGACGGCCAGCAGCAATGGCAACAGGGGTCAGCTCGACCTGGCCAGTGACGTCACCGAGGGCGTAGATGTTGTCAATGTTTGTGTTTTGGTACTCGTCGACGGGGATGTAGCCCTTTTCGTTCAGCTTGAGGCCAATCTCCTCGAGGCCGATATTCTTGGTCGCCGGCGTGCGGCCAATGGCCCAGATGAGGTGGTCGAAGCCGCCCTCGGCCGTCTCCTTTCCGTCGGCGTCCTTGTAGGTGATTGTGAGCTTGCCGTCGGCGTCCTTTTCGACCTTTGTCGGCTGCGACTTCTTGTGCAGGTTGACGCCCAGGCGCTCGTACTCCTTTGTGACGGTCTGCTGGATGAGGGGGTCAAAGGTGCGGAGGAAGGTGTCGTGGCGGATAAAGAGGTGGGTTTCGGTGCCGAGGGCGTTGAACATGCCGGCGAACTCGACGGCGATGTAGCCCGCGCCGACGAGGGCGACTTTTTTGGGCTGCTGGTCAATGTCGAAGAAGCCGTCCGAGTTGGTGCCGAGCTCGGCGCCCGGGATGGTGGGCGGGATGGTGGGGTTGCCGCCGACGGCGACGAGGATCTTCTTGGCCTTGACGAGTGTCTTTGTGCCGTCGTCGAGGGTGACTTCGGCCTCGTTGCGGGAGGTGAGCTTGGCCCAGCCGTGGAGGTATTCGACGTTGTCGTTTTTGAGGTTGCGCTCGTAGATGCCGTTGAGGCGCTTGATGTATGCGTCGCGCTTGGTCTTGAAGGTGGGCCAGTCAAAGGGGGCCGTCTCGTTGACGGAGAAGCCGTAGGATTTGGCTTGGTGGATCGTCTCGGCGATGGCGGCGGCGTTGAAGGTGACTTTTTTCGGGACGCAGCTGTAGAACGGAGGGATATTGGTTAGTACATGTTTGCTTCTCTTGACTCCCCAAGTGGCAGAGAGAGAGAGAGAGACACAGAGAACACAGGTTTACTCACCCAACGTTCACGCAGGTTCCTCCCAGCCTGGCACCCTCGACGATGAGGGCCTTTGCGCCGAACTGGCCGCAGGCTTTACGCGCCGAGGCGAGGCCGCCGCTGCCGCCGCCGATGACGAGGTAGTCGGTCTCCTTTGTGATGGGAGCCATGGTGCGGGCTGTGGAAGACAGGTGCCTCTGTATCGATACGAGTCGTGTGGGTGCTGAAGCTGCTGCTGCTGCTCGTGATGCTGCTGCTGCGGTAGATGTGCGGTAGAGGGCTTGCATGGGGAACTGAATCGCGGGGGGGGGGGGGTAAACGAAGCAGGTGAGGAGGGGGAGGGGGGGGGGGGGGGGGGGCAGAGTAAATAATAGATTTCCGATATGTACGGTGGTGGGGCCGAGTTGAGTGACGTCTTATATGCTTCTAGATGCGCAACTTTCCCACGCTACGGTATCTGACAAATGCAGCTTATAGTATGGTGCAGTGTGTGTGTGTGGCACGACGGACGCGGAAATTGGTTGGTGGTGGGATGGAGCTGACGTAAGTTTTTTTTTCTCTCTTTCTGTTGTCCCGAACGGCGGCGTTTGTTTGCTGTTCGGCGAGTCGGGGGAGTGAGCTGGTGGATTGGGGATCTCAAATCAGCGTACCGGGGGGTGGTGGCGCGCGACGTCAGGGTACCTTATTCTCAATGGACCTACCGAGTATCAGTACCTATGCTCTAGGAGGATGGATGCGTGTGTGACTTGTGTATCTGGAGGTCTAGTGCATGGTGTGATGTTGCTATACAAAAGCGTTTGTTGAACAGAATATGGATATGCATGGGGATGAATCATCACCAATCAACCGCCCATGTTCACACGGAAAAAAGGGGTCCCCGCTGGAGAAAGCCGTGGAATGCGGTTGATAACTAAGCACCGTACAGCTGAAGCCCGGCGAGCAATCTGTAAGACTCGCAATTGTTGCAGGGTACTTTTTTCGGGGTCCATTCTTTGAACGATGAAGAAAACACAGGAGCCTCTCGTCATCAAAACATTTGACAGATTGACGTAAACAGGGGAGCGCGGGAGAAGAATTCCAAATGCTACCCCGTCCGCTGGAGCTGACCTCGGCCGAGGTACGTAGGTACTTTTCACCTCCCACGACCGTCGACCGTCCCAGTCCCCGCCGTCCTCGCCCCGGCACGGGAGCTAAGCCGGAAGCTTCGGTGGGAAAAAGCATGACTTCGTACCGGGCAACTTACCAAGCACACAAGCTCTTCAATACCTACCCCCAAATCACTACTACCTAAGTATGTATGGATAGATACCGTAGTCGTGTCGGCTTTCTAGACGGCTTCTTTAGTCTGATAGCTGGCACTCGAGGTAATTGGCCCAATGCAACCAGACGTCATTAATAATTGCCGATTCTGGTCGTTTGTGCAGCCTGGGACTGGTGACTTTGGCCCCAGAGAGGTCTTGTCGACTTGGACCAAGGTGAAGTCCGTTATATGTAAGCCTAGGTAGATCTCATAGACGTGAAAAATTAAGTGAACTCCGATAATAAGCTCACTGAATGAGCACAATATCGCCTTCTCATTCAAGTCACGATAGGCCTACAAGCAAGCCAAAGATAGAATGAGTTTCATCAGTCATCTATTTCATTGTTTCCATATGCTGCTCGGCAGCCTCTATCGGGGTATCATATTTGACCATCCTCATCCTCATCCTCATCCTCATCCTTAGTATTCATCGTAGTAACCGTCATACTCGCCAATCTGAGCCTGCGTACTGACCCATTCCTCATCCGCCAAGCCGCGCATCATCCGCCTCTGGAGAGCCTGTGCATCTTTGTGCCAGTCGCAGGCAAAGTCACAGTTTGGCGTTTCGCTCTCGCCAAAATACCTGCTAATCTGCGCGTGCCGACAGGCCGTTGTGTCTTCGCAATACAGGGCAAGTTTCTGCAGGCTCTTGGCCTGAGCCTCCCAGTTCGATCCATCGCGGTTCCCTTTCCTAATCATGCTCTGCACGCGTTCCAAGTCTTCTCGGCTGTAGTACAGAAAACAGAAGCTTGCGTTCCCGTCTCTGCCTGCGCGGCCTGCCTCTTGGTAGTAACCCTCAAACGACTTGGGCAGCCGCCAGTGCACAACGAACCGGACATTGTTCTTGTCAATGCCCATGCCAAAGGCTGTCGTGGCCACGATGATATCGTAGCCAGGCTCGTTGTTTACCCAGCGGGCCAGCGTCTGTTCCTTCTTTTCTTTGGTAAGCTTCGCGTGGAAGGGCATCGCGCCTACTCCCTCATCTCTGAGTGCCGCCGCGAGTGACTCGCACTCATCTCGTGATATGGTGTATATAATCCCCGAGACATTATCCAACCGCTCCCCCGCGGCCTCCAACTCTGACTTGCGTGGCTCTGTTTTTCTCCTCTCGTATACGCCACGTATCCAAGCTAAAAAGTTAGAAGGGCGGTCGTCTTCCTGGTCTTTGGTGTATCGGATCTCAATGTGTAGATTGGGCCGATGAGCAGTCATGACGAAACTCTTCAGTCTCTCGGGTTGCTCCAGGAGGCCAAGCGTCTTTAGCAAGTCTTGACGAACCGTCGGGTTTGCTGTTGCCGTCAAACACATAATGGGCACCTTGGGAAACGTCTCTCGAAACCACGAAAGCTTCTTGAAGTCTTTCCGAAAATCGTGACCCCATTCTGAGATGCAATGAGCCTCATCGACTGCAATGCGCGCCAACTCACACTGCTCGTTGACCAACTTGATCCGTCTCCTGAAGGAGTCCCCTGAGCATAGTTCCGGTGTCACGTAGAGTAGTCTGATGCGCGGGTGGCCACTAGCGAGATCCTGATTGATGCGATCCCTCTCAGCCGGCGGCGTATTACTGTTGAGAGAGCTGGCATCGATGCCCGCCGATCGCAGTGCGTCAACCTGATTCATCTGACGGAGCTGTCAGCTGTCGCGCTTGAGTAAGGCTGCAAGGAATACCCCTCACCATGAGACTGAGCAGTGGCGAAACGACAATGGTGACTGCCGCAGCGAAATCACGTTAGTTGACGACGACGCGTGCATGCGAGCTCGGAGCAGTTTCGGGTGCTTACTCCCTTGGTCAATGCAGGCAGGGAGTTGGAAGCAAAGACTTTTGCCGAACGACGTTGCGGCCTGAACGAAGACATCGTGACCGTCTAGGGCAGCAACGATGATTTCACGTTGTTGGGGCCTGTGGCGGATTTGTCAGTCAGCGTTGCGTGATCGCGGGTACGTGGCATGAGTGTAGCTTGTGAACTCGACGATGGGATGAGGAATTGTTCTTCACCTGAAAGTCGATTTGTTGAACTGGCGTCTGAGAGTGAAGTCTATGTCAACGCATGAGTTGGAGCGCGACAGAGGAGGCATGATGATGATGCGTTGTCGAGAGTTGATGAGGGGGGGGGGGGGGGGGGGTTGTCTTGATGTGAACAAGACGGTGTCTAGTCTCGATGGGGTTATGCTTGGCCGAGCTTCTGGATTGCTTCTATTGCAGGGCGCGGGAGCATAAGGTTGCACTAGACCAAGAAGAGGGCCCGGATGTGGTCATGATCGAGCTCGGGTCCGGAGGTGGTCCGTCAGGCGTTGGGCCTTGGTGGGCCTTGAACAGCCGGCCTGTCCGAATGCCCTCAGACGGGAAGCGGAGGGAGAAAATCGGGCGCTTCTGAGTGGGTGTGGGTGCCCGCACAGGCAGTCCGCAAACCGATCAATTGGGTCGATGTGGGATTTCCGAAAGACTCTGACAGATGTACGAACAGTCCAAGTGGCTGCCTTCACGCGTGGCTGTGCTCCTTTACAGTATTACTGCGTAGACGAGAAAAAGAGTCGAGCAAGGGCATGGAGATGCAGACCGGGTTCATGGAATGAAGCAACGAACGGACAGCAGATTCAAAATGGACATCAGGGCTGGCCAATGCTATCAAAGCCTCAGGCCGCAAGGGGTGGTAGGTGTAACTTTTCCCTTGTGTTTGTCGAGACACCTACGAACGTACGGATACAGCCACCTTTCTGAGGCCGGGCGAAGGAAGCAGAACATGAAGCGTCCGTGGCAAGTACAACTTCATACTTACCTTGGGTGAAAATGTTTCCTCTCGAACATTTGGCTTTTTTTTCTTTTTCCGGCCTGTCCCAAGGAGCAGGGACAACTGCAGGAAGGAGGCGCCAAGACCAGGACACGGAGCAGGTGAAGTAAGAAGGGTGAACGGGGTAACCTTTGCCGCCGCGGATACAGTTGACAGGAGTACTCCGCGTACTTGCTTTCGCTTCTTACGGGGTCATCACGAGGCGATTCGAGGGGTCATGTTTGCAAAAGGCAGAGACAAAATGAGAAACAAGCGGCCAGTCCCCAGTCTCCAGACCGAACTTCTCGGCCATTTCCTATTTCGGCGAGCTTCGCAAACGATGCTCTGCTGTCAACATTGCGCAACCCGGGCCACCCCTTCCCGTCCAGCTGGGACACTGGGAGCGTCTAGTAGGGGAAGGGTGAGAGAGAGAGACTCTAGTCTAGGTATTACTCCGTATATCACAACTATACTATTCCATACACCACAAGACACAAGTAGCATACCTTGGTAAAAGTAGTCGGCAGGACTTAGGTATTGCCGGCGGGATACCTACGCTACCTCTTTGTCGAACAGTCGACCCCAAGACCAGCATCGGTAGGATCACAGACGGCGCATTGTGCAGCGGGCGCGCTTTTCCCAAGTAGTGCAGGTTCTCCCACGGTGGGCTCGCTCGGGCTGGGGGTCAGTGTTACGGACTGGGGGTCATTGCTTGCTGATTCAGGGCCACGTTGTGATGAATCGCACACAAACCTTTGGCGGCATCTGGCACGGTGCCAAGGTGTGCTTGTCGGTAATTCGGTTCTCGTCTGTGGAAAAGCCTCAATCACTCAATTGGGTTGATTGAAACGAGGACCGGATCTCCAATATTGTTGTCTCTGGGCGGTAATCGAGGAGGGCGGGGCTCGTGGTCTTCACGGCCGTGGTCAAGAAATGCCGCCGCCGTGGGCAGCAATAGCAAATAGCAAGGCGAAAGGCAAAGGGAATTCCGAGCTTATTCCCAGCAGACTCTGCCTTGGGATTGACGCCAGGCGGCATGTCTGACAGGCCGTTGGAACACACGGCCCCAGATCTGCAAGAAGAGTCTTATTATTAACTTAGCTTAAAAGTCGTCGATGCAGATGCAGATGCAGATGCAGATACCGATAGAGATGCCTACAGTACGGATAGGTGATAGTGGAACCAACCCGATCAACGAATCGATGCACCCAATAGGTAGCCCGTCGTGGAGACAGACACGAGTGCCTGTATCTGTACTCCGTACTCCGTACGGACATGTGCGTACGAAACCACGTTGTACTGGAGCCTCCCCCCCTTCTCGTCATCGCTTCTCGGGTTCCGTGGATTGATACGAACTATCCCGACTCTGTAACACCCTAGTAACGAACTGGATGTGTTCGTTTCCATTTGCTGTTGGGCTAGCCTGTCGCGCCTCTTGATCCAAAGTTCATCTCAGCAACAAAACCTGGCCTCCAGGGATCATTCGATGGCGAGATTGAGTGCGGGTGAGTGTGGGGGCGGACGGAGACTGGAAAAGGCAGGATTGCTACTCTGTAAGTGTACGAATAGCATGGAAGAAGTAACCGTAAACGAAGGCCTGCCGCATGCCCTTGGAAATAAGATTTAACAAAGTAAGCCAAAATACTGGGGTCGGAGAAGAGATTGTAGAAACCGCGTGGGAGGTTGAATGGAATGCGACGTTGACAAGGAAGACTTTTCTTCTTCAAACCTGCGTTTCCCGGTATAGCGCCCTGTCTTTGTTTCTGTTCCTCGCCCTTTAACGCCAGAAATACTCCCAGGGGCTGGGGAGTCTGGCTTGTCTGGGTGTGCGCCCCCGGTCGTTTCCCCGTTTGATCTGTTCTAGACCTCTGACCAGCGAGCAGCAGGCCACCAGTGCCGCATCTGTCTCTCGCAGAGTGCCAGTCGATCAGTCTCGCACAGAGTATTCGTACGGTGAAGGAACATCGAGGAGAGGTGTGATGCTGGTTTCCTTACTCGGTACGGTTAGGTATCATAGGGTGACACACAATCTGCACAGTGGGGAGAGGTGTTTCTCGGCGCGACATCAACGCGCAGCAGAGTCGTTCGTCGAAGCGTCCGAGTGTCCTGGAACAGCTGGCCACAGTCCTCGATATCGATCATGGTGTGTGGCCCATGTGCAGTTGGTGGTTGTGTGTGTAGCCACCCGATGCCTTATTTCAAACGAGGCGTGTCACGTTGATGCCCGAGTCGACCATGTCGTCAGTAAGAGTTTCGTTGAGGTAGCGGGAACAATGTGCTGCATGAGGTAGTCAGTCGTACGTACGGAGTACAAAAGTAAGGTAAATATTAGTCGAGGAGAGGAAAGGGATATGTCGAAAGTTCTGTCAGACTGTCATATGCGCTTTGGTCAAGTCTTCCCGCCCGTCCGCATCTGCAGCACTGTGCGATGTGCGAGATCTGGGGGAAGGAAGAAAAGTCAAGTTACCGCGAGCCGCGATGTATGTGTACTTGAGGTGGTACGAATACTCACAGAGTCACAGTAAAAGAGGCGAGGTGCCTTGCATTTTTGCGGCGCGCTACCTTACGAAAACTAGGTACGGAGTACTTTGTGAAGGTTCCTTCCCTGAGGCGCTGGTGAAGTGCAGCGTGCCTGGCGTCTTGGCCTGGATGAGGTACTCAATTCACACCCCCTCCTTCTTGCCTTCCGTTACACTTTAACACACCCCCGCCTTTCCCTTTTCCTTTTTCTTCTTCTCATCTTTTCCTCTTTCTTTTTCTCATCTTTTCCTTTTCCCTCCTGCCAGTGCTCAATGTCCCAGGTTCCAGCCAGTCGCGTGCCTCTCCTTTCGCGTGCTCTTCGCCAAACAGCCGCTCTCACCCATAGACTCGAGTGTTGATATCCCTTCTCATTGGCTTGTTCATGATGGCATCTAGGAGCAGTCAAGCACAAGCCTCTGCATATCTGCCCAAGCCAGCAGTCTGTGCGCCAAGCTTCAACCCCCAAAAGGGACCCTCAAAGTGTAAATCAGCTTCACTTGATACCTTGGGTTGACTGACCTACTAAGCATAGGTAGTACGGGAGAGCTTCTGCCTGCCTCAGTCTGGATTCTGCAGAGATGGATGTGTGAGGGATGGATATCTGACTATACGGAGTATAGATCCCTCAGTCTTCTGCACATGTGAGCCCCAGAAAGTGCCTGCAGCGTGCCCTGCCGTGCCTGCTTATCTTTACGACTGGAGCCAGAAATGGAAAGAAGCAGTTCCACCGTGGTTCCACCCCGCCGCCCCCTTTTTTGGCTTCCCTCCCGTCCAACTGACTGAGATCTGGTCCCCCCCTTCTCGTCGCCATCTGTGGTCATTGGTTACTGGAACCACTGGTAACTGGTCGAGGGAGGACAGTAGCGTTTCTCTCCCACTGTCCACGGAGTACCGCTGGTGACTGGCTTCCTTCGTTGTTTCCCCCCGGTCTCCAAATAACATCAGAGGGCGTGCGGCTCCCCGGCTCTAGACTTCCCCAGGGGGCGTGAAGCCAACGAATGACAATAGTGACCATGTACTCCGTACTCCGTATCCCGTACGTAGACCTCGAAATAATCTTCATCCCTTCTCCCCCCAATTGCCCATCCACCACCACCTCCCAAAAGAAGCTCCGGTTGGCAAGATGTCAGTTTCATCGTAGCACAACCTGACAACATCTCCACTCCTTTTTTTTTTTTGTTCCTGTCGGGTTCAACGTTCCTGCCTTTACAGCCTTCTGTTCCTCTTCCATTTTGCTTCCAAGGAAACACCCATCCGGGCGACGAGGGACACAGCCAGGAAAAGGAAAGGGCACCCGCCTACCCAGCCAGCCAGCCCTTGCCTGCCTTTTTATTTTATTTTTTTGACTCCTTCCTTTTGCCGACGCCCACCAGCCAGTTGAACCCAACCATACCTCCTCTGCCATCGTCGCCGTTTCTACATCAGAGGTTCCCTGAGTACCTACAGTAATAAGGTACTCAACTACATCCAACAAGCAGTCCGAATTGCAGTCATTCGACTTTGCCTCATCCACGCTTGCAGGATCTGTATTACTCGTATCCTAGGTACGGATACCCCCGTCTGTCTGGCCTGCTAGCTGTGCGAGGTGTGCCGGGTCCAACTCCCGTTGACCGCGCTTGGGAGGCTCGGCTCCATCTTCGGTCGCTCGTCCCCGACTGGCGACTTCCTCCCAAATCGCACAAGTCCGCCTCCACCTCCTTCTTCCTTCACACCTACACGACCTTGGCCTACCTTACCCGCAAAAATCATCATTGCTTCCCACCGATTTCGTCGCGCCCTACTCCAACGAATGTCCGACTCTTCATGATGATCTCGCCCGTCTTGCAGCTCAGCCTGTCCTGTTCCAAAAGTCCATTGGCTTAAACTCCCGGCTTCCGTCTCCAATTGTTTGAGGGTCCCGACCAACCCACGGCCGGCCATCCAACATTCAAAGGGGACCCTGAAACGCTGCAGTCGACCCAAACCTTCAACAATAGAAAATCGTCACTCTTCGCCCTCTCCATCCTCCTTTTGTCGATCGCCGGCAGTTCATCATGGTTGAACGAATGGAACGGCCAGACAGGCCGTCGGGGCCGTCTATGCCTCGCGGCTTGCCCGAGAATCCCGCCCAAGGTCGACGACAACTCCAAAAAGATGCCGCGCTCGGCAATATCCCTCCCCCGCCTCCTCTCCCACCGATGCCCAAAGATCTCCGAAATCTTTCCAACGGAGCGACCCTCTCGGCTTCTTCGCCCATGACCTCAGCCCAGGTCATCGCTCTTGCCCGCGACGCAATGCAGAGCGCCCTCCACGAGAACGAGTCTCAGGCCGCCGAAGCGAGTGCCGTGAGCAACGAACTGAAACCTGGCGTCACCATCGACTTGAGCCGCAAGGGCATCCAGAAACTCCCAGACGAGGTTGTTGATATCATCAAGAATGAGTTGGAGCGGTTCGTACACCTCGCATACCTACCTTTCCGGCTGGGCTGCACTTCTAACGCGCTTCTCTAGCCTGGCCCTTTCGCACAATCAGGTCAATTCCTTTCCAGCTCGATTCTCCGAATGTACATCTCTGCGATATCTGAACGTGCGGAACAATCAAATCAGAGAGTTCCCGCTGCCGGTTAGTACTTTCCTACTGCCAATGCATCATTAGGACTAGGGCAGATTCTGACCAATATCCCTAGCTCTGCGATCTGAGGTCCCTCGAGATTCTTGACCTGAGTAAAAATAAGCTTCGTGCTCTGCCTCCTGATATTGTCAAGCTTGCTTCTTTGAAGGTCTTCTCGGTCCAGAAGAACCGGATTGAAGAGCTGCCCGTTGCTCTATCCGACATGGTTTCGTTGCAGGTACTCAAATTCGATGGCAACCCAATCACATTTCCGCCTCGGGAGGTCCTGCAGGTGCAAGCAAGCAGCCCGCCAAACGAGGGCTACTTGAAAGAAAGCGAAGTCACCGAGGTAGCTGTCACTGCACACATCAAGCGCTTTTTAAGACAGCATGCCATGAACGGCCGTGCAGAGTCAGACACAGCTGGTGAAGAATCCAGCGAAGGCGTGGAAACCCCACGCATGCCACCCATCAAGCGAGTTGTCAGCGGTCGGTTTCCCATCAAAGTCAATGGTACCGATGTGCCTGATCTTCGATCCCCGAACCTGATTCGGCCTCCTCCTATTCCGAATCGGTCGCATTACCGAGGCTTGTCTCAGCAGAACACAGCTATACGCCGCCCAGGTGTTATGCCGTTGACCATAGGAAATGTCAACGAGCGCCTCAGGAGCAACTCAGAGACGTTGTTGCAGGCAACTCGCGGAGAACGTCCCGAATCTCGAGCAAGACGCATGGGCGTGGTATCTCAGAAGGCTACTCAGCTCGGCACTTTGGACGAGACCCAGGCCAACAACCGCTTCAGTCACTACAGAGGTCTGAGCCATGGTAGCGCCATGCAGCCGCCTCCCCCCAGCATGTCGATCAAGAGCCCCAACAGCCCTGCAGAGCCTTTCCTCCAGCGCCCTATTTACGTCAGAAGACTCTCGGTTCTCCCTGAACGCAGACGCGAGTCCAAGTTCTACGACCCCATTCTCGAGGCCGCCAAGGGCATTCTCTATGCCGTGTTTCAAATCCATCCCATGATCCAGATGCTTATGAGCTTGACGGGCGATGATTCCTCCAAGAGATCCAGTCTCGAGATTGTCTTTTACAACACGAATTCGCATGTGGAGGAACTGGAGCAGGAGATCCAGAAGCACGATAATATGGGAGACGAGATGGCGGGTCGCGAGAATGAGAACGTCCATCGAGCCTGCCAAACTCTCGTCGGTGCCTATACCCATGTCTGCACCCTTCTCGCCGGCAACATCGATTCTTTCATCGACAACGGAGATCCACGCTACATCCGCACTCTTCTGATGCTCATCTATAACAGCATCATGGAAATCAGGTGTACTCTAGCCGCGCTGACACCAGAGGCTGGCTTGATCAAGCCCCCTACGCGGGCCATGAATATGAGCGATACGATCAAACCCCATTCTCGCGACAGCTCCATCACGCCCACCGCTGAGCGGCTCGGATTGGCTCAGCGACCACGGCCCGGCCCCATTATGCACAACCCGAGCAACCTCAGAGTTGCGACAGACGTGCCTCTCCCCTACCTCAACGGAATCAGCGGTATGAATGGTATGAACGGCATGAATGGAAATGTAGCAAGCCGTACAGCAACGCTCACTTCCGCAACGCCACGGTCCGGGGAATCGTTCGCCTCGGTCTCATCAGGTGGACGTGGCATATCCGACTTCACCGAGGATGACAGATATTTTGAGGAAATCTTCCTTTCCCTGCGGAAATCATCAGATATCGTCATGAAGATTCTGCCCCTGTTCCAGAGCCACATGTCGGTCCTCGCAAAAAGGGCCATGGGACGTCGCGCACCTGAGCACGAAGTGATGTCGTGGAAGGCTCTTATTAGCAGATGCAGCATGGCGGTGCAGCAGACGGAGATATTGCGGAGCCGCCTGTCACTCGTCAAATTCAAGGAGCCTGGCGTTATGAGCCAGCCAGCTTTCAGAAGCTTGATCAGCAACTTCATTGACTCATGGGTTGAATTTGTTAATCAGATTCAACGGTCGTTGAGGAATGAACTTAGTCTCCCGCCCGACACCAGGATGCGACTACGTCCTATTCAGCAGGCCATGAAAGTAGTAAACGAGACTATCAATCAGTCGCCTTGGAGCTACTGGTTGCGACCATCTTCCAACCCGAGCACATTTAGCCCGAACGGTGGCCCAGGCTTGGCACCCATGCAGTTGCCAATGACACCTCAAAGCGCAGCTTTGGGCCCTGCTGTCCAGGCGACAGTTCCTTCCACTCCGCAGAGTGCCTCCTTCGCCTCGGCTTTCAACGGCGGCGTCTTTGAGCGCGCGGATGCTCTCATATCTATGGGTGGCCTCTCAATGTCTCGAAACGGTACGATGACAAACAGCTCAGCCGCTAGTTTCACCATGTCTTCCATGTCATCGCTCTCATCCGACGGCGGAGCCATGACACCATCATCGGTCATTAGCCCTAATGGCTTCGGCCCTGGCCCGGTGCCACTGCGACTCAACGGTAGCAAAGTTGCCTTCTAGTCGAAGCGCAGAGCCACTACACCTTGGATTCGCCGCACATTTTGGGGCAAAAAGTACGGATCGCAATCAAAGTAGATCCATCTTGTTTTTGTTTATACGGTGGTCTGGATGACCAACGACCGCATTTTGTCTTATCACTTCATTCGCGCATAGCATTGGCGTCACGGTCGGACTCATTCACGGATGGTAGCCATACACTCATTTGAAAAAACACGTCTCGGGCCACTACGAAGGTCGAGAGGCGCATGTAATGTTATAGTCACGAAGCAAAGTTGATGCTATCTCCATGCATACAGGACATGGAGAGCGCGGGCACCAGAGAAATGGCCGCTACGAGTTCATGTGCCACGGTTACACATCGACTGTTGCTGTCAGCTGTATACTAGATTCGGCCTATTGGCAAATAGGCAAACATAACAAGCAAAGGTTCACCCTGAGATGTGTTTGACAAATTTGTGACTTGGGCAGCTTGTTTTCCTCTGTTGTCTTCATTCTGACTCGAGCTAGGGAAAATGAACGAAACACGCCTCCATCCCCATCACATACGACCACACCCACCGGAGAACTCGGGATCCCGTCCGCTCTCCCATCGATAAACCGGTGAGGGCCGGAGTAGTAGTTGGGTCGGAGACGACCAGCGAATGCCCGGTGTTGTATGTATTTTTTGTGATGCTTTATTACTTTTCGGACCCATAGGACGCTCAACTGCGATCGAATGGTGGGTGGATGACTACGTTGGGGTACCCAGGCAATGGGAGACACTCTACGACACCTCCCCCACCACCCCGTCAAGTTCCACACCTCTCTCTATGAGGCAGGAGTCTCCTCGGGCTTCTTCTCCTCCTCTACCTTGACGAACAAGTCCCGCTGCGTGTCGAGGTAATCAAAGGCCGTCAGGGGCACGCCGAGATGGCGGAGGATGCAGTAGGCGGAGCCGAGGTGGAAGTGGAAGTTTGGGCAGGCGTACTGGATGACGTAGGAGTAGGCTGTGAAGCGGAAGGTGCCCATTGATTTTGTCTCCATGAGGATTTCTCGATCGCCGTCCTCCTCCTCCTCCTCCTCCTCCTCCTCGCGGCTCGGGCTGGGGCTGGGGCTGGAGGAAGTCTCTGGTGTGAGGGCGGCGAGGATGGCGACTGTGGCGTCGACGCGGAATTGGAGTTGGGGAAAGGTTGTTTCGTCGTCGGGGAAGTAGGTGTCTTTGGCGTGGAAGACGCGGGTGGCGAGGAATTTTGAGGTGTTTGAGATTGATTGGACTTGGTAGTCGAGGCTGTATATGGGGAGGAAAAGATTGTGGTGGTTAGTTTGGTGGTCGTCTTTTTGCTTTGTTTGTTTGGTTGGGATTGGATTTGGGATGGGTATGTACCGAGGGAAAGGAGGTATGGTGAGAGGGGGGGGGGGGGGGGGGGGGGATTGAGTGAAAGGAGAGCTTACCTCCGCATATCTTCGATGAGTCTGAACTTGATCATTTCTTCTTGATTGAGACCTTTGGCGATGCAGTGCTGTTCGGCCTTTGTGAGGATGACTTTGAGATTGCCCAGGTATTTGAGCATCATGGGGATGGAGGCATTGTAGAGTGAGACCATTTTCGCGGTGTTGATTCGAATGACTATGAGCTTCAAGATTCTTTCTTGGACATGTGAAGGAAGAATGGGAGACTGATGAAGACAGCATATGGAGAGATAGGAGAGAAGAAGACAGCCTATCTTGTATTCACAGTCACGTCTGGGGTCCTTGGGAAGCTTTATATATGATGCTGGTCGTTGAGTAAACATCTCTGCGTCGAGACGAACATGGACCAGCAACTAGTGTTGCCAATCTCAGGTACGCATCCTACTACCAAAAGCCCATTTGTAATCCGGCTAACGGCACCATGTCTTTACTGTGGAACAAAATGACGGATTGGGGAATTATCATTCTCAAGTGCTGACGTGAGACTACAGAAGAGATATGGGCTTGTTTGAAATCAAAGTTCTTCCTAGTATCCCGCGCGCGTATACTCGATGTGGTAAGTTAGCTCAGAGTCTGTAGGGAGACTTTCTAGCTATCAAGTTATCAAAGGATGAGATGTCGTGGAGTTTGTACTTGGATCCTCCGGGACCGACCGGCCCCACTACCCCGCCATCTCATGCGGGGAGCTATCAGCCGATCCCGTCACCTCCTCTGATTCGCCGTCACCACGACTTACCTGATCGAGGCAGGACCGGTGATTCCTCTAGTGTACCGTAGATTGCGCAAATGTCTCAATCCCAGGCTACGCAGATTACCTCCCCGCCACCCGCATATTCTACTCCAGCCTATCTAGCTCACGATCCTAACAAGAGCTTCCTCATCTCCACACCAAAGGACAAGCGGCGTACAAGCTACACAAAAGAGCCCGTCTTTCATATTCAGATCCAGACGTAGGCAGTTCCGTGTGCGTGTGGGTGTTTTACGCGCGCGTATACCGTATACCGTATACCAGAGGACTCAAACACGCCGCCATCATGTTCGCCTCAATATCGTCATCCTTGTCGGGGAGGAATGCGCCGCCGCCTCCACCGACACCATCTTCATCGACGACCTCAACATCGCAACACCCTAGCATATCCAGCGCGTCCCGCGCAGAGCACTCCCAGTCCTCAAACACCTCCGTCTCCGCCTCCGCGGCCCCGCAAGCCCATCATCATCAACACAACTTCCTCGGCGCCGCCCAACATGCACCACCAGCCCCCGCCTCCTCGGCGGCATCAGCCTCACCCCCCCAACAGCCCCTCCACCAGACCCTCCCCTCCGCAGACCAACAACACCACATCTCCGAGGCGCGCGCCGCCGTCGTAGCCTCCATCGGCAACATGCTCGACGGCGAACTACAGACCCGCGCGCGGATGCTGCACGTCAACGCGGCGGCGCTTGATAAGCAGGAGCGCGACGTCGTGCGGGCGACGGAGGCGCTGCGCAAGGAGAATGATAAGCTGGCCAAGTTCTCAGGGGACGCGGCGCGGAGAGTTAAAGAGCTGGGGAACGTGCAGAATTGGGCTGAGGTGCTGGAGCGGGATTTTTTGGTGCTGGAGGAGACGTTACGGCTTGTTCGGGAGGGGGGGAGTAGCTGTGGGGGCGGGTGTGAGTGTGAGAGTTGCGATGGGGGGAGTTGGAGTGGGAGTGGGAGCTGGAGCGGCAGTGAGGTTGGGGATAGGGATGGGGATGTTAGGATGGGGGAAGATGGGCGTGGTGGTGATGCGAAGAAGGAGGGGGATGGTAAGGGGAAGATGAAGGAGCGGCATCACGATGGGCATCTTGATATGGAGATTGATGGGGGGCACGAGGATTGCTCTGAGAGTCAGAGTTTGACTGAGGCCGAATCGAGTACTGGGACGGATGGCCGAGCAAAGGGGTCCGAGACGACGTCGATTTCGACATTGTGATGGTTTTTCTCGGCGGTGATGGACAGACGCGATGATACCTTTTCTTCACGACTGAACGACAATGATGACATATTCACGAAACGGACTGGAAATCGAACAACGAAGTTTAATGCTTTGGAAATTGTTACCCTCCTCTTTTTTTTACGCCTTTCCGTACTAAATACCTCTAGGTTCCTTTTAATACATATCAACCGTCACCATTCGCCATGATTTCTTTTCGTGAAAGGGGTCAACAGCGCAAACCATGGCCAGCGCGGCCAAGTTACTGCCATTGGATACAAAACGTCCCGTAATTTAGAAGAGGCCAGGCAGCAGGACAAACTTCTTCTTCTTGTACGTCTCGGGGAACTCCTTGCGGTACGCGCGCTCCTTGCCCTTGGCCCACTGGGCCATCTGGGCGGCGCCGATGATGATGAAGACGGCAACGGCCCAGCTGCGGCTGGTGATGATGACGCCGATCCACGAGAGGATCTCAAACATGTAGTTGGGGCAGGTGACGAGGGAGAAGCCGTAGCCGCGGGGGATCTGGCGCTCGGTGCCGCCTTGGGAGCGCAGGCTGGCGAGGTTGAGGTGGACAATGGCGTTGGAGGCCTCGCCAAAGAGGAAGATGATTGTGCCGATAACGTCGACGGCGTCGTTGCGGGCGAGGGCGGTGGGCGAGGTGGGCGAGTAGACATGCCAGGCGCTGAGGAGGCCGGCGAAGGCCCAGTAAAAGAAGGAGTTCTTGAAAATGTTGCGGAGGGGCATGGTGTTGGCGGAGAACTTGTGGACGAAGAGGGTCTCGTACTCGCGCTTGAGGAAGTGGCCGAGGAACATGGCGAGAGTGAGGAGCTGGGTCGGCGAGAGGGCCTTCTTGGCGCCAGGGCCCGAGTAGATGTAGGGGCGCAGGCCGACGACGGCGATGTGAATGAGGATGGGTCCGAGGTACTCGATCACGAAGACGGTGCTCCATGCCAATTGGGGACCTGCGCGAAAAGGTGTGTCAGTCTCGATGTTACGTCTATGTCCTTTCCTGGAAAACCATCATGTCTGGGGTTGGGTGCTGAACCGCAACGTACCGAGATCCTTGACCAAGACCTGGCCAGCAGAGATGACAGCCTCCTCGCTGCTAATTTGTGCCTTGCGGTTCTTCAGAGTCTTTTGGGTCGAGGGGTCGAAAAGGCCGACGCGGTTGAAGTCGCTGAACCCAGCCTGGCGGGCAATGAGGTGCTTGACATCCTCGACGGTGGCATCGGCGGGGACCTCGATAGACTCGGGGAGCTTCTTGATCGGTTGCTTCGGTGCTGTGGACACACGTGTAAGTAATTTTCCCAGTTTATTCTACACCAAGTGCGTCTTGCAAGAAATTACTCACAGCGATTGCTCAGCTTGAGCGTGATTTTGGCTGCCATGGCTTCTGTTTATCCTAAGTTAGACGAGGGGTCGTCGCTGGGAAATTCGAAGCGCACTTTTGTGTCTGGGAAGCTTGGGAGAAGGGCTTCAACGGTGCTAGATTTTGGAGCAGTTGTTGGGAAGCTACTGCACGGTTGCTCGACGTGCCTCGGGATGTGTGGGGTTCTGATGCATTGACACATTTCGGTCTGTACCTTATACGTACACAATGCTTATGTATGCATTTAGGCCGGTCGCATCACTCTAAACAGCACGAGTAATTAACATCATCTGGTCCTGGCCGCTCACGATGATAACCGACTCATCGTCTATAAGGCCCTCATTGGCGTACATGGCTTGAATGCACTAAGATCAAATGCGTGTGTATGAAGACTGGTCTACGGGTTGTTGCTATATTCCGCAGGTTTTCCAAGGATTATGGGGGTTGAAAATCATGTCAAAGCCTCCTACAGTCCCTTCAGGGTTCTCAAAAAGGCATAAACCAACGATGTAGTCGGAGTGACACCTTGCTTGCTTTCCTGTGCCCTCTTGCGCTGGAGATTTCAAAACTTTAAATGTAACGTCTTGTCTCCGAGAACTCCAGTGTTTCCTCGACGATGTTTCTTTTAGGTCTTTCTCGGTATGGCTCGTTGTACGGACTCTGAAGTTGTGGTCTTCGAGGCTGGGTGGACTGTTCAGGACAATCTCAACCTTGATTTTGCTTTACCATAGTATCTTGGGGGCCAAGTCTGAAGAACAGACCCCTTTTTCTTGGAAATCCAAGGCAATGATGACCCAGCTGGATGTTGCTCACGCTACACCGCAGTGTTTGAAGTTGCCGTTGGCTTTGTCTTAGCTTGTCTCCTCCTCGTCTTTTTTCTGGCATCTTCATTTTCTACCAGGAAAGTTCTGTCGAGTACTCCCATAAAATAATTGTTCAGTGCCCTTTGTATCCAGTTGAAAGAAGAAAATATGATCCTCAGTAGACAGGTAATTCCCTAGAAAGGAAAGTCCTTGGATTCAGAGTTTCCAGCGAGGCCTTGCATGTCGTGCCTGTAACTGCTGTGATTGTATCTCGCAGCATCAAATGACTGTTCAAAGTGAGACCAAGTATAATAGCTTAACTCCGACCGCCTGGTCCATCTGGTCGATACGGAAAGGGCGCGTGGGAAGGTGCCTACCTTCCGTCAGTCGGGGTGCACACACACCGGGCATGCCTCATACCTCCCACTACTCCGATCCACGAATCTTGCCTTCCTTTACCTTACACTCATCTTCGACCCTTTGCCCTTTACCTCTCCTTCTACCCCTTCACCATCCGTTATCAGTCCCAGTGGTTCGAGTGATCCATCTCAGCTCAATAGACTGGGCACTCGATCACTTTCACCACCCATCCAAGCATTTACGCAATATTGTCGATCCAACACTGCATCACTTACGAGCACGATTAGATGAATTCCATTCTCCGAATGTGGGAAAAGCACCTTTTCCATTCGTTATTCACATACCGGCAATAAATACCCTTTCAACAGCATAGCAGCATCGCTCTCGCCCAATCGCCGACAAACAGACTATTTTCTCAGAACCACTCAGAGTGTCGAAAATGGCTAGTCTAGGAGCCACTCCGGAGTTTATTCCGGGACGCCCTTTCCACCTTGGACTGGTAAAGAACTCCAAGAATGCGAACATGACCATTATGCCCTCCAACCGAGAGACACTTTCCTCACGACGACGACGACGCAGTCGGAAAGTCCAGCCCAAGGTCACCAACGTTCCGTCTTCTCCTACAGCCTCATCAAGCGCAAGTCAACACTCAACAGAGACGTCAAGTTCTGCATTTGACGGTGTCGAAAATTGCAAAGGCCACCACATCCATCCATCCAAGAACGACATACCACCCGGCACGCCCACAGCTCCGGCAGCAGACCGAAGACAGCAGATCCAACTGCATCATATTCCAGTCTATCACAGTCGCATCTTTCACACTCGTCCTCCTCCGAACGCACCGACCGGGCCTGCAGCCGATAGAAGACAAGTCGTGAAGGTTCCTGCAGTGCCCCCTCAGATCCCTCCTCAGGCCACTCCTCAGGCCGTACCTAGCCACTGCCAGTCTAAGGTCTGGCGGAGCCCCAAGACGGAGTTGACGGACGCATTCCAAAAAGTGCAGGTCGAAATGCAACGCCTTGGCTTCAGCAGATCGCCTGCTGCCCCCACCACATTCGAGGAATACTTGGAAGTCGTTCTTGCTAAGAAAGAACGCAAAATACAACAGAATGCCGCCGTGATACAGGCCATCAAAACGAAGGCAGAACAGCACAAGAGAGCGCGACAGAAAGGCGGTAGCTCTGGCCATACTTACAGCAGGGCATCAGCTTGGGCTCAAGGTCCGACTTCAGTGCAGGAACCGACTTTAGCCACTGCCCACCCTTTGTATGGAGCTGATCCATGCTGGAACATGCAGTACCCCGATATAACAGAAAGACCACAAGATCTTCGTGCCGAATGGCCTAAGCTGGCGGGATACAAGGAAGCCGGCCGCCGGGCTTTTGACAACAGTTGTCTGCCTCCTCCGAAACAGCTCAACGTTCAGGACCAAACCCATATGACACTGGGGGATGCGGCGTGGGAAGAGCGCGCACTGATTCCCCAAGGAAATGCCACTGGCTTGGACGAAATCAGCATATTCTCACTTGAGAATGATACTTCGACCGAAGCTGATCTGGCCTATCACATAGACCCGAAGAGTCTTAACGATTGGACTCGAGAAATCATTGACGAAATCATCCTCGAGATAGAGGGCGACGAGACAACGATCACGGACGAAGACGAAGCTTAGGCAGCATTGAACAAGCGAAGAAAGGGATGCTGTCCAAGTCAATCAGTATGAGAGGCAGAAAGAGGAGGTGGAACGAAGACATGTTATATGGCTCTAGTGCATTGGATCAAAGTTTGCAGTTGGCATATGCCAGTGCCGACTATGGATTGAATATGCCACATTGGCTTTCAGCAAGGCCATTATTGGTAGCCAGAACACCTTGAAGGAGACAAATACGTACGACGCATTGAGAGTATCGAACTTCTTCTCGGAAGTTTGGGCTGGCAAACCAGCGGAATTTCTTTTGAGTAGCTAGGGCTGTCGAACCAAGGCTAACTTGGATTTTGTATTGCACAAGCACAGAGATACGGGGAGGGCACTCAGAAAGGAAGCAGCCTCTAGGGAAACTGGTAGCAAAGGTTTAGCGCAAACATGACATCTTTCAAGTGATTCTCGTCCATCGTGGAAGGTGCACGCCTGCTCTTTGCTCATACACTTCTGCAGCAAATTAATATTCAACAGTGCTTTGTAAGATTGACGAGAGTAAAATGGCCTCCATGTGCCCAGGACACTGAAAGGAGCCTGCGACATACTTGTTAGGATGGCAAGTTTCATGTCTACTTGTAATGGAATCCATGGCCAGGGTGCTGTAATATGCGTATTGCGATGATTGAAAAGGGGATACCTTGGTAACTTATCCGTACTCCATAAAGGCAGTACCGATTTGTTTGTGAATAGCATCGCCTGCCCCTCTTTGAGCTGGAAGAAGCTTAAAGAAGAAGAAGTAGCTCTGTCCTGGCAGGAGCAACAGCCAGGGCCACCTGCCAAGGTAAGTGCCTATTAAGGTGACCTGTTGCGTAAGGTACGCAAGGACCAAGGTAAGATAGGTACCTTCGTAAGAGGTATGAGTACATTTTTAGCTCAGGAGCTCCTTTCACCGAGGTTCAGCCGTGGAGTGCAAGGGCAGGAAGGAGCAAAGGTGGAGGGCTCCAACCCAATGCGGTGAGAAGTGGGGATTTCAGCCTCTCGCTTTCTGCTTGCTGTCCTTCCACCTTTCTCCGTCAAACCTTTCCTCCACACAAATACCTTACCTGCTTCGTTCTCCCTCCTCCTCTTCTCTCAACGACCCCAACCACCTCCAATCCCATCTTCCTTCCTCTTGCGCGTCCTCTTCCCGGCATTGTATTTACTTTTCTCCAGGAGCGCATTGGTTCGCGGCTTGACTTTTCTTTCATTTCCATTCTCCCAAAGACGCGAATTCAAAGCTTGGTTGCGTCTTTTACGCAACCCTCATAACCGAGATGTCAGAATTCTTAGGGTACGAAGACCTGGGACCCTCCCAATCTCAAGCGCAATTTCGCTCGACATCCTTGCTGACCACATACATATATTTAGATCTCGCATCTCCCTCATCTCCAAGAGCGACATTCGGTAAGGACTTGGAGGACTCTGCACTGCTCCCCAGTCCCCTTGCTCATCGCCTCTAGATATGTCGGCGTTCTTCACGAGATCAACTCGGACGAGTCCACCGTCTCGCTCGAGAATGTTCGCTCTTTCGGAACCGAGGGTCGAAGGAACAGACCCGAAGAAGAGATAGCACCTTCCGACCAGGTTTATGACTACATCATTTTCCGTGGCAGCGATGTAAAGGACTTGAGGATCGAAGACCACCCAGGCATCAAGGAGAACAAGCCTCCTGCTATGCCTGAGGACCCTGCCATCGTCAACGTAAGTATTACCTCTGCGTACTCCCTCTCCCTCGATGCCTATCATGATGAAATATTGCGGATGTAAATCATTATCGTCTTGTCGGAAAAGCGCAACTTACACGATGTCGAAACTTTCCGTTGCCTTCCTTCTGAATTGAAGCGTCACTTCGTCTCAAATTGTTTGATACAACGTATCGAAACACGGCTAATTATGATGCGCATTACAGGCTCGTCCTCGTCCCGGTCAGGGACCTAACAATCAGCCGCTTCCCGCGCCTGGCTTCGGTCAGCCTCCGTTCCAGAACAACTTCTACCCTCCACCTGGCCCATGGGGTCCTGCCCCTGGTCCTGGCCGCGGTGGTCCAGTTCCTGGCGCTGGGATGGGCGGCATGCCCTACCCCCCTCCGCCAGGATGGTTCCCTCCCGGTCCCCCGGGCCAAGGCTTCCCTCCCGGCCCTGAACAGTGGAACAACTACAACAACTACCCTCCCGGCCCCCGTGGACCTGCAGGTCCTGGCGGACCTCACGGCCCTGGTGGTTTACCTGGTCAGGCTCCCGAGAACCATGGCACGCCCGGTCCCCAAGATGGAAAGCCTGTGCCGATTGGCGCTGCTGGTGACAAGCAGAAGCCCGCCACCCCGGCCGCCCCTCAAGGCGCACCAAGCGAACCGAAGACGGCACCTCCGCCTGGGTTCCAGGCACCCGCCCCGACACCACCTGTCGACTCGAAGCCTTCTGTGGCAGAGGTCAAGGCGACTGCTGCATCTCTGAACGCAGCTGGCCCCGCTAAGCCTGTCGAGCTTCCTGTGCCCACGGGACCGAAGAATGTCGGTCGCGTCCAGCCTGTTATTCCTCTGGCTGGCTCCATGCCCAAGGCCTTCCCGGTGCCTATGAACGATGGCAACGCTGCGCAATCTGCTCCCAAGGCTGCCGCGGCTCCCACCGCTGCTTCTGTGCGCGATGCGACCGAGGCAGCCAAGGCCGCTGTCGCTTTGGCTATGGCGAACATGAACGCTGGCAATGTTGCAGTTCCGGCTGTACCCCAGGGCAACGGCAATGCGATGGACAACTTGACTAAGAAGGTCAACGAAATGAGGGTCAATGCTGCCCGAACAACTCAGCCAGGAGGAGGCCGAGGCCGAGGTCGTGGCGGCCGCCAAGGTCAGGCCCAAGGCCAGGGCCAGGCCAAGGTTGACGTCCCAGATGCGGACTTTGACTTCGCTGGAGCCAATGCGAAGTTTAACAAGGACGATCTGGTGAAGGAAGCGATTGCAGGATCGCCTCTGAACGAGACCCCTACCAACGGACCCGCAGCCGAAATCCCTGCCCCCGAGGTCCCAGGCACAAACCCGCCGATTGCCTATAACAAGACCCGATCATTCTTCGACAACATCTCCAGCGAGGCTAAAGATCGGGCAGACAACAACGGTCAGAAGCCCGGCGGCCGCGAATGGCGCGGTGAGGAACAGCGCAAGAACATGGAGACTTTCGGACAAGGTAGTGTCGATGGCGGATACAGGGGCTACCGGGGCAGAGGTCGTGGCCGCGGCCGTGGCTTCAATGGTGGTCGTGGTGGAAGAGGCAGCTACCGTGGTCGTGGTGGCCAAGTTGCCCCGTCTCCGGCCGCGAACTAGGCTCCTCTTGAGACCAGGACATCGCGAACGTCCGCATGATACGTGGAGCATTCTGTCTCCTGACACTGCGAGTCCTGATCAGGCGAAGGACTCACGATTTCAACGGACGTAATTCGAATTTTGAATGGAGAACGCGCCCCTTCAAGGCATGCCTTTCACGCAACACTTTATACGATGTATTATCACTCGTCGTTTCTCGATTTTTCTCGGATTCCCTTGGCGAGGGAGCACTGGGCAGGCATGTCCTCTGCATTGGTTTTGCCAGATGGGCAGGAATCATAGGACTGCAATTTTGACACGCATGGGATCGGAAGGAGTTTGGCAAGTGGTAGCCGCAAGCAACGGGAGCTGCGGTCTCATGATTGCGCTGTGACGACAAAAAGGGAATATCAGGCGTGGGTTGCAAGCATTGACTTCTCGTTTACCCGTTGGATCGGGGCACAACCCGGAACAACACGATATGATAGCAGAGACACGCCTTCTATCTGGCATTCGACAGGGAGCATGAGTGCTCTTAAGGTCTGAATCCAAGTGATCAAGTTTGGAGGAGGTGTGAGAAAAAGAGGATTTCTTTTGGTGGTAGAACCTAGAATCAGGCGAGGTGGATAAAGACTCTTGGGTCTTCCATTATCGAATGTCATCATGCTAGCCACCAATTTTGAAGTGCACCCACTCATGATATTGTGAATATGTTGTCCGACTCTTTAATGGAGGATGCTTTTAAAGCCAAAAAGCTTCAATTCACGTTGCGAGAAAAACTTCCACCTTGTCGATTCTGGATCTGACACCCCCACGGGGTGGTTGCCCTGATGGTGTCGGAGATAGATCGCCGGTACGGAGTACTGGAGATAGGTGATGAATCGATACATAAAAATTTGCCCCGCCAAACCCCGCCAAACGTCATGCACCTCAATCAGACACGTTTTCGGCGTGACGCACTTTACTTATCCACCTCCAGTATTCGTACATAAGACTTCTGCCACTGTCACCAAATAATTCTGAAAGAAAAACCTCCCACGACAACGATTATTCTCCTCGGCTCATAAACTTACCACTGAGAAGCTTACGCAAAGTGAGACACTGCGCAATGTCGAGCCGTCAGCTACGTAAGCTGCAAAAGCAGCGGGAGCTCGAACAACTCCAAGAAGCCCAGGCTACCGCCGACGAATCCAGCGAAGAGGAACCCGAGCCCGCGCCCATAAAGCCCCGGCAGAGCTTGTTTGCAGCTCTAGGCGGCGGCGACGACGATGAAGATGACGACGAGAAGTCCGATGATGCGCAAGAGGAACCTGAGCCCGAGCCTGAAGTAGTGCCGCAACCTGCGAAGAAGAAGAACAAGAAAAAGAAGAAGAAGGCCAAGAAGGCTGTGGCAGAGGACGAACCCCCCAAACAAGCAGACGATAAGGAAGATGAGATTGATCGGGCTCTTCAGGAGCTCAATCTGGCGCGCAATGCAAGCTCTACCGCCTCGGCCAATCTCGCGCGAAGCAGCCGCGACATCGACGACCTGTTGCAGATCAACACCCAGTACCTGAGAGCGATCAACGAGATGCGAGCTCTCTTCGGAAAGGATGCCATTCAAGCTGCCCAAGATGAGGAGAGGGCCGAGCAGGAGGCGGCGCGCCGACAAAGAGGTCCGACTCAGCAAGTTGATCTAGAGACGGCGCTTCGAGGAGACCCGCGCAAGAAGCTGCCCGAAATATCGCTGCGACGCAACGTATTCATTCAAGGCAAGGACACGTGGCCTCGCGCTACTGCTGTGGGCCTGGTCATGAAAGAGATCAGGAAGGGCACCGACGGTCTTAGCGAGTTCGCTTTTGTTCACGAGAAGGCCTATGACAATGTTCAGATCATGTTCTTCAGCTGCGTTCAGCTTGGTGACCCCATGCAGATGGTCCAGCTGTTGATACGGTATCCCTATCACATCTCGACCTTGCTCCAGGTAAGCAAGGTTGCTATTCAGGACCAGAATCAGTCACTGGCCGCAGACCTCTGCGAGCGAGCGCTCTTCACGTTCGGCCGATCCACGACATCCGCCTTTAGACAGAAATTGGAACAGGGCAAGGCTCGACTGGACTTCCGCCGTCCCGAGAATCGCGAACTCTGGCTGGCAGGATATACCTATCTCAAGAGTCTCATCCGCAAGGGGACGTATAGGACGGCCCTTGAGTGGGCGAAGCTTCTCTTCAGCCTCAACCCGAACGATCCCTACGGCATGAAGTATTTTATTCACACCCTCGCAATCCGAGCACGCCAAGCGCAGTGGCTCATCGAATTTCTCAACACTGGCGAATTCGTGGCGGATGAGACGGACGACACCTACATCAAACAGACCATGGTCCTCGCCAAGCTTCAGGCGGGCGACACTGAGGGAGCGAAGATCGCCGCAGTGGCCGGCATGGAGCGGTTGCCGTGGCTGTACTGTGCTATCTTCCAGGCGCTGAACCTGGAAGCGCCGCCTCCTTTGTGGGGAGTTCAACCCGACACGGACGAGCGCGAGTTCTGGACGAAGCTGTACGTGCACCAGGCCAAGGACATTTGGAACAACACGCAAGCAATCGATTTGCTCAAAGAGGCCGTCAAGATTGCGAAGAAGCCGACGCAGGCGCTCCCGGAGGATATGCCGGCAACAACCCGTACGGCCAGATGGACGTGGCTGGAGGACACTCCGGCCTTATTGAGCGGCATCCCAAGGGCAATTCTCAACCAAGAGCCAAACTATGCCTTTGATCCGCTCCCGCCTCGGGAAGAGGAGAACATCTTTTCGAGCCAAGGAGTGCAGATGCCGTGGCGGCAGGAGGGCGGGCACAGTGGACCTATGCTCGCACAGGAACGAGCGCTTCTCAATATGCTTCGCAGACAGCATCAACGAGCCGAGGCCCGGGGAGCCGGAGCCGGCGCGGCCGCAGGAGCTGGTGCTATGGCAGGAATGGGAGGAATGTTGGGTGCGTTCCCCGAAGACGACGACGATGAGGCTGGCGATGGCGACTTTGGTGACGCCTGGGAAGGAGCGTTCTCTGATGGCGAGGATGGCGACGACGACTTCATGGAGGGAGAGGGAGGGCAGCCCCCTTCGGCCGGCGTGGTGCAGCGACTTGCTGATTTGCTGGCGTCTATGATACCTGGCGGTTGGCCGGCTGAGCCAACCTTTGACGAGGAGGAGGAAGGCACAGATGACGAAATGCCGCCTCTGGTTGACGGCGATGGGGATGCTGGTAGTGATGACGACATGCCGCCTCTGGTCGACGGCGATGAGGCTGTTGGTCGTGATGAGGCACGTCAACAGCCTGGGGCAAACTAGCCGCGACGATGAAGTTGCTGCATATCTACATTTGGTAGAGACAACAAGTCAGGAAATCCATGCAGTAAACCTGCTGCCTTCGATAGTTTCATAGAGGTATAGAGCATCGATACCCAGACAAGATTGAGCCAAGAATGTCCACCTCGTTTATTCTTACCGTAATCTTACTACGTATCAAGCCGATAACAACTTGAAGTCGTCTTCAGCATACACACGGACCCCTGTCCTAGCGCGAGGGAGACTAACTTGCGGGTTCGACCGCATGCGACATCCATGAACGAGGAATGAGAAGGGGGCGGAAGCAACGACGATCTGCCAAGTGTTGAAAAGAAGAACGAATTCAACGAAGGGGTTACCTGGATCCTGGGACATCTCACGTGTGAAGGGTTCTCGTGGTTGCAACTCGCAACAGTGTTCTGTCCCGTATTATCCGCATCTCCTTTTCTGTAGTACATTTGTACATCTGTACAACTACCACTTGTCGCCTTTGAAATGAAATGCGCTCGCTCAGTACTCCGTACGGCGGGCATTGGGGTCCTCTCTGTTTCAGGGGGGTGATTCGGAGAGAGGGAGAGCAGCTTTTTGGAAGTTGCAAAGGGCTGAGGTGAGCAAGTTTCAGAAGCGAGACGGGACTCTTCTCCGGGGGGGTGGTCGGTTGATTTTGGCGCTAGCGGGTACTGGGGAGGGTTCGGATGTCAGTGAGCATCGTGCTGCTGCGCAGCCTTGCTCTTGCGCCATCGACTGCGTTCTCATGGGAATTAATAATGCGATTTGGCAGCATAAGGAGGACAGATATATAATCACCCAGATGGCCACCATCTCATCCGTCCTTCCGACGATTTCCTCTGATTTTACTTTTCCAAGTAGCTCAACGATATACCCCCCTTTTTTCAAACCGTTCACTGTTCTCGTAATATAAGCGACTCACCGCACTTCGACAAAAACGACTGGAGCTTTCTTGCCCCTCCTTAATAGCTCTCTTCTACCCCGCCAAACGCCATACCGCAAACTCTCCCACCTGCAACCCACGAACCTCACCTCCCAAACACCACCACCACTAAATCCACCAAAACCGATACAATGGCTGAGCACACCTACAAGTTCAACGTCAGCATGAGCTGCGGCGGCTGCTCCGGCGCCGTCGACCGTGTCCTGAAGAAGCTGGATGGTGAGTTTCCCCCATGCCGTCCCCTCCCCCACCCCAGAGCTGCGATCTGTCCCTACCATTGTCGGTTCTCCGCCACAAGTCCGAGGTGGCAGTCATTCGGCTGTCATGAGCTGTGCGCAACTTTGGCCATGTCTTCTCTGTCCAGCAATGGTAGCGACGTTGACGAATGCACACACAACTACCGATACCGACAAAGGCGCATTTCCCGCACATTGAAAGAAGACATGCTGACCCAAGCTTAAACAGGCGTCAAGTCGTACGAAGTCTCCCTCGAGAGCCAGACCGCCACCGTCATCGCCGAGGAGAGCCTGCCCTACGAGAAGGTCCTCCAGACCATCTCCAAGACTGGCAAGAAGGTCAACTCTGGCAGCGCCGATGGCGTTGAGCAGAGCATCGAGGTCACCGCATAAACATCTTTCTCGATTCGATCCGAGCGGGGTGAAAGAAATGATAGCAGCGGACGAGAACATGGTGTGCCGATCCTTTGGGCGAGGAGTTTTTTTTTTTTTGTTTTTTTGCTGTTCCATCGGGTTCTTGAACGTTTGAGCAATGCGACAACACGTTCTGCTTTTGCATACTTACGAACCCCCTATCAAAATTAGATATATCATGATCGCTTCGACTTTCCACACGTGTCTGTCTATCTGCAAGGTTGTCTGCCGTCCGGTGTCGGCGAGTCGTCCGATTGATTTATGCAGTCACCATGTTGTTGCTTGGCTGGAACCTCGTCTAGACAGCCCCCCATGGCCGGATGCCACTGTTTGAGCGAGTAGGGTCTTCCTCTGGCCACATGTTGCGCTCTTTGCCGTGAAGCCACACCCGACCATGTCTATGAAATATAGATCATCATCATTTGTGGTTCCTCGCCATGTATCAGCACGTCTTCGGTGTGTCATTGAACCTCTGAAGCTGTGTAACATCTTGTTACGGAGGGTTCATAAGCCCTTTCCAGGTTTACAGTCGCCGACCGACACAGAGGTAATATCAGTCGGGCGTTGCTATCCACAAAACGCTTTAGACTCCTAACAAACGTCACTGCTGGAGCTCTTTGGGCTTTATTCGCAAACAAGGCGTCGGAACTAAGCCACGTCACCCAGGGATATGTCTGTTACCTTGTGGACTGAAGCTGGTGTTCCCACATCGGTCCTGAATTAGGAATCCCACGGGCATAGTCTCTATCTCCTCTGTTCAAAACGTTGGTAGCAGTTCTGGCCGCAATCCAAAAGCAATGAACCGCCCTCATAGTTGCCATTGAAATAAGGCCTTGGGTGCTCCGAGCTGCCTTCTGAAGGTTCCGCAAAATTGCAACGCACGCGTAATGCGGCCATGAACAAGCTGATCGGCTCGGGCTTTATTGACACGTCCATCTTGACATGGAACAACCAAAAAGCTTTGTTGGACCGCAAATGGCTATGAGGACAAACGAGCTGCCCCTCCTTCCTGTAGACCTCATTTTTTGGGCAGGATGTACATACATACTCCTCCACGAAGTTTTGCGACGGATGGCAGGGTTTCTACTTTGGTCTACATCAAGCTCGCCGCCGTCTCATCAAGGGACGCATTAGAAATAGCCCTTGGGGATCTCCTACCGCCGATCTTGATGCCTTGCCCAATGGGAGCCGCTAGATGGAACATGAGACGTGAGCACACGTGAAGTAGGGACCCTGAAAGAAAGAGATATGCAGCATGTTTGAGAGCATATCGGTACATACTTACGTAGGGCGGTCTAGTATCTGGCAGTGGCTGTCGACACCCGGAGCTCGGTCCCAAGGGTACCCACACCCGCCAACGCCACCCGGGGAACCGGGGAAGAGTGCCTACCAACGTCATTTTGCGCCGTGGGTGGTGGGGGGCTGATGGGAAAGGGCTGGGGGGGGGGGAGTATCCGTACCCGCACAAAGCGCCGGCCGGTGGACAGCAGCTGGATACCTAAGGTACGTTGTTGCGGTCTGGGTTACCGTCTTCTTCTTTGCTTTGCGCACCTGAGTTGTGTCAAGGATGGTGGGAGAGACGAAGTGACGAGTGAAGGGCAAAGGAAGGCGTCACACAGACAGATGACCGTCCGGCCCTGCCAGATGACGACCGGGCCCGAAAGTGGGTGGCGGTGCTTTGTACCATTCCCCGTTTTTCTTTTCTGCTTCCACGGGGCCTTGCCAAACGAATTGTTTGGTGAGAGCACGTACCCTTACCCTTCGTTACGGAGTACCTGCCCGAACCTCTCATAATAATACTAGGTAGCTTTCCTTGCATCAAAAGATGAGACCGCTGGGTTGCAGTTCTCGACACTAATGCAATTCTCAACCTTTTTGCAACACATACTGCCTTGAAGTCAAAACGGACACTTTTCACTACTTGAGAGACGAGAAGAACCGGCTTCCAGAACACATCCCATCGGCCACCATCTCATCTCCATACCACTGAACAAAACACAAACCATCCTATATCTACACACCAAACTTACCTCTCACAACTTCCAACAATTTTTTTTTTCTCACAATGGGAACACCGTTCGTCTCCCTTCTGGAGCCAACAAGGCTCGACGCCTACATCCGCGGCGCGCCGCACGACGAGCAGCCGGCGACGATACCAAAGGAGATTTGCGACGCCATGGAGGTGCGCGAGGCCGTCTTTGTCGGGGAGCAGGGCGTCCCCGCCGAGAACGAGTTCGACGCCGACGACAGCCGCGCGTGCCACTGGGTCTCGTATGCTTCTGTCAATAAAGTCGTCGAGCAGGAGGTCCTCGACGAGGCTGGCAACGTCGTCCGGCCCCGCCGCAGTAGCACGCGCAGCACGCCCATCGGTACCATTCGCCTTGTGCCGTTTCCCCATGCCCCGCACCCCAAGGATGGGGGCGTTTATTGGGATGGGGTGTTGAAGGAGGATCCTGCGGCGGATGCTGCGCCGAATGGGGAGAAGAAGAAGACGGTGGGGGACAAGGAGTCTTCCGAGTCGACGACGACGACAAGCCCCGTCGAGGAGAGCGCGGCGGAGCACGTGGGCGAGGAGAGGCGCATGTCAGCGACAAAAGTCTTCGCGCCGGACCGCGCGACGGCGCTCCACGACGGGCGGGAGCCGTACGTGAAGCTGGGCCGGCTGGCTGTGGTCAAGGAGTTTAGAGGACACCGGATCGCGAGGCTGCTCGTCACGACGGCGCTGGCGTGGCTGCGGGCGCACCCGAGCTACTTTGACCCGAGTATCAAGGAGATGGGCCTCGAGGCGATTGGGGCCACGAGCGCCGAGGAGGTGCCCAAGTGGAGGGGTCTCGTGTGCGTGCACTCGCAGGCGGCCGTGGTGGGCGCGTGGGAGAAGTTTGGGTTCCGGGTCGACGAGGAGATGGGGATGTGGTGGGAGGAGGGTATCGAGCATAAGGGTATGTTTATGAGGTTGGATGTCGGCGAGGAGACGCCCCTTCTTTGAAGGGAGTTTGATGGAAGAGTGATGCTGGACTGGAGGTTGGGCTGCTAAAAGGAGAGAACAGAGGGCGAGGTGATGCATCATCGCCTGGCTTGGCAATGGTTGATGTTGGGTTGGGGTCTGGCTGGTTGAGCTGGGGGATCTTTGATGGTTTACGATACCCCATGATGATGGCTTTCTGCTTTTGGACCATGGTCCCTTAATATTATTACTCTTAGTTTCGTCAAGACGGCATAGATCTGTCGAGTTTGCATGTGTTCATAAGCCACCATCATATATGATGAAGCAGTGACATGCCATTATGTTACCGTAGCACTCAAGGGGGCACATCAAGCTGTCGACAATACGGCCAGACCGAAAGAAAAATGGGGATATCATTCTCATCTCACATGAGGGGAAACGCCGGGGGGGTTTTTGATCATTTGCTCTGACGAGCTTTGGCTTTTATTGGAATAAAAAACCACCTGTAAGCCGTGTGTGAAGAGACAAGATGTCGTAGCAGCCAGCCAGCAGACGTTCCCCCATTTCCCGGAACGCGCGCAAATGCAAACAAAAAGGGTCACCAGCGCAAAACACCGCTTTCTTTTATCCTTGTCGTCATGATTGAAGAAAAAAGACGTTGAATTGCCCTGTTATGTAATACCACGCCTCCGATTTGATTTGTCCCCCAGAAAGCAGTTTTTTGACGTCTCGATAGAGAAATAAGGGAAAAAAGGGGGGTGTAGATGGAACCCCCATTTTTTCAACAGGTCTCCTCCGCGTTTTTTTGCCCGCCTTTCTAAGCTTCCCCCCTTTCTCATTTCTCCAAACCAAGCGTGTTCATGGGGAACGAGCATGGAAGGATTAGTCCTTTCCACATTTCCCGGGAAATAAGACAAACCCGCCACAGTCCCCAGACACACGCCTCTCCAAATCCCAGCAGAGTTTCATAGCCCTTCCACGAGGGGTAAAACACATAGACAAAAGGAGTAGTGAAACCCTTTACCGGTTGGACTTGGCGACACGCTCGAGCTCGTCCTTCTTCTTGATGGCGTAGGAGTTGCTGGAGCCCTTGGCGGCGTTGATGAGCTCCTCGGCAAGGCACTCGGCGATGGACTTGACGTTGCGGAAGGAGGCCTCGCGGGCACCGGTGGTGAGGAGGGCGATGGCCTGGTTGACGCGGCGGAGGGGGGAGACATCGACGGCCTGGCGACGGACGGTACCGGCGGAACCGATACGGGTGGAGTCTTCGCGGGGACCGCAGTTGACGATGGCGTCGACGGCGATCTGGATGGGGTTCTGGTCGGTCATCAGGTGGATCTGTAGCGATATGTGTTAGTCTTCATTGATGTTTCTCCCAAGTTGTGTCCCTCTTTAGGTCGGTTTGACCAAAAGGGTCTTTGGCCCTAGGGTGTGCGATCTCGGTAGGGTTGGGTGACATACGATCTCGAAGGCGTGGGCAACGATGCGGACAGCCATGAGCTTCTTTCCGTTGTTGCGGCCGTGCATCATGAGGGAGTTGGTGAGACGCTCAATGATGGGGCAGTTGGCCTTGCGGAAGCGCTTGACGGCATAGCGGCCAGCGGAGTGGGTGACATAGACGGGGTTGCGGAGGGAGACGTAGTCACTATTCGATTCGGTTCGCGATTAGCTTCTTGAATTCTCCAAGTTCCAATTTCCCAATTGCGAGTCCTCCGTATTCTCCATGTCGTCGTCGGTCGCGTTCCTGCGCAAAGGGAAAAATTGTGCGTGGGAGGTGGACTCACGTCAGAGAGATGTCCCGGACCTCAACATCGTAATCCCACTTGTTGAAGAGCTTGACGTTGCCGACCTCCTTGACAACGTCCTTGGGGAGGACATCGTAGTTGCCCACGCTCTCGACCTCGATATCGCCGCCGTCAGACATTTTCGCTCGACCTTTGGGGGGTTAGTAGACCTTGTTGGGAAGGAAGATCGAGAAAGGCTTGGGGTGGTGGAAAATGTGGTGGTCGTGGGTTGAAGTTGTCCAAGTGCGAAAGTACGCCGCAGAGTGGGTTTCGATTTTTGCCAGCTCGCTCCTCGAAAACCTGACTTTGGTGCACAAGGAACGGAACCACCAAGGGCTTTTGGTCCGGGCCTGCCTCTCGCTGCCACTGGCGAAATATTTTTTCAACCCGCGGTGGTGGTGGTGTGCACCCAATCAGGGACCGTAAAACGGGCTTACCGGACCCACCCGCGTGTAATTTGTTAGGGTTGGCCAACCCTCCAACCGAAAGGCCTGGAGGGGTGGTTCTGGAGTGGCACCTCTTCCCGCAACCTCATACACTTGAAATTCCTACTCCCGACGACCTAGGTGCCTTTGGTATTTCGACCGACGACATCACAAATCAGACAAAATGGTACGCACGCGAAACCACACCCCTCTCCCGTGTGCGCGACGCACAAATTCGCAACTTGGCCGGATCGCGATGCTGACTTGAATGGATGTAAAGGCGCCCGCTGCAGGAGCTAAGAAGCAAAAGAAGAAGGTTCGTCGCAAAACCCGTGTTTCCCATATATGTATCTTTGAGTGACAAAATGCTGACCTTGTCGCGATAGTGGTACGTATGATCCTATGCACACACGCACACTTTGAGAAGAACTTGTCGAAATATTCCCCAACGATACTCTACCCTCGGACGCCACTGCCTCTCTACCATCCATCGATCACCCGACTTACCCATCGTTATAGGTCCAAGGGAAAGGTCAAGGACAAGGCCCAGCACGCCGTCATCCTCGAGAAGGCCACCTCCGACAAGCTCTACAAGGATGTTCAGTCCTACCGCCTGGTGACCGTCGCCGTCCTGGTCGATCGTCTCAAGATCAACGGCTCCCTGGCCCGCAGATGCCTTGCCGACCTCGAGGAGAAGGGCATCATTAAGCCCGTTGTCCAGCACAGCAAGATGAAGATCTACAGTATGTTGAGCCTACCATCCCACGAGAGAACACAAGAGCCAGCCAAGCTAACATTCATCACCAGCCCGTGCCGTCGGTGGTACTGACTAAACCCGCTCAGCCATGAACGTGGTACGCGTGACGACAAAAACAAAAAGCAACGGGAATCAGGGACGGATTTGGTCATATCTGCCTAGTCAGGAGGCTTTTCGGATGCTCAATGAAGCATTATACCTTGGGCCTTAGGGATCGGATTTGCTTAGCACCGCAAATGGAACGGAGTTGATCGTACATCTGCTGCGTCAAATAGACCATGATCACGTCCTGACGTCCCAATGATACCGGCCCAAAGGTTATCGTCCCAGTGCCAGTGCATGTTGCCCCTTCGCGTTGAGCTTTTCCCTCAGACGTCATAGCCGGGCCTCGTCTTGCTCCAATTAGAGGCTCTTGCCATACTGGCTTGCCTATCGAACCCCGTGTGCGAAGGCAAGTGGGAATCTCCGACAGGTTCGGACTCTGCGAGATAGAAGTGGCTCTGGAATCGGAGCCGGGACACGACTGCTGTACTCATCGCTGCTCGAATACTTCCATTCGCCAGCAAAGGTGGTCGTTGCTTCAATTCACGGTCTCCAAAGACCCAAGAGTGATGCAGCAATAACTCTCGCCAGCCTAGAGGCCCACAGATCTTTTCCCCGTCCGATGAAGAGGAAACCGCATCCGAAGCCGTCGGGCTGTGACGCACAGCTCACCATCGTTCGCTCAATGTTTCCACTTTCATGATGCACTTGGAGCCCGAGAGCCGAACGAGAGAGCGACCTGCCTCGGGTCTTGGCCTGCAATCAATCCAGCCCTGGAGCTCACCTTTAAAGGCCCGATGTCGTGCATATTGAGGACAACGGTTGCTGGGCTGAGATGAGGTATTATCGTTGCATGAGGTCTGAGCATCAAGCCCTCATGGAAGTGTCTTTCGATGGCTTTCGTACTACGGCCTTGACGATGGCAACACTAGCTGAGCCTCGTCGAGCGCCACTATAGAGGCTGACGCTAGAATAAAGCCATTATTCGTTGAGAGAATGCAATATCACGATTTGTACGAGTATTTGTTGGTCGACCCATCTGCCGACCATCGTATTTCGGTAGTAATGACAACGTAATAATAATTTTGTGCATACGGAGTGGAGGCTTCCTTTAATCTGTCACTCGCTTGACGAATTACTCGCGTTCGTGGTTTCCGGAGACAGCGGCGTCAGCGCTGTGATGGGTACCGGCATGAGCGTCATGGTCGCTGTCACTCTGGCTGCCACTTTGACAGGACCGCGCCGTTCCTTGATCTTTTGCTTAAGACCACGCGTTCTATAAAACGATATGGAATGCTTAAAGGCCGGGTGCGGGGATACAGTCTAAAAGCTTCTAAGCTCTTTGCCGGGGCCCAAGCCCGGAGCCCGAGATGTCGGACACGTCAAGGGGTTGACAGTGGGAATGGACTCGGAAGTGGTTCGGGCTGATGAGATTAAACCAGTCGTTGGCGGCTGGGCGCTACTACGGCGGGACTTCCCAGGCGCTTTGATCAAGTTTGGGGGTGTTTGACCAGGAAGTCAAATTGATTAGGGCGGTCCGAAATTTGATGTCATGTCGAAATTGGCAGCGTCACGAAATGCCCCTTTTTTCTTTCTCTTTCTGCGACAAGGGGAATTGGAGTTGGATTTTTGGAGGGGTCGATGGAGATGAGAAGTGATCAGTCCGTGAGGTGGTAGCGCGGTTCGCGAGCGAGCGTGCGTTGCATCGAGTTTTCGAGGGGTAGTGAGCATGACTTGGTCGAACGTTGATTGGGAAGCCGTAGAATGCTCAAAAATGCCTGGAGGCTTGCTGAATGTTAGTCGACAAGGGGAAGTTCCAGGGTCTCATTTGAACAAAGGAGCGGCACATGATGCGGCTGTAAGCCAGACGTGAACGTCATGTGGTGGCTGACGAATGACAGGCCGTAGAAACAGGCTGGCCATATGGCACCGGGATCGAGAGATTCGAGACACAGCTGACTGGTTGATGAACCCCCAAAAGACGGATATGACGAGAAGTGAAGAGGATGGGCCGGGTCACTTGGTTCGTTTCAACTTTGAAGTGGGAGCGCAGACCCAATATGAGGGTGAGCTTGCCGGCATGAAGGGGAGAGGTGGTAGGATGGGGATTAAATGCATGTTTTAAGGTAAGGTATGTTGGTGGGATGAAATGGAAAGTAGGCTAGTAAATTAGCTGTCAAGACTCGGACGAGTTCGTAGAGAAGGGGAGGAGCATAAGGAACCTTGGTTCGCGATGCCCATTCCAACCATGGTTTGGTAGGTGCACCAATGCCGCATAGGCACTTGCTGTGTAAGTTAGGTACCTAGGAAAGGTGCGAAGCAGTTACCGATAATCGTTTAGTATCATGAGCACCTTCCTTTACTTGCTTACCTTTAGGTGAGGCCCGGTACCCATAGGGTAGAAAGCTAAGGTACCTTATAGTACCTTAGAAGAAGTGACGGAGGGAGTGACGGAGAGGCCTAGAGCAAATGACCTTGCCATGTTGGTCGTAGTGACAGATGGTGGAAGTGGGATTTCCAGGGTCGTGGAGAGCTGCACATGGAAGGAGCCTAAGCCTCCAAGGAAGGAAGGAAGGAAGTTGGCTCCCACCTGGATGCCGATGCCGTCAGGTACGGATACCGTGCGGCGTGCCTTTGTCGTCTACCTTAATTAGTGGCCGGGGGTGGATGGATGCAAGCCAGCTGCAGATGCACAGGTCCTCCGAAGACAAGGGACAGACGGATATGCTGCAGTATGCATGGTGGTGTCGGATGCCCTCATCTTCAAGACGGAATACGTTCATGTTCACTTGTTCCCATGTGGCAAGTGCTCTAGCGTTCTTTTGCTTTGAAAATACTTCGATCCAGGCCATGGACAGTAGGTGTTCGCCAGACCAGGTCTCGAGGTGTATTTCAAGGTCAGTGTTCGCAAAAGTTCAGCCATTGACGAGGCTGCTACATGATCTCAAACATGCCCCCTCCACTTCATGCTTTGCAACCATCTGGCTTTCTCGGGGGTCGCCTGTCAAGCCTGTTCCCAACTTTGCCGCTGGCCAGGCGCAGGCCAGCATCGAGAGAGAGAGAGAGAGGAGCTGAGGTGTCAGGAGCCTGGTTTATGCAGTTCCATGCAGTGCGTGTATCCGTAGGTAAAGTGTAGGTGCTCTTTTAGATTTGGATCGCCTGTCCCGGTCGGGTCGCATGAACACTCCTTCTGCGCCCGATTGACTGGGTCTCGAGACCATTCCCTTTGCAGCTGATTACAGATGGCAACCTGGTAATTGCACACTCCACCATAGGACCCAAAAAGACAGCAGGAGCCAGGAGTTGCAGATGCAAGACTCGAGGTACCTGATTTCCTGCTGCTCGATGGCGGAGCCCCCGACGTACCTCTTGTCTTTCCAACCTCCGGCTTGACTCCTCCGTCCACTTACCTTGGGGGAATCGCAACCCGCTTGTCTCCTTCCTCTACATGCAATTCGACCACACGGGTTCCTCAATCTCAAAGTGAGGTATCTGTACAAAAAGGTACCCGTTAGATTCTACCTAGGTGAGGTAAAAGGAAGGTACTTGCAATACAAAAAATGTAGCAAAACATGATATGACGAGCTTTCATTGCCCTTCCTCGTTGCGCCTACCTTTACTCCGTCCTCACCTGCAGCAGATATAATTGGTATCCGGTACACCGTCTCCAGGCCCCTCCCTCCTTACTGTGTGTGTGTATGTGTGTGTGCATGTGTGTGTGTGTGTGTGCCGCCCGTACCTGGCCCCTTCCCCTTCCCGGCCTGTGATCTCCATGTGTGCCAACCAAAAGCGATGCGCACCACCAGATGATGGCCCTGATGTCAGGCACCACACCCGCCCTGTCTTACATCTTCGTTCTGACTTCCACTCCTCCTGCTCAGTCCTCCTTATTCCCAACTTGCACTGTCTTGATCTGACCCCATCTGAATGGACCGTGACCAGACCAGGTTTGCCCACTTCCGCCTGTCTCGCCTCTCCTCTCGTTGCTTCCCTCAACCTTACAAAGTCCAAGTCCATCCCGCATCCAAAGCCTCCGCCGTTCCTGTCCCGACTTGACATCCTTGTTCCTCCTCCCCTTTCAAGTTCCCGCCTCCACCTCTCCCATCATCACCGATCCCCTTTTCCCTGCCGCTTGCAGACAAGACAACCACAGACGAAACAAATACTCGCCTACCTCCGTTCAGCTCTGCTTCCTTTCTCTCCGGCGCATCAAAGATACCCCTCTCTATCTGTGCCTTGCTCCATCCATCTTTCGCGACCAAACCACCACCGCTCTTCTTCGACATCTTCCATCTTGCTTCTAGAGCATTACATAGCCAACTCAACTTACCGCCTTCTTATCCACCACAGTATTACCCGCCTGCTTGGATTACCACATCGGTGTGACAAGCACCCTGTCGACACCGTCAACCACTAACCGCTGATCATCCTCTCTTTTTGGTCGACCACAAACCCAACCGTCTCCAGTCCCTGATTGCGAGTCCTCTTTTCTCCCATTCGCAACCTCACAACTACGTTTTCTTTGCCTCTCCAAAGGTCCGCACTACACACGAAATGGCACACAACATGACCGACGCTGAGCTCGACCTCAACTGGCAGCCCAATGGCCGCCGCCCGCAATCGTGCGTACCAATTGCCCGCCCCAGCTCACAAAAGCTCTTTCGAATTACGTTGCTGACCCGCAGTCGCGCAGTACTATTGCTCGTTCCTTCTCCCAGGAGCTGGCCGACATCTTCCGCCTCGACGAACCTGTCACAGATGAGAAGCTCGACGAACGGTACGTAGAGCCGCAACACCTAGAATCATGTTTCACCTTACCACATGCAGCATTACACTCAAAGGAGTAAAGTCGGAAAACTAACAGGCTTGTTACAGAAAGCAGAATGTTCAGAGCCAGACCAGCGAGCTCGAAGCTCTCGAGCGTCGCATTCGCGAGATGGAGGAGCGGTTGAAGAGCAACAACGCCAACAAGCAAGCCGCGGCACAGCCCGCTGCTGCCGCGGGAGCTGCAGCCCCAGCATTGTCAAAGGAAGCCCAGGAGAAGGCCAGGTCACGACCAGGTACGGCGCGCCAGAACCAGCCTCATGCCCCGTCTTCGGCGAACATGCCGCCCACGCCTACTGCCAGCGAAGGTGAATACGAATTCGTCGGCAAGGATGACCTTGACGACCACCCACCCCGACACTAGATCGCTGCATGTTTCCCACACAACCCATATAAATACCCCTGATACCACGTCCCGCTCGATTCTTCTCTTTTTTTCAGTACCACCGCCTCTGCCGAGCAAATCACCAGCCAATTGTGTACTTGAGATCACGAAATGCTGACTGTTGCTTCTTTCTGCTCACTCAGACGGCGACCGCGACCAGGCATGAGGGTAGACTTGCCTTTTTAGATTGCACAACCAGACTACTTGCACCGGCCCGAGCTCATTCTCGCATATACCCGCACTCCTCGATTTAACGCCTTCACCAAGCTATAGTAGCAATGTTGCACTCTCGGCTCAAGCATGACTGAAAAGGGGTTTTACCTTTGGCATATACCCATGCCGGCTACCACAACCCGTGACGGGGCGTCGCTCGCTACATTCCTCCAGAGCGCTTCCTAGGCTTGGAAGCATGAATTCTTCATCACCCCGATATGTTTTTTGCAGTTGGCTTTTCTTCTTTTGCGAACCTAAGTGGTCACGCATTTTTCACCAAGTTTATGGAGTTTGAGCATGCCTGAGCGGATCGTCCAAGATGGACCGACTCCCTCTGGTCATTGATGGCACGTCCCGGAGAGCAGAGGACATCTGTATATACCAGAAGAAGAAGAAGTGGAAATTCACCTCTAAATTGCCTCAAGCAATTGGAATGCGCAGTGAGCATTTGCCACGGGTGCCATGTCACACTATCTCCGGGATTTCGAGTTGAAGGAAAAGAGTCTCCAAGAGTCATGCGTGTGCGTGCGCAACATCTCACTATTGCGGTTGCCCTACCAGAGTTGTAAACGCGTATGGATGAACTGATTATTCTAGCAAGACAACATCTTCAGGAATCCTACGAATGCCACTTGGATGACATGTTGGACCCTCTTCCAACGCTGGCTAACGAAGTAGCCTTTGCCCCGAACTCCTATGATTGACAAGCTGTCGTCGTCGAACAAACATCGAGCGAGCTCTTTTCCCCAAAGCTGACGAAGGTTCCAGAAGCTCCATAATTCAGTTGAACGTACATGCTCTTGAGGGCCACACCTCCAAAAATGGAACGACCGCCACTCTCACTTCCTTGAATCCCACCAAAGCACATTTCGGAGCTCCCAGGCGCAGGGCCAAGATTGATAGACTCCTTCAGAATCGTTCCCACGTAGCCGCCTGCTGTAAGGAACTGCAGGTCAGGAATGCTTGGAGCCGAAGCGCACGGGAACACCCAGGCTTTCAGCTTTGGGTCGTGAGCCGAATCGGGAATGCCAGCATAGTAGTTGGCAACCATATCGCCAGGAAGAAGCACAAAACTGCTTCCAGTATCGATGGTGGCAATGGTACGCTTCTTGAACATGTTCCACAGCCTGCCGTTCATGGAGCTCGTGCGCGTTCCTTTGAGTTCGAAACTCCAGTGCTCATCGTCGTCCACGGGCGGCTCCTTGTTGTTCGCTGTGCCCATGGCGTACCCGAAGGAGAAGAACCCCTTATCCGAATTAGGTCGAAGGTCGATGCCGATCCATTCATAATGCAGCGATGGCTTGAGGCGATCAAGCATGGACGGCATACCGGGTTTGACGGACGAGGGCTTACTCTTGGCGAGACCCATGACACCGCTAATCTTGGGCTCGATGGCCCACCGCGGAGCAACGTTGACGGCGGATTGAATTGTTGCGTTGGCAATGGTGAAGTGGTTATTGTCCGTTACCAGGCCGAAACCAACGGTGTCGAAGTACACCTTGCCGGAGCTCGTGGAACTATCGGCTATAACGGCGCTTGTCAGTTGGGATATCTTGGTGGGCTTGGGGGTGAAGTGAGAACCTACCGTACGATGATTCCCATCTTGCGCCAGGGACTTCCTGACTCGATGCCGACTTTGCTGGGTCGTAGAGCGCGGGCAAGCCGTTCACGGCTATCTCGCCCAATTCGGTGTCGGTGGACATCAACCAGCTGCTCATCGTGTGAGCGGGAGAATTCAAAGATTCAAGGGACAAGAAAGACTGACAAGTCGGATGATGCTGTGTCGATGATGACGGGCATCTTTTGCGTCGCTGATCCGACGAAGATGTCTGTCAGCCAGTAAAAGTCATTGCTACTCTTTGCAGCCACGACGGCAGCTAGATATGGACGGTCAGCTTTGGGTGTACTTTGAGGTTGCGGTTCCGAGATCTACGGATGGGAAAGGGGAGAAAAGGGGGGCGGGAAGGAGGGCAAACTTGCATTCGTATCCTTCGCGCCGGGTCAACCTATTGTGGTTGGCGAGTGACGCCGGGACGGGCATGTTCCATCGTTCGTAGGCGGCTGCGAGGGCGGCCGGGCCGTCCAGGATGAAGTCTGGGTTCGATCGGACGGGGACTATGAGGGCACTGCGGCGCTGGAGCTCCGGTAGCTCGGGTTGCTGTTGGATACCGGTCGGGGTGGCGTGTGCCAAGGCCGACCATAGCAGTGGGAAGGCGAGGGAGGGGATCATCGTTGCGGTGTTCAGATGTTTGGCGGCGTCGAATTGGAGTTTTTTTTTTTTTCCTTTGCGAAGGTTGGTTTGGAGGCTTTGATCTGGATGAGGATGCCGAAGATGTTCTCCTGGGAAAGGGGAAAGGGGATTCTCCTTGCATATATATATATATTTCTCACTTTGAATGCATCCAGCCTTTGCTTTTCACGGATGTTGATTCTATTTTCTTCAGTTCCAGGGGACAAATGTCGATGGGCAATATGTTTGTTTGGTACCGAGACTTGGTGCTAACGAAACTAACGATGATGTCGCAACACGATCTTGTTTGCTGTTTCTCTCTCTCGCTCGCTCGCTTTTTGCCCTTTGCCTCTTACTCTCCCACCCCCCTTTGTTGGCTGACTTTACCGATCGTTCCTTACATGAGAGTGCAACATGTGTCACTCCGCGGATCTTTGGGCGGCGGCCGGGTGGGAAAGGCCGGCGTTGTGCAGATACCCGTCTTTGGGCTTTTTGTCTTGAAGACGAAGAATAGGAATTAACCGGAAGGGAAGCCGACGGGTTGGCGTTACCGAGTTGTTGGTCATGGGATTCCACTCTGTCTTGTCTGTCTGGACCTTTACTGTGTGTCCTTCGTTTCTCCCTTACATCCTACTCATACATGGTGACTCAAATAAGAGATTGGGATGGAACAGAAATCATGCGTGGTACGATTGCGATGGGCGTTTTGGAATGGAGACTTTGTCGCGAGGCAAAGAGGGGATGATGGTCTCACCCGTACACCGAAGGTGAGATAGAGAGATAGAGAGAGAGCAAACAAATGCTGGGACTTCGCCACGATGATGGTGATGGTGTTGCCTATGATGATGGATTTGGAGAGGAGAGGAAGCTAGCCACGCGAGAGGTGTGATGTACAACGATTCGCAGTCCGGGATACAGAGATATCTTCTACTGGGAAAAGAAAAGGTCCGGTGCAATCAAAATTGTCCGAGGATTGCGCCGGACCTTTCTTTGTGTTTCTTTTTCCCCCTCGCCTTGAACGAGGCTGACGGATGGACATCGTGAAGCTATATCCGGGAGCTACGTCCCCTTTCCCCCCGAGGCGATACAAGTATAATCAGAAGGCTGGCGACGGGTATGTCACTTTGAACTTTTCGGCGAGATGTTGGGTGGTACGGATGAGATGTATGCGCTCTCCCGACGGGAAGTGAGCGATGCTGGTGGTGTCACCGTCAACTCTGTCGATTTTGGGAATGATTGATATTGTTTATTTGTCGACTGCCCTGCTGATCATGAGATTGAAGTCTTCAAGTGGAACAAACTCAGCATCTGGGCAACGAGGCGGACGGTGGTGAGGTGGCGGTGCCTTCTGTAGAACATTGATGATGGTGAAGGTTGATGAAGTGGCCATCGTTACTGACGGTCGCGATTTGTGCAAAGAATCTGCGCTACATTTCATCAATGTTTGCTTTCTCGTAGCCTTTTGTCCTGCGGGTACTTAGTTGCCTGACTCGACTGATGTAGCACGATGTGAAGGGTTCCTGCTGCTGCTGCTAGAACATGTGAGCAGCGGGTCCCGTCAAGATCGAGGCTTGGAAAAATGTACTACTTGAGGCGAGATTGACGTTCACGATGTTATTCGCCTCGCTGCTAGTTAGTGCGCACGGGAAATGTCACATGGCGATCTCAAACGCAAAATTGGCAGTTGTCTTGATTTCGTCTGTAATTCCATTTCATCTGTAGAAACGCCTTAGGTATGGTATGCGCAAAAAAACTTCACTTCTGGTTGCCCCACCCCCACCAATCTACAATCCATCAACGTGTCTCTAAAGCTCGTCGTGCTCCAATGCATCCTCCTGCTCCTTGGCAGCGGCCTGCTGGGCCTGCTGAGACTGGTCAAACTTCTTGAGGATCTCCTCAATCTCCGCCTCGCTGGGCGTGTCACCGTCGCTGCCGCCAAACTGGACGTAACTTCCGCCATCGGGAAGCTCCACGGTCCGGCCAGCGGGGGGCTCGCCAACAGTCGAGCTCTTGGAGGGGATGGTGGTGGTAGACTTCTTGCCGTCCTCGGGAGAGGCGGTTGCGGAGGTCGAGGCCGTGGCAGTGGACTTTGTCTTCTTAGCCGCCTTGGCCGCCTTGCTAGCCTTCTTGGTCTTGCCCTCCATGTTCTTGACGCCCTTCATGGCCAGGTCCATGCCTGCCTTGTCGAGCTTGTCGCGCTTGGCCTGGAGATCCTTGACGAGGAGGACGGGGTCCGCAGTCGCGGCGAGGGCGTCTTGCTTCTTTTCCATCTCCTTAAGCCACTTGTTGGTGGTCTCGTAGACGTCCTCGACGACCTCAATGTCCTCGCGCTTGTACAGGGGCGGGACGGGGCCCTTCTCCTTCACGACGTCCTCCATCGTGCGCTCCTTGGAGTCCTCGTCCTCGAGACCGTCAAAGTCGCCAGAGGGAGTTGCTGAGGGAGTCTCGGTAGAGGTGCTGGAGGAAGACTCGGTGGCTGCGGAGGCGTGCCACTCATCGTACTCGTCAATCTGCTTCCTGATTGTGCCGACAAAGGTCTGGGTGGAGTTGAGGGCTTCCTTGAGAGCCTTGACCAGCTCAGGACGCTTCTCGGCCTCCTCGCTTCTCTTCTGGATCTTAGTAACGGGGTCATGGAGTCCCTTGTACTTCTTCTTGAGCTCGTCGCGTGACGCGTCGGCGCCCTCCTCGTACAGCCAGTCGCTCGCCTCGCTGTTCTTCTTCTCCAGAGTGGCACGCTCCTCGGTAGTAGAGGCGGCGATGAAGGACTCGCTCTCGAGGAGGTCGCGAACCTTGTAGGTGAAGCCTTCCAGCTGGTTGAGGGCCTCCTCTCTCAGGCGGCGGGCCTTGTCAGATCCCTCAAAGGCCTTGAGGCGGTCTTTGGACTTGACGAGTTCATCGCGGGAAAGCTCAGGCAGGCCGGCCTTCTCAAGGGTGAAGTCGACGTTGATGGTGACGAGCTCCTTCTTCTTGGGGGCGGGCTCCTTGCCATCAGCCGCAGCGTCACTGGGAACGGGCGAGGACGAGGCGGTAGTAGACTCAGTCTTGGTCGAAGCGGTGGTGGAGGACTCGGATTCCGTGGTCGAAGACTCGTCGTCTTCCTCTCCATCAAGAGGCTTCTGGTCTCCCTTCTTGTTGCCAAAGCCGAACAGGTTCTTGACGCCATCAACAAAGCCCTCCTTCTCGGGGGCCTCGGCCTCGCACTCGACGGTAGCCTTGGTGACTTCAACCTCGCCGCTCTCGCTGCTCAGCTTGACGCCAACCTTGAAGTGAATATCGCTGTCAACGCAGGAGTACTTCTCCTTCAGCTCGGCGACGGAGGCGGTAAGGTTCTTGGTAGAGAAAACCTTGGTATCCTTCTCGGCAGACTCGATCTGTTGGTAGAAAGTGACATCAAAGTCCTCGTGGTTGGTGAAGGTGACGTCCTTGGGGACACCGCCCTGGGGAGAGACGGCGGACCACAGACGCTGGTGCTGAAGCTTGCTCTTGTTGTTGGTCCACTTCATGCCAGAGGCGTAGTTGGCGCCCTCAGAAATGCGAATCTCCTTGACACGGAAGCTGGGGCTGAGCTCGGCAGCGCGGAAACCGGCACCGAAAACGGCGGCCTCATCCGAGTTGACGTTGCTGCGAAGCTTCTCGGTGGAGCCGACGATTTGCTCGAGCTGCTTCTGGACAAAGGGGGTTCGGGAAGCGCCGCCGTGAAGAATGACAGAGGTTAGGTCAGAGAGCTCAAGCTGAGCAGTCTTCAGAGCGCCAAGGAGGACGGCGTCAACACGCGAGGCGTGAGTCTCAGCCATCTTCTCGAAATCAGGACGGGTAAGCTTGTACTTGAAGTCGACATCCTCGTAGAGTCCCTCGAAGCTTGCGCTGGCCTGCTGGTTGGCGCTGAGGACGTGGCGCAAACGCTCCGCCTCCTTGGTCAACTTCGCGATGGCACGGCCGTGAGCCTTGACCTTCGCGGCATCGGCAGAGATCTTCTTTCCGCCCTTGGACTCGACGAATTGAGCGACCATGTCGTCAACGATGAGGTAGTTGAGCGCGTCACCGCCCAGTGTCCTGTCCCAGCCAGTGCCGATAACGGAAACCTCCTGGATGGTCTTGTTGAACTTGCCAACGTCCTTGACCGTGCGGCCCTGGAACTTCATAACGGTAGCCTTGGAGGAGCCGGCACCCATGTCGAACACCAGGTGGTACTCGGGCTTGCCTCCCTCGTTGATGTTGGGGAACTGGCGGGAGGTAGCGTAGTTGAGACCGACAGCAAGACCATCGCTGATGAGGCTCAGAACCTTGAGGCCGGCGAGATCAGCGGCGGCCTGGATCGCGCGCTTCTCCTCGGTTGTAAAGTAAGGAGGGACCGTCAAGACCATGGAGCGGACAGAGGTACCAGCTCCAGCAGCAGACTCGGCGTTCTTCTGGATGCTCTGCAGCTCCATGGCCAAGAGCTCCTCAACCAGCCATGCCTCCTCTTCCTCAGTGAAGACCTTGCTCTTGAAAGCAGCGGTTCCTCGCGCTTCGTTCTTCTCGAGCTGCAGGGCGGGGTGTCGGGCAGCGTATTCTTGGACAATCGGGTCGTCAACGGAGAGACCGAGGAGTGTCTTCAGGTTGGGATAGACATCGTGAGGGAAGCGGGCGGAGAGGGCAATGGCGTCGGAGCCGTAGAGTCTCTCGGGGTAGGAACCGGACTTGGGGCCGCCCTGGAGGGGCTTGAAGGTGACGGCGGAGATTTCCTTGCGGCGCGAGTCCTTGGTCAGGACAATGTCGAGAGGAATACCGGGCTTGACGAGGGCAGCCTTGATGTACTCGGTGCCGAGGTCAACACCGAGGACGGCGGAGACGGCAAAGACGTGTGCGGAAAAGAAGAAGACGCAGCCAAGGACTATTGTCAATGGCGAGAATGTTCGTTGCGCCATCATGTGTGGTTTGCGCCCAATGGCGCTGTGGAGGGTCGTCTAGGCAGGTTCGTGTGAGAGTTCCAGAGGTCGAAACTAACACGGATTGTTAGACAAGTCCCAGTGTAAGACTTGAGATGCAGGAGTGTCGTGAATCTAGAGAGTGAGGAAAACCCAAAGACAAAAAGAGGAGAAGTTAAAAAAAAGAAGGGGGTTTCCTCGAGACAACGGCGACCCAGGAACACAAATATGGACAACGGAGCGTCGTTGAATGGAGATTCGTGAAGGTGTCCTCTATTGGGTTCGGTGCCATTCTCCTCCCCCCAGACTGGGTCCAGGTCGTCTCGGGCAGGGGACCTTCTACTGGATTACCTGTCCTGGCGAAGAGGACAGCTGTAACAAAAAAAAAGTTGTGGCGCCTTCCCCACCAAATGCAAGGCTGACCATACGATAAGGTTTCCATTGGTGCGATAAGAATAAGCACTGGGATTTGTGGCAGTTGTCCCGAGAAGAGTGGGGCACAAGATCCACTAGGTGCATTCAAGCCACATTAAAGGGGCCAACGCCCAGCTTCCCATCTTCAAGTTCTTGTTTGAGCAAGCAACTCATGGACACTTTTACCGACTGAGAATTACCTAAAGGTTACGTGGAGTATGGCACCATCACGGGAGCGGTCAGTCACCGCAGATCCAACATGTCAGCAGAAACCTGTTTGTGGACAAGTGTCCTTAAGGTAGGCAGCTTGCGTTATCCTCTCCCATTGCCAAAAAGGACAGTGTTGCATCAGATCTGTCTTGTAAGGGTAGGATGAGGCCAGACATTTTCAGCAACAAGACTCAATCAAGTATGCAGATTGAGTGAGAGAGGTAAGACAGCCTGTCTGCTTTATGTCAATCAGACATATTGCGCCAGTTCTGAAAGGACCTGGACGACTAGAATGCTGAGTTTTCATCTTGAGTGTATCAGTACACAATTGCAAACAAATGCGGATCTGAAATCCGATTCTCACACCAAAGACCTTGCCAACTTCTCTCTACGGCTGCAAATTTCAGCTGCTTGCCTTGCTCAACATCATCCGAAGTAGGAAACACAATCTCTTTGAGTTCCCATTGCCGTTCACATCATTGGAGATCGCGGGGTAATAGAGCTACAGTGGAGCAACTTATGGCGGGGTACAATCCAGCTTCCCTTGCATAGGTAACCTCCCAGCTGCAACCTCACCAACCGACAAGGTACAAGGACTGGCATCGGCACATCATAGTGGAATCTCGCTGTGAGGGTATCCTGCAGGAGGCTCCGAATTCAATAATCATCATGGTTCCAGTGGACAACGAAATCAAAGGCAGACTAGCCCTGGTGACAGGTGCCTCTGGTGGGTGAGTTGAGGCAACAACCTCATCCAGCGAGTTTGTGCCTAACAACCACAGAATCGGGGCAGCCTGCGCCCGAGAGCTCTTCGCCAATGGAGCACGTCTAGTCCTGACATGTTCATCCAAAGAAACCTCTGTCAAAATCAAAGACCTGGCTGATGAACTTATGAGATCAACGGATGAGGAGACCAGGGTTTCATGTCACGTAGTAGACATGTCTTCCACCAAGGCAATCGAAGAATTATTTAAGGATTTGGACATCGGATACGGCCAAGCGCCCGATATAATCATCTCCAACGCCGGCACGGCAGGCTTCAACAACAAAGCCAACCCCTACCTGGAGAACATCTCCCTCGAGGAGTTCGACTTCACCATCAACATCAACCTCCGCGCCTCTTTCCTGCTATGCAAGCTCGCCATGCCGCACATGGTCTCCCAGGGCTGGGGCCGCATCGTCTTCGTGTCATCCATATCAGCTATTGGCGGCGGTATCAACGGCTGCCACTACGCCGCGAGCAAGGCCGGCATGACGGGACTGATGAAAAACCTGGCGTCCAAGCATGCCAAGGACGGCGTCACGCTCAACGACGTCGCGCCAGCCATGATTGGTGATACGGGCATGATTCCCGACGAGAAACGTGTAGAGGGCACGCCTGGTGATGTGAAGAATATCCCTGTCGGAAGGCTGGGGACGCCGCAGGAGTGTGCTAATGTGGTTTTGATGTTGTGTAAGACTGGGTATTTGACTGGTCAGAGTATTTTGCTCAGTGGTGGGCTAAAGTGAAATATCAGCCTCCCTTCTCTTTCCTTCCTTCGCGTCGAATGATATTGCTTGGAGTACTTTTGATGCAGCTTTGGAGAGGTGGCCATAAAACATCATGATGTCTAGCTGTAGCAGCCTCGCAGATATGGACAAGAGGGGTACCGCGCTCTTTAATGATCACTATCGACAGGGATGAAGGCTATTTTGTCCACATCTTCGAGATGCGAAAAACACATCTGCGACGGACGCATTTTACATCTCCACATATTCTGGGATTTTGTGATTACTTTCCCCCAAGTTCGAGTGTACTTTATTTAGGACGAGTTTCCTGCGGGGTTATTGTCAGCTGCCGGGCCGCGGTGTAATTCCCGATGTATGATTACGCATGATGTTGTTCCCTAGTGTCGAATGAAACAAGTCAAAGACCACCGTTGTATTCCCTCCAAGTATTCTCTCCATGAAGTCTGTGTCTTGGCACAACACCTCAGAATCTACTTTGATACTACCTGACCATTATGAGCAAGCCTTGATAGCGCCTGTACACAATGCCCCTCTACGAGATATCCCACGCCACCCCTCTAAGCCAAAACCAGAGAGACGACCTCGCCAAGTCAATCACCGCGATACACAGCACCAAATTCACCGTCCCCAGAATGTTCATCAACGTAATCTTCACAGACTCCTCAAACACCCCAACCTACGTCGGCGGGAAACCAGTGAGCTCCATTCCCCTGTATACAGAGAAAGCCATTTACTAAATTCACAACCTCTAACCCCAGCGCAAGTCAAACCGCATCGTCGGTCGCGTCCGAAGAGGCTCCTCCCGGACGCAGGAGGACTTCAACTCTTTATGCCACGAGATCCGAGCCGCGTGGGCCCGGATTGTGCACCCAGAGACCGCAGCCGAAGAAGGCCAGCTACCGCCTCAGGACCTCGAGTTGAGGGCAGTCTTTATTACCGGGGAGCTCATTGCTGGGTTGAAAGCTAGCTTCCCGGTGCCTTTGGCTGGGGACGAGCTTGCGTGGGCTCAGGAGAATTATGCGGCGTTCAAGGAGAGGGCGGAGGCTGGGGATGAGGATTTTGCGGATCTTGTTGCTGAGGTTGAAAGTTGGCCAGAGTTTGGCACTTGCACTGGGGGAATATGATGTGTTGATCATAGTTACTAGTGAAACCTGACGAAGCCTGTCTGTTAGGAATCTGTATAACTGAAGCCGAATAGGCGCCTCACCACGCAAATTCTTCTTATTCTTCTCCGGCGGCTTGCTCGAGTTCACACTTGGAAGCAGCCTCAAAGACTGGCTACGGGCCCAATCAATGCCACAAGGCACGGCAAGTTTTTACAAGCAGTATATTTGTGGCAGAGGGAGACATGAGGCTCTTTTCCCCTTGTTCCAGGCTGTCACCTAGAAAAGACGTAGAGGGGGGTTGTTTATGGAGAAGCTGTGCCCTTTGTCAGTTGTCCTACGCGGGTCATGCTCTTATGGTAGACGGTAAAGATCTCGATATAGCCGTGTTGTACAAAGACGTTTCGGAGACCGCCAATCGGGCTGTTGTCCAGGCGTATGGAAATGATCTCAGTGGCGCGTGCGGGCTGTCCGCTTGTCGAGGAAGTTCGAGGTTATATCCCACTCTTCAGCCACTAACGCCCCGACGACTCTTGCCATGTATTCTTCAGCGTAGTAACTCGCGATCACAGACCAAGTATGACTGGGCAGCTACCTCCTTTGTGCAAGAACCGAGAGCGTGTAGCCAGCAGTCCTCCCAAGAGATTACAGGAAATCGGGGCTCGTGATCCCCATTCAGCCGCCAAAAGAAAGAAGAACAAAAATGCCCTCTGTGCTATAGTTAGAATCGACCTGATGGATGACTATTAAAGTCTAAGGAATTTGCCCGCGATTAGCAGCCTAAGAGACAGATCTGACATTTGGTAGTAGCAGCACCATTAGTGGCATTCAATAATCAGTCTTACTAATTCCCTTTCCTAAGACAAGGCAAGGCATGGTAGATCGATGCATACCTGTACGATCGAGGTGTGATTCATCGCCCTTCAGCCCAGAAGCTCACCACCCGTTGCCACCAACAACCCGCTCCATACCTTCCCGTCCCGTCCACACCTGAATACACAACAAGCCTTCATATACCCCTCCAAGTCCAATTCTGTCACCAGCACAGCAGGCGCCCTCTAGGTCGGGGGTCAGGTCAAACTGTGGCGTAGGTGGTGGAATTGGTTAATGGTCAACAATCAAATTTACACACCAACCAGCCTTACTCGACGACAGGCTAAGCGACCGAGTTCGAATCCCAGCATATGCATATTCGACCCGACGTCTTTAATATATGGGAGGTAGATGCAGCTTGGGACAATACACATGGGACGTCCATCAGGCGCTATAAGCATTCGATCACTTGCGGGCTTGTATGAAGTCCTTGTGTTATGTAGAATTGGTATCATTGGATTAACTATTTCTCTTTCTCTCTCGGTCTCGCACCGTACACGATCGTCAGGTCTATCAGGCGTGTATATCTTTTGGTTTTGTTTGAGGGGATGTATCGTACAGGGGGTGGTTATGTCGTGTCTCTCGATCGGTCCAAGGAAAATAGAGGCAAGAGTACAGGTCGGTATCGATCGGTTCGGGTCATTCGTAACATTGAAGGGTAAAAAGAAGATAAAAAGGCCACACACGCTCAGATGGACAAACAGGGTTGGATGTCCCTCACATGGAAGGGCACCCCAATGCATACTTGAAAGGCTCCCCCGCGGCAGGCCCTGGTGATGGAGGCCTACCTCGCGGGCCTGTCAAATAGCTCAGTCTTTACGACTCTCTGGCTCACGCTCTCCATCCGTATTCCGGCTGTCGTGAGACACCGGCCGCTCAACGGGCGACAAGCCTCCAACACTAGCCGCCACGATACCGGGCATGCCAAGAGCGGCCTTCATCGGCGACGCGTTATGTCTGCTCGATGATCTGGACCCGCTCCGGCTGCGTGTTCTCTCGCGGTACTCGCGGGGCTTCATGATCACTTCGCTAATCTGGCTGATTCTTCCTCCCTTGATGCGCTTGAGGAAGGCGAGGTCGTCTCTGATCTCGAGTAGGGCATCCTTGACGCCACCGGCGCCCAGGTGCTCGCTATCCTCCTCGTCCGTCTTCGTCTTGCGCTTCCACTTGGGGATCTTGGACCACACCCAAGCAAAGGGGCTGACGAGGGCGACGAACCACGAGTCGGGGAAGAGCCGGATGAGGACGCCCATGGGGATCGAGATAATGCCGAGGACGATGGAGATGCCCCACTGTGGTCCGTTGAGCTTCTCGACCTTGAAGGCGGCGCCGCCCACGAAGACGATGAGGACCTGACCGCCGGCCATGATGGCCATCATGAGCGCGAAGAGCTTGTTCTTGGTGATACCTTCAAAGATGTTGAGGTTGTTATCGATGCGTCTGCTGTTAATGAGCTTGAAGATTTGCATTAAGACGAAGACGTTGAAGACGAGTGTCTTTTGCTGGCCAGATGGGTAGTTGAGGAAGTTGGGGCCGACAAAGTGGAGGATCAGGGTGACGATGAGTTGGTAGATGGACTGGCCGATAATCATCTTCCACATGGGCGTGTTGATCAACGCGGCGGTCTTGGCCTCGGGCTTGCGGTGGAGCATGCTCTCAGTGGGAGGATCGGTAGCTAGGGCGAGGGCGGCGAAGGTGTCCATGATGAGGTTGACCCAGAGAAGCTGAACAGCGTTCAAGACGGGCTCTTGCGTCTCGCTGCCTACAGCGGTGACAAAGGTGAGGACGACGGCAGTGATGTTGACTGTGATCTGGAACTGCAAGAACTTCTTGACGGCGTCGTTGATGGCGCGGCCCCAAGCCATGGCTTTGACGATTGACGAAAAGTTATCGTCCATCAAAATGATATCGGAGGCTTCCTTGGCGACTTCGGTTCCGGTGATACCCATGGAGAAACCGACATCAGCAGACTTCAGGGCAGGCGCATCGTTCGTGCCGTCGCCAGTGACGGCAACAACCTCGCCCAAACCTCTCAAAGCCTTGACCAGGATTCTCTTGTCCTCGGGGCTGGATCGTGCCAAAACACAGAGTTCCCGAACAATGTTGACGCGCTCGCGTTCATCCATGCGGCGAAACTCGATTCCCTCCATGACCTTGCCCTTCTCCGTAAGAATACCGCAATCCTTCGCAATGGCTCTCGCCGTCTCGACATTGTCACCGGTAACCATCTTCACGGAGACAGAGGCTGTGCGGCAGTCCTCCACGGCCTTCGGGACGCCGGCTCGGACAGGATCCTGAATACCCACAACACCAAGCCACGTCAGATTCTTGAAGATGCTGGAGAACTCGACGTTCTGGGTGCCTTCCTCCTTGCGAGCGTTTTCCGGGGGCCACTGCTCGAAATCGCGGTAGCCGAGGGCAATCGTGCGGAGGGAGCGGCGGGCGTAGTCGGTGATGGTTTGACGAATATGCCCCTGCTGATCCGATGCCATGGAGGCAGTCGTAGGAGACTTCGTGGGGTCGGAGACGGCACTGGTGCATTGTCCCAAAAGGATCTCAGGGGCGCCCTTGACGAAGAAACGGTACTTGTTGTTTGGGAGGCGCACAACGGCACCCATAGCCTTTCGCTTCGAGTTGAATGGAAACAGTTGCTGGACAGGGCAGTTTTCGCGCTCGATGGCGATTTGCTGAAGGGCAAAGCATCGGCGAGCCCAGTCGAGCAGGGCGGTTTCGGTTTTCGTGCCTACAAACACCTGCTTTCCGTTCTCCTCCGTCTCGAAGGCAGTCGTGTTCATCGCGACGGACTGCTTAACCAGATCCCTGAAATCTGCGTCGATTGCCGAGGAAAGCTTGGACATGGGGACTTCGGTGGAGGTGGTTTGGGACTTCTTGTCATCTCCAGTAACATGCACGTCCGACTCCTCATCTTCCTGGCCGTTCTCGGTGGATTGATCGTCTGAGGCAACGAAGCGGAACTTGCCAGTGCCCAACGTGCCAGCGACGACGGTCATAACATTCTCCGTCAGGGTACCAGTCTTGTCAGAGCAAATGACGGTCGCATTGCCCATGGTCTCGCAGGACTGGAGGTGACGGACGAGGTTGTTCTCCTTGGTCATCCGCTTTGTGGCGTAGGCGAGGGCGAGAGTGACGGCTAGGGGCAGACCCTCGGGCACTGCAACGACGATGATGGTGATGGATGTGATGAGAATCTGCAGGAAACGTTGGCCCTTCTCCTCGGGGGAGTCGCTATTATTGGGAAGGTGAGCCAGGAATTCGATCGTCAAGACACTAAGAAGGAGAAGACCGGCACCGCTGCCGAGCTTCGCAATGTAACCTGGAAGTGTTGTTAGCAACCTGCCCAGCCAGGTCGTAAAGTAAACTTACCCGCAAGGATATTCAGCTTGAGCTGGAGAGGAGTCATTCCAGGATCGTCGCGGAGGGACATCATGGTCTTGCCGTGGCTCGAGTTCTGGCCGACAGCAGTGACCAAAAATGTTCCAACGCCATCCAGGACTCTGGCTCCAGAAATGATAAAAGGGTCAAGCTTCTTGGGGTTCACCTCCTCCTCGTGCAGCGCCTTCATGACGGCGTCTGCGGGTACCTTTTTGATAAGATCCGACTCTCCAGTTGCAGACGATTCATCGCAGCTGACGTTGTGCCCGTCGATGAAAACACCATCCACCGGAATGATGTCTCCCTGCTCCAGAAGCATGACGTCTCCAACAAGAATGTCGTGAACCGAGAGGTTCGCGGGCTTTCCGGATCGAATAACCTTGACAATACGGTCCTCCTTCTTCTGGTTGAGCTTCCGGAACTGCCTCTCCTTTTGCCAATCGTTGAGCGAACCGACGACGACGACAATCGTGATAGCGACGATAATGGCGACACCTTCAACCCACTCGAGCTTGGCAGTGTCGTCTCCGTGATGAGTTGCTCCAAAAGTTTGATACAATCCCAATGCCAGGGAGATGACAGCGGCCACACTCAACAGGATCAAGACTTTGTCCTTCATCGCAATCCAAGCGAGTTGCAACAGTGACAGCGATTTCCTCTCTGGCAGGATGTTTTGCCCGAACACTCTCTTCCGGTCGTCGAAGTCTTTGCCGGCACCTTCGCCATGGTGGGCAGCATCCTGTTGAAGCGCGTCCGTTGGCACAGCGTCCGAGGACGACGGGAGCTTCTTCCCTGCGGCGACGGCTTCCTCGAAGCTGATGCTGCCATCGAGCCTGGATTCGTCGAGACTCAGACCGGCGCGCCTGTCTGTTCGTAGACCCTTTTCCAAGCCTACAAGACCTCCAACGGCAACGAATGCATCTAGACTCTTTGGATTAATGAGCTTCGAAACCTGGCCAGGTGTATAGGCAAACGGGTTGTTATCGACGTGAAAAGACGCCTCCTCGCCCGGATTCGGCGCCAAGGCATCGTCTGGGTTGGCGCCGTAGCCTTTGGGAGAGCCCGAGAGGTGTGCAGTCGGGGAACCCTTGTCAGTGCCTTCATTTGTCTTTGACTTTGCTAACGTCGTGTTATTCGAGTCCCAAGACTGGGACCGTGACTTTCTCGTGGGCACTGATAACGTATTATTGATTTCGTCGCCGTGATCTGAGGAAGACGGTGACGATGTGACTTGGTGTTGGTCGTCTTCTGTAAGTCGAACGCGTCCGTGGTTAGTTTGGCCCGGCTGGAGGCGGTGGGAGAAGGATTATTTCATGACCGGTCCAGGGAGGAGGAATGCAATATGGCGTCATACCTTGTTCGTTCACAGCGGAAGTATCCAGCGTGATAGTAGGCGCCCGTGGCCGCCTCAGCGGAGAAGGAGTCCGCGGCATGGCGATGCCTTGGTCTAATTATTTGTGTGTTTTGGTTGGTGTTTCTGCCTCGCCGGTCCCAGAGTAGTGTTCCTGGAGAGCGGTGGGAGCTTGGAGGGCAATGTAGAAACTTGTAAGACAGTGACAGTCGGTCCGCCTCGTTTTGGGGAGGAAGGAGCAGTGGTGATTGGAAGCTGCTCTTTGGCGGCGGGCGTTGGTGAATAGGTAGCTGCGGAAACAACTTTGGATGCGCGGGTTGTGGTGCAAACAAAGAAGGGTTGTGATGTTACACACACTGAGTATGTAAATGGACCCAAAGAAGAGGGAGCCAGCTGTTCAACGAATGGCAATTGAAAGTAGCACCTTTGCGGGCTGAAGAGGTAATGATTCGATTTGGATTGGGAGGCGGTGTAGATTAGTGTCGAAAGGGAGGCAGGGAGAGAAAACAATGGATCGAGGTGAGGGAGCTTGTTGACTGAAGCTTGTACGCTGCTGGTGTTGGTGGCGGCTTGTCGTTTACCTCCCGGTGAGGATTATTGGTGCCAGCGATACGGGTTGCGGGATGGGACGTCGATGCCAGTTGATATGTCTGGACGTGGAACCTCAGGCGAGGGTGATCTGGAGAAGGCGGCCCGCTAGGTTTGGTGGGGTCATGACATCCAAGGTGCCATAGAAGAGGGCTGTGAAGCGTGAACCTTTCTCTTTTGGACCGATGAGGTGTTGATTCGGTACGTGTCTATCGACAAGGTATCCGGATGGCAGAGGATTCAAGTTGGATGAAAAGAGGAGATGGGAAACGGGTAGAGATGCGGGCTGTGGCAGGGCAGATTTGGGCAGAAAAGACCAAGGTCATCAGGAGTCACGATGCCGAGGGTGAGGAAGAGAGAGAGAGAGAGAGAGAGAGAGAGAGAGAGAGGATTAGTGACGTGGAGAAGAAGCGTCTGCGTGATGATGTTCTTTCGGTTGTGGACTGACAAGTAGCAATCAACAACGGGCCAAGCGCCCGCAAAAGCCGCCAGCTTTAATCCACGTCGATACAAATGATGGTGGCACAGGGTTGCACGCTCGGGACGAGAAGCATGGGGGGGGGAAGAAACAACACGCCGCTGGAGTCTGGACATCGCAGGTGCCTCACCAGCTGGGCTTGGCAGGTTCTAGGCCGCCTGGCCAACGAGTGAGGTACTCTGGGCTGGAGAGCATTCATCAGGATAGGAGAATTACACAGCCACCATTGCGGTGATTCGACCAAAGCCAAGGAAATCCCAAGATGCCAAGACGTCGCTCACGCCCAGTACGTAAACGTGCAGAGGCGAGTGGTCATCTACGAAGTACGTTAATTCGCGCTGCACCACTTTGTTCTTTTACTGCTTGCTCACTGTTCGCTCATTGAGACTCTGAGAGGAGACCCATGTCTGTCAGGGTAAAGCATACGGGTTGTTTAATCGCCAAGACGGGGAGCACCTCATTTGATATCGAGAGTGCTGTTCAAGCGGTACGGAGTGCAGGGGGTGCGCCAAGCCATGTCTTGAATTGCGGTGGACGGTGGAAATACATTCAATTTATCAAAATAAAAGCATTCAATCAGGTTAGATACGAGGACCTCGCTCTCCCTCTTTAGTCGCCCTCCTCTTGACTATCGATTATGGGCTATAACCTTACCTCACTCGGGTAATGTGACAGTATCTGCAGCACATGTAATATTTGACCTTTTTCTCACTCACTTTTTACTTTTCACTGCTCACTCACTCTCATTCTCACTCTCAAGTTTCACTCATAAACTCGGGTCCCGGTACGTGTCCGTTGACCGAGGTGAAGAACAACCGGACCAGTTACCGTCAGTCACCGCCCCCCAGTTACGACGGGCCCGGTGTTCGCTTCACCGGGTGGAGAGCTTTGGTCACTCTGAGCCCCCAGTGACGGTGGACTGATCCATATGTCGCCTGAAGAACGAATGAATCCAGCAAAGATTGGATGCCGCCGAGACATTTTTTGCTTCCTCCGTTCTCAACTTCTCTATGACAACCGAGGAAAGACAAGGAGGCCGCCGACCGCAACAAGAGAGATGAGCCACAGTCCGGCCCTCTTGGCAGGAACCTAACAGTGGCCCATCTTTGAACCAGCACTCTCCCGAGCAACGTGGCGAAGCGACAAAAAAGATGACTACTCCGTAGGTTCTGTCAACTGTTTGAGCCTTTGAGGCAAAAAAGAACAACTTTGGGGCGACATCTTCCCATCCCAACTTTCATCATAGCTTCTCCACGTTTTGTGTGGCCGTGCTCGCAAAGGTCAGATCGGGTAGGAAAGACCTAATGGCAATTTTTGCCTTTTGCCATGCAGCCGCTGGGGTTGGTTGGCCTGATCTGCCCCGAACTCAACTCTCAACCGTGATGGATATTGGATAATGGATACATCTCATCATCATTGGGGCAACCATGGCAGCCATCCCGCGTCGAGGGATTGTCATTGTGGCACCCACACCCGGAACACTCCAGCCCTTCTGCATACCCGGAGCCGGTGACAACCCTGCGATTACTTCGTAGAGGCTATAGAGCAGCCCGGAACAAGAACCCCGGCAGGCAAAGGAGTTTGCATCACAGAGTACCCATCCCCCGTCAGGTACCTATTGCGAGTGTGCTGTCACCTGTGGTAAGGTACGGACAGATAACTACCGTCCTCGGGATGCGCCCACCCTTGGGCTGACGATGGGCTCGGATGAGCCAAAAAAGACTTGGCTCATCGAGGATTCGAGAGGCCGAGGAGAAGGACTCTCAACTGAGGGCCGAGGACTGCACTGCCTCTCTTGGTCGTCCCACACTCCGTCGTTTTCCACCTCTTCCGATTTGTCTCCCACAATTCCTTCAGTGAACATAGGCCGACTCAAGAAACAGATACATAGCAGGGGGCGGGGGATGGGGAGACTGCCAAGACATTGAACTGACATCATCTCAAATCACACAAGAACACACACACACACACTCTCTCTCTCTCTCTCACGTCTCTCTCTCTCACGTCTCTCTCTCTCTCACGTCTCTCTCTCTCACGTCTCTCTCTCTCACGTCTCTCTCTCACACGTCTCTCTCTCACACGTCTCTCTCTCACACGTCTCTCTCTCTCACGTCTCTCTCTCTCTCTCACGTCTCTCTCTCTCTCTCACGTCTCCTGCTGTGGCAGGAGAAGAAAAACAAGGCTTCTTCCCCAAGCAAACCAGCCATGTGCCTAGATTCTTGTGGGTGTCACCGTGTCACGGTTGTCTGATGGAACAGAACTTCCAGCGAGTGCCTCTGAGAGTTGGCACACCCACATGAACAATAAACCTCACCACTTACAGGTGCAACAGCTGGAAGAGGAGGCGCAGCTGTGTTGCAGCAGAAAATGCCAAGTGACAGCCTAGTTTGGTTTTGTTTTGATAGTCGACCCTCCCCGTCAGTGGTCATCCGTGTCACCCACACCCGGGAAACGAAGAAGAAAACTTTAAAGTGGCAGCAACTCCTTGACGGAGTACTAGTGCAGTTTCTTCCACGAGGGAAGCTCTGAAAAACACCTTTTCCCATCCCAGGGATTGCACTCCTTTCCCTCTGACGTCAGATTAGGAACCTGAAGGCGGCGGGACAGAAGCTTCCATTCGGAAACCTGCGCCGAAACGGCATGTTCCAGCCAGTCTTTTTTCCATCATTTTCCAAGCTCCTAGTGTAAAACATGGCAACTTTTTTTTTTTTGACTTGGGTTTTCCATCCCGTCGATAGTTCCTTCTGACGGACAAGTTTCATGCGTCTAACCAAGATATTCGGGTGTTTAAGTTCATTGCGGCTGGATCATTAGGGTTTTTCATGGCGGTCTGGTCCCAACCTTCACTACCTTACTCGGTACTTGAGTAAAAACGAGGTGAACTAAGCAGCTAAGGTAACCTAACTTTGACAGCCAAGCCAAGGTAGGTAATGGACCGACCGCTACTTTGCTGGCACAGCTGGCAGCATCTTTTTCTCTCATGCCTAACAAAACGCTGATCGGCCGCCCAAGGCATGCAAGGTGATAACCCGTGATAGGTGTACAAAATACGCCCAATCGGCGCGCCAAGCGACGCGAAACCAGGACCAACGCCCATGAGAAGAAAAAAATTACCAACGGCAAGAAACACCGCCTCGAATACCAAGACGCCGCAGAACAAAGATTCGCCCTCACGCCTCAGGGCCCTCTTCGCTTCGCTCGCCTGCTTTCTTCTCTCTCAGATTCCAGCTGTGATGTCTTTGTACTACAAAGTACGTATCCGTATCAACTTTGGAAATCGCCCCTGACTCGGTCTTGGCGCTGGCGCAGCAATTCAAATGACTCTGTGACTTCTCGTTTTCGCCTCTGTACTCCGTGGGACCGTAGGGTACTATACGGATGCCATGATCTGTCGATGCGCGCGGAGATTCGCGCGAGTTGCAATGCCGGGCCATCCCGTTTCCTTCCATTGCGGTTGACCATGCATGATGCCCTGGCACGGGTAGAATTACATCCACTCCGGCCTCGACGGTGACATCCGGCACCATCGCCGGTCGGGTCTCCACAATTACCGGGCTCGTTGCCGAAGCCCTATCGGATGTCCCAGTCACTACCTACTTACCTTACCTTACCTTACCTACTAGGTACCGAGATGACTGTTTATCAAGGACATGCGCTCTAAAGTCTCTTTTAATCAGCCAACGTTAAACACCTTTTGTAAAGCTTGGGTCATATGGGCGCTGACGACTAATCCTTTATGCAGGTGAATTTGGGCAATTCAAACGTGATCCCCCCGGAGCTTACTGAAGATTCCGTATTACCAATCCGTGTTGACGCTTATCAGAGGAAAACAATATCCTCATCGCTAAATTTTGCTCTACAAATAGGCTGCTGATTCTTTATATGGAGGGATTCCAAGGTGCTGAAACCGTGAGATAACCAAAGCCACGAATATCGTGTAGATTACGCTCTCCTTGAGATAAAGCAAATAGACACTACCTATCCACACATCAAACCAAACCTACCCTCTTCTCATCTCTGCCCCTCATAAGAGCCATGCCAACATACGTAGTCACCGGCGCAAGAGCCGGCATCGGCCTCGGATACATCAATCAACTAAGCAAATCCCCCTCCAACACAGTCATCGCCCTCGTCCGCTCCACCTCCCCTTCCTCTGCCACCTCCCTCTCAGCTCTCGAAGCCATCCGATCCTCCAGCGTCGCCACAACGCATATACTCGAATGCGACGTCTCCTCCGAGGCATCCATCGCTGCGCTCCCCGGCCGGCTCTCAGCCGCCCTCGACAAGGGCCGTAGGGCGACGCCGGCCAAAGTGGACTTCCTCATCAACAACGCCGCGACGCTGCAATTTGCGCACCAGACGAGTTTGACCCTTGATAAAGAGGGGTTGGATGTGCACATGGAGACCAACGTCCTTGGGCCGGCGAGGATGGTACAGGTTTTGATGCCGTTTTTGACTGCCAAGCGGGGTGACGAGGGTGAGAGCGAGGGCGAGGGCGGGGAGCGGATCGCCGCGGTCGTCGCCAACATCACCTCCGGCGCGGGAAGCCTGGGATGGACCAGCGCCGGCCGCGTCGGGATGCTGGCGGGCTACTCCATCAGCAAGGCGGCGCTGAATATGCTGACGGTGCACCAGGCCAAGGAGTTGCGGGGCGAGGGGGTCGTCGCGGTGGCAGTCGATCCGGGTCACGTCAAGACTGCTTCTGGGGGGCCTGGGGCGACGGTTGAGGTGGAGGATAGTGCGCGGGGTATATTGTCGCTACTGGCTGGGCTCAAGGTTGCTGATAGTGGGAGGTTCTTTTTGTATAATGGGACTTCTGTTCCTTGGTAGACTTTTGGGATGTTCAGTCGTTGAGATGAAGGGGTTTTCTTTCGAGACTCGACTAGTTGTTTTGTTCTTGGGCGGCTTCACTGTATTTAGTCTCCTACTCCGAGCTTGTAGATGATCGAGAAGTTCGTGGAAGCTTTCAGGGGGGGGCTAAAGACATGTTTGCTTTCAACTTTCAAAAGGGCGGTCGTCAAACTCTTCTTGTATTAAGCTTGAATCAACGTCCCTCTTAGAACCAAAAATCCCGGGTTCGAGGGTTTATAACCCGAATTGTACCTTTATTCATAATACCTTTGGATGGTATTCTGGAGAAAAAAGGGCCTTTTACATAAGTCCAATTAATCAGCGTTCCTCTTTTCTTGACCACCCAATTCGTCTCGCATTTCTGACGAGCTTGACTTATGACTTGAACTCGTAGCTCTGAATACAAACGAATCCAAGAAATCAAATTATAAGAAGACTAGCATGAGACGGGTCCCGATCAAGAGAGGCTTTCATAATTATCACGTCTACATCTTTCCCGTCCGAGGACGATGAGTACTAGGTACCTTAGGTGAGAGAATCAGGAAGACATGGGGAAGGGAAGGAACCGTCCCTGCTTCGGTTCCTCCGACCACCACCTGAATACACACCCGAATACACCACAAGCCGAAGCCCATATAGACCCCCTCAACTCCATTCTCGTCAACCAGCCAGCAGGCGCCCCCCTCGGGGAGTCAGGTCAAAACTAGCTGGGTGGTGGAGTGGTTCAAGTCCACGCAACAAGCCTAATCGGTGAAGGCTAAGATGTCCCGTGTTCGAGTCCCAGCAAGAGCGCCAGAGATGTAGCCCCCATTCGCCACCGGGGGGGGGTGAACTCTTTTGTTTTTGGTTTTTTTGTAAGTCTTGATGTTAGCGAGACGTACAGCCTGGCTACTCAATAAATAATACATACAACTCACCATTTTTGCAGTGCTGCCTGGGAATCATCAAGACACCCAACGGGCCTTCGTGGAAGGGACATAATAGATAGGGGAATGAGAGAAGACGACAACGTCATTGATTTTGCTACGCGAAATCCAGACATATCATTTTAGAAGAGGAGCTTCAGTACACGACGCCGTCAACGTTTAATTATCTCGGTTTGTCATGTTGCGTCACAGATTGTCAGGCATTGAGGAATCTTGGTTTAACTGACTGAGCCGCACTTGGGCCGATTGGTAACATTATCATACGAAAGTAGACGCTCAGGACTACTCAGAGTATCCTACACATTTCTTCTCTAAAGGGGGCCATATTCCTAGGCCCCCGACATAAAACCTCGCACGCCAAAACATAAACACTCCAATCAACGAAGCTTGCGTGCGATGCGCGGCAGCTTCTAGTTCCTCGTGCCCACGCGTCGTCTCCTTGTTGACGAGGTTATATCCGCGTCGCCCGCCAACTCATCCACGTCATCTTCAGCCATTGGTGTATCTTCACCAGTAGCGACGCTCGCCGGCCTCGTGTTGCCAGAGTTCGAGGGGGCTTGACCCGTGCGTTCCTTCTCCGCATTACGGAGCTCTCCTATGATCTTCTCGACCTCCATAGACATCATCCTCGTAGAACGAACCACAGCGTCTTCGTCAACCTCGTATCCCACCACGTCAGCCCCATCGACAGCACTGCCGCCCTTCATGAATGCTGGACCAGGCCCGCGACTCGGGTTCAGGTTGTACATGATGGCGTTTGAGAACATGTGCACAAGCTCTCGTTCGAGTTGGGCGCTGTTGATGATGCTCTTGGGTGGCACCAGATCGTCACTGATTGGCAAAAGGACAGAGCCTGTGCCTGGGTCACCTTCTGGCAAAGCCTTGGCGGCCTCAGTAGCTGCTCTGTTGCCATGTGTTATGGCTGCACGGATGGACTTGATGTCCTGTGGTTGAATGATCAGGGTCTTGTAACCTGGGGCGTCTCGCTCTCGGATAGGATTCGCGAATTGGTTCGCAAATCTGTGAGCCCCGATCTGATCTAGCGCGGCAGCGCTTACACGACCAAACTGTCGTGTCCATAGCACGTGAGTCGGGGCTGTGGGCGGTGCCAATGGCTCGGTTGGAGTGTCTTGACGTTTGCGCTTATGAGCAAGCCGTGAGGACACGCTACTAGGTGTAATCATATTGCGCCGACTCGGCACGCTTTCGTCAGCAGTTGTATCGCCCGTGTCATCTTGCGGTTTCGGTGTCGCTCTGGGAGTCACTCTAGGAGTGGCGTTCTCGTCCTTAATTCTGGGCGCCAGCTCATGGTGATCCATCGATAACTCATCAGTTTGTGACGTGACTGACTGACTCCGTCGCGTACCGGCAACCGAAGGTGTACTGTCGGCACGGACCTTGTGCGCGCTGCGTGGTGGTCGACCTCGGCCTCTTGGGCCGGGAGTCTTCGTCTCTGACTTCGGCACTGGAATGGGTACCGGTGTCGGCTTGGGACTGGGTCTCCGCGGTGCTTGTGTAGGAGTAGGCGCAGAGGGCAACGGCGCAACTTGCTGCACGGGGCTCAATGGTTCAAAGGCGGGACTGGCAACGTCCTTGTCAGATGCACCTGGCCGAGGCGTCGAAGGTGTAGAAGTCACGGTCCACTTAGTTCCGGAGCCAGTAAGGAGGAAGCTGGGGGGCGCCGTAATAGGCGTTTGTGGTGGTGGAATAGGGGTATTTGCGGCTCGTTGTGCTGGAGGTGCAGCTGCTGCAACTTGTGGAGCCAGGTGAGGAGGAATAGCAGGTCGGGGCTGTTGCTTGTTGAATGGAGGGCTGACGCGCCTTTGAGCATCAGTTGGCTTAACAATTGACTGGGATTGCGCAGGGGCTGGCGTAGGGCTAAATTGTTGCTGTGCATAGGGGGAGGGCTGTGTTTGCTGCCATCTCGGAGGAACGGCTGACTGTCCTGAAGGACCAGCGGATGGGGTAGGCGATGCTGCAGCAATAGGTCGTGGCTGCTGAACGGTGTGTGGCCGCACAGAAGGCGTAACCGACGGACCTGGTGGACGGCCTCGGCGCGGTAAGTTCCCAGACCCCTCTGAGGACTCTTTGATCGGTGTTGAGTGGGTTGGAGCCACCAGCTGTCCTTTTGACTGAGGCTGAGGCTGAGGCGTCGGGGGTTGATGGTGCTTTTGAGGCTGAAGTTGAGTCTGATTTTTGACTGGTGTCTGAGTCTGGGGTTGGATATGAATATGAACCTGAGTCTGAGCCTGAGCCTGAGCCTGCGTTTGAGCTGGAGCCTGAGCCTGGGAGTGAGATTGGGCCTGCCCTTGGGGCTGAGTGTGGCCTTGGGGCTGAGGAGCTACCAGCACCGGCTGGGGTTGCTGCGCATACCTCTGTGCCTGATTTGCTTGCATTGGAACGTGAGGAGGCTGCGGAGGACCATGATATTGCCCTGTTGGTTGAGGATACCATTGCGCAGGATGATGTGCCTGATTCGGGGTAGATGGTGCGGGAGGTGTTGGGATTTGAGGTGGCATAGGGCGACCCTGTGGTTGAAGTGCCGGTGCCGCAGGCTGATATGGCTTTTCCCACTTCAGAGTCCCCGGAGTTGAAGGTTGAGCGGGCGTCCCTGGCGTTGGAACCCGGGTTTTGGGTACGTTATCCGGCCGTGGTGATATTGCTGGCAGAGGGACAGGCGACGTTGACTGGCCGGGTCGAACTGGCGGATGTACGGCACCAGCAGGGGGCTGCAAGACCTGACCGGCATTATTGGGAGGCTTCAGGTTTTGATGCTGCCTGCCATCTGGCCCATTAGCGGGCGCCGCAACAGATGCGCCTGCAGCGGACACAGCTTGCGCCGGAGGCACCGGAGGCACCGGAGGTGATGGCTGGAACGCCCCTGCCGGCAGAGCCACATCTCGTCTCGCCGGTGCGGGCTGTATAGTCGGTGGTGGAGCTGGCGCAACGGTTGTTGGTGGCCGCGCGTGGGTTTGAGGCTGCAGTTGTACGTGTCTCGGGATCGGTACTGGAGTCTGCGTTGGGACGGAGCCTTGTCCGTTCGCAGGTCGAATCGGTCGCGGAGTCTCAACGGGAGGCGTCGGGGTCGATCGCTTGGCTTGATTTTGAGCTGCGGCCTGGCCGGGCGTCGGAATCATAGAAGGAACCGGGACAGGTGTCGGAACAGGCTTTGGCCCTGAGGACCCGTTTGGTGCTACTGGACGGGGTGTGTTCGCCTTTGCGCGATCGATGGCCTCTTGCGTTTCCAGGATCTTGATATCTCTGGCGAGCGTCTCGATACGCTGTTCATCTTCCCTGATGTCCCTAACGACATTTTCCTTGTATCTTGCATAGAGTCGATCCACCAACGCGGGGAACCTGTGTGACTGCTCCTTGACCTCCTTAAGCGTAGGTAGTGGCGGATGGCTGAGCTTGCGTTTCTTCAAAGTTGGCGACGCGCCTTCGGGCTTTTCGCTGGTCGCATTCTCGATCCTCAGCTCTTCCTGCAGCAGGTGCAGGAAGAGTTGTCGAAGCGCATCCGGGCTCAGTCGTTTAGCGTCGTAGGTCTTGTCATCTTTGATCAACGAGTTGTTGACGAGGAGATCGGAGACCTTGATGAAGGCAGCGGCTTCGACGCCGTGCTTAAGGATAGCTTGGAACAGAAACAAGGACTCGAGAGGAGTGTAGGCGGCCGGATTATTCATGCCCCAAAGCCCACCTCGCCAGGGATCGAGGGAGCCGTCGCGTCTCGGGAGAAGGTGGATGGGCGCCAGGGTCTGCATCTCAGACGTTAGACAAGTATCATCTTATCAAGATGTCGCAAGGCTGAGAGTCGCGCGTCGCGGGACGTACTGACAGCCTCTATGAGGAGCTCTTGGTGGGCCGAGGCATCTACTTTCACGCGTTCAGGGGTGGGAAGGGGTGGCTATCGAGGAGCCACTCGTCGTCGCGCGCCAAAGTCGTGTCTCGTAAGGATGGTGTTTTTTTCGTCTGCTTGCCGATTTCGGTCACGTGATGCGAGATGTTTGGAGGTGGGATTTTTGCTAGTTATTGCTTGCAGGCGGGCCGCTGGGCGGTCGATGAAATTTTTTGTTCGTCGATTGGCAAGGTTTGGAGAGAAGATGGGGAATTGAGAATGGAATCTGGAGCACGTAGCGGGCGGGACGAACCAAGGGCGCAGTGCAGCAGTGCAGGCCAGCGTATCAGGTTGGAGACAGGCGAGGCTGAGGTTTTGGATGTAGTCACGTGGTTCTTGGTGTACATCTGAGCGACCTGGTTGGGAGCAGCTTTAGGTAAGCAACTATTGCCTGTCCGTCAAGGTTCCATGTTTCGAGCGACGCAGCGAGTAGCGACAGCAGCAAGTCCGATGCAGATACGAATGAGGCGCCAAGGCATCTGCGAAGGGCACCTCAGGCAAGGCAGTCAAAGTGCACGGGGAGAGAAGACCGGGGCTGCTTGCGGCCCGCCGGCGCTTCTGTTAGCCTCAGGTAGTATTAGCCAGAAAACGGAGCCGGTCTAGGAAACTGCAGGCTTGAAGTAGGCTTGAAGCAAGCGTGGCAACTGGCAAGCACGTCGTGAGGCAGGCAGGCTGCATGAGTGACGAGCCAAAGTATCCCTGTTTCCTCGTTTCCTTAGTCAGACCGATCGGTCTCGTTAATGTTTTTTTTTCTCCTTCACGGTTCCCCATGTCAAAATAGGAGAAAGCTGAGCTGGCAGAGAAGTAATCCACATGGAAGCATTCCGTCCAATCGTCTCCATCAATCCCTCTTCCCGGTCTCCCGGCCTCCCGCTCTTGGGGCCCCGAAGCTTGCGGAATCGTATCCTAGCCCCAAAGTTCTTGTCGAAGATTTTGGTTCCGCCAGCTCCATCTGGAAAAACCATCCTCAGCTATCCGTACCTCATGGTCCAAGTGAAAGAGCCAGGCAGCAGTCAGGTTGCTCGCAAACGCCTCAGTGTAACAGAGCTGGCAGCCTCCCTGACCGGGCTCGCCGCCCTGGTTTTGAGATGCTGCCGGTACGAGTAAGGACGGTGTGACGTCTCTTCTGACGATACTTGAAGTTGAGTACTTTCTTCAAGTTGACAACATCACCTCTTAGCTACCGTCCGTGCTTGTTGCATGTGTCTGGCCCAAGTCTCTGCCTGGCCAGCCGATTCAGCGCTCCAGCTGGATTGACAAAAGTCAATTGCTTCAGGTGCAACGTCGACACGCAGGGCATGCTAATAAAAGGAGAGCTGTACCGTATCAGATCCTCCCAAGGAGGCGAAAACGCATCCCTCTCCCTTATCAGGATGGCGAAAATTTATATTGGCTGTCGTGGGCCGTATCCATAGATCTGCCCCGTCATTTCCAAACGGCGCTTCTGTCGAGCCTGTACGAATCGAAGCAAATGTAAACAAAGCTCTCTTCAATACCCTGACCCGAGAACCGCTTGCCCAGCCTTGGGCATGTGAGTGTCCCATTTGCGGTCCTCGACTGCTCGGTGCGGATGCTACTGTGCGCAAGTATGTCACTCTCTTTGCCTAGTCTGCGAAGAGGGTACGCGTAAGAAGAGTTTGAAAGGAGGATGCGCACTGGGAGACCTGTCAGATTCGCTGAATTGACCCGAAGCAAGCGAAGGCCTTGACTCGGCCGGGCCAGGCATGCCCCTGGATTCTGGAGCCAGTGAATTGCGTCTCTTTCTTTTTTTAAGCTCGGCTGTCTGGGACGGCGGATGCAGGTCGATTGGCGGATTGCGAATTGCGAATCAGAATTAGCGGCGGCGGCTCAAAGGAGCTGACAAGCACACAAGTCTATGAGATCCCCCCCTACTCCCAGAGGTGGTGCCCGGCCCAGCCAGCCAAGCTGGGCGGCTTAGCACCGGGACATGGAGACAATGTTCGGGATGAAGGGGGATTTTGATGACACGGGGCCGGATGAGATATCCGTCGGTAATGTCTGGTTGCTATGGCAGGCTGTAGATGGGCTTCTGGGCCTCAGGTTTTCCAAGCTGGCGGCAGCAGCAGCAGCAGCAACAGCAGGAGCACTACTTCGTAGTAATGCTTTACCATGCCGTAGCCATATCGCGGATGCTAATGACGATGATTCTGGAACAAGAGAGACGGGATAGCTCGAGTGGCCTCCAGATGAACAACGAGGCTTGGAATGAAATGTCATTAGAACAAGGGCCAGGCCGTCCACTCCTATGCTATTTGGCACATCCACGCCTCTTCCGCACCCTTTGCCTAGCCGAAGTTGGGCACCTTGATGCCATTGACTCTGCCGATGTAGTGCTAGACAGACGTACCTATGCATGCCCCTATTGTTTGCAACACCGTACTCCGTAGCCAATCTTCCATGGGAATATCGTAATGAGATCTCGAGTCTGCAGCTTTGGCATTCAGTGACAGACTCTCCCCTAGAGTGCCTGGCTAGTGAGCACTAAAACGACCTGAAATCTGACGGACGATGCTGCCGCCCAGCTTCCCGAAAAGCCCAGCAGGAAACATTGGCCGCGGAGTCCCCGTGCAAATCTCGGGGTGAACCGGTATCTCAATTCCATGGCAAACTAGCGCTTCGGCCTGAGGCCACAGAATTTGGCCCGAGTTGCCGGGCCAAAGAAAAACTTCGCCTTTGGCTGCTGCACCTTCTCACAGTGATGGAAGTTGGGGGTTGGAGCAGCGGAAGGGGGCGACCCACCCGCGCCTTCCCAGTGCCACAGTACCTAAGGTACCTTAGCCAGCAGGTACTTCGTACCCACCCATAGAAGGGAAAGAGCCAAAGAGGACACCTGCACATTTGCACTTTCCCTACGAAATCTGGAGGCCAGCAAAGAGAAGGACCCACTCTTGTCCACTTCTCACGCACCCTGAGCCCGGCCTGGGGTGGTCGGTGCTCCTTTCTTAGCGCGGCCCGGAAAGATTCGCTCAAAAGCTGTTCCTTCTTCGGCCACCCTGCAGGAATTTTTTTTTCCCTCCCTCAAACCTGCTGCCGTCGGAGCACTTAAATTCTCTCGACTCGCTCTTCCGTCCTCTCATTCCCTTCTATTCCTCCGTCCATCTCCGCTCATTCTTTTCTCTGAGGTTGATCTTTTGAGAAGAAACCCACAGCCAAGATGTCTGTTCCCGTCGAAAAGCAGAAGGTCCTGGGCATGCCGGTAAGCTACTACTCATCCTCCTCCCCTTCACTCTTATCCGAGGCTGCGGGAAAAAAAATACACCTCGCCGGCGACGTCGCTTCCTTCCATCATCGGTCTACCATCAATGGCCATTGCATCCAGCCATGGCTTCCATCGGGACACTTCGAGTCTCGAATGGATGGGCTGGACTTGATGCGACAATGGTTTGCTATTCAGCTTATCGTCGCTTATGGAACGATCAACGCGCTAGGCCTGGCTTATTTCACCCTACCTTCGGATATCAACATCAACATCAGTATGAATCAATTTGCTAACTCGTATCTCACAGCCCTTCGTGGCCGACTTCCTTAGTACGTTGCCCAAAACATATCGATGCCGGCGCCTGCCATCGATCAGTTTTCCGACCTCGGCGAGCTGATCCCGGCACCGCGATAAATATCTTGTCCAAGTACTAACAGCTTCCTATAGTGGGAGGTGTCTCCGCCGCTGTCTCCAAGACTGCTGCTGCTCCCATTGAGCGTATCAAGCTTCTCATCCAGAACCAGGTTAGTAAATATAGCTGCTCGTTCAATCTGGACAGCTGGTCGGCCAAGGTCGGACCGGGTAACCCCGGTCAGAAAAGTTGTCACAAGTTGACACGTGATCTCGGCCAGCTGCGCTGCCAGATCTTTATCAGCCGAACTGCATCTAACAGCCATACAGGATGAGATGCTTAAGCAGGGTCGTCTCGACCGCAAGTACGACGGTATCGTCGACTGCTTCAAGCGCACCGCCGCCGATGAGGGTGTTATGTCCCTGTGGCGTGGCAACACTGCCAACGTCATCCGTTACTTCCCTACCCAGGCCCTGAACTTCGCTTTCCGCGACAAGTTCAAGCAGATGTTCGGCTTCAAGAAGGACCGTGACGGATACGCCTGGTGGATGGCCGGCAACCTGGCCTCCGGTGGTGCTGCCGGTGCCACTTCCCTGCTCTTCGTCTACTCCCTCGACTACGCCCGTACCCGTCTGGCCAACGACGCCAAGTCCGCCAAGAAGGGTGGTGAGCGCCAGTTCAACGGTCTCGTTGATGTCTACCGCAAGACCCTCGCCTCTGACGGTATTGCCGGTCTCTACCGTGGTTTCATGCCCTCCGTTGCTGGTATCGTCGTCTACCGTGGTCTGTACTTCGGAATGTACGACTCCCTCAAGCCCGTCGTCCTTACCGGAAACCTCGCCAACAACTTCCTTGCCTCTTTCGCCCTTGGATGGCTCGTCACCACCGGTGCCGGTATCGCCTCTTACCCCCTTGACACCATCCGTCGTCGCATGATGATGACCTCTGGTGAGGCCGTCAAGTACAAGTCTTCCTTCGACGCTGGCAAGCAGATCGTCGCCAAGGAGGGTGTCAAGTCTCTCTTCAAGGGTGCCGGTGCCAACATCCTTCGTGGTGTTGCCGGTGCTGGTGTCCTGTCCATCTACGACCAGCTCCAGGTCCTGCTCTTCGGCAAGGCCTTCAAGGGTGGCTCTGGCTAAATGCCTTTGACACTTCTTCGTGTATAAACTCTTCACTGGTGGCGGGTTGGGCAGTTGGCGAACACCCGGGCTGTGGGGATTCGTTCCTGGTTAGGATCAGATGAGGAATCGGTTGACAAAATGGGGAAGATGGATGTTGCGGAGGGGCTTTGGATGCAGGCACCACAAGACGTGGTACGCCTGGATCGGCCAGTCCTTCGTGGTTTAGACTGGCATCGGCAAGGCGTTCTCTTACATGACCTGAAGAGCTTTGCTTGCTACCTAATCCACTGTAATTTGTACACTAAAGCAATTCCCGATTGCACTCGTTCACGCAACACCTGTCCTCGCTGGACTTTACCGGCTTCTGGTCGATCCTGGGGTGGATTTTCCTTGGTATTGCATGACGATAGACTTCCGCGGTACAACAGGAAGATTTCTTTGATTCTACAAACGTGTTCCCGACTAATTATTATGACATGATGCCTATGTCTCTGAGTAGATAGTAATCAAAGTCGGTGATGCATGCTTCCTGAGCTTTGGTTGTTGTGGTGTTCTTATTGGCCAATGGCACTAGCCCGGCGAGACGCGTCTGCACTCCGCAGTAACAGTGACAGTCGCGTCCCGCTCCAAGCTCTAAATCTCCCCCACGTGCTCCCCGCCCTGATCGCCTGATTCCCAGACCAGATCGAATCTCGCCGTTCAGCAGATGCACCTCTGACATCTGACACCCTGTGTTTACTTGGAGAAGTGGGCTATCACGCCGTCCACACGTGGAATCTCAGTCACCGGCCTTGACACGCCAGAACTATCGATCTGACGCCACCACCTCGGTCTACCTACTACTCCTACTACCTCGAAGCAAGCATACCATCACTCTTGAAGCAACGCTAGCAGCCTAAGAAACCACGAACATGCCGAGACAAGCAGCCGAACCAGCGAAGCGTGGCCGCCCTGGCAAAGCCCAACGGCCAGCTACGGGCACGAAGCGAAAAGCCGCGCAGCAGCCGGCACGTAAGAAGTCGGGACCTTTCGAGCTCTCCGACAGCGATGCGCCGCCGTCGCGGGGCCAGCGAGAAGTGGACGATGATGCAGAGGAAGAGGTACAAGAGGAGCAAGAAGACGAGGGCGAGGACGAAGGCCCGGACAATACGATCCCGCCCGAGCTGCTCACGCGGCTGCTTCACGAGTTCTTTGAAAAGGACGACACGAGGCTCAGCAAGGACGCCAACTTGGCGGCAGGGAAGTATATGGATATCTTTGTGAGGGAGGCGATTGCGCGCTGTGTACATGAGAGGTCTGTTGGCTTTCTTGAGGTGAGTGTCTCTGGGTTTTATGATGTAGAGGGAACTGGCTGACTGGTTGAACAAAGGTTGAGGATTTGGAGAAGATTGCCCCTCAGCTGCTCATGGACTTCTAGCATGGGAGTTGAGGTGTAAGAAAACGACGAAATGATGAACGATACCCCTTTCTCGTACAATACACTCAAGTCTCCGAGGGACAAGAAGTGCTGTTCGGTTCGGACTTGTCCACGTCCCTTGGGCCACTGTTTGGCGGGTGATACACGGCAACGAAGCTGTCAGCTCGACACTACTTCCACCGTTTACTTCGACCAAGACCGCTGCGGGTCCGGAGATGTCGAGTCGCTCATCAAGCAGACAGTAGACCATAAGCGAGGCCATATGAGCCTGCCCCAAGTATTTCATGGCATGGATATGGAACGTGGGGGTCGATCTCATCGTCGACCGAATCCTGCAGCATCATTGTCGGATCTACTACACAAGACAATGTTGTGATCCTCGTTTCTTCATCAGCCTTGCGGCGGCCCTGTCCGTGGAACAGGTGTGAAGGAGGCCTTTACCACAACTTTTTACAAAGGCTGCGAGGGACTCATGCAATCTGACGGGAAGGCAACGCTTTTGCTCCGGTCGATCACGGGGAGCACAGCCCACGCTGTGCTGATCAGGCATGTTTACTACGATGCAGAGGAGACTGGAAACACGGTCATTCTGACACTAGGGCATCTGTCTGTCTTTGCCTGACGCATTACAGAATAATCGGTGTCTGGACTCTGGACCGACCTGCTTGTGCGCGTACCGTGGTGTTGTGTGTTACTGCCGCAGCCCGGTCGATCAAGGAAGCGGATAAAAATGCCGAAAACCCCGGGAATAGCTATAACAGCGGTAAAACCAAAGCACGAACGGCGGTCAACTGCCATTCGAAATTTTTTGTTGCCTCAACATTGTAATTTGGGGGGCTCAGACGAAACGGCAGGCTAGACGCCAGAGATGTCAAAGGCCTTGCAGTGGGATGGTATGTCAAAGGGGGGGGATGCGGAAGGGTATGGCTACCTAGATGAACAGAAATGGAAGAAAGTCCGAGGGTAATTGTCTCTCTTCTACACAGTAACATACCTACTCACGTTGGACCTGTCGAGTTTTGAACCATCGGCTAAAATTGCACGGTTTTGTTGTTCGAGGATGAGGCTCTTTACGTCTGGTGGGGAGGGGGGGAGGGCGGCCTTGGGACGAAACGCTACGCTGACACAACGAACCTTGGGCCTCTTTGTTGGAACCCTGGAGTCCGTATGCTCTCTCCTTGGTTGAGAACTTGAGCCTCCTCCTAAACGAATATCCAAAAAAAAATAAAAAAAAATAAAAAAATTCGGGGTACGGAGACAGGTGTTTCTAGAAATGGGAGTCGGGTGACAGCTTAGCCGCCGCACTTGACTAGTCTGAAGCAAGAGGTTGTGTTTCTTTAAGGCGATGGGAGTCTGGGGTTGAAACTAGTTCCATGAGGCGGATAGCTATCTTTTTCTGATTCTGTAGAAACCAAAAGCCAACGAAGCTTGTTCTACGGCCAAGGGAGATATCGTGAGAGGATTTTGGCTTGGTAGTCCACATTCCTGCCACTGTCTACACACTTATAAGCAACCTCCAGATGCGACGACGCCGCTACGTAGTACAAGAAGAAAATGGTAATACTGTCTCTTGCATTGACTTCGCGATGATTGAGAGCTGGGTCCGTGGAAGAAAGACTAAGGCTCTTGGACACTTGTCTTGGCCTCATACACTGTGAAAGCCATATCCGAGTTGTCGCAAGTCTCAAGTTGAAGCAAGACGAGATTGAGATGAAGATACGAGAATTTCGGTCTTGGGGTCTGTTTCCGCTTTCACCAAAGAACAGCCGTTGAACTTACCGCTTCGACGTTTGAAGCAGATTTGTGATCCTACGACTTTGTGAGGTTTGAAATTATCGCGTGACCTGGTCTCCTGGTTAAGTTGATACCAAAGCACCAGCCCCATACGGTATAATCGCACTCCATGCCAAGAGCGCACCAAGAACGGCCCCTTTCAGGAATTCTCAAGCCATGCCAAGTTGGGGCTATTCGTTCAGTTGCCAAGTAGTCGGAGACTCGAGTGAAGAGTCTCAGAAGAAATCGACAGTCTCTCCAATTCCTTGGCAGAGCAAAGCAAATGGGAATCTTGGAGGGAAAAAAAAGTCCCCGCCTTCGCGATCGGATCTGTCTTTCTGCTACCTTCTTCTTTTCCCACTAGGATATGGCCTGGGAGGGAAAAAGTCTATGTCGTCAATTTGGGACTGCAGAGCACATGTTCGGAGAAGGCGAGTTGAGTCGGATTCGGGGGTCGTGCGTGTTGAAGAAAGGTTTGGCCCAATCTTCTTTCTTTTTGCCATCAGTCACACTCAGTGCCATACCCTTCTCTCACCTATCTCGCGAAACATTGAGTTTGTCGAGAATCCTTGGCGACGGTTGATTGACGCAGGTTAGCCCTGGTCTTGTTCGTGAAAAGTCTGTTTGTTTGTCCGGACTGGCCTTGCATGGTCCTGACAAGGCGTGGGTTGTAGAGGCAGGCAGAGGGAAGGGAAGAGCAAAGGACCGTTGATATTTTGGTTCACGGCGATGCTGGCCGAGATCTAGGGTAGGAGCGGCGGCGGCGGTGCATTGAAAGGAAAGTTTTTTTCCTCCTGTGGTAGAAGGGAGAAAGATGGGATGATGCCAGAGGACGGGGAGGGAGGGAAGAAAAAGATCAGTCCAAACACGGGTTATGGTTTCTGAATTGAGCGAGAGTTAACCTGTCATTTCATCCATGGGTTGAACTTTCGACAACGAACGAGGGCTTGGGCACTTTGCTCAAAAGCCGTTGACTATTATTAGCTCCCTCTTTTGGAACTTGCGGGAGCGAAGTGTGAGGTTGAGAGACGTGAAGAGGGAGCCGTAGAGTACTAGAGTGTCATTGAGTGGTGGGGACTGATGATTGATTTCACCATTGATCGATACCAGGGCCAGGAAGCGTTTCGTTTCTCTGCCTTGAGACGGGGAGTAATTACCCCGACTGGCTACGTCAAGAGGAGGAATCGTGACAGTCGTCTAGACGACGAAACGTGCTATCCGGCTAGACGGCGGGCGAAAGAGGGTCTCTTTGTGAGGTATATCAGAAAGGCGGCTATATGGTCCTCGCGGTGATGGCCCCGGGAAAGGCCATGGTGTCTGTGAGACTTCCCCCCCCCCCCTGGGCCTGGGAATCTTTTAATGGGCTTTTGAGGTTGGATGGCACATCATGGCAGGACATGAGTGAATGATCTACGCGGATAGTTGAAAAAAAGCGGATGAGAGGAGGCCGTTGGGCTGGGGGCTGAGAGGGCACGTGGGAGGGCAATGGAGAACAAGATCATGCAGGTGAAAACTGCAGGGAAGCCATGTTATTCCCAGTTACCGCGAACCGCGGGCTGCGATGAGTAAGGTTAGGTAGAAACTGCAAGTCAGGCGCGGGCTTGAGAGTTGCGAAAAAGAGAGAGAAAGAGAGAGTCAAAAGATCGGGGAAGCTGTCGTGGCAAAGAGTGGGCATGAAGAAGCGCTCGATTGGGATGAGGAAGAAGACAAAGCAAAAGCCGCGGCGGCGGCGGTGTGGGTGTGGAGGCCGGGATGTTAGATCTTGAGAAAGCGAATCTGGCGTATGATGTATCTAGGACTAATTGCCGCGGCTGGATGTGCTACTGGGAGCAGCATCGCGGGTTTGGTGAGTGACAGTACGAGACAGGGGGTGGTGCTCTCCATTTCCATTTTCCCTCCTAGGGTTGAACCTCGTAACTCGTTGGCCGCGGGCAAGACGTTGATGGGCGAGAGGGACAGAGTCAAAAGATGGGAGGAAATGGAACAAGAGGACGGTGTGAGTAGGGTAGAGAAGAGGGCAGGCAGGCAAAAGATCAGATGCCAATGTGTGTCTCCATTTTGAGGCGTCTCTTCTGTGACGACCAAGGGATGGCCGTAACTGTGGGAGGGGCCGGGATAGTAAGACTCTTGCTGCTAGGCGGGTCGAGGGTTGTGTGTGTGCCTGGATCGTCTAGGTCGAGAGGCTCACAGACCTGGTAGGACGATGGGAAGAAGCAGTCGAGCAGTGACAAGCAACGGCGGTGCACCGGGACGAGTTGACTAGTGTACTAGACTCCTACACAGTAGAGCCTGGTTGAAGTCCTGGACAGACTTGACATAGCCAAGGCGAGCAAGGGCATGGATCACGTTTCTTGCTTTTGGTGGGCACTTCATTTGTGAATCGGACAATTCTTTTTAGAGCCCCAGACTGGCGGAGACTGGGGACACGGCGACGGTTAGGCAATTGATTAGGCCAGGGCAGAATCAAGGGACGACGTCACGCCAACCGGCAGACTGGTGCATAGTTGAGCGGTGCTAAGAGAGGGCTGGGACGCAATGTGGTCCGGGACAAGGACGGAGGATGGAGGGACGGACGGGAAAAGGGTGAGTTAGGCCATGTCATCCATTCTCCGTTGTCCATGTTAAGCCAGTAAGTAGTATGAGATCCATCGAGGTAAGTAAGATCCATGGATCCATGGAGATGGGAAGCGAAGGCGGAGGAGAGTTGAAGGAAGAATGGGCGAGAATGAGATGGGTGGTTCCTGGGGGAAGAGCGAGGGACGGAGTGGATGAAACAGGGTACGTCGCGAAAGTGTCAGAGGGCTGAAGGAGAAAGGTGAAGCACATCCGAGCGCCAGCCTCTTTTGGCGACCAGCAGCATGTTTTGGCCAATGAGAAGGACGCTGAATCGAATAAGCGGGGAATCAGGTACGGAGGTACTTAGGTCGTCGGGTGGACCGTGCATGGCCTCAACCTTATTTCTATTTCGGCTTCGACGTCGTCCGACAACTTTTGAACAAGGTCTCCTCCTCCTCATCCTCCACCTCCTCCACCTTGCCATTGTCGACTACCTACGGAGTATGTGACTATGTCTGCTTCCTCAACCAGCAGAACCCTCCACCAACCCGGGGGGCGTGAGCCTCGAGGATGCTGGCTTGTCTTGGTCTCGTTGCAGAGTTGCGCCGTGCCGCCGGGGGTCCTCTCCTCAGTCGACACTCGTTGCGAACATCAGGCTGCAAGTATGGATAGACGAAAATGTGACCCATTGCTTTACTGTTCAGTCTTCACACATACACACACACTCTCTCTCGTCTGACATGTTGGGTGGTAGGTGTGTGAGTTTTCCTTGGATGCGAGTGCGCTAAAGTCGTGGCTTGTGGTTTGACGGGGCAGAACGGGCTGATGTCTTGATGAGATGACTTTTCTTCCCAACAGGTTACAGGACTAGGTAGAGGCGGACGAACTGCCGTTGCAACTACTGTTCTTTTCTTGTCTGGCCTTGCTGTCAAGATCGGTCTGGTCCCAACTCTGACGACGTTGACGTTACAACCCACCTCATCGTGAAGCATAGCATACCAGAGCTTGGGCGTCGAGTGCCGCGATTAGGTGTCTAGGTGCTAAGGCATAGACTGCCCTGGTGTTGCCAAAACCCAATTGCCGTCTTTTTCCTGTCTCTCGAGTCTCGCACGCTCTCTCTTTTGGTCTCATCCCCAGCCCGTCATCATCAGTTGACGTTGAGCATGCCGCGGCATGGCGTGGCGTGGCGTGGCGTGGCGTGGCGTAGTGCGCCAAACGATCCATCCGCAACTACGACTGCGTGTATCTTAGTCCAAGGTCTAAGCAACTCCAACCATGTTGCGACTCTTCGGATCGACTTATCCAGATCCCTTCATTTCTTTCCCTGAAAGATGTCGGAGGACCATATGGATCGGCTAGAACGGCTTCCACCAATCCCTACACGTTACTGCACTCTCGTCCTTTCGCGCGTCTTGGCTTGGGGTTTCCCCGTTACTAGTACACTCCATGATCCATCTACGCTTCTGACAAGTCTGGCAACGGGAAACAAGGGCTCCCCTACACGGCACCTTGCGGCAAACCCATCTTATTAGCTACTGTTAGGTGGTAGAAGGCAGATTGACCTGCATATCCTGCCTGTCGTGTCTGCCAAGCATTGAGAAAAGAATCCACCGACGGCGACAGAGGGCAGCAAGCAAGTGCAAAAGCAAGGTCTCATTCAGTCTCCTCCCAATAGCAGAGAAGACAGGCAATCTCCTGCAAGGTCGGGTCTTGATGTGTTTCTTCTTGTCCTGGGCTGCACTCAACAGGTCCATCATCGACCTATCCGTACGCTTTTCACACACAATTTGAATACACAAGAGACATACGGCGGGTATGCAGGGTAGGCTCTCACACCCATGGCCCGGCTGTGATGGTCAAAACGTGTTTCAACCACTGCTGCATCAGCCTCCCTCACACCCCCCTGACCTTTTCCTCCCCTCCCCTCCCCTCCTCTCCTCGCAGTCGCAAGTCGCAACTCGCAACTCACACACAATGTGCCCAATGGCCCATTCGCCTCGCTTCAAGTCCTCGCCTCCTCCACTCGCCCCCAGTGCAACACCACCACACGTTCCAAAGGCCCTGCCCACCCATGCCTCATCCCTTCGCCTTGTCGCCTTACCCCCCTGTCGGCTGTACAACGGATGTCGCGCCGCCGGGGGTGGGCATCATTTTGCTTGTCACGGTTGTTCAGATGCAAGACGACAACCCAGGCACCACAGGACGGCCGCCCGAGCAGGGGTCTGAGGGTCCCCTTGTTCTGGCATCTCGTCGTCGAGACGTGCGACAGAATTCTTGGGACGATCCCGAGGGTTGCTTAAATTCATGCCGTTCCCTCGCACCCCCCTCCCTTTCGAGTTTCCTCTTCTTTTAGATATTCCATCACTGACAACTTTCACGAGGCGGGATTTCCTATTTGCTTCTTTTCTTATTCTTCCGTTTACGTTTAATTTTGTTCAACTTCTTCCAGAGGCTAGTCCTACCAAAAGCGCGAGTCGCTATTTCGAATATCTAGTCACCCTCTCGACTCGTCTTCTCGACAACCACTATTCACAACACTATTTCCCCGGTTTCTAAAAATCGATAAAATCAACATCAAGATGCATATCTCAGCTATGGTTGTTTCGGCTCTGGCCGCTGTCGCTTCGGGTAAGCCTTTATTTTGGGGGGGGGGATACAAAAAGGAAACTTGGCATACGGAACTCAACAGTAGGCTAACACGCACTTCTTCAGCCGTCGACGTCCAGGTCGTCTCCGTCGCCTCGACGAACAACACCCTCAAGTTCTTCCCGGAAAAGATCAACGCCCCCGTCGGCTCCATGGTCCAGTTCCAGTTCCGCGGCGGCAACCACTCCGTCGTACAGTCCACCTTTGACAACCCATGCATCCCCGTCTCCAACGTCAACACCTCGGCAAAGGGCGTCTACTCTGGCTACCAGCCCGTTGCCGCCTCCGCCGCCAAGGGCCAGATTCCCGTCTTCACCGTCATGGTCAACTCCACCACGCCCATGTGGCTGTACTGCTCTCAGGCCAAGCATTGCCAGAACGGCATGGTCATGGTTATCAACGAGAAGTGAGTCTATTCTCTGTTCTATCCAAATCCTCTACTTCTTAGTCAGTGGTATTTTTCACCGCAGTCGTCAAGCTTTCTTGAAGAGTGTTGGCACCCCCCCTGGTTGGCGTGTGCCGTCCTCGTGGCTGTCCCCCGTTTCAGCCTTCGGACGATGACACAAGACGCATGAACACCACCATCACCCTCTCCCACACCACATACAAACAAACACAAGCAAACTCGGAATGACACAATCAATGCTAACCTACATCTCCCCAAACAGCACCAAGGCAAACGCAACCCGTTCCATCGAGAACTACGCAAAGGGCGCAAAGAACGTCGCCCAGGCCCAGATCCCCGGCGGCGGCGCAGCCGGTGGCTCCAACAGCGGTGGTTCCGCTTCCCCCACCGGCGGTGCCGGCGGCGGCTCCAACAGCGGTGGCGGTTCCGGCAACGGCGGCTCCAACAACGGCGGTGGCGGTTCCGCTACCCCGTCTTCTCCCCCTACTGCCGGCGCCGTCTCCCTCAGCGCACCCGGCACCTTTTTACTCGCTCTCGGCGCTGCCTTCCTGCTCATGTAAGGGGGTTAGTTACCTTGTCGGTGTGCTTTTCGGGATAGGGGGGGGTACGGGCCAGTAGTTTTGGTTTCTGGACGACTACTACTGGGCTACTACTACGGGTGTAAACAAACCAATTTTTTTGTGATGATGAACTTAATACCATTCACTTTTCCTTTTTTTTACTTTTGGATACGGTACATTCCTGCGAAAGGGATGCGATGTATGACGAGAAAACAAAACTAAACTAGACGGGATTCTCCGTGTATATGGGGTCCGTGTTGGAAAAACGGATTGATTGCAGGCCTGCTGCTATACAGCATCTAAATCGAGTTTTTATTGATTTTTGGTAAACCATGTTGCGTTTGGTCCTGCCCTTTTCAGTACTGTGTGAGGTTATCTATATTGTTAGTACGGGACCTGGTTCTTTGACATTATAAATTGTTAGTTTACCTGATCAGACATTGGAAGACAGCTTCGTCCGTAACGAAAGAGCAATCAACTCATTCTGATGTGAAGTTGGGCATGTGCCGTCTAGGCGCTACCCACGCCGAGTGCTATATAGAGTAGATCAATTCAAAGAATAAAAGACTCTAGAATGACCTCTCTAGAGGCATTGCAGATTATTGTCCAAGCCCTTGCATTGTCAGTAAGGGGTTGCGTGCTGTCCAACTCATCTCTTACAGCCAGATCTCAGGTGCCTCATTCCAGTTTCTCTTTTTGAATACATTTTATGCATCATTTGGCGAGGAAACACGTTTGCAGAATCGAAACCAGAACCCCTCGAGTCACTCTCTCTACGAGTAACTAGTTTCTTAGTACACCAGTGAAGGAAGCGAGCAATTGCGATTTCGAGGGGAACCATCGACAATGAGATCGTATACTAAGATCGTATACTAAGACAGAAGAGCCCCAGCTCGTCAAAGAAACTGGCAGCATGGCAGTGCGTCTGTCTGTCTACTACCTAGTGATATTTGCCTCGAGTCGGCAGCTAGAAAAGGGCAATTCTCCGGCACGGGGATTACTGACGGAATTACCAAGCAGACCAGGGACGCGTCGGTTTCCATTGGGTCCGCAACCTGCTCATCTCTGGTCGCCATATACGTCACATGTGAATGGAAACGTACAGCGCAGATATCAAGCATCTCGAAAGGTCCGCCGGCTCCATGTTATACGAGAGACAGCCTTTTCCCCCTTCTCTCTCTTTTCTCTCCCTAGTATACTACAATGAATCATCGTCAAAACACAAACACCCAATCCCGACAAGAAGAACACCATCCATAGACCTCATGTCTCAGCCTTAATTCTTCTCCTGTCCAGGAACAACCCTCTTCACCCTCCCCTTCTGCGCCTGCTCACAAAGCAGCCTCCTCTTCTCCTTCTCCAACCACCCATCCTCCCTCTTCACCCGCCCCACCTCGCCATACTTATCGCTCTTGCTAAAGAAATCAACCCAGTGCTTCAGCGCATCGTGCACCTTCTTCTCCGCCGCCGCGCGCTCCTCGACCTGGAGGGCTTGCATATCGGCGTACGACCAGTGGCGGTCGACTTCGGGGTCGTCCAACGGCAAAAACATGTCTTCTACGCCGCGCATGTCGGGGGTGCGGTCCTCGACGAAGCAGCCCGTGACGAAGCCGCGGGAGGCGTCGCGGCCTGCAAAGACGTTGTAGGAGCCGCCCGGGCCGTAGATGCGCGGGTTGGCGGAGACGTCAAAGATTGTGTGGTTGATGGCGAGGTAGATTGGTTTGGAGGGGTCGGAGCCGTCGTATTGGAGGAGTTCTTCGGGGGTTAGGTAGAGGGGGCCGTTCTGTGTTTTTGGGGGGGGTTATGTTAGCTTTCGGTGTTTCCCATTGACGGAGAGTATTCTGCTTCCATGACATTGGGGGGGGGGGGGGAGAAGGAATGGAGGTTTAGTTTTACGCACCCATTTGGCCTTCCAGTAGCTAGGCTTCATGTACCATGGCTTATTCTTCTGGCCCCAGAAGAAGCTCTCGCCGCCGCTCTGGAGGTAGCTCAGGGCGCACGAGGCGAGGAAGAAGAAGCTGAGGAGGCGGAGGATGTCGAGGTAGGGGCTGTACTCGTCCGTGTACGTCTTGTCCTTTTTGGACTTTTTGCTCTTCTTCTCTCCTGTCGTGACAGCCGGTGCGTCCTCGTCAATGGCGTTGCCGTCCGAGTCGACTTCTTCGACGCGCTTGCGTTGCCGCACGCTCGCTGCGTCGTCGGCCATTGTGTGTGTTTGTGTGTGTATGGGGAGGTGAGGCGGGACGAGACGAGGTGAGGTGAGGTGTAGCTGGCAGGATAGGAAGCTTTCTGTAAGGTTGCCCGTTCGGAAAGTCTCACTGCCGGGGACGCTACTTTAAGTGATGGACGCCCTTGGTGCTAGGAAGCTCTAGGGAGGTCGCGGTGCAGATGTCACGTTGTTCAATGTGGCCTGACCAATCCCATGGGACACGATTCTAGATGTATTTAGGAAAAAGATGGGAATGTACGGAGTATGTATCCGTACGCGGACAGGATTTCTTGCACACCCCGCCGGAACCTGGCAATGGGCAAAATACGGCCGGACGGGACGGCGATGGCGTGGAGGCCGAGAGCGAGGAAAGCGCAGCAGCAGTGCAGACAGAATACAAAAAGTGACTTTTAGACGGCGTGTGATAGGTCGCTGCGGATCCAAGCCATCCGATGGGAGGAGTCCCCCTTTTCTGGGTCTTCTTTTGACAAGTTGGGGACCCTTGGATGGGAAACACTTTGCAGCTTCCTGGAGACTTTGGCAAGACTGGCAAGAATGCAGGAGGGTTCCCTGGAGACGGGTGAGTTACACATAAAGTGGCAGCCGGTGGCAGCTCTCTCAGATAGGCTAGAGGCTTACGGCTGCTTACGAAAGCATTTGAGTGTATCCGTAGGGGAAAGGATAATGAATGGGAAAAAGAGCAAAGCCTCGAGCTGTGCCGAGCTGTGTTCATGCATTGGCTGCTTACCTCATAGATGATGATATTAGTTCGGATACGGAGTACGGAAAGAGCTTCCAGAAGCTGTGACCCTGGTCAGAACGATTAAAAGGTGAGGTACTGGTACGGATAGCGGGCATCCACTTGTGCGACACAATGCAGGTTGGGGAATCTTCAGATGCAACAGGCAGAAACCCTCCATCTCTGGGCCGGGAGCTTAAGCCATATTCCGTACATAGTATTCCGTGGAAGTGTTTTAGCTAGAGGGAATGGCTGTGAGTAAAAGTCATTTAATCCATCGCCATCCCTTCTTTCCATCTTCCTGCATCCTTCCTAGCTTGGGTATCCTCATGCACATAACCCCTATGTCGTTTATCGAGTTTCGAAAGTACGGAGTACCAAAGTCCCCAAAAAGATGATATCCTTTCATATCCGGACTGAGAATCCTTATACCGAGTGATTTACCGCATTAAGCAGCTGCCCGACTTCGATAAAACGTCTTTTTTTCTTCTTTTTTCTTCGCCCAAAAGTGGAGCTGATTACATATGTCACTCGACCCCCCAACCAATCCCATGGCCAAATGAGCCATTTCGCTAGACCAATCCGCCGCGTCACCCAGACAACCCACCTGCAGCAACTCCAGCGCCCGCTCTGTAAACAGCCGCCCGCCTGCTCTCCTGCTGCCCCCTACCCACACCACAACCTGGACCGGGACACAGCTACAATACAATACAATACACCTTTACTTTTGGCTTCTGCGGATAGGATAGTACCCTACCATACGTGATCCATACCACCTCCGTTAAGGGTTTCTTTTCACCTCCCAACGCCATCATCGTCATTCTCGCTCGCCGCGACACATGTAAAACGTCTTCGAGCATCACCCCCCTCGAAGCAGACAATTTCCCAACGCACAACTACACCATAAACCACGCATCCTGCATGACAGACACCGCACGATAACCACAGAAACACTATCATCACCATGGCCGACAGCGCCGATCAGCCGTCCTCGCCGGGCGGGCCACTCAGTCCAATGACCCCAGACCGCGCAAACAAGACACAACAAGCTCGTAACCTCTTCACCTCGCCCCACAGTAGTCCTGGAGGCCGAGACAGCTCCGTCCACGAGAAGATTTCTCAGTTTAACAACCTCGCCATGCAGTCAAAGACTCTCGAGCGCAAGACCGCCGATGCCGCACTCAAGCGCGCCATGTTGGGTCGTGAGGAGGCCGAGACGGAACTGCGCAGATACAAGGACGAGTCCAAGGTCTTGCGGGTTCAGTTGGAAAAGGGGAAAGAGCGAGAGCAGCGCGTGAGCGAGCGTCTCGAGACTGTCATGGTACGGCTCATCTCTCGCAGTCCAAGGGACGGAAGTCAATGATGCTAACATTCTCTCAAGGAACAATACGGCCGCGCAAAAGAGACTTACGCACACACAAAAGCAGCATGGGAGAAGGAAATCAAGCTCGCGCGTAAAAAGACATTCAAGAACGAGTCCCAAATCATCAAGCTCCAAGAAGAACTCAAGGCTTCCCGCGAAGGCTGGCGCGCCGCCTCCGACAACCTCGACGCCGAGAAGTTGCGCTCCAAGGCCCGCGAGGACGAAGCGTTCCAAGCTCGCTACCAGATGGTGGGCATGGAGCAGGAGCTCGGCGAGGCTTTCGAGCGCATCAAGATGCTCGAGCAGGAGCGCGACGTCTACAGGACCCTCGCTAAGGAGGAAGAGGTGGCCCGCATCGCCGCCGAGGGCCGCATTCCCCTGCCCAAGGCAGTCAACGCCGCGCCCGACGACGAATTTGCGTCGCCAAAGAAGAAGGGACCGCGGTTCTCTCTTTCGACAGCCGACATCATCTCATCCGCCGCCAGCGAAGGAGAGATTGAGGAGCTCTCGCTCCAGGTATCATGGGAGCGTCAACGTGCGGATCGTGCTCAGGAGCTCGTCGATTTCCTCCAGGCAGAGTGCGAATTGCGGTGCTGCCCATGCGCCAAGTTTCACAGGAGGAGAAGCCTCGTCTCTCCGAGGCAAAGCCTGGTTTCAAACAGAGCAAGCATCTTGTCACCCAAACGTAGACTGATGCCGCCAGCTGAGATTGCCGACGCCAGTGATCTGGTCCTTCTCCGCGGAGGAAGAGAATCATCCCCATCATTGAGGGCATCGTTGAGCCCGCCTGTCGAAGATGTGACTTTCAAGAAGCCGGCGGCGCACAGGAGATCCAAGGAAGAGAGGAGAAGTACCATCTTCTGCGCCCGTGAGGGTATTTTCCGGACCGTTTCGCAGCAAGAAGCCGACGAGATCGAGGCCCAAGAAGACCGAGGGAGACGAGTGAACGAGTCAAGTGAGGAATCACCCAACGAGCCTCCTACACCACATGACGCTCCAGAGAGATACTCGCGGACGCCTTCTCTCGAGCCCCCAGACTTTGCTGTTCTTGCTCAAGAACGCATGTCACTGGCGTCACTCCTCAATGCACCCCACGGCGGTGCCCACGGTGAAGTTCACACCGCACCTCTCCCTTCCATCCCCACCATGCCCGACACCGAGGCACGACCGGCATGCCGCTCTTCCAGAGGTCCCTCACCACAGCTCGACGACACCCTTCGCCCCCACACCGCCGCGCCTTTCTACACCAAGACCACGACGACAACCGTCCCCGTCCGCGACGACAAGCCTCGACCCCAGCCTCGCTTTGAGCGCGCCCGTACACCATCTGGCGGTGATTGCCAGCTGTCCTTTGATATCAATAACCCCGCCATGACCCCAACCATGACCCGCGAGGAGGCATTGGCCCGTATCCGCGAACGCCGCGGACGCGCCAAGTCCATCGCGCAAGGCACTGCGACACCCCGCAAGAAGATGATTGAGGGCGCCGGCGAGCGGCGAGATGTTAGCGCCCCCGCCGGTCAGACGGTTCCCAAGGCCAAGGCATAGAGTCCCTTTCGGTCGGAGTCTGCTATTGAATGGAGGACGGGGCGAAATGTGCCCCTCGAAGATGGTGTACCACTACCGTCGGATCTTGCCGATGCATTCGATCCGGAGACGGTTGAGGGGCTGCGACGTCGCCTATGGAAGCTCACCCGGGACTCGCTCTCACGCGGCTCGTTTGGATGGTTGACAAATGTATGAAGAATCAGTCGTGTGCACAAAAAGCAGGGCGTTTACGGCGGATGGGGTGGGCGGGCTCATTCGGAAAGCGCAGGAGCTTCCAGGAGTTTTCTTTTTTAAGAGGAGTTTTGTTTCATTCATCCGGCCTGTTTTTTTTTTCCATCTCATCCTTTCTTTCCTCTGACCGGTACATGTCGTCTGCATAGTCGCGGCGTTCTTGGGGGAAAAGGGGAGGGCAAGCAGAGAAACACGGCCTCCTTGTTGTTTATTTTTATTCCCCCTCTCATGACGAGGAGTTTGGATTCCCCACAACCTTGACGACGATAACAGTACATACCACTGGGGGGGTTAGAGTTCTTGTTTCTTGTATGACGATGAAAATGAGGGGAGGTCCGGCTGGATTGATGATTGGTATTGCTTATTGTTTTTGACGCTACCTTATCCCATACTTAATTGAGGGTTTTCACCTTTGTTCTACTCCATCGAGGTACTCACCTACCTGATACTTACACCACCACGTCGTACAGTCTTGTCACAACCTTGATGGGAACGGTGGCTTCTCATCGTAAAGGGTCTATAACCCAACCGGGCCCAGAATCTCCCGCACTCCTCCTGTTCGTGACCTGTCAGCCGTGCAACGCCGCTGTGGCCGAACGGTATGTTTCCGAACATGTGAGGGCCATACCGGCCTACTGCTGTATGGTTCAAAGCCACGAGTAGGTCGGCTTGGCCCTTTTGTCGGTCACTCTCAACCTTTTTAACACCAAGACACTCCCTCAATTGCGGTTGTTTATTTGCTGTGGGGAGATGTGGGATTTATGTAGAATGGGATTTGATGGTTTTGTACTGTGAATTTGGCGGGATGGTTGCGGGAAGAGGGGGGGGGGGGGGGGGGGGGATGAGGTGAGATGTAGGATGAGATTGCAGAAGGAGGATTTTGGGGATGTTCGAAATGGTATCAAAATGGGTTTTGCACCCTCTGGGATGATAGAGCGCAGCTTAAAATGACACACATTGTTGAACATTACTGTGTTAGCGGGGAGCGTGGTGGATGAAAGGTGATGAAATATCATGATTTTGTGGGTTCGAACCAAAATCAAATCACGGGTTTTCCCCTCTACATTTGTAGAGCTCTGCTTGGAATGATATATGATGTGCAAGAGTTTACAGTGTGTTGTTGCTATTGCTGTTACCATTACTCTTTTCGCGGTGACTTTTGATGAGAAGTGCGAGGCTTCGAATCAAGTTCACAGTGTAAAAGCTTCTCCGGTAACAATGAAGCAGGCATGTAAACGAGTATCAAAAGTTTTCTCTCCAGCCAAGTTTTTGCGGTAAATACGCTTTGAATTCGTATTCAAACCTCCCCCTTTCCCCCTCTCTTTCTTGTCCAAGAAGCTCCTCTCTCAACGTTATTTCCAGCCTTTTTCGATGTAGTATGGTGGTATAGATAGCAAAGTATAGCAAGTAATATCAAAAGTCGTAACGTCGTGCAGTAAGGTAGTATAGTATATCCACTTCCCATCGCTTTTCCCCCTGGAAACAAACAAGGATCCCAAACAACTCCTCAAACACATTGAATAACCCAACTTTGCGACCTATATCGAACCATAGTAGAAGATTTCAGACCGGAAGGCGGGGGAAGCGATTTAAAACTTCAAAGGGAGTTCGTCGTCAGAGGTCCCCCCCCCCCCTCTCACCCGTTCAAGAACCCCCTGGTCGCATTCCTTGCATTCTCCGAGCTATACGCATCGAGCTTGACGGCAACGAGAACGCACTCCACGGAGCTCTTCCCGCCGCGCGACCCCTGAATCTTGAGCCTCCACTGGCCCGTCCGGACTACCCACTCCTCGGCCGCGAGCGCCGCCTGGCCCTGGCCTGCGGTCGCGAAGCCGTGCGAATCGACTCGTCTCCGCTTGCGCGAGTTGGGCTGAAACGCCGTCGTCGCCGTCGGCGATTCGGCGGTACTCGAGGCCGCGGACATGGGGTTATTGGCGGTCGGTTGCAAGTCTTCAAAGTCTAGCGTGTGTGGTCTGCCGTCGAGTGTGATGGAGGTGTCGCTGTCGATGGACACGCGCACGAGGTCCTCGCTCAGCGGAGTGTGTCCCGGCGTTGGGGGCTGGCTGCCGGCGCCGCCCGAGGCCATGAGGAGACCGAGGGGCTGGGTCGTCGGCGGGAGGTTGAGCTTGGTGGCCACGACCTCGAACAGGCGCGCCACGCGGGCGCGGGTGTCCTTGAAGAACTCGGCGCGGACGGAGCCGGAGCCGGAGTGGAAGTGGAGGCGGGTGCTCTCGCCGCCGATTTCGAGGACCAGCTCCGCTGCGCGGTCGTCGACGTAGGGGCGGGCGTAATTCACCCAGCCAGAGAGGTGATCGGCGGGGGAGGCTGACACGTCCGCGGCGACGCTGATGCCGCTTTTCAGTATGTCTTCCAGGCGCAGAAGGATTTCCTCACGCCGGCGGCTTTGGTTGTGGCTGATGTGGTGGGGGATGAGTTTCTGCTCTAGGCCTTTGAAGTTAAAGTAGCGGCAGTCCCGTAGTAGCTCGGCGCGGTGCGTCTCGTTGCGGATCGTGACGGGGTATCCGCGCAGGAGGTGTAGGATCTCGGCAAAGGTGTCGGCGGAGCGGTTCGGGACGGAGGGCGGCAAGATGGAGGGTGGGCGGAGGAGGCCTTCGCGGTCGAGGCCGGGGAAAAGGTCTTCGGGATTGGAGAAGAAGACTGCGAAGCCGAGGGAGAAGAAGTTGGGCGAATTCCCTGGGTCGGTGAAGATGTCGCGGGGGATCTGGAACTCGCGGTGGCCGATGGAGATGAATATTGACTCTTCGTAGAGCTGTGATATCAACTTGGGCACTGCCGGGGCTGTGTTAGTCATGGAACCAGAGAACTCGAGGTCGGTAAACACGCACAGCTGTAGAATTGCGCATCGGCAAAGAGTCGCACAAAGTGCGTGCCGTCCCGGGGCTTGACATGATAGCCCTGAAGGTGGAGGGAGATATCGGCAAAGGTCTGCGGATCGCGGTCGATATATAAGGTGCGAATGGCATTGGAGAGGTCCTCGCCGGTTTCTTGTGCCTTTTTGACCTGGCAGTAAAAGTATTGGGAGAAGTACGACGGCGCTGAGAGAAACGAGGGTCAGCATGGTGTTTTTCGTCTCGGGCTCCTTGCGCGGATCGCGGTGGATCGCGGCGCAACGTCGGACGCCGATTCGCATTACACAAAGACGGGATTGGGAGAAGTGGGCATGGCAGGGATTGGGGAACGTACCATCGGATGAAATAGATGCGCCAGAGAGCTTGAACAGCTCATTGCCTATCTGGATGGGAAAGACGCGCTCGTGAGGGAGGAAGTGCGGGATCTTGGCGACTTGAGCCTCATCGTGGGGTGGCGCTGGGCTCTTTGACGGGTGTTGTGATCTTGTGTTGCTGTTGTTGGCAACGGACATGTCGGCGGCAGCTGATCGACGCTGAGGTTGAGAGTCGGATTGCGCTTGTTGGACCATGGCGCCGTGTTATCTGATCGTATTCAAGATTCGACTTGGACGGGAAGTCGGCTCTTAGTGCCGAGATGGGGACGTTGTGAATGCAGGTGGATGGACTGGCCGAGTTGAAATTTGATTTAATTAGGCAAAGCTTGCGAGGAGCCTTGTCACCTTGCGCCGCGGTGTCAAAGCACGAACCACAGGCATCGACATCAGATGGAAACGAGGACGAGGACGAGGACGACGACATGACCCGAATTGCGGTTGGATAGAGCCCCGAGGTTTGCGCGCGAATGGGCGAGCAAGTGGAGGGGTTGGGATTTGATGATGAGGGGCCGTGAATTGGAGGTTGTTTTCCTCACTATGAGAGGTGGTGAAGTGGGTGAGGAGGTTGAAGTTGTTCCGCGAAACGGAAATCTACGCGAAAGCAACCTTGCAATGTAATGTGCAAGGTAGAAGGAGAAAGTAAGGTATGGATACAGCTATACGATTCGCCCACTACTGCTCTCGAGACCGGGGAGGGGCCTGTAGATTGTAGTTCAAACGGCGCGAGGCCGGGGTTCGAGCAGACGACAAGCTGGAGTCTGGAGATAAGGTAACCTCGCGTGCCTCGGAAGGGACGGAGAGTGTGTCTCTTACAGTAAGGTAAGAATGAGTATAATCTTTTGACATGCGAGAGGCACAGTAAGCGCAGAATTGCTGAAGGCATCCGCAAGGTACTCCGTATGGACGGATACTCCCCGTGTCTCCGTCAGGATGAATTGACGTGGAAAGGGTTTGGAAGGGGGGCTGGTCTGGAACTTGGAGGTGCAGAGGTGGACCTTGGGTGCTTAGGTAAGGTAAGTAAGTAAGGTAAGTACTCCGTAATGGTAGGAAGGGAATGTCAAAATGCCCTGGTACCGACGGGCCAGAATTCGTAGGCGGGAATACTTTCCCATCATGTCGTTGCCTGGAATTTCAACCGACGGAGGTTGGGTGTGCCGTGTGCGCCAGGTGCGGGTGCTGTTCTACCTTACCTTATTCCCTACCAATCACACAGCAGGTAGCACCAGTTAGGTGCTCAAGTAGGTAGCTCCAAGTGCGCTAAAACAGGCTCGATGCTCTGTCAGCGCCAGACGTTCGGAGCTCCCGTGGCGCTAAACTCACTGTAGACACACAAACGTGCTAAGCGAGAACGCCAGTTCTCGCTTAGGATCTAGCCGAGTCGCTCCTTGCTTTGCTGGTGGTAGGAAGGTGCCTCTGCGGCTTGCCTTCTGCTTCTGGACCTCTGCAGACTGCGACTGCCTTGCAAGTTCCACCTGGGACGGAATTGTCTCCGGTCATAAGCCTGAGGTAATCACTACCTTAGGTACTCCGTACTCCAGGTCAATATGGGAATGGAAGGACCAAATGGAAGGAGTTCCAGATTATTCTATACCTTCCTTGGATCCTTGAAGTTCCCTCAGTCAACGACGTGCCTCAATTTACGAATACGGAGACAACACTTTGCCAACTCGGAAATGACACTGAATCCCTTCATCAAATCCACACGTCATCGCCATCGTTCCACTCATGCGGCTTTCAATGTCAAACGCACTCGAGCTGGCATCACCAAAAGCAATTATACAAGACACTCCTCGGCTTGACTTACAATTCCATGTCTCGACAGGCGAGCTCCGCCAAGATGCCCTCCGCTGCAAGGACCCCTTCAAGTTCCAGAACAATTCTCCAGACTACCCTGCCAATCAGCTCCCTGGGGACTCGAGGTCCCGAAGACTGTCAATTACTTCCCTATTTTGTCACCCTGACACATGCAGCCTCAACGGGCGTCGATAGCCAACAGCCATACTTTGCGGCACTGTATTCAGAATCCAGACCGCGGAGTACGGATACGCATCCCAACACGAGAGACGGGGCTCCAAGCTCGAGAGACGTCGTCAGCTTGCGAGTCCAAGCATGACGATCCAAGTATCAGCTTCGCCGTTGCTTCTTACAATGCTACCGTCACTTCTGCCTCCTCCTCCTCGTCCGATGTCTTCGGAGATCCCGCTCCCACCAACCACATCACATCTGTTCTTACTTCAGACATGACCGACAGACCTCGAAGGCAGGTCTTCCTCGATTTCGGCAAGCCTGAGCCGAGACTGACAACCTCGCCACATCGTGAAGCTTTGCGTCAAAAAGGCCACCACCGCGGGAATCAAACCTTCTGTCACCAAAATCGACTGATGATCTGCTGTCCCGTCCTGGGGTCTGTAGGTCGATCCTCATTCGGTGAGCCCTACTTACCTTACCTTACCTTTCCTTACTACAGTACGGATAGATACTCCCAAGTAGGTATTACTCGGTCTTCTAATCCCGAGCTCTTCTCTTCCACATTGTGCGTGCTGTTGCGCCGCAACACACAATGCCTTCCTTTCGTCTCGCCCGCTCAAACCGTTCGCTCGTCCCTTTGCAGAGTTTACATGCGGAACCGACTTCGAAATACGTACCACATCTTTCGCACCGACACGAAGCTGTTCGCGGCAATTGTCGTATGAGGGATGGTTTATTCCGTTCTTTGACGTTGACGGAACCTACTGCACGCTCGCCCATGATCCATTGTTCAATCTCAGATGCTCTACTCTAGTCCGGCGGCCTTCACTCTTCGCCTCATTCCGTTGCACCACATGCAGACAACCTGCATAATAGCCGCTGCAGCTCCGATAAAGCCTGTCGGCCGAGTTGCGGATCAAATCCTCTGCTCACTCTCACACTGTCACTGGCACACTGCTCAGACGCCCGCAAAGTCAGGGCCGCGCTGCGATCGTTCCAAAGCCTGCCCATTGGTCCCCAGAGCCGGATCCTGGAATTGCATCCCCTCCCCAACGCGTTTCGAACTAGCACTGCAGAAATACAAGATACGAACCCGATGCCGGAATCGAACTTGCGGCACGTCCAAGGTTCGAGATTCGACGGTCGATTCGTCGAGTTGCAACACCGTTTGTTTGTTGGATTCGTCGGTTGTCTCGGTGCGTGCCAGTGCACCAGGCCCTCCCGAATCCTCCAAGGAGAATTGCTCGGAGCCGACTTGCGAGCTTCCCACCACAACGGACCGCATCTGGGCCCCGCCAAACACTGAATCTGAGGGGACTTTCGTGGAGACTTACTTTATTACGACCCGATATGTCGTGCTGGCCAGTTTCAAGGCCTTGCTGTTTTCGAGCTTCCCCGTGTGCAGGACAAGGATGCCTCTTCGTCAACGGCACGCGTCCCTTGAACCCGGCTGGCCAACTGGTTGTGCTGGAGAGATAACACCGCACGAGGCCTGGCCAAGGTCTTGGAGGCCGTAGTCCTTGTCCCGCTTTGCAGGAAACAGCAGCTCTGGCCGATCCGGCAGCGACGAAATTGTCTCAGGCTCTCAGCAGGGCATGGTCGAGACTCATTCTTCCTACTCATCACTAATCCGCTCCTCCGGCATCCATTGGTGGCCATTGGTGGCACCAGAATCAGACGCGCTTTGGGAGGCTCGGGGAAATCTCGATTGCCAAAAGACCAGATCGAGCGCTTCACACCTCAATCCCGCGTTCTGTCTTAACAAAGGCCAGCTATTACACGGAGCCGACCTACTTTATTTTCCCTAGACGGTCACGGAACCCCGTCCGTCCACAGATTCAACCAAATAGGTACCCGTCCCACCGGCGGGCAGTGGCCGCTGAAACGAAATGAATCGTCTTGGTGCTCTAGGCGGTTGCCGGACAGTCGGACTAGAAGCTGGCAGTGGTCGGCGCTCTCTACGCAGTAAAGACAGAAACAGTTGAGGCCGAAATTGGCATACTGACTTTGCCTGCATGCACAGCCTTTATCGCGGGGCAAATCTGGAGCCCGAAGAAGCGCGAGAATTCGTCGCAAAAGCTCTCGGCGGATAAAAGGGAAGAATGGATGTGGAACTTGGATTGATCGTCGCAGAGTATGGGACGAGAGATGGAACATGCCGTCCAAACCGTATTATTGCCTCTTGAAATCATACGCGCCCTGGAACCTGCGATGGACACGCTCCGACTTATTTACCTCATAGGCTGGTCAGGGGCCCGTCACCCGTAGGCTGTGGCCATTGTTCTTGCCGTCTCTATCAATCAACCAACAAGACCGACTTGTCATGTGGTACGGAGTACACGCTCACGCTCCGATGAGGTGTGTTGAAAGTGAAGGGAAGGGATTGATCAAACTTTCCCACCTGGACAGCAACTGGATCCGAACGATGAATCTGTCTGGAACAAGGACGTCTCGCTACTGCGGGCACACCCTAGGGGTGGGACAGCCCGCCGAAGAAGATGATTGGGGGCCAGGGCAAGGTTGGAGATCGACGAATGAAGCAAAGGAATATGGATGAAGGGAGGCTTGGCTTGGCTGTCTGTTGGAAGGGCAGAAAGCGATGAAGCCCGGCGCTAGGCGAGAGCAAGCAGCGCGCAGGACGGCCCGGCACAAGGCCTGAGACTGAGGCGCTCGCAAGATATCCAGGGAAGGGTTTAGTGACTGAACGTGCGATGCAGCGAGGCGACGACTAGCTCGCCCGTTGCTCACATTGAGTTGCTTAGGTGAGGATCATGTCACAGTCCGAGATGCGTTGGCACCAAGGTTGGACCTGTCAATGGTCTGTGAGAGAGACTTTTCTCCTACTCTCAGACGGGGTGGGAAAGTGGACGTATCCGTACTTTATTTCCTCTCAGACCTGGCGCCGTCACACGTAACGGGAATGCGGTTGGGTGAGGAAGAGGAGACTTCGGACCACACTCCGCGGCCTGAAGTGATCAGCGCGGCCACCACCACGTATGACGCCCATGACATCTAACCGTCCGGAATCACAAGACATGCTTGATGGACAGACTAGGCAGGCTCCGAAATTAAGACAGGCACTGGCAACGATCGGATAACAGATGCCGCGAAGCGCATGCTGCATGAGTACAGATTGCCGTATCGCGTAGTTCGGCGCGCGCGCGCACGCGGTAGGCGCAGATTCTTACTTTACCACAACGACACCAAAACCAAAAAAACATCGTTCGCCTCAACCGCCACTGTGGCGCCCCAAACACAATCGCGCAAGCGGTACGGATAGCTCCCGGCCGGACGGTTTAGCCAAGGAATTACCTATTGCTTTTCAGCCGGAACATCGTTGAGCTGAGCATCCCTCGAGCTTAGTCGAAGCTCCAAGGCCGAAGCTCCTTTCAGCGAGCGGGTACCGATCATCAGTGACGGGCGTTTGTCTGCTTTATTCGTACACCAGGCAATGCGACTACGAATACTTGTTCTTGTTAACGGACATCAACGATTATGGCATGTCCCTCGGCCCCATCATGCTCCTGCAATAGACCAAAGGTGGTCAACACGAAGTTTTTCCAGGCCCCGAAATGAAGATACTTCAGGCGTGGCTTTCCACTGGCTGCGCATCTCTTGACCTTGACAGGCTCATTGCTCATTTACCTCGAATCGGCTTCCACATCTGGCCTTACGAATGGGGTACCTTACCATCTTACCTCATGTTTTGTTGGGGGGGGGAGTCTTTGACAGGCACTATGCAACTGGCCCACCGCAAGCCATGCCACATCCACTCCTTCCACTTCATCTTGGCCTTCCATCCTCCAACCCTGGAAGACGATTTGCAGTTTTGCAATGGGGCCGGCTTTCTGCACAATCACATTCGGACGGCGGGGACAGCTCGTGCTAGAGCAAGCTTGAGTGGATCAAACGTGCCAGGGGAATTCCAGGCTTAGGTCCAGTCGAGGCCGCTTTGTGACACCCGCTGAGCCCCAGAAACTGTGGGTTGTCTCTGAGTTTCTGGAGACGAGTCCGCCATGGACATGCCGTGTATTTTTGGAAGTGTCTCTGGCCGGGAACGCTTGAAGCCGTTCGTTCCTCCAAGCCAAGCAATGAGGGTAGGGCAGGGTAAGGTACCTGATCCTCACGTCTCCTCACGCTCCTTTTACACTTCACGTTGGGGACTTGGGGTACCTCGAGTTTGGACTATTGCCTTTGGATGCCTATCCGCCACAAGATAATACCGTGTATCTGTGCGTGGCTAGCTTGCTTGGTGCTTCATCATGGCCGGCCATCCTGGCCACACGTGGTGCTGGCCTGCTGACGGATGATCTATGTAGGTATGAACATCAAGAGGCGATACGTACTAGCAGCTGCTACCCAAAGCAAGCTACCAACGACACTCAATGTCTCGTCCATTTTGCTCGGTTGTTGACTGCTTGAGGAGGAAGTACATGGGATCTTTGACAAGGTTCAGGTACCTCTCTCTCTGGTTCCCTCATCGCACATAAACTCTACAAGCTCAACGGCACGACATACACACATACCTACCTAGACACATAGACTACGAAGTAGAGACACACACTCACACGTTCTCCTGGACACAGACTGTTGGACAAGTTGGGCTCTTCCACCCGTCCGCCCGCCCTTGCGCTCACGCACGCACTCATTGGAATTACACGCCCGAAGGTAGCAACATCAAGACATCAAGATTCCCGACGCAAAAGCAATGAACAAATTTTCCGGACTCCACCTCAGCGCTAAATCATAAGCGAGGACGGTCGAAGTTCCGTTCGGCTCACGCTTCGAAGGAAACGGACAGGAAACAGAGCCTTTCTCCATTATCCATGCCGATCAGGGCACATGCGATGGCAACCTTGCAGGTCGTTGCATGTCTGCATTGCACGCTAGAACCAGAGACACCCGCTTCAGACAGAGGTTTGCTAAGAAGCGTCCATATCCTCAACAACGTGTCCGTTGTACCGTTCAGAGCAGCCAAATCCGACCACGAAAGAAGTGATGGGATCCTCTCTGGAGCTGCCCGTCTTCCCGTTTATTTCCACTGTATGACTATGCAGCAACAACTGCCAGGCTTCCTCATGCCCAGCTACAGATTTCCAGCAATGTGGCAAGGGTACCCGGCACGCCGATCCATCGTCCAGCTTCGTTCTAGGCCCAGCGATGCCCCTCAGCCCGGCGACATGTCTCTAGCGGCCTGGCGCATGGCCGGGGTTTTTGACCAGTGGCAGTATGCTGCTAGTGCTCCGTCTCAGCTGCTTTTTTTTTTCTGCTCTCGAACGTCTTTTTTCCTGCCCAGAGTCTCGATGACCGCTGCATCGGCGTCCCACTTGCAAGTTGCTGGGAGTCGGGACGGTGGTACGGATACCTTTCCGTACCTCTCACCAAAGACTCGATCATCCATCTATCCGTAGGTACCTGCTGTACGTCTGATCCTGAGCTTCAGGCGGCTTGTCCATGTCTGTGTCTTAAGGCAGGGACCAGGGACGCCTGCTTTACGCTACATGAAGACGACCACACTGCGTCCTACGCACTACTTACGTCCAATACTGCGTACTCCTTAAAAAGGCGCTTGCGATTGGAGAGACAGACTGGCGGCTCTTGGGCGTATCTCTCGGCTATCGAATCGAACACCCTCTGCTCATCGGCATCCCACCGCGCCTTCTCTTTGTCAATTTCGCCTTGTTTGGGCCGTTTATCGGACAGCAGCTACGAGTCTACGACTCCCGAGGCCAAGAGGTACCTGCTTACAGTAAGGACGACCTGGACTCTGGAGATTGGAGAGACTTTGGAGTTGGACTAGAAGAAAGGGCCTAGGGCCTAGAGCATGGCTGTCTCTCCCAGTCTCCAGTCTCCAGTCTCCAGTCTCCAGTCTCCCCCACCACAGCAGCAGCTCTCTCTACCTTACCTTACTCCATCGAGTCCATCCGTCACGGAACGGATACAAGCAAGTCTTCACCTTGCCCACCCCCCCTTCTCCAATACCAGCACCCCACGGATACCGGGTTACCTGCGCTCGCCGTGCCCTCCTCGACTCTTGAGTACTCCGTACTCATACTGAGGTGCGTCTGCCTCTCTCAACCTGAGGAGAATCGCATGCCGGGGCGTACCCTCACCCTACCCTTCCTGGACCCGACCTCCCACCTTCAATCTCTCCCTCCAATTGAATGGCCTGGAACGACCGCCGTGGAAGGGGGGTGGATCACCAAATCATCACTAAACACACCACCACGGCCGTCTTTCGACTGGCCTACCTTACTCAACCTTCCAAACTTCCCGTCCCGTCCACGACGAACCAGCTCAGACCAGGCCAGGCCTGACAAGGGCACTGTGTCCCTGCACTTTGGGACATTTTTTTTTTCTTTTTCTCTCCTCGGGGATACCTACTGAGCATCTCACACCTCGACCTTGACCTCGAGTCCTCGACCTTGACACGCGCAACTCACCTCAATCCCAGCTTCTGTCCTCGATTGTGCTTCTCTTTGAGGAGAGCGAGAGGGCGGTATCAACAAAAGAAACCAACATACCATTACTCTCAGGGTTTCATCCTCGGAGGGCAAACCAAATCAACAACAACCAGCAGCCCGTATCGTATCACTCCACGGTAACCTGGTCTTGAGCTCTCCCGAGAATCGACGGTCAGCAACAAAAGAGCAGGTTCAGACTTGAGAGACAGAGAGAGAGAGAGAGAGAGGGCAACGGCGCCAGTCTCACGGTTCACCTCCAAGGTCGCCGGGCTAGAAGAAGATACCTTGCCAAACCAAACCAAACCCTTCCTCACCTTATTACTCCGTACCGTCTTCACTCCGTCTTCACTCCGTCCCTACCTTGCCTTGCCTTGCCTTGCCTTACCTTGCCTCGGACGAGGCACTGGACCACACGGCACCAGTACCGCTTCTGCACCACACACCCCCAAGGCCCCGGGGAAGCTTGGATCATTCATTGCAACTACCAAATTTGGTCTCTTTTTTCCTAATCCCATCTAACCCCCTTCTCCTCTCTTTCCCTTCCTTCCTCACTCACGAGCTCCCATCTTCTTCTTGAAGCTTCATCTTCTTCCATTGGCGACGGATCCAGGGCTGCTTCTTGAGTAACATCGGCTACGGCGTGTCCGGCAGACGGCTGCCCCATCTTTGTTGGACACGGCAGAGCAATAGCTCTGTTACTGTCCACGCAACTACTCGGACCAGATCGCTACCTCCAACAACAAGATCGACGTTGCTGCAGCTTCTGCCTCTACTCCCGCCGCTCGTTTTCGCTTTGCGCCAACGCCGCACCCACCCCCGACCGTCTCTCTCAACCCGCAGTCACAGCATGTATGGCCGGCGAATGACTCGACACCAGTCAGATTCAAGATCCAGCGTCGCGAACCAGAACAGAGGCAACACTAGCCGTGCCTGGGAACTTCAATGCGAACAACGTTGATCATCGCGTCGATCTACAGCTGTACTTGTTGTTCTTCCCACTGCCAAAACTCGCCCACTACGTGCGCGCGTCAAAGTCTGCACACAGCAAGAGACAACCTCGAGCTTCGGACCGCGAAGCCAGGCACTGCCGTTGCTGTTGCTGTTGCTGTTGCTGCTGCTGCTGCCGCCGCCCCTTAGCTGTGGTGTGCCGTCAAGTGTGTGCTGCCTGTGCTGCGTTGTGTTGCGTTTCCTCTCACTTCGCTCCTCACCGTCTCTCCCGCTCCCGCTGGTAATTCTTGCCGGTGCCGAACGGGGGGTTTCTAGAAATACTGCGTCTCAACGGCACAAATGGCCGCCGCAACCACCTTTGCCCCGGAAATGGGCACAGTCACAACAACACTGCATCCTAACGCGAACCTTGCTGCTGTTGCTCCAATGGGCTCGATACCCAACGCTACAACTCCCTACGAAACATCACCAACTCTACCAGCTCCGCATAATCTCTCTACCGGCACGCCGGGACCCACGCCTGCACCTGCGGGAACCCCTGTACCACCTGCTGCCGGCGGAGCATCAACCTCGGCAGCGGCAGCGGCAGCAGCTGCGGCGGCAGCATCGGCATCGCGCAGTGTCAAGAGGCCGCGTCCCGTCAAGTCGTGCACCGAATGTCGCAAGCGCAAGCTAAGATGTGACCGCAACCTGCCATGCTCGCAGTGCCAGAAGTCGCATCGCAACTGCAAGTATGCCGCCGAACACGACTCGTCAATGCTCTCAGATGGCTCCGATGCCGAGATGGGTGAGGTGCCGCGTCCACCCAAACGGAATTGCCTGCCCACAGCCGCAACACCGGGACCACAGACGGCCGAGTCGTCTTTTGTGCCCTTGCGCAACGGAGAATCAACTGGTCACACTGCTTTGGAGGAACTCACTTCACGATTGGACCGCTTGGAAAAACAATTCATGATTAGGAGCCCTGCAGGCACGGAATTCAGCGGAACTGGTCAGCGTTTGCCGCTATCGCCGGAGACAATTCGTGGGCTGACGGTCAAGAGAGGCGCCCTACGGACTCGATTTTTTGGTCAAAACAGTGTGCGCGTTTTGCTGAACCTGGTAACTGTCCCCGACCCCCTCATCACTCCGAGACTCTACCCCTAACCTGACTCTTCCAGTTCGACGAGGCCAAAGATTTCATGGCAAACCAGTCCAAGATTGAGGGTATCCGAGAGACCATGTATGGTCTGCAGATACTACACAAGAGGATCCAAGAGGAGTATCGAAAGTCCTTGTCCCCTATATCCGTCTTCGCCGATTCGGTCATTCCAGTCCAGAAGCGCATGCAGGATATCCTTCCCAAGAAATCGATATGTGACAGGCTACTGGCTTCTTACATCGACACGTCCGAGACCATTTACCGGATGATTCATGTTCCCACCTTTAAAGAACAACACGAGTTGTTCTGGGGAGGAAAGTTACAGGGCGACACGTTTCTTCCCCAGCTTCTGACTGTGCTGTCCATTGGCTCGAGATTCGAGACCAAGTCAAAGGGATTAGGTCATGAGCGCGTCGAGGGAGTCCATATTCCCACGGCGTGCGCACTGGTCAGATCGTGGCTGGATGGACTAAAGGGCAAACAGCTGGTTGATTTTACAACGCTGCAGACCGAGATTCTTCTGGTTCACGCTCAGAGGATGACCACGCCGAGGCCGCAGGATTCGTGGGCGCAATTGGGTTATATCGTACGCATGGCTATGACCATGGGCATGCACCGAGACCCATCGGAATTCGAACCTCGAGTGCCGGTTTTCTTTGGTGAACTTCGGAGAAGGCTATGGTTTACGATACTGGACATGGACCTACACCTCTCGCTGGCATGCAACCTATCCTGCCTCGTGCGCGATGGAGACTTCACCTGCCGACCGCCCCGAAACCTCGACGACAGCGATCTTTTCTTCGACATGAAGGAGCTCCCACCGAGCAAGCCCATCGACCAGCTTACCGACAACCAGATGCAGGTATACGCTGCTATGACGTTGGGAGCTCGGATGCAGGTTGCGCACCTGATCAACCGCGTGGACTCGATTCGGGATTATAGCGAGATTATAGAAGTTGGGACGAAGCTCGACCGGTTCTTGGAGGATATCAACTACCTGTTCCCGCGCCACGGTATACTGAACGAAGTCGAGAAGAGCAAGCAGTGGAGGTCTCGGGTTATTCTCGACATGCACGTCCGACGGCCTCTATTGGCCCTATATCGCCCGTTCGCGCTTGGTCTGCCAGACGCTCCATCCCAGATATCGAGGGCTTATTTGCGGTCCTCCATGGTTATTATGCGATACCTCGACGAACTCGACCCGCTTCTCAGTCATTTCCAGGATGTCAGCGACATGTACCACATGGTACTGAAGAAGGACATTCTGCAGGCAGCCTTTAGCGTGTGCTTTTACATCAAGGCAGCGACCGAATCCCATATCAACGGAAACACATTCGGGATAGCATCTACCGTGGCCATGTCTCCGGATCCGATGGATGATGGGGTCACCTTCAGCACCGAAACGTTTGCGCTCTGGTCACCGTCTCGCTTGATCAAGACGGTTGAGAAGACGCTTAAGCTGCTTGTTCGCAACGTTGGTGGCAACGATGTCAAGGACATTGTCGCGCTCGCCGTGGTCTTGGCCTCGGTGCAGGCCACGAACCAAGAGCAGAAGCTGCAAGATATCCGACGCAGCCTTCAAGGTGTACTCGACGCCTGTCAGACCGCTACGAAAACCAGCCCCGAGAAGATGTCCTTGCCGAACCCGGCCGACCCGATGGACCCCTACATGCAGACGAGAGTCCCGTTCATGTTTCATGCAAATGCGTCGGCGGCTGCGGTAAGTGACTACGGCGGCTGGGTGCTGTGGGACGGATGGGACTGGGCTGATGCGTGGTCGGCAGACTCCGGATGATTACGCGGACTGGGACTTGGACTACTGGAATCCGATGATACCAGGCCCCTCCTAACATCAACATGATGCGGGGTTGAGGATAGGATCTGATCGAGGGAGAGACCGGAACACCCCAAAAATCGCCCGTGCCACGAACACCTTGTGGCTTGGAGTTGTTTTGCTGGGATTCTGCGTTGACAAATACACGACAAATACCGCGGCAGCGGTACGAAACTTCCCCTTTGCGGGGACCATCACGGCGATCCAAGAGACCCGTCAACCCTTGTCCTTGCTGGACATTTCACGACCAATCACATGTCAACCGACAACAGCAACAACAAGTCGAATGCCGGCGAGGATGAGCAGGTCATAATTCCGCAGTTGTTACTTGTAGTACTTCTGTGAATGAGTAAAAAGGAAGGGAAGCGATGGTAGACAATGATGATTATGCAGACATTCTAGCAGGGGAAGCCAAAGAGATGCGAAAAGCCCACGTCACGGCAGGGGAGAGAGCATACGAGTAGAAACTCCGTAAATACATTACACCGAAGATACCAACAAGCAGTGGAGGAATTCAAAAAGAAGGGCATGGTTTGGCATTTGCACAACATGCTTATTACTACTACATCAAGTTACAAAAGGAGGCCTTTCCATTGTCAAAGGGCAGAATGACATGAACTCTAAAAATCCCCACCCACAGCTTTCTCGCGTACACGTTGAACTAAACTGATCTACTTAGTTCGTGACCACAGGCGCACTGCGATTCCACTCTTTCTTTTCAACTGCATCCACCATGAAGCCGGCCACGCTCCGCCTCGTGATCTTGGGCATCCAGCACACGCCGCTGCCCTCGTCATCGTACACGTTGACCGGCAGCTTCTCGCCCTCGACCAGCATGGGCGGTCTGATCAGGACCCAGTCCACCACGTCGTTGCCGGCGTCGCCTTTGATGAGAGTGTCTACCGCGTTGTGGTCGTCGAGGGTGTATGTACTTCATGTTTGTGTGGTTGAATAAGGCGCGGAGCGGGAGGATGAGGGACTTTGAGCTTGCGCCGGCGCCTTGCATGCTGTTTATGACGAGTTTGGGCCTCCATTCGGGCGAAGTGTTTACAAGTAGGGATTTTATTGCGGTTAGGGTGTTATTGACGGAGTCGTGGAGGAGGGCGGGGGGTGTGTTTGGGTCGAGGGCGGACAAGGGGGAGTCGGATTGGCGGCGGGGGTTGAGGGTGATTATGATTGCGTCTGGGGGGGGGATGTTGTTTGTTGCATTGCGTTTAAGAGATTGGGGAGGGAGAGGGGGGTGCCTTTTTTGAGGTCGAGGTTTTTGTGAAGGGGGAGAGAGGTGGTTGTGGGATCGCGGACGAGGGCTGTGATTGTGCGGTTTCGGGAGAGGGCTTCGGCGAGGACGAGGGTGCCATTGCGGCCTGTTGCGCCGATGAGGAGGATGTGCAAAATTTTTATTTTTTTTGAGAGAGGGGCTGGTTATGGTGTTTTGGTGTTTTGGTGGTTTGGTTATGGGTTTGTAAGTTGAGTAGGGTAGGATGTAGTTGCTTTGAGGCTTGAGAGGGTGGTGATGGTGATGATGGTGATGCTGTTGGTGATGATGAGAGGGCCAAATACGTCTCCATCGCGACTTGCACTTGTCCTTTATACATTTCTCTAGATTTCTAGCTTACTAGTCTACAAGCTATTTACCATGAGAAGCAGAAACCTCATTGGAAATCATCCGTTTCTCCTCCCGGCCGAGATCCTTTTGCTTCAGTACAGCTCAGCTTTCAGTTTCCCGTATCGCCTTCCATTCTTCATAATCTATCGGCCGAGAAGGATCTCACGTCGGAAAGGAATGGGGGGAAAGGGGGCTTTGCGCCAGCCACGTCGGCGCAATTGAGACTGATTTTCGTGTCTGCTGACCAAACAACCTCGTATAATTCACGGAACCGAAGATGATGGGAAGAGCTAAGTTGAGTTGTCGGCACCTTTCACTCGGCCGGGTGTTTGTGGTTTTGTTGCATCTCGACCGAGAGACCACGGCGGACACGGCGGACACGGCGGACATGGCGGACGGGGGGAATTGGGAGCCGACGCTAAAGTGGTGCTTACGCAGTCTGGCAATGCGATTGATGAGGTTGCGGAGAAGGGCTGTATTTATGGGGTCTATTTTCTTTCAGTTCATTCTTTATTTTTGACGCTTGGGATTTGCGGTGCTTCTCAATGAAGCAGGGTACTAGTTGAGTTTGCGTTGGAGATGGAAAATGGATTCCTTTACAGTCTTTGGCCCTTTGTGTTTCTACACATCCCCTACCAGGTTCTCAACGTCCATGTCATTCAATCGCTCGAGAACACGAAGGGCACAGAAATATCGGAGTCATCAGCCGCGTTAGATTTGAGTAAACGCGGATGTTCTTCCGGATATCAAAGTTTTTTATTTTATTTTACAAACCTGTAGGGGACAAGATGCGATAGGGGCTTGGCGAAGCAACCCGTTTTGCGTTCAAGTCGGGGGTTGAAGGTTGGGGTTTGCGCAAAGTGCTGTGAGTACAGTGTAAAGCCGGTCGGACGCGGGATACCAAATCGGGACCGCTCGGCCGAGTGTGGGGAAGGGGAGGGGGGGATCTAGGTTTTTGGTGGTTTGAAGGTTTTTTGCTTTGCAAGGGTGTTTGGTTGACGGGTTAAGGCGAGGGCAAAGTATGTGGTTGGTGGTGTGAAGGAAGGGGTGTGAAGGAGAAGAAGAAGAAGAAGAAGGGAAGAAGAATATGAGACGGTTTTTGCTCACGGGTGGTGGTGTTTGGGTGTCACAGGTGTATGCTTCTAAGGATAGGTACAAGTCTTTTTCCAGAGAAGGTTTCTCGGTGGAGCCGAGAGGTTCGAAGGTGAGATGGAACGATTCAGAGTTTCTTCCCTCCTTTTAGGTTGAAGAGGGAGGGGTGGAGGGGTGGCGTGCTGTGTCTCTGTGTGTGTCAAGTTAGGGGAGCTCGGGGTTCACGTTGACGCCTTTTCTCCGGTTGGGGGTGGTTTGGAGGAGGGATTCGGGAACATCAATCTCGGAGGATGGAGGACGAGAGGGGGTGTGTGTGTGTGTGTGTGTGTGTGTGTGTGTGTATACCACTTGATGGGATAGGATGGTTCAGGGCAGACAGTCGATCATTGTTCTGTTCGGTGTAGTTACATAGCGAGAATAGTGCTTACTCGGGGTTAGGGGGTCCTCTCTGACAAACCGAAGCTTGTGTGCTTAGTGATTTAGGCCGCAGGGTGAATAATGAGATGGAGGGAGAGCAGCGATTCGGCGGCTCGGAGGTTGCAGAGGGGGGTCTGGGTGAGGGGGGTGATGGTGGATGTGGGATGTTGGGCCGCAGGCGGACACGGACGCGGAGAAGGGGGGCCCCCGGAAGCACGGAGGACGCTTTGCTGGATTGGGTGATTCGTATGTTTCTCGGCCGAGTGGCGGGTCCGGTCATACGGAGGAGGGGGGCGCGGCTGAGGTGGCTTTGTTGGTGAGAGGGCGAGATTGGTTCATGGGAGCGGGCGCCCTTGGAGGACGATGATGTGTTCTTTTTTTTTTTTTGGCTTACCAAGTATGAGAGGGACTAATGGACTTTAGGCAGCATGGTATGGCAAGCGGGATGGGTATAAAGGTTCATGGGGTCTCCCCAATGTTGTGTTGAGGATATCAAGGCATGCAAAACACCAAGCAATTCTCACCATCGTCGCTGGGTATATTAGTCCACTACCCAGTCACTCATCACACTCTATCTTGTCACACATTTACTCTCACTCGAAATAGCACTCACAATGCCTACCAAAACAGCCACCCCTCATGACAACGTCGACGACGTCGCCATCATCGGCGGCGGCATCGCAGGCATGGCCCTCGCCCTCGCCCTCAACGCGCACGCCATCCCCGCCACAATCTACGAGTCCCACGACGCGGTGCCGCTGCCCCCCCCCCCCCCCCCCCCCCCCCACCACCACGCGGGCGGCGGCATGATGCTCTGCCCCAACGCCCTGCGCATCCTCGAATCCCCGGGCGTCTACGAGCTGCTCTTCGACAAGGCGTACAGCTTCGACTACGTCTACTACAAGGACCGCGACGAAGTCACGGTCGACCGGTACGCTCTCGGCGGCAAGGCCGCGTTCGGGTACGATGCCGTGCGGATTTTCCGGCAGGAGTTGATTGAGATTCTCGCGGGGGCGTGTCGGGAGCGAGCGCGGGGTGGAGGTGCGGTATGGCAAGAGGTTTGCGAGAGTTTTTGGTGAGGATGAGGGAGGGGTGGAGTTTGAGTTCGCGGACGGGGAGAGGCGGAGAGGCGGAGGGCTGGGGTACTTGTCGGCGCGGACGGGATCCACTCGCGGGTGCGGAGCACTTACGTCGCGCCGGAGGCGAAGCCGGCGTTTGTGGGGCTCGCGGCGCTGACGTACGCGGTGCCGACGGCGCAGCTGCGGGTGCCGGAGGATAAAGACTACACGTTCCCCGTCAGCGTGGCGAGTGGCAACGGGGTGTTTGTGCTGGCGCCGCAGGGGCGTGACGGCGGGGAGATGTTGGCGGGGACGCAGGTGCCGTTTGATGCCGAAAAGGCGAGTCTGCCGCGGGAGGCGCTGATGGCGGATAAGGAGGCGCTCAAGGCGCGGTTGAGGTTGAATGAGGAGGCGTGGCCTGGATTGGTGCGGTCTGCGCTCGAGGGGATCCGGGACGAGACGATGAATGTGTGGCCGTTTTTCATGTTGCCTGCGCTGGAGAGGTGGGCTTCGCGGGATGGCGGGGGAAGGGTTTTAGTGTTGGGGGATGCGGCGCATGCGATTCCGCCTACGACGGGGCAGGGAGCTTCTATGGCGTTGGAGGATGCGGCTTCGCTTGCGCTGGTGGTGAAGAGGATGAGAGAGAGAGAGAGAGAGAGAGAGAGAGAGAGAGTCGGGGGAAGATTGGGTGGGAGGAAGGTGTGGAATTCTGGCAGGGGATTCGGAGGGAGAGGTTGGGGAGGTTGGTTGGGTTGACGAAGATGTTGAACAATAAGAGGCTTCCGAGCGATGAGATGGCAAAGTTGCCGAGAGAGGAGGTTTGGTTTGAGGAGGGGGAGGGGGAGGGGGAGGGGCAGATGAGTTGGTTGTATGTGCCCGAGATTGAGAAGCGGGTTGAAGAGTGGGTGGAGAGGAAGTTGCAGTGATTTATGATGCTTTGAGTTGTGAGGTGTGTAATATCTCGGAAGAGACATATATAGGCCAATGGTTAAATTGGAGTTCACGGGTTCACAATGCTGAGTTCCTCACACATCATGAGCATTAACAGCGTTACAATAATTGAACCGCAAGACCATGACATCTGCAAATTGTGTTGTGTCTTGGTAACCTTTGATAGACTGATTAGTAGCTTAGGTTGATGGGCTAAGTAAGACTCTCTACAAGTCCACGAGGAATACAATATCATGTGCAAAAACCACCAAGTCTGAATCACCTATTCGAGTCAGCATTTCGTCGCATTCTTGGTTAATTAGTCCCCAAAGTGTTCGACGACCAAGGTTACCAAAAAAGGGCCCTAGCAAAGAGGGACCGAATTTACCTCGGCAAGCAACATGATTGGCCACCATGTTTGGGGAAACAGCTGCAGGTTCAAGCTCGAGTTGCTCGACCGTCTCTTAGCGGCCGGGGCCTCGGCATTCTGCGTCTTCGAGACGCTGTTTCCCCGCATCGAAGCTCCCCTAATGATCCCCCCGTTGCAGCGGTGTTACATGCCAGTTGTGGGTTAAGGTGGTGTTTTGACGCTGGTTTTGGTCACAAAGTCACAGCAGATAGTGCGGAATTTGTGCCGGTAGGCGGGCGGTAGGCGGGCGGTAGGCGGTAACAAGGTAGCTCGGGGAGGGAGGAAACCTGGAGAAGCTCATCCATCTCTATCCGTATTCCCGGGGTGAAAAAGAAAGCGGTGCTGGAAGAGGGGGAGGCGAAAGCTTGCCAACTTCATCTGTTATTTCCTCGCAGAGCACATGAAAGACAGACTCTGTAACTATACCTTTTTTAAATCGTTTCTGAATAGCCGGGGGAATAATATCACCAGGTCCTACCCTAGATTGTCTCTCCAGTTGCCTTTCCCATTCTCTACTATACCATTGAGATTGGCAACCCTCAATACTCCCAAACCATCATCGAGCTCAAGTAAAAGCTACCTCAAGTATCACAACCACACCACAGGAACATCTCCTACATCTAACTCAGACACTCAACACTCAACACACATCACACATCACACATCATACAAAATGGCGCCAAGACAACAACGCCAAAAGGCGCCCTGCTACGTCCTCGGCGTCGGCATGACCAAATTCATCAAGCCCCGCGGCAAGGTCGACTACACGGAGCTGGGCTTCGAGGCCGGCGTCAAGGCCATGCTCGACGCCCAGATCAACTACGACGACGTCGAGCAGGGCGTCGCCTGCTACTGCTACGGCGACAGCACCTGCGGCCAGCGCGTCTTTTACCAGTTCGGCATGACGGGCATCCCCATCTACAACGTCAACAACAACTGCTCCACGGGGTCCACCGGCCTCGCCATGGCCCGCAGCTTCGTCTCGTCCGGCGCCGCCGACTGCGTGCTCGTCGTCGGCTTCGAGAAGATGATGCCCGGTTCGCTGCAGAGCTTCTTCAATGATCGGGAGAACCCCACGGGCACGACCATCAAGATGATGGCTGAGACGAGGGGCATCACCAACGCGCCTGGTGCTGCGCAGATGTTTGGCAATGCTGGGCGGGAGTACATGGAGAAGTATGTTTTTTTCCCCCTCCGTCTTTCCGACAGATTGCATTTACACCATTGCTAATGCCATGCGCAGATACGGCGCCAAGGCCGAAGACTTTGCGGAAATCGCCCGCATCAACCACGAGCACTCCACAAAGAACCCCTACTCCCAGTTCCAGGACGTCTACACCCAGGAACAGATCCTCAAGGCCCCCGAGATCTTTGCGCCCCTCACCAAGCTGCAGTGCTGCCCGACCTCGGACGGCGGCGCTGCCGCCGTCCTCGTCTCGCAGGCCTTCCTCGACGACCGGCCCCACCTCAAGGACCAGGCCGTCCTCGTCGCGGGCCAGTGCCTCGCCACCGACGCGCCCTCGCTCTTCTCGCGGTCCGCCATCGATCTCATGGGCTTCGAGATGACGCAGCACGCCGTCAAGGCCGCCATGGGCGAGGCCGGGCTCACGCCCAAGGACGTCCAGGTCGTTGAGCTGCATGATTGCTTCTCGGCGAATGAGATGATTGTTCTCGATTCGCTTGGTTTGGCGGAGCCGGGGAAGGCGCATGAGCTGGTGAGGCGCGGGGATATCACGTACGGTGGGAAGTACGTCGTCAACCCGTCGGGCGGGCTCATTTCCAAGGGGCACCCGCTGGGCGCTACGGGTATCGCGCAGTGCGCTGAGCTGGTCTGGCATCTGCGCGGCTGGGCCAACAACCGTGCTGTCAAGGGGACCAAGGCTGCGCTGCAGCATAACCTGGGTCTCGGCGGCGCCGTGGTCGTGACGGTGTATCGTCGCGCGGACGGTAAGGAGGCGCCGGCGATTGACTCGGCGGCGGTGGGCAAGGTGAATAAGCTGGGATATAACCCGGCTGTTGAGGCCAAGGGGTTCACGGCGCAGCAGGCGGCGGCTGTGAGGAGTAAGACCAAGAGGAGCGATTGGGCTTTGCAGGATACGGAGGAGAAGGTTGAGGCGCGGTTCTAGGCGGAGAGTTGGTCGGGATATTGGTCTGTATTAATGAGATTGTGAAAAATAGCTATGAAATGTATGTCGCGTCGATCAATCTCGCTGGGTTCATCTCATTATCGTTGACGCCGTTGGATTTTCTCTCCTCCTGATCTCTCAGTGAGAGCTGACCGAGGAAGATGTTCTTATGCGCTGTTGGTCTTCTTGACCTCATACGTCAACAGCGTCACCCAGTAACCCTCGCCGCCGTACTTGGTATCGTCCTGGTAGCCGCGGTGAACTTCCTTAAAGCCCAGCCTCTTGTAAACGTTCAGGCCGGCCGGGAAAGCCAGGATGAAGATGTCAATTCCCGTCTCCTCAGCAAGCCGTATCCCCTCCTGGACGAGCACAGTCGCGATCCCTTTGCCCTTGTGATCGGGATGAACAGCAAGGTAGTCGAGTCCTTCATTCACACTTTAGCTCAAGAGTTTAGAGGTCTCAGAAGGGAAGGGGGGAAGAGGCAGTGGGCCCGGGGCCCGGGGCCGGCCCCGAACTTCAAGTCCGAAAGTCCGGGGGGCGGGGGGGGGCACTCCCGTTTCCATTCATGACCCGACGGGAACTTACTGATATACGGCTTCTCCGCCAAAATCCGCATCTTCTGCGGAACGCAATCATCGATGCCGTCCATATCAATCGGCTCCCACCACGCAGCGTCAGACCGCTCTTTTATCGCCCTCCTCTCCTCCCGGCTCACCGCATCCTCTGCAATCTTGGATCCGGCCCACGCCGCCGCGTCCCGGTGACCGGCCGGCAGCTCCCAGCGCGCGTAGCCCACGAGCTCGCCTGTTTGCGTGTCGACGGCCTTTTGGTGGCGCAGGGCGGCGGTGTTGCGTAGGAGATTGTTTGGCGTGCGCTTTGTGGCTTCGGCGATGAGGAAGTCGAGGGTTGTGTTTTTGGGCCAGAGGAGGTTCCAGTTCGGGTTTGTCCAGAAGGCGGAGATGTTGTTGTGGGCTAGGGCGGGGCTGTCTGCGAGGGTTACGGGTTGGACTTTGTAGGGGGGCATGGTTTGGGATGTGGGAGGGTGAGATGTTGAAGGTTGTTATTTGGTGTTGAGATTGAGATTTGGGATGTGGATGTGTTGGTGGATGGAGAGTTTTGATGCCGGATTGCCAAGGATCGTGGGCGGCTTATATAGAAGGTGGGGAGTTGTGGTTCATCAATTGGTGCAAGTCAATGAAGCAAGTTTGCAATGTGGTCTCTTCTTGATAATGACAGGGTTCCTTGATTGCGGGATTTATCATCTTGTGAACGTGAGGTGCAGAGGTATGCTAACTGGAACGAGCTGTGATGAAGAGTCACTGATTACCCTGGATGAGTCTCTCGAGGACGATGATTTGCTGGGACATGTTCTCGAAGGATTCGAAGCCGTGTATCCCGGTCTGTTTCCCCGTAGCGGGAGATGTGTCCCCCAAACCGCTTACAGGCCATGAATTCTGATCTTGAGTTCAACGCTCGTCGAGTCTTGCCCGTGATAATCAGAGAGCCTTGTTCGAAGCAACAACAATCGTCTTGAGATCTTAGAACCCAGTAAGGCCAGAGAGACCTTCGACGGAGAGTCACGAACAGGAATCTTCTGGGTTCGGAACTTAACAGGCATGACTCGAACTTCTCCGTATCGTAGGTGCTGATTGCTGACCGGCACACAATTGCCGAAAACACATTGAAGATGACGTGTCTGCTTCGACCGAGCCTGAGCCTTTCCTTTCATCGGCTTCAATTGAATCACTTGTTAATCTCCTCGTAGCGTCATTAAGTGAGAGCGAATTGGTAAGTGCATCACCCTTCAGCTTGAGAACTTGAGCTTTAGGTCGAGAGTCGCAGAGGTGCATCTAAGCTTTTCGCCAAGGACGTTGGTTTGTATAGCCTTGCAAAGTTTCGGGGAAGATGCAACTTATAATCATGAGACATGGAACTACCGTTGTGATCCTTCTGCTCGCACTCTTTCTCTTGTAAGTTCTGACACCGGAGCGAACTGCGCGAGTCAGACAGTTGAATGAGTACTCGGATTCGATCGCGACAATATACAGTACATAGGGGTAGAACAACGAGTCATCACAGAAGAATCAATTCTCTACCCGGACTATACGAGTCTCTGAGACTGGATCAGAGAGCTCGCATTCATTGACTTTCTCTCCCACTTCCCCGAGGTTACTGTCCGTAATACGGATCGTCAAAAGGTTGAGAGTAAATAACTACTAGCCTCGAAGTATAATAGAAAGCTTTAATGATCTAGTGGGGTCCAGTTGGCAACTAGGACTCAAATGATGGTAAGAAAACGACAACTCTATTGCATGAGTCGCCTGTTCACTGTCTAACACCAGCTAATTATCACGACAACGAAACTCCACAATACCGCCCGCCGGGACGGCGTCACCGCCTACCCATGTATCGTGAGCGCAACGGTATCCGTATGGCCTCGTACAGGAAAATAGAATGAGGAGTACACCGTAGGCGCAATTAGTCCATCACTTGGGTAGAAGCTTAGGCCACGCAAAAAATAACACAGAAAGAATGGGGAGATAGGGGTTGTGCGTTGCATATGTTGCTATATAACTAGGTTGTCAGAAACAATCCCGTTTCGACGACTGGTACTTGGACCCAAACACCTTGCTATCCCACACCAACCCAGTCAAGATCCCATCAAACCGACACAATGAAGCTGTCTTCCTCCCTCTTCTTCATCGCCCAGATGGCCGGCACCGCGTTCGCTCTGAGCGGCGACGGAGCAAAGTGCCAGCTCAACATTGAGTGCCTCAGTGGCTACTGCATGCCTCACACCGGCTCGTCGGAATACGTCTGCTGGGGTCAGCGCCGCAAGGGAGGTTAGTAGACGCCCCGCATGGAGATTCCCCAGAGGAGAAGGGTTTATCAAGTAAGCGTTTACTAATGGGAGTTTTGCTGTGGTCTAGATTGGTGCAATGTCAACTACTCCGGAACTGTGTGCAACAGTGGCTTGACGTGTAAATCTTACCAAGGTACGTCTCTGAGGATCTCTTTATATAGGTCGTGGTTCGGGTTGGGTAGTATGGTATGCTGACGTTGTTGGCAGGGAGCTGGTTCCTTGGCAAGTGCACTTAATGTCAACGTTGGTAGCTTCATATATAATATATCACAAGAGTCTAAGTGGTGATGGACCAGTCAATACAATAATAAATACAATCTAGAAAGCTCAGATATCTTGGTGATCCAACGTTCAGCTAGAGAAGCTTACATATCAAGAGCATGTCGGGGCGAGGAGTTGTACCAACCGGCTTCCCTGATGATGAAATCCGCAACTCTTAGTGAGCTAATTCATATATAAATGATGAAAAAGAAGGAGCATCTTAGGCAACACATGCTTTGAAATGGTATTATTATACGAGACACCGCTATATCCAACACTATCGTTGCCTCCTAGCTTCACCAGCCTCCTTGCCCAGCTTCTCCAACGCATCCTCATACTTCTGCACCCTCTCCTCCTCGAACCCACCGCTATCGGGATCCCCGATACGCAGGCGATCAACCTTGTCCGCGCGGCGGATCCCGCTGCTCGGCTTGGCAATCTTGCCCCAGAACCAACCGCTCTCGCCGTCCTCCACCAGCGTCCAGGCGGCGCCGGCGCGGCCGGCACGCGCGGTACGGCCAACGCGGTGGACGTAGCCGGCGGCACTGGCGGGGAGGTCGTAGTTGATGACGTTGTCGAGGAGGGGCAGATCGATACCGCGGGCGACGAGGTCGGAGGCGACGAGGAGGCGGAGGCGGCGGGAGGCGAAGGCGCGGAGGGCGCGGCGGCGGTCCGAGGTCTTTTGGGTTGAGGTGAGGGTTGCGATGAAGGGGGCCAGGGCAGGGTGGAGGAGGGAGATGAGGCGGGAGAGACGGAGGGCGGATTCGTTTGATTTGGTGAAGATGAGGGCTGTTGTTGTGAAGGGTTTTGTGGAGGGTTTGGGGGTGGTGGTGGCGGCGGCTGTTGAGCTGGCGTCTGAGGAGCTGTCCGAGTCCGAGTCGGAATCGGAGTCGGAGCTGGAGTCCGAGGAATCGTCTGATGAGGATGTGGCGTCGTCTTCCGCAGTGGATTTGGAGTCCGTCTTGGAAGCGGTGTCGGACATGAGGTGGCCATCGAGAAGGAGGTCGATAAGGTAGAGTGGCTTGAGGTTCGCGTCGTGTACTCTGATGGCCGACTCCTTGAGCAGAGTGGGCAGGGTATGCTCTGCAATAGGTGCCGTACCGTCGGCTTTGTCGCCTTCCAAGACGATGAGCTGCGGCCTCCGAAGCTGCAGCCCACTCAGCAAGCTGAGGTCCCGCGTCAGGGTGGCACTGAGGACGACTTTGCGTACGCCGCTGAGATTTGAGTCGGGGAAATCGCGAGCGCTGAACTTATTGGTGCTGAGCTTGGGCATCACGGTGTCAAGCCAACCCTGAAAACTTTGAGCGAGGAGCTTGTCGGCTTCGTCGACAACCATCCAACGCACGTAGTCTAGTGAGAAGCCGGGGGTCAGGTTGATGTGCTCGACGAGCCTTCCCGGGGTGCAGATTAGGACGTCGACCTTGGATGTGTAGTCGACAATGTGATCCGGGAGAGACCCGGCGGTCGGCTTCGTTACTGCTGCGTCCTCATCTTCCGCCGCCGTGTCCTCAACATCCTTCCATGCCTCCAATTCTCTTTGGTGTGCGGCGCGGTATGCTTCAGGGTCGTACTTCTCCCCTTTTTCGACGAGGCTGGTCTGCTCGTGCTTCAACTGCTGACTACCGATGGAGATACCAATGCGCACCCTCTTCTGCTCACGGCCATCGAATGCGCTAGCGCAAAGCTCAAATACCTCCTGGGCCTGCTTCACCAGCTCACGCGTCGGCAGAACGACCAGAGCCCGCAGTCTCGTCACGGCCCCTTGGCTGATGTCGCGCACGATAGGCAAGGCGTATGCCAGCGTCTTACCGGAGCCAGTGGCCGCCGCAACAAGAAGATCACCTTGCCGATGCTTGCACGACGGCAGAAGCAAGGGAAGAGCGGCCGTCTGAACAGCAAAGGCGTCCTTGAAACCCTTTGACTCGAGAATCTGGGCTGCTTTCGGGTTGATGCCAATGTCTGCGAAGGGCGTCCGTGTGTCGGGAGCTACGCGTATCGGGGCGGCGAGCCAAGGCGGGAGCGTCTCGTATGAGGGTTTCGAGGTATCGAGGGCGGTCGGTTCGGGTTGTGGAAGGGGCACCAAGTCGTATTCTTCTTCCTTCTCCTCCTCCTCGTCCACATCCATCTTGTCCGCGGCCTCGTTCTTGGCGATCAGCTCTGCTGACTTTTTCAAGTACTTTGTAGCCTTGGCCAAGACGTCCTTGTGTCTTCTGCCGACGGCGCCATCCTCTGCATCTTCGTCCTGTCCGCGGTCCTTCTTCTTCTTTTTCTTATCCTTCTTCTCTTTGGTGTCCTCCCCGTCGCTACCAGCCTCGACAGCCGAGACCTCAGATACATGCTTTTTCGTTTTCTTCTTTTCCGACTTCGTGTCTTCTGATTCCGATTTCTTGGACTTCTTTGGTGTCGTCTTGTCTTCGTCCGAGGCAGCATCACCTTCTGACTTTCTTGACTTCTTCTTCTTCTTGACAGGGGTATCTAAGGTCTCGACTGGCTCTTCATGTTTGCGCTTCGTCGCCGGGGACAGCACGTCGTTGCTTTCTGGTGCAAAACTTGAAATGGAGGCGCGAGGCTTCTTGGAGGGAACAAATCGTGCATATGGAACGGCCGCCGTGGTACCTTCGGTCACGACTGGCTCGCTAGCTGGTGTCGCGGATGGCTCTGAAGCTGGGGGAGGCGGCGGCGGCGGCGAAGGTTCGACAGGCGCCTGGGCCTCCTTCTTCTTGGATGGGACGTAACGAGCGTACATGGTGTCAATTGGGTTCTCGCGAACCTTGTAGAGTCGTTCCTGACGTTGTGTGCACCTCTGTTTTCGCAGCGAGGCTTGACATTCAAATGTTGGAGGGGCACCTGTCGCACCGTCCCAAAAAAAAAGTTGGATGGACTTCCTTATCGCAATTCTGCCAGGTTCTACCGCTTGCCATATCTTCCTTATCGGAGCATCATGCCGCAGCTTCCCCCCTAAAGCTTCCATTCCGTCGCGCAAGGTACCTACCTCCCCACGCTACCTTGGCTGAGAAGGACCTTGAGGAACACACTTCACCTATACATTCCCTTTGCGACGACAGATCTTGTCCCGCGACTTTGCGTCTGACAACCTGCAATGCTTCTACATCGTTTTTCTAGGTGACCACCGCTCGCTCTGAGCATACTGACAACATGGCTCGAACATACAATATCGCTATGGCCAGCGACTTCTTCTTCCCGCAACCAGGAGGAGTCGAAAGTCACATTTACCAGCTATCCACGAAGCTCATCGATCGAGGGCACAAAGTCATCATCATCACCCACGCATATAAGGGCCGCACCGGTATCCGAAATCTGACAAACGGCCTCCGAGTCTACCACATCCCGTTCCTCGTCGTATTCCGATCGGCTAGTTTCCCAACCGTCTTTTCAGCATTTCCCATCATTCGCAATATCCTCATCCGAGAACAGATCGAAATCGTCCACGGCCACGCGAGTTTGAGCACCTTTTGCCATGAAGCTATTCTGCATGCGAGGACCATGGGTCTACGGACGGTCTTTACGGACCATTCGCTCTTTGGATTCGCCGATGCTAGCAGCATCTTGACAAACAAGATTCTCAAGTTCTCCCTGAGTGACGTGGACCACGTTATTTGTGTCAGCCATACCTGGTACGTTGCGCCGCGCGCCCACCCTTGAATGAACAAGACTGACTGAAACTGTAGCAAGGAAAATACTGTTCTCCGAGCATCTCTAGATCCCCTCATGGTTTCAGTCATACCTAACGCCGTTGTGTCTGAGAACTTCCGTCCACTCGATTATCCCCCTACCGACGCCAACAATGCATTTGGCCAGAACCCGCCCCCGGCGCATCACCTGGGACCGAATGATGTAGTCACAATCGTCGTGATATCTCGTCTCTTCTATAACAAGGGAACGGATCTCTTAACGGCTGCGATCCCTCGCATCCTCGAGAACCACCCAAACACGAGATTCATTATTGCGGGCTCAGGACCCAAGGCCATTGACCTCGAGCAAATGATTGAGCAAAACGTCTTACAAGATCGGGTAGAAATGCTAGGTCCTATTCGCCATGAAGAAGTACGCGATGTCATGGTTCGCGGCCATATCTACCTCCACCCTAGTTTGACGGAAGCTTTTGGCACTGTCATTGTAGAGGCAGCCAGTTGCGGGCTGTACGTGGTATGCACCCAGGTCGGTGGTATTCCTGAGGTCTTACCGTCGCACATGACTGTCTTCGCCAAGCCAGAAGAAGACGACCTAGTCGCTGCAACTGGAAGGGCTATTGCTGCACTGCGAGCAAACAAGATTCGAACAGAACGTTTCCATGAGCAAGTCCAGAAGATGTACTCGTGGACGAATGTTGCTGAACGCACCGAGCGTGTGTACCAGGGAATCACCGGCGAGCTCAGCGAAGCCGAATTCTATGGCTACGACGCTGCTAATTCCTCGACCTTTGGCAACAGTCGAGTGCGATCTTTCGCCCTCATCGATCGACTCAAGCGATACTACGGCTGTGGTATCTGGGCTGGCAAGCTCTTTTGTCTCTGTGCCATCGTTGACTACTTGCTATACCTATTCTTGGAACTTTGGTTCCCGCGAGAGGAGATCGACATTTGCTCCGAGTGGCCGCGAAAAGTTCCTCAAGATGCGGACGACTCCAAAGAAGACTGAGTGTAGTCGAAGTGTTCGATTCGCGCGGCTGGGCGGGCTGCTCCGGGAAACGATTGTTCGGTTATTCAACGAGCAAGCGACGCCAGATCTGGGTCAAGATTCGAATCTAATTGAAGAATTCCACGCATACATTAAGGGAAACGATGTTGCCGACCAGTGGTTATAGGCGTGGACCGGCGATGGCCGGCGGAAATCAACGGACATTGAAAATTGGTCCAGATTCTCCGCACTCCACGCTTCCCCGAGTCAGCCCATCGAGTCTTCCAGATCCGCAACGAAATGCTTCCAACGGGAGAAATCCTCCAATGGTAGCAGTCTGAAAGGAAATCAGCATGGAGTAGGGGTCTCGGCGTGCCGGATTGGCCTCCGTTAACACGATCCGGAGAGCCCCGACGAAAGGACGGGATTGGTTGGCATTCACGATGTGCTCAACACCATGGCGCAGGAACCATCTTCAACGGTCTGGGTCGGCAGTGAGCTGCCTGTTCCGGTCAGGCGCCCGGTGGACCATGCGACCATCTGAACCCCCACCACGCGCGCATCTCGACCATCTCACATGCACAGCGACACAAGACAAAATCCAGCGATTTCCGCCCCTCGTCAGCGACTTCTGGCAATAACCACCAGCAATACACATTGTTTGCCATTGCATCCTACCCACAGTCGCTTTCTCACAACGTCAACAAAACGATTCACAAGTTTTCAACTTCACAAGACCCCGCGCAACCACTTGCCCGCCATGGCCGCCGCACAGGACCTCCCGATGGATCTCCCCATAATCGATCTCGATGTTTTCCTCAACGAGCCGCGCGACTCCGCCGCTTTCCGCGACGAGTGCGAAAAGGCTGCGACCGCCCTCATCACCTATGGTGCGCTTGTCCTGCATGACTCCCGAGTCGCCGAATCCGACAACACTACTTTCCTCGACTTACTCGAGGACTACTTTGCCCAGCCGACCGAAGAGCTCAAGAAGGATGAGCGCCCAGAGCTGAGCTACCAGATCGGCGTCACTCTCGAGGATACAGAGAAGCCCAAATGTGCAGTTGACGAGCCCTGCCTGCAGGTCATCCAGCGCCTGGCGGAATCTGAGCGCCCTCTCGACATTACAGCACACGACCCTGACCCAAAGTGCCGTTTCTTCTGGCGCATGGCCGAGAATCCGCCGTACGAGACCGAGTTCCCCGGGCTCAACGCCCCTAACGTCGTCCCCGAAGCCCCGCACATCCGCGAGCGTTGGCCTCCTGCTATGGACAAGTGGGGAACTTCAATGAAGCAGGCCGTTACGGGCCTGGCAGAGATGGCGGCAGTCGGCTTGGGTCTCCCTGCCGACGCTTTCAGCTCTGCTGGCAAGTACGGACCTCACCTTCTCGCACCAACGGCCTCCGACTTGGTCAAGTACGGCAAGCAGGACACCATTCTCGCTGGCTTCCACACAGACTTGAACTTCCTGACGATTCACGGTCGCTCTCGGTACCCAGGCCTGCACATCTGGGCGCGCAACACTGGAAAGAAGATTGCCGTGAAGATTCCCGAGGGCAACTACTTGCTCGTCCAGGCCGGAAAGCAATTGGAGCATCTGACGGGCGGTCTCATCAAGGCAGGCTTCCACGAGGTTGTGGTAAATGAGAAGACCCTCGCCGTGATTGAGCGCCGCAAAGCTGAACTCCCCGATCGCCCGCTCGTCCGCATCTCGTCAACGTTCTTCTGGCACTTGTCATCAGACCACGATCTCACTCCTATTCCTCAACTATCGGAGCAGGCGCAAAAGGTCAGGGCTGAGCAGTTCAACCTGGGGAGGGACGAGGGCGAAAAGGTCGAGTATGCGCCCATGAAGGTGGGACAACAGGTGCAAGAGTAAGTCACACAATCATTTAAACGTATTTTCGTTTTGATGCTAACAAGCGATGATAGGGAGCTCAAGCACATTGCTCTAATGACATGATGAGGAACAAGATTCGCTGTATTATGATAGAACTATTAATGACAAATTCTCAAAGCGTGGATATGCTTTTTCAAGCCTTGTAGAATTCTTCGCCCACGGCGACATCCACCTTTTCCTTTGCAACTCTGTCAACAGCCGTCTTGGGATCTTCATCGCCGTCCAGCAAGTCTACCCACGACGTCGTGAAGCTGTCATTCTCAGCAATGAGCGCGGCGACCTCGGCGACGGTCTGTCGGCTCGAAGTGCCCTTTGCCTCCTTTGTCTTTCCAAACTCAATCTTGCCCGCAGGCTCCTCGGTCAGCAGACCAGGTCTCAGACTGATTCCCGCAAATCCATCCGTCCTCTTTTGGGATTCCTGCCAAAGGGCCTCGTCGGCGGCGATCTTGGCGAGGGAGTAGTTGTACAGCTTCTTGTTGCCGTCGAGGGCGTCCTGCCAGGCTTTATCGGACCACCAGGTTGGTTTCGTCTTGCGGGAGCTGAGATAGGAGACGAGGATGAATTTCTTGATGGAGGGTGTGGCGACGGCGGCGTTGATAAAGTGGATTGCGGCGTCGCGGTCAATGGCGAAGGTGCGGGAGGGGTCGCCTTTGCCGCCTGCGCCGGCGGACCAGAAGATTGTGTCGGGCTTGACTTCGTTGAGGATGTCTTGGGCTTTTTGTTGGGAGATTACGTCTTCGATGCTGCGGACGAGGACGTTGAGTTTGCCTGATGACTGGCCGGCACCGAGCTTTTCAATGGCGGGGACTTGGTCTTGGGCGCGGATGATGGAGGTTACGGTCCATGACTTTTGGAGGAGGATGGGGGTTAGGTGTTGAGAGACTTTGCCGTGGCCGCCGAGGATGAGGACGTGTTTGCTCATGGTGGGCTATGTTTGCTGTGGACGGTGACTGTGTACAGAATGCGCGGAGCTATTTGTTTGAGCAAGGTACGTCGTGATGTATTCGAGCGTGGTGTGATATGGCAGAACGCCTTGTGAGAGAGGGAGACAACCGATCTAAATAGTATTGTATGTTTGGCACGGAAGACGAGACCGCGGGGCTTTGAAATCAACCTGGATGGCTTCCCCGCTCGGCCCCATTAAAGTACGGCGTTAAGCGGCCGTGGAATGACTTTGATTCGGATGCGGGCGGAGTGGCCGAGGAACAGTACGGGGATACATTGCAAAGTTCAACCCCGCGGATGAGCATTTTCGGGGATCGGGGGGGGGCACGTCACGTCACCGGAGCGTCAGTGACGTAAGTCCCGCGAGTCTATTTGCTTTGCTTTTTTGGACTGTTCCCCACCAGATTGGCTAAAAGCCGACAACGAGCTTCCTTGGGAAAGCACTCAATTGAGTTTTTTTGTTGCTTGCTCGAGTCAGAATCCATGGATAGATATCGGCGTTAGTTACTCAGCACGTTAGACGTCAGTCTTGGCCAACATGTCGTGCCCCTCCCGAATTACACCCCGCTCTTTTTGACCACTTGCTGGGTATCATCATCCGTTGATGCTCAATTGTACGTACCTCTGATAACGTGCTTGTATTCCAGGAACCTATGACTCAAGCATCTAGCAGATCAAAGTCGCCAGGGAACCCGAGAGCAGCGAGATCGAGGCCCGGCACGCTCGATTGGAAGAAGTGAGGCGTCATGGGCTGGAACATGTCACCCGTGATGCTCGTCCGCGCACAAGAGGGCGAGCCCTCTTCCCCGAGCTGAGATACTGCTGCTGCCGCCGCCGTAGCGTTGGCAAGAAAGTCTTCTCGAGTCCGAGACTCTGTACCAACCGACGACGGCGGACGCGGGAACTCGTCCAGCGCCATCTCTCGAATCATGCGCAGCGTGTTACGGTGCACGACGATGATCTCAAGCTGACCCATCAACGCCATCAGCGCATCCGCTGATTCGGACCTCATCTTGCGCGGACCTACTCCTGTTGCTGTTGGGTCTGCTACGTTGGTAGGTACACTAAACTCAAACAGCGGCACCTCCCTCGCCAAGATATCAAACGCATCCCTAAGACAGACACTCTGCGGCCACCGCTCCGCGAGGATGGAGAGAACGACGCTACATGCCCTCACGGCCTCCGCCGCCTCGGGCGCCGCGTACGCTTCCGTCCTGGCCCGGGGCGGCGTGGCGAAGAAGCAGTAGAGCAGCGCGACGCCGCATTTAAACTGCGCTACGAGACCTAGCCATAGTTCCGCGATGAGCGCGTGGCTGTGGTCGTGGCCGCGGCGCTGGAACTTGCGGAAGATGAGGCAGGCTTGGATGCAGGATTTGACGGTCCAGTCGCCTGCTGGGCCCGAGCAGGTGGTGCGGGTTGGTTGGTGGAGCATTGCAAGGGAGTAGTTGTAGATCATGTGGAGCCATTCTGGGTGGGTGAAGGTGCGGGAGCGGGAGCGGGTGCGGGCGTGGAGGCGGGTGTTTGATCCGGGACCTGGGCCGGGGACGGAGCGGGAGGAGCCCGGACCTCCGGAGGTGCCGTCTGCGTCTGCATCGGCGTACCGGTGGCAGAGAGCGCGCCAGCGGTCTAGTTTATCCAGAACGCGGAGCCGCCAGTGAGGGAGATCGTTGAAGTGTGTGGAAAAGTCGCGGTGGAGGGTCGTGTTGAGGATCTCGGATTGGACCTGGCGGCAGTAGACTACATGCAGGGCGGCCGAGACGCTCGTACGGCCGCGTGGGTGGTGATGTTGGTCTGGAAAGGAGGCGGTGCCACATGCGGCATCCAACTCGGCGTCGTCAATGTTTGCGTACAGTTTGACCGTGATTTGGTAGTCTGGGACGGAAAAGGGGAGGTCGAATGTTGTGCCGACGGCGCGGTCTAGGGTGTAGGCTGACCAGAAGACGCGGCGGCGCATTTGGACTCTGAGCTTTGTTTTTGCTACGGTCTCTGGGGAGGGGGTAGGTGAAGAGGATGAGGCAGAAGAAGAAGGTGGGACATGTGGTTCTGCGTCGGCGAGGTGGAGCTGGGCCATGACGCAGTAGCGCATCGTCGCCGAGGCGATGGAGATGATGCGTTCCGTCGAGGGGGAGTATATTGCGTGCATGGCGAGGAGGAGGTAGGCTTGGATGTGAAGGAGGCGGTCTAGGAGGGCGAAGACGTGGGAGAGGTATTTTGTCACGGCGAGGCGGTAGAGAGTTTGGTGGGTGTGGGTGTGGTTATGTTTAGAAGAGAGGCATTCCTGATGAGTGGGATAGGTTTGCGAGGGAGGCTTCTCGAGGAGGAGGCCTATGGAGAAGATCATGTTGGTGAAGTAGTACGCCCATGCTTCCTTTGGCCGCCTTGCCGGGTTGCGGAAGTCGTCGAGGCGGAGGAAGGGGTAGCGGCAGTGGACTTTGTCTTGGTAGGTGTCGAAGAGCAAGGCTTCTGTTGCGATGTCGAGGGGGATCTCTTGGTCATGCCTCTGTGCTGTATTGTTGGCTCTGCCGCCATCGTAGAATGATGGATTAGGCGGTAGTGATGGCGGTGGTGGGTTGTCTTCCTCTGAGCGAGCAAAGGTAGCCAAGAGGCCGATGGCGGGCGAGCTCCTCGAAAGCGAGGCTTCAGGTCCGAGTCCCGGCCCCGGTCCCGGTCCCGATGCGAATGGGTGCTCTTCAGTGTGGTGATGTTTGCGAGATGCTTCATGCACGCGGGACGACGACGATGATGGTAACGACGACTCTTGCGCATGGCCATTGCCGTTGCGATTGTCGTCGACGACCGCTTGAAGTCGAGCGTTGGTCTTCTCGAGACGCGATATGCGCTCCTCCAACGACGCGTTATCACCCAGCCAGGCCAGGGGCGTGTGTGTTGATGGGTGGAGGTGGTTGTGGTGGTGAAGATGGTGATGGTCCGAACTCCTAAAGGGGGGGGTTTGATACCGCAGCATCAGCATCACCTATCACACAGAGGGTAGGAGAAGAACCAGGAAGTTGGACCAGATCGGCGGAGCAGATTAATCGTCGCAAACCACCCTCTTTCAGCCAAAAACGTGAAACTATCCGTAGATGTTTCTGTTTTGGGAACCGGGGGGGGGGGGAAGGGAGGAAAAACCTTACAGCGGAGGGAACCCGGGGCCCGGGGGCCGGGTTTGATAGGACGACGGGAGCACCGCCTCGTTGCATTGCTCTCCTGACCTGGCGCAGTTTGCGCAGGGTCTTTGATCATCGCAATTTTGCTTTACGCAGTAGAGAATTGTCAGCCCTTTCTCTCTCTCCTTCTCTCTCTTCGGGTTTCCTCTTCTTTTGGAATGGTGGGGTTTTGAGTTGTGATGATCAGCGTCAAAGGGTAACCCAACTTGGGTAACGAGTTGCTGTTTCAAAAGTGGTGATGGTGCTGCTTTAGGGTACCAGAGAATGAATGTCTCTGGCTCTTACACACAGCGTTCACAGTGATAAAAAGTAACGTACCTTTCGCCGCCGACACCGTGAACAGGCCTGCGTCTTGGTCCGCTTGGCCGGCGGTTCGCCGCGGTCTTCGGGCGCGGGTGCGGCGGTTGTGGGGTCGAACGGCGAGCCGTTGGCGGGGGCCGGTGGCGTCATGACCGTTGGGGGGGGCTTTGATGGATGTTTCTTGTTTCCTTCTAGCGTTATTGCTTTCTATTTCTGGGGGGGCTGAAGAGTTCAGTTGTTTCGAGTTTAGGGCGGTGGGAGGGATCGTGCTCACACTTGCGGAGAGCTGGCATCATACGTCTCCAAGTCATGTAATGGCAATGATGTGTTTTCACATTGCTACGGGCGGGAGAGTTTGAGGGAGACGAGAAGGTGGATGATTGACGTCCAACTGAGGTTCGCCGAGGAGATGGTGCGACTGATAAGCATATCCGTATCCTTACGTGGCAATCACTCGGCATCCTGTCAGTCAGCCTTCGGGAGATAGCGGTGGGACTCTGGAGTTGTGGGTCGTTTCCCCAGTCTTCTATGATCGGGAGTTGCGCGGTGATAAGATGGAGTATGGAGATGATTCCCGTGTAAGTCAAGTTCATCGGGAGCGAAGAGACAAGGTAGCCAGCAATACTATGCTGGGGCATCTGAACGGCATCGCAAAACACCAAGTCATAATACCAAATAATGATACTAATTGAAGGTGGCTTATTGTCGTATTGAGGCATGTGCTTTAGGACGATAGGAAACACTTACGCCTTGTTCATCACTTCCAACCTTGCAACGCGAATTCCAAAATGGTTGTCATGGGCTTCATTTACCCTTCTCTTTTTTGCATAGTCCAAATTTTCGCAAAGCTCGCTTGCTTCTGACAAGGAGACGAAAGAGCACAATCCCACGATGCTCAGCCTCCTAGCTCGAGGCCATCTGTAACAATACAAATACTAACCAGAAAACGTGGAGCGGGTTCGGATTCGTACGTCGTTTGTTTTCCCAGTCTGCCGCTCTGACGCTTCCCACGGCATCAACTGCATAGGACCCGCGGTAGCTGCGCCGGAAAAGAACCCGTATACGTTCGAAACGCAAGGAAAAGCAAAGATGAAGCGTAATTGAAGTTCCTAGACCTCGGCAGATTTTCTTGATTTCCAAATCTCGAAAAAAAAACCCAAAAAAAAACCCCCCATCCTACGTAGCTTCTTCCCTTGGATGGTAACGAGGCCTCCCCAGAAGAGACGATCGACGGTGCAACCCTCGATCACTATAGTTGCACTATTACAATTCAGTATATCTCTGACAATGGCGTCCCATCCACCGAGTGAGAGAGTGCACACCAGAAGTTGGGACGGACTGCCACTACATGAAGCGTCTACACTCCTCGACGGAATGAGCGAGATCAAGTAAATAAGGTGGGTAGCATTATGATTAATCTGAAGAAGAATGAATACAACTCGACCAGCGGAACGAGCCCGACCTCGGACCCGGGTCGCCCACCGCCCGAACAGAGGCCCTGCCTTGTGTCGTAAGATTCTCGGTGGGCGACCGAAAGGTGCCTCGTCCTTTCTTCCTCTTCTACATCGCGGCAAAGGATTGTTTTGATAGCTAGGTTTTAAAAGTTCTAGACTGCCGAAGGGGGTCGACAGGCCTCGTTCTCCATGCGGAATCAAGCAAAGCAGCAAGCTGGACCAGGGGGGGAGCGTGCCGAGTCAACCGAACGCATGGGAGACGCTGAAAGAGGCCCTGTTCTTCCTGTTCGCCTGGTAGGGCATAAGGATGTGGAGGGGTTTCTATGGATATCAACAAAACAGCAAGAGTCTTGCCTGATTGCCAGTGTAGAGAATAAAAATGTTCCGTGGCCGGTTACCGAACGGAGATCGTGCAAAGCCCTCAGCACCCCCCCTTGTCTGCAGTCTCCCTGATTGCCCGCGCTTGACGGCGTGTCGGTGTTAGAGATGGCTGGATTGGGGTTGAGGAGGCCTACAGAGGCGACAAGTCTGCTCAGGAAAACCCGAAAACCGTGCAAGCAAGTGTACGATCGCCGGGGGGGATAACGGAGTACAGACGGTTATGAGTTGCGACGCGGGGATCATGCAAGTTTCCGAGTTCGAGGTTGGAGTTGTTGGGGCGAGTTTGACAGGTGACGCCGTGACGGGGGTGTTCCGACGTCAGGTCGGGCAGCGGTGGGTTGATGCGAAAGAGCAGATGAGGAGGCTCTTTCTCTCTCTCCTCTCTCTCTCGTCCCCCAGGGATTAACAACGTTAGTCCGGTTTCTCGTGACTCTTTTAGGGAATGAGAGACAATACCCTGATTACCTTTTTCAGAACGGATATGTTCGATAGACTCTTTTGCGTTGCAATGTCGGATTTGAATGTGACGCCAGTAGTCTAGTTGGGCTCCCCACTTTGCACTTTGTGCTCAGACAATGGGGGCCACCCCGAACGAACTGTCTATTGTCCAGAGACTTTCATATCCGTAGACCGAGAGACTGAGAGCCTCAGAGAGAAAAGGGCTGATGGAACTTTGAAAGAGACATTGGCGGGACGTGAGGGATGAACCTGGAGAGGGGGTGGTTTGGCGGCCGGAAGGGCGGGAGAAAAGGTGGGACGAAGGAAGAGTTGAGGGTTTCATTGGTCTGAAGAAGATCAACTCAAACAGTCCACGTCTGAAACGGGCTGGCAGCAACCCTGCGCAGGGAGGCATTAGATCCCTGGGAGGAGGGAATAAGAGTGAGACTAAGACGTGACTACCGAAGACCACATTATTCTGTACCCATCTTTGGCTGTTAGTTGTTACTAGTTGTCTTTGCGGGACGGGCTTGACACGCTTCTTGTCCGTCAAGTACGGAGTAATAGGTAGACAGACAAATTGAGTCTAGTGCTGCAGACGACTGTGCATCGGAGCCGCGCTTGAGCCTCCAACTGGCGTGCAGGGATCAATACCATTGTGAGACGGTTGCGACCCCTGGAGATCCCTGGTACATTCATCATTGTCATTGACATACCTACTCTCTCACAGACACATAACGCACAGAGGAAGAGGAGTGTGAGTTGCGCCCTCTCTCACTGTCCCGACTCTGCGTCACGTCAGCCAAAACTCTCACAGTAAGGTTTCTCGGATGATGGGGGGGGGGTTCAAACCGTAAGAGAATTCCTGTGAACGACGGACCGAGGGAGAGACGAGGGATGGGTAGGTACACAATGTACATGGCACCATGTCATGTACCTCTGTCAGAAATATTCCGAAGAGTGTAAGAGTTGTAAGAGGGAGAGGGTACGTGGCCACCAGGCACATCTGTGTTTAAAGATTCCTATCCCCAGCCCTCTTTTTCTGGGACGGCAAGCGCCTTGGTCTCTTATATTTATTTTGGGACTGACATTGTATGATGTTTATTGATTCTTTAATTTGTCTTGTTTGAACTGGCCTTTACGTTGACAGCTTCCGAGGCTTGGCAACAGAACAGAAGACAACTGGGACCAAGAAGGAATAGAGAGAGCGATTGTTGAGCCGCTGGATCGACTTACATCGGAAAATACCACCCACCTCACGCCATCACCTGACCTTTACCCGGTCATTCTTGGATATTGAACCTGTTTCGAGATCAGGATTTCATCATACCTCACCACCATTCGAGCTGGTTACGAGGCTATTCAGAGGGTTTCCTTACAACGTACCAAGGACCTCGAATTACACTGAACATAATCTACTACGACGCAACGAACACACTCAAAACGGCCTTACATACCAAACATATACCACAAACTACGACAGCGATAATCATTTACTCTTACGACTCAACCATCTTCTTTCATCATGGCCGAAAACCAACCCGACGCCAAAAACCCTCCCACAAGCCTCGGAGGGCAGACGGGAGTGGGAACAGGAACACCAAATACCTTGAGCGGAGCAACAAGGGCCCAAACATCACCAACACCCTCAAAAAAGGCGACACCATCATCATCATTGCCTGCTAGATCTTCCTCCTCCTCCTCCTCCTCATCAGCACCAATAAGGCAAAACACACCAACGCCATCGCAGACGCCCTCACAAACACCAATGCCAACACCCTCACCACCGCCGCCGCCGCCACCACCATCAAGTTCCGCCCGGCCCCTCACAACATTCATCATCTCAACCACCACAAACGCAACATCAACACCCACACCATCACTCTCCGACCCGCCACCACTCCCCTCACCAACATCTATCCCGAGCGTGATCCCAATCTCAACACCAGGAGGCGACCTCACCCCCTCACCAACACCATCCTTCATCCCCCCGCCTCCGCCGCCCGTGATACCAGAAACCACACCCCTCCTAAGCCTCACACCAACCCCGACACCGACACCCACACCAAGCGGCAACGCCAACAGCGGCAGCGGCGGCATCGCGTCGCCCAGCCAAGCCGAGACCTCGGGCGGCAGCAACGTGAAGCTGATGCCGGCGCTGCCCATCTCGCTGGGCTCCGTGGGCGGGGTGTTGATCTTTGGGTTGGTGATTGGGATGCTGTACCGCAAGGGCCGGTGGCCGTTCCGCAAGAGGCGGAATTTTGCGCAGATTGACGAGTTGGAGGTGGAGAGGCAGCAGGAGCTTGAGAGGCAGAATAAGATGAAGTGGGATCCGAGGGTGACGAGGACGTATCGGACGCAGGATGCGGGGGTGAACTTTTGATGATGATGATGATGACGATGATGGTGGTGGAAACACTATAGCAGTAGCAACATGAAGTTCATGAAAACTACAGACGAATTCAGCGTCTAGATTCACATCACTGCTTCGGGAATCTCAATTTGCTGTGATGGTTGTGTGAAGGACCTATCTTCACCAATTATCCAAACTGAGCATTCAAATCAAGTGTATGCTGCCTCTCAACTCATTACCACGACCAGACTCTGCTGCTATATTTACCCTATTTCTCAAAAACCACACTTCGTTTTCTAATATTCATCCTTATTTGAAAATAACCAACCGATTGCACTCACAGAACGTCTCTTCCGTGAAATTGCTAGAAGAACGAAACACTGCAAGACACTCGCCGACTCGGCGCCGTTCTACACAGAGCACGAACCAGGTACAAAAAAAAAAAGAGACAGGACCCTCACCCAGGTAGCTACAAAGACAGCGGAAAAGGCTGTCCACGAATCATCCCAACCTTTTCTCAAACTGCTCGCAACGCGGCCGTTCCTCCAGTCTGCGTTCTTGTCCCCCTCCCTCTCGGGTCCCCAGTTGGGTGGGTGGGTGGCTCCTGCGTTACTTCAAGTCTTCCCATAACCAGAGGGTGGTTTCTCTCTCCTCGCCTCAAGTGGTAGAGTTTCCCGCGCAAACGCCCCGAAAGGCTGGCCTTTTCTCAAGTTCGGATTTCAGCGGTGATTTGACTCTTGAAGCCGGGGCCGGTTAGGTGTTCGGTACGGGCAGTTATGACTAGATGGGACCTGTGTGGGTGTGGGACCGCGTCACGGCTGCGGAAGCGGAGGGCGGACGAGTGAGATGGGCCTCGGATGGAATTGCGATGTGTGAGATCGGGGCCCGGAGGATTGTAGAATTTGTGAATTCCCACCAACTGGACATCATCATCTTATCAAGCTGACAAATTTGTACGAGACATATCCTTACAGAATGGGAGGCGAAATATGGTGAAAGATGGGCAAACCAGTTTTATCTAGATTTCGGATGGCCGAGGATAGAGTTACGAAAGCGATGAACCTGGAACCGGTGGGAACTCGCAACCCAGCAGTCACTAGTAAATCCGGCACTTATCAACCCAGTAACCCGGATTGAAAACACAAGGATACACCTTGATAGAGCCTCTTACTCTCTTCCTGTTCATCAGCTCTTGTACTACAAGGTTCGACTAACGTCGGGTTCTTCCCTAGCCGACGGGGATGGATGGTGGGCGGGCGGCGAGCACGGCGGGTAAAGTCTGTCGTGACAGGTGGCCAAGCGAGGCTTCCCGCGTGTTGGAGTTGTAGCGAGCGTTTATTTGGTGGAGTTTTCGTTGGGGGCCTACGGGCATGGCGCGTGTGATGTAGAGGGAGGGAGGATGCTTGTTGGCGGGGTTTTTATGCGAGAAGGGCTACTGTCGTGTTTGGTGGACATTCACTGAGTGAGGGCAGCACGTTCGATTGCCTCGGACATAATCGTCTTAATCGTTTCTGAAAAGGCCCATTGCGAATGTTGAGTCGCCAGAATGTTGGTGCTGACTCTTTATCAATGTAATCAAAACCATGTAACCGGAAGAAGACAATGTAGCTATCCCGTCAGCTCATCGAGTGACAAGTCGAGACAGCTCTACACTATACGTGAAGCCAAATCCTTCAGATCCTTCCCGACTATCAGTCTTCCGCTTTTGCCACGGCCCTGGTCAAGGCCACAGGTCCCTGACACGGGCAGAGTATATCCATCACCAACCGTAGTCGATCCCCACACCGGCCCTTCGCCGGAAACAACATCCCCGCCACCGAAACTGACAGAAGCGGCCCCATGCCTCGAATCCTCATCTCTTAACGCCGTCCACCCCTCCGTCCCGGGGTCAAACACTTTCGTCTGTTCAAAAAGCCTCCGGCTCCGCTACCAAAGCCCCCTCCCCTCTAGACACATCAACCAACCCCTCCAGCACATCCGTCTCGTGGCCCGCTCGGCCCGTCACCAAAGCCGTCGTGGTCGTTCAGCCGGCTACAATGTCGGGTAGCTCCATCACGTAGTCCTCCCCTCGACCACCGCCGCGTTGTGGCGGTTTAGGGCCATGGGTGGGTGGAGACCTGTTTGTGAGGATGTCGAAGAGCATTACGATTTTGGTATTGTTCTGTGTTCCCGTCTCCGTTGATTTCGTGATGCCGGCGAGGACGGCGAGGGTCGTAGTATTCAGCGCTACAGCGGTGGGCTCTTGACGGGAGATCATCGGGATCGGGGCGAAGTCTTGCCATGGGCCACCAATCGTGTTGAATGATGCGCGGGCGTGAGTGAAGCCACCTGTATCTGAGATGAGGAGGCCGGCAAGAGGGCCCTTGGGTAATCCTGATGATGTATTAGGTGAGTTTGTCTATTGCCTCTCCAGCCAAGATTTACAAAGATAGGTCGCAGTTCATGGTGAGGAGGCCAGACTGCCGTTGATGGCATTCTTTGCTGCTCCACGCATAGGGTAGACAGGGGTCAAAGTAAGCATATCATTGATCAGAATGACCTGGAGTCACATGTGAGTCTGCTTCTGTGAATATGCTGTCAACAAAATGGACATTCAAGTTACTTAGCCACGATGGGTTCAATATCGCATCAGTCTCTACAATGACGGGGAAAGTATATATGGTATATTAATGGAACTCCAGGCGTTTCTCTTAACACTCAGCGTATATACAGCCGCTATTCCGCGTCAACGACCTCAAACTTGACGAGGATGGAGCACTTGGTCTCTCTTCCCTTGAGATCAAGCATGCGAATGAAGACCCAGCCCGGAATGGTGTAGAGCAATCTCACCGCGCCAACAGCAAATATGGGGTTCTTGGAGAAGCTGTCATCGCTCTTGATTAGCATCCGCAAGAAGACCATCTCGTTGTCCTGGTACTCCCACTCAAGGACCTCGTCCCACAAGGGGTCGGTGGGGGGCGGGTTTTCGCCCTTGTGCAAGAAACCCGTCAACTTGTGCTGTTTGTAACCGGCCGTCTTCCTCTTTGGAGGCTTAATCTCCAGATCATGTGGATGTACGAGTGTGCATGTCAGGTAGGGCTTGATCGTCTCGTCTTCATCGCGATCGGATGGCACGGGGATGTCGGTGGCACCGCCGACGTGCAGACGGAGCTTTCGCTTCCTTCCGTTGCCGAGGTGGCCTGAGCCACCGGCACGGAGCTCAGCGGGCTTCAGAATGAAACCCTCGGAACCAGCGAATAGTGCCTCATTGAGCTGCATCGATGCTCCAAAGGTCTGCCAGTTGAGGGCACAGATCTGGGCGCCAAGTCCCCAGAATGGAACGGGGTGGAGGTTCTTGGATGAGATGCGGGTTCCCTTGGGGAAAACACGCATAAGATGGTGAGCATTGTGGCGCGAGATTTTGTCAGTGTGCGTGGGCAGATGAGAGGCCAGCCCAGACTCGGAGACATTGATGAGGTGATGGTGCGGCGCGTCCTGCAAAACTTGTTCAAACCACGAATTGTTGATAGGCTTGACGGACTGGGCGTAAACACCGAGGGCCTCTAATTCTGGGACAATCAGCGAAGCAGGCGCAGCCTTCTTCTTGTCCTTGTAGTCTTTCTTGGCCTTCTTTTCTTCTTCGTCATCGTCACTTGAGCTCGAGCTGCTATCGTCGGCCTCTCCAGGGAAATGATATTCGACAATGACAACAATCTTGTTGCCAAGTTCCTCAAGACGGACGTGGTTGGCCTGACCCTCTTGCTCGGCCTGTCCCTTTTCTCTGATTGCTTTGCTAAGAAGTCGATCTCCAAAGACCTCTCTCATGATGAATGCCAGGCGCAGCTGACCCTCGGGGTCGCAGTGATTCTCGAGAGACAGAAGAATTGGTGCAGCCGGATGGGGTTCCTTGGCTTCTTGATCGACGACATCGCGGATGGTCTCGCAGACGGTGCGGAAAGGGATGTTGGAGACGAGAGTGTAGCCATGGGTGACCTTGGGTTCGTCCTTGTTGTCGGGGTTATCCCAGGCATCGATCTCGACGCATCGGGCGCCAGCACGCAACGTCTCGTCGTAGGCCTCGGCCGAAGAGCTTCCATAAAGCTGATGGGCCAAGAGGTAGGTATTGTGGCTGGAGCTGATGAAGTACTCGGGCAATGGGTGTGATCTATCAGTAAGCTCGCGGGGCACGCTGATGTGGGGCTTGTAAACGAGAGCCTGCAGCTCAGGTGAGAGCTGTTCCGAGTCGATGTTGGCTTCCTTGGAGGACAGGGCCTTCTGATCCACGAGGAAGGATTTGATGGCACGGCTCACGCGGAGACGGTGCTTAAGGTCTGAGTCGCGGGCGGCGTGGCCTCCACCGGCCAAGGTGGTGTTGTCTGTCGCATCGCCAAGCTCTTCTTCGTCCTCTGGTGCCCTCTTGGAGAAGGGATTGAGGTTGGCAAACTTTGAGGTGAGTGAGGCCATTGCTGGTGACAACTCCACTGCTGTGTCTCTGTATTGCCTCTTCCGGAAGTGAGGACGATTGTTCTGACTCGAGATGTCCACTGGGTACGCGGGGTAGGTGGTGTGTAGATGTTAAAAGAAGAGACTCAGATGGTCGCAAACAGGAATTGTGGAAAGACGGACGGCTTGGGAATGGGGAAACCGACGACGTCAATCTTGGCTGATGCAAGCCGCGTAAGGTAGCAGCAGCGCAACAGCAAGTGGCAGGAACAAGCTGAGCTACCCCTCCTTCCCATCAGCTCAGCTCTTGCTGCCACACCTGCCGCACCTGCCTTCCAATGGAGGGGTTGCGAAGTGGGGACGCTAAGATTAGATTGGCGGGGAGCTCACGGAGCTTCGGCGAATTAGATACCAGGTCTTGTCCCTCATTCGGTTAGAGTGAAGCTTACATAAGTCCCGGCACTCAGTCTCTCCAGGTCCTCGCTGTTCCCTTAGCTTGGGGCCCACAGGTCTTTGTCGAGTTCGTCTCAGCTTTCCACACGAATACGCGAACACCACCATCCGATGGCGCTTGATCATCGCTCGATTCGCTTCTATCAGATAACCTACTCTCGCCCGATCCTTCTATTCTTGCTTGGGACTCCTGACAACACGGTGATTGACGATAGTCGATGGCATCCATGAACTGGCGATGCTCTCAATGGCTTCAACTTGGAGAATTCGGGCGCAATCGTTCGGCCTTCCACTGGAAAATGTCAGAAGATGCTTCGAGCAGTGAAGAAAACCAATCAGACTCCCGAGACACTTTCAATCCAAGTGTCTTCGAGGACAAGTCAAGAATAGTACGGTGCTACCCGACCTTTCAAATGGCAGCGTCGTCAACATTCCTATCCAAGCCGGTTCTCTCGCCAGACTCAATCTCCACCTCGGCGACTCTTTACCGGCTGGGCATCTTGGAGACCGGGCGGCATCCGGACACACTCGTTCAGCCTTGTGGGTCCAGCCACGCTGCAAGTTGAAGCTCCTCCGAAGTTGTGGTTTCCGCCCCCAAACCCCTTGCTACGCTCCAGACCTCGTGGCATCACCCTCTGTGCCCGGCCTTGGGGAGAGCGCCGTGGACTTCGTCGAATTCCAGGCAGGCAAACCAAGTGCCCTTCCGAGCATCTCCGAAAATATTGGGCAGAGTTCTGTGCACCGGTGCGGTCCTCCTCCAAATACGACCCCACGCCCGTTCCGGAGGCAGCTAGCTTCTTGTGTTAGTCGCTCCGGCTCATGGATTCGTCTGGCCAGAGTTGGTGTTAGCCTGCAATACCTACCTGAATAGTGAATACGCGGCTTGCGGTGCCCCTCTGTCTGGCAAAATGATTTTCGGCTCTTCTGTGTCAAGTCAAACATCAAGCCCTCACCATCTTCGGCCGATATGCCTTCACGTTGATATTCCCGGGCTCGTGGGTTGTACTCTCGAATGACGATCACTTCACGCGGCAGGCAGATACAGGCATCGGACCTAACAGGCAGCGACATGTCGAAAAGCCCTCAGAGCAGAGGAGAATGTTTGGAGATGTCTCAGTCTTACTCCTGGCTGCGCCCGCAAACGATAGGATGGGCCAGACGACTTGAAGCATTCCTCACCACCATTGGCAGGCGAACTAAATGCAGCTCGGAGGGTTGTTGACCTGGCGATGCATGTGCGAAAAAAAAGAACCATCGGGTCTCCAAGAGGGCTAACGCAAACGCACGGAGCACTACTGCAAGGGTAGCAGCATCTCGATGGGGGGCCATGGAGAAGTTTGGACAGCTAGACGGCTTCCCGAAAGCTGCCTCCCTGCCGCTGGCGTCATCATCAGCTTACCCTACACTCCTTCAAAGGTGGTTGATGCGCGCGAAGAGTCTGCCTGCCTGCCTCGTCACCCGGGGGAGAGTGAGGAGGTTGGAGTCGAATCCATCAACCAGCACACCGCTATCATCGGTGGACAGCGCGGCGGCAACAGCAGACAATCAGTTCCGTCGTGTCATTTGATGGACGAGTGCATGGTATATAATCAAGACAACACACCTCGCCTTCGACACGCGGGTCAGAAATAGCTGGAAGAGCGTTGGATCGACATTGAAAGGTAGCGGGATGGGCGGCCTGCGCCTCTGTGAATGCGGTCGCTCGTCGCATGGCATGCGGGGTCCAGCAGTCTCTCGCACACACTTTGTCTCTTCTCTGGATGGGACACTGACACACTGGTGTTGGGCCTCCAGCATTGGTGTGTCCATCTGGTGCTACACGGCAGTCTCCAACCATCCAGGGTATCCCCAAGACCAGACTCTCACTCTCAGAGTCTCCAGGGATGACTGGACCCTCGTACGAAAGTAAGTGCCTTCAGCCTATGGCGTGCTCGAGTTTGAGGGAATAAGCTTCTCGGAGGGTTGGGCCCATGACGTCGGAAGACTGCGGCAAAGTCCTTTTGGGAAAGCTTTGGGAGGACTGGATGCCGTCTGGCGTCGGTGCTTGTCGACGCTTGCTCGCTGCCAACGCTGCCGGTGCCGCAAATGGGCATGTTCGATTTTGGCCGCATCAAGCAACTTCCCACCCCAGCGCAGCGATCGGCACCTTTTGGTGTCCCTGGGAAGTTGGGGTCCCTGGGAGGAGGGGCGACGAACGGCGCCACACCCACCCTCTTCCCGTTCTTCTTCTCACAAATTCCCGCTCTCTTCTTTCGTCTCCTACTTATTTACATGTGAAGCGAAACGCCCTCTCATCAGATTGTTGAATCTGCTTGTTATCAACATAATCCGTTTCAACGGTTGGAAGCGATCCGGTGTTGTTGTGCGCTTGCTCGTTGTTAGAAGTTCACCATGGGGGTCAATCCGGGCGTTGTGTTTCTCCTGGTAAGCCCGCCATCCACTAACACTGTTCGAAACGAACATGAAATATCTAACAAAATCTTCCTATAGATCTGTATCGGACTGCTGACGACGGCCATGTACGATATCAAGCATCACCGACCGTAAAATTCTCTGCTAACCATTCCCCAGCGTCGTTCACGTCACGAGCACCAATCTCGCCCTTCCCATCTCGCCGTTCTTGTCTCTGCTTCCCATTCTGCTGCCCATCCTTGGCACTATCAACGCCTTTTACTACCCACGCCTGCTGTTCAACACGAGCTCTTCTCTAGCCCGAACCGAGCAGCTGTTTCCAACCATCATCCAGACACTTCAAGGCATCCTGACCACCGCCGTCGCCGTGATCCTGTTGCAAACCGCTCTTCCTGGCGATGGCCTGAACTGTGCTCTGTCCACCAGCTGGCAGCGCATGTTTGTCGCCAAGGATGAGTCAACCATCAGGCGTATCCAGGATAGTCTTAATTGCTGTGGCCTGAACAGTGTCAAGGACCGCGGTTGGCCATTCGGTGCCAATGCCCGGTGCGCGGAGATAACCGGTCGCGATACTGCCTGCGTCGGCCCGTGGAGGGACGCAACAGTGCGGAATTCCTCCATCGACTTGGGCATCGTCCTCACCGTTGGTGTGCTGCAGGTATGTCTGGTATTGATGTATCGCAGGCTGTGGCCGTTCAGGGCTAACAAGACTTTCGCTATAGGTTCTGACGTTGCTCTTTATGCAAAGCGCCAGCAACTGGAGACATGCATGGTGGGCGCAACCCTGGAGCCATCTTTCAGAGCGCCCGATCGAAGAGCGCCAGCGCAGGCCTCTTCTCACTGCCACCATCTCGGCTCACTCAGCACACGACAGTGGTGAGGAATCGGAAGACATTGTGAGGTACAGCGACCTCAACCCACACTATGGCACCACGGGGGAGGGACAACGAGGCCGTATTCGTCCCGGCTCCGGTTCCGGACGAATTGCGCCTTCTTCGCTCAGAAATGTCGAAAATGCCGAAAATGAATGGAGAGACGAGTGATCTTCTTGCACCATGTCTTCACCGACACACAACCACTTCACTTATTCAAACGACGAAACGAATCACCTTCAAAAATGCTCTTTCCCCCTTCCTTTGCATTGCAAGCGAGCTGTTCTGTTTGGAGGTGTTGGTATCCAATTTTAGGGAGGCTTTGAGATTAGTACGGTGGAGTTCGGGTCTGACCGGTTCTTGCTTTAGTGGTCATAGTCTTTTTTGCTAGGGGGTCTTCCCTTGTTTGTCTTTCTCTCTTTGGGGATGGGCTAAAATAACTATTGGAGTTTGGTCGAAATATCGTTCATTGCTGCCGCTTGCTTTGACATGCCTGCGAGTAGGAGGGCCAGATCACGGCCTGCCATTGCGAATCTGAGGTCGGCAATGTTAGCAAATCATCACAATGAACGACTGCACACTGATGCGACGAAGACACGTACCGAATGGGAGCATGCCGTTTCGCCAACTCCTCCAGGAGGTCAGGTCTCGGTTCCAGCCCACCGAGTCCCACAAACATCTTGCGCCCATCTACGCTCGCCTTTTCTGCTGCATTTGCGATCTTGGCGACTGTGGAGTGGAACAGTTCTGAATCGTATTGTCCAGGGATTCCGAGCCTTGGAAATGACATGTTTAGCCCAATTTCTCCATCGAAGCTCAACGTCTTGCTTCTTGCTTTTATTCAGGATGGGTGAGACTTACTCCATGCAGAGATCTGCGCAGCCGATGAACAGGGCATCGATGCCTGGTACGGCTGCGATGGCTCTATGATCTCGTTAATCCCAACAACTTTGGCTTTGACGTGTTAAACGAGACTGGGGGAGGGGGACTGACTCTACGTTCTCAACACCTTCCTTGGTCTCAATCATGGGCATGATGAGGACCTCGTCGTTGACTACCTCGGCGATGGCTGCGTAGGATAGTGTCGTCGTGTACTGTGTCATTGCCGTGACCATTGTTACGGAGCGGTGGCCCTGCGGTTTTCAGTATGTGTAAGCCCTGAGGTGCCTTGAGGTGCCATGTGGTCTCGTCGAACCGTACTGCGAGATAGAACGGGAAGTGTTTACATACCAGAGGGGGAAACTTTGATGCGTTGACGCACATCTTTGCTTGCTCGACGGTGTTTACGTGCGGCACGATGATGGCTTGCGCGCCGGAGTCGAGGCAGCGGGAGATCCATTCTGGGGCGCATGTTGGGACGACGACTGTGGGAGTGATGCTTGTTTTCCCATGCCATTAGCTACATTTACTTGCCAGTCATCACTCCCCGTCACCGATTCCCTGCAGAGGGCGGGGCTTTCTTGAAGATGTAATTTCGAAAACGTGAAACGGGGAGAGAGGAGGAGTGAAGGAGCGACCTTACCCAACATTCAGACACGAGACGGCGATATCCTTCATGGTCTCCATGCTCATGGCCATGTGCTCGAGGTTCATGAGCACGGCCGAGTAACCCGCGCGCTTGGCGACGAGGGGCATCTCGGTGGAGAAGGCGACGCGGAGGCCAAAGGAGTGGGCGAGTTTGTTTTGGAGCATGAGGTTCTTGACGAGGTTTGGGCGGCAAGCTTCGCGGGCGAGGGTGAGTTGGTGCTCGTGGGTTGTTGGTGAGGACATGTTGGGCGCTTGGGGAGGGTTTGGCTGCGGATTAGGATCGAGAGGAAGGTTGGTCTAGGGATGTCGAGATACTTGAAATTCGAGTCCAAGAGAGCAGCGTTACTTGAATATCTGGTTGGTGATCTTTTTGGTGTTTAGAGAATGGGATTGAGAACGTTAACAGCTCGTATCCAGATACTGGATTATGGCTTCTGACAAGCTTAAGACAGCCCTGACTTACACGACCCCGCCTAGGTATCTCGCCATCCCGAAAGTCGGCTCCTAGCGTCCGATTTGCCGGACGGAGCGGGTGGTCCTTATCCGGGGGGGTGTTCGATAAAAATGTGGGGGAGAGATCGGGCATTGTCCGACGACGTCGTACTCCGTGGGTATGCCTGCAGCTTATCTTCGGGACAGGGGCGGGGAGGATGCCGATGGCCAACTAACACGCGATATGCTGATAGTGCATCCGTACCGCGAACGTGTGGTACCTTGGGTGAGGGGGTCATGTTATCCTGAGGAGGATAATGGCTGATCTGGTATCAGTTGGGAGGTTTGCCAAGGGGGATGGGTTGGTCCTGGTTATCATGATCCGGGGTGTTGGAGCTACTTGGGCGATGTGGTATTGAGGTAGCCTGTGGAGTTGAGGAGACACTTAACTTCACGGTGTGTCTCGGTCTGAAGTGTCAACGAGCATCTTCTTATCCTTCGCTGGACCAATCTTGAGGACTGAATACCAGTGGTTTACCAATTGCTTTCAGAGCACCATCGATTCTCATCATGGATGCGGAAAAGAAGACCCACGAGGCCAACTTGGCTACCTCGACAGCGTCGGATGTCGGCGTCGGCGTTCACGAGGATGCGCCTCAGAATGTCTCTTGGAGAAGGAAGATTCTCTATCACCTCTGGGATGCTGACCAGCATCTGAAGAGTCCTCAGGTATGGCTAGCATTCACCCGATCTCTCGCAGAAACGGACGAAACCGTAGAAAGTGAATTGACTGACAGTAATAGGAACGCGCTTTGGTTCGAAAGCTGGATTTCGGCATCCTGATTTGCGCCACTCTTGGCTGGGTAAGTTCTAGCACCGGCTTCTGTTCCGGTCAACGGTGGCTGATTTGATGCAGTGGATGAAATACATTGACCAGAGCAACATCACGAATGCCTGTAAGTTATCTCGACCCACAATGAAAGGTTGATATAGACTTAACACGGAATTATAGATGTCAGCGGGATGAAGGAGGATTTGAACATCCAAGGAAACGAGTATACTTATATGCTCAGTAAGTTCGCCCCTAAACCGATATAAACAAGACCAGGTGCTTGATGGATGTGAACTGATAGAGGAACAGTGTGCTACACCATCGCCTTCGCCATCATGCAAATCCCATCAAACCTAATCGCCCTCAAGATCCGTCCTCGTTATTGCATCGTCTTTTGCGAACTGGGATGGACGGCCTTTACGTACGTCGCAGTCTTCACAGGCAGAGTCATTGCTCACCACTCTTACTAACGATACAACAGCTTCGCCCAGGCCGCGGCCCAGAGCAGCAACCACATGTACGCCTTCCGCTTCATGATTGGCCTCTTCGAATCCGGCTTCTCGCCTATCATCATCTTCCTCCTCGGATCGTGGTACACTAAGCCCGAGCTCGCGAAGCGCGTGGCCATTTGGCACATCACCGGCTTCTTTGGTCAGGCGACGTCTGGGTTCTTGCAGGCTGGGATTCATAGGTCGCTGAATGGGCATTTGGGGTTGGCGGGGTGGAGGTGGATGTATATCGGTAAGTGCCCTTGAACCATGCAAAGAGAATTAGCTGTCTCGTGTTGAGTGATTGAGAAGGAAAGTAGCTGATCAGAGAGTACGCAGTCTGCGGCTGTATGTCACTACCGGTTGCTCTCTCCGTGTGGTGGTTACTGCCTGATTACCCGCATAACACGACTGCGTGGTACCTTACGGAAGAGGACAAGCAGATTGCGATGCAGCGCGCGGCGAAGCAGGGTAAGGCGGAGATCACGGGGGTTGTGGACGTGAAGCTTCTCAACCGCATGTTTGGGAACTGGCGATGGTGGATCTTGTGCTTGATGTACATCTTCGTAAGTTGCTCGCTCTCTATGCTTTGTGCTGAGTCCCCTAACATCAATGCCCTTGAATAGTATGGCAACTCGTGTCAGGCTAACAACTATTTCGCCATCTACCTCCGTAAGAGGAGCCCTCCGAAATCCTCGTGTGTTTATGCAAAGCCAACTGACACGCTGTAGGCGAGAACGGATATAGCGTCACTCAGCGTAACGTCATTCCGGCCTGCGCCAACCTCGTCACCATGGTCACGGACTTTGCTTGGGGCTTCATGTCGGACATGACTGGCAACAGACCACTGTGGATCATTGGCCCTCTGGTAAGTAACATCGTGTTCTGGGAGTTCGGGATGGTTCACTGATGGCGTGTTGATCGTAGATGGGAACGACCGTTGTCGGCTCTTCGATCCTTACGGCGTACCCGCCGACCGATGCTGCACGAGTAGCCGGCTTCTTCCTCGTGTCTTGCGGTTATGTCACGGCTGTTACTTGGGTAAGTCAAAGACGAAGCCTGTGTTTGACACACAAGAAGCTTGCGGTGGCTGACGGGATCACAGACCTGGGCAAATGAGGTGAATAATGGCAACGCGGAAGAGCGTGCCTTGACTATTTCCAGCATGAATGGTTTGTTCTACGCAACCAGTCAGTCAACACTCTGAGACGAAATACTGTTTCCACAATTGACTAACGATCTAGACTCTTTCTTGCCCATCCTCATCTTCCCGCAGACCATGGCACCCACGTTCGAGCGAGGCTTTCCCTCCATCCTTGCGTTCGCGCTCGCTGCCGTGGTACTCGTCTGTAAGTTTCATCCGGCTCGCCACCACTTCTCGTTTCTGGAGAATATACTGACATAGAAACCTTACAGTCGTTGCGGACTTCTTGCATAAGCGTCAGCTGCGACAAGAAGCACATGCCGCTGGCGTACAGCCCGCTTCTGAGACTGCAGTTGAGAGTGAAGCCGACAAGAAGGAGAAGGAGATGGAGGGAAGACTTTCTGCAGCTATTGAGCCAGTTCAGAACTCTTCTAGTATCATCTGAGGTGCTGCTTCGAGATAGGGCCAGCACAGGGGTGGACTTGATGAGATTCGTGATTTCCTGAGATACAGCTAGCATTATCAAGCTACCTACACTAAGATAGTGGTCTAAGGGGTCGATGATACAAGGAGTCTTAGAATCTCTTTTCCAGGAGATTCAAATGGAGTTGTAATTACCTGTCCCAAGATGCGTCCTGAAAGTCCCAACTCCCCGAGCTCGAGCATAGCCTCAATGTGAAAGTATGCTGAACAGCCGCACAAAGCTTTGTATTCAACTGATCGCTATGGCGACATATTCCGGCAGCGTGTCAGACCTCCACTGTAATCTAACTTGATTGATTCATCTTTATTAGGGTGCTTCTGATCTACGCAGAATGGCTCAGATACAACCCACAGTTCCTACCGTGATCAGAAATCTTGTGGTAACTTGTCGCAGCGCCACACGTGGCGCTGCCGGTTACTGCCGTACGATACCGCTTTCCACAAGCCCATTACCCGTCTTGTACGGTATATAGATAGGACCCTCATACGGGTCTTCCACTTAGAGGAATCAAGCCACTTTCTACCATACAAGTCTTCCACTTGCTACCTCGCTTTGTAATAGTTATGAGCCCAGCTCTGACTTGACCACAAGCAACAGAAACCCCTACTATTGTGAAGCAGGCTGCAAGTGCCTACTCTCTCTCTCACATACCCCTTCTCGTACAAAACGAAACCATCGTACACGCAACAATGACTACAGTCTCGCTCCCTACCACCAGGAAGCTCAACAGTCCTATGACTATCAATGAGGACTGGCTTCCGTGGTGGAATTCCCTTCGCATTTCGGCTCGCGAACGAGCCGTCTGGAAATATATCGACCCCGACGGCACCGACAGCATCAATTTAGTACGATTACTTCCGTCAATCGACCGCTATGTCCAGGAACGCAACGTACTAGCCGAAGCCGAATTCCTTAAGGCGAAAGCAGACTACGATCAACTCGCAGACAAGACAGGCCATACAGAACCTGCTAGATCACCTCCACACCAGACGAGTCATATCAACATCGTGAACGAATACGTCCTCCTCATTCAGAGCCAAGCGATCGAAAACGGAGATCTCAAGCAGCAAAAGAACGATCTGAACCTACTGTCAGCATGGGTTGAGGCTACCGTCGCGTCGGATATCCTCCAGCCCATCCGAGCTGAGCTCGCCGACAGGAATGGAGACAAGAAACTTGAGCTACGCCAGACGATACAGGCCCTCAAGGACAGGTTCGCTCCGTCGAAAGACGTATCCATGGATCTCGCTCGCGAACGATACCTCAAGGCGATGGATCTCGCAGCGTCGACCGTGGACCCAATGACCTGGCTAAACGAGTGGTACGGCGCCTTCCTGAACGGACAGGCCTATTCCATACCAGAGGTTGAGGGATCTCTCGCGGTCAAGACGTTCTTGCGAGCCGTCCAGCAGCGAATCGCCACATCCTGGGCAACCAGCGAGCTCAACGACATCCACAAACAGGAGCGCCTTCAGACGGGAGTCCGTTTGACCTTGAAGCAGTACGCGGACCTTCTCGGAGACCTCCTACGGACAGACCCGCCGAAGCTCCGTAAAGCGACAGGGGCATACGCAACGCTTGGCAATCAGACAGAGCGATCAAACAAGAGACCCAACCAGAAGTGCCCCTGCGAGCGTAATGTACACCCATGGACCCCGGCCGAGTGCGGATTCGTCGAGTACGCCTACCGCGGCAAGTCAGCGGCATTCCGAGGAACTCTGAGCGACGAAACTCGAGCGGCTATCAGAAAGCGGGTCGAAAAGGGGCATTGGGCCGATCTTCGCAAGACAATCAAAGCAAAGGGGTGGACCAAGGGACAGGGGAGCGAGTCATCTACCACCGAAAGCATGCCAACAAAGTTTGTTGCAGTTACGATCTTACGGAACGACTTTTCCTCATCCCTAGTAGCCTCAACCCCATTCGTGCGAGGTTCGTCTCTTGGCGTATTCTCGACTCCGATTCAACCCGCTCACCCACTGCGCGAATCTACTGTACTGGATAATTGCGGAGGAACCCATCTTGTGAACGACAAATCCCTGCTCGAACCAGGCTCTCTCAAGCCTCCAGGAGACACGCACTTTGTTGAGTCCGGAACGACGGCGTACCCCATCGAGGGATACGGCACGCGCGTGATGAAAGGCGTACTGAACGGCATCGACCTCGTGCTTGAGGACGTCGCGTATGTGCCTGGATTCCACGTCAACATCGCGTCGGAAGGGCTGATTAGACAAAAGAGCGGTCTCTGGTATACGGGATTCGACTGCTCGCTGCGCTGGGGACCGATGGAGAAGCAGAACAACACGATTCTCAAACTCCAGCGTGAAGGAAACCTAGTCTTCTTGCAATACAAGCCGATCTCCCCCTGTCCACAGTCCCCTACGATACGTGACAGACCACCAGTCAGCCTCGCGGGAATAACGCGAATCGACGTGTTCTCAACCTCGTTCCGTACCTCCCGTCAGCCTCCACCGGACCGCGTAGATGACGGTTGGCTTTGGCACCTTCGTACCGGACATTTAGGCCCTGAAGCGCTCTCTCACCTCGCCACCAACACTCGGGGGGTGAGAATCCGTGGTCCTACTCGTATTGAATGCGAGCACTGCGCGAGAGCACACGCCAGCCAGGTTATATCGCGTCGTACGTCAGAACGACGCTCAGTGAGACCGTACTACCGCATCTCATGGGACCTATTTGACTTCACCAGAGGCTTTGACGGCTCTGAATGGCTCCTCCTCATCCGAGACGAGTACTCCGGACGTATCTTCGGCAGCCCACTCGCGAAGAAGACCCACGACGAGGTGTTTACCATCCTAAGACGCTTTGAGGCATGGGTCAGCACACAGCGAGGCCTCCAGATCTGTAAGATTCGGTCAGACAACGAAACTGCGGTTATTGGGATCAAGGGAAGTACAGAGTACGAACGTTGGGCAGCAGACCAAGGGATTGAGCTCGAGCTACCTCCACCCAACACGAAGGAACCTGTCGGCAGTGGCGAACGAACCGGCCTTGAGATCATCACAAAGATCGTCAAGATGCTAGACTCGTCTGGTCTACCATACGAGCTGTGGCCAGAAGTCGGATTCGCAGCTATATACACATACAATGCGAGTCCAATCCAACGTAACGATTGGATATCTCCAATTCAGACAGAGGAACTCTGGTTCCGACAGTACTTCCGGTGGTGGGCGCCAGCGTACGCAGCGGCGCTCACAAGAGATCTGCGACCACACTGGGGCTGGACCTACGCGTACGGCTGTAGAGCGTACCCGCTCATGAGCGAACGAGAGAGAGGGATTAACAGAAGAAGATTCAAAGTAGAACCACGCGCCCATATCGGATACCTCGTAGGGTATGTGCAGAACGCGCACAACCTCTACAGGATCTGGGTGCCCGCGCTACGAAGGGTTGTCATCACACGGAACGTCAGATTCGACGAGACGAAGTTCTATACGAAGAGCGACGCCAGCGAAGCGATCCAACAAACCGAGGCACAAAACGTGGTCTCCGTCATACAAGAAGAGGACCATGTAGCCGACGCCTTCGCCGACATGCTCGGAGTAATCAGAACGATCCAACTGACCTCCAACACGACACCCTCACAGCCGCAAGCTGAAGCCCCTCATCCCCTGCCAATAGAGAAAGCGGTACAGGACGCTGTCCGCTCGAACGATGGTCAGGCGGAACGAGGGCAAACAGGGTTCCTAACTCCCGAGTCAACACCGGCCCCTGAGGACGTACAACCTCTCGCCGAGTTGACCGAAAATCTCTCACTGAACGAGGTACCCGAACACGAAAGTGAACGGGCAGTGGGACCTCGCGATGGAGAAGACGTCGAAGGCCAGTTCGACGTGTCGGAGCCAGGGCACGTAGAAGAACTGGTTGAAGATGTAATTTACGTCCGCGGAAGCTCTCCTTCCGACGACGAGACGGGTCACTCCCGACAGAACGAGCTGGAAGAGTCAGCCTCTCAAGACCTCGCGCGGCCACGCGACGGAACCGAGATCCCACCTCCAGACTCGACGTCTGACGTGCAGCGCGCGCACTCAGACGGCGGCCCAACAAGAAGAAGCGAAAGAGTCAAACGACCTCCCCAACGATTCCACGGAATAGTCGACCAACCCAAACGGAAATCTCGCACCGTAGACTCAGGGGGTGAATCGTCAACTCAAGCCTTCTTCACGCTCCTTCGTGGCGAGCGATACGAGGACTCAATTCTCTCGATGTTCCTGCCTGATCAGCAGCAAGCACGAGACGAAGCCTCATACGGGCACTTCACCCTTCACTCCATGGTGATTGCTGCCATAAGACGGATCGAATGCCGACTACCTCTGCCTCCACTAGGCGTTCGACTCCATAGAGACCACGCCGTACGACCTCCCAACTCTTGGAGAGAGCTTCATAAGCTCCCAGAAGACATCAAACAGTTGTTCCTCGCAGCAGCACGGGAAGAAATTGCCGAGCTGAAGCGAAAGGGCACCTGGAAGGTCGTACGAAGAGAGGACGCGGGCGACTCTAAACCGCTCCCTCTCAAGTGGGTGTTCTCATACAAGTGGGATACAGACAACTACCTCTCACGCTGCAAAGCGAGAATTTGCGTGAGAGGCGATCTCCAACCAAAGGATCCCCTTGAAGACACATACGCCGCAACTCTTGCGGCGCGTACGTTTCGTGTTACCATCGCTCTCGCAGCGAAGTTTGACCTCGAGCTTAGGCTGCTCGACGTGATCAACGCTTTCCTTAACGCGAAACGAGACCCATCAGGCAAACCAGTCGTTTGCGAATTGCCTGATGGGCACAAACTCCATGGCATGGTGGCCACCCTCACACGCGCTCTGTACGGACTGAGGGATGCCCCCCAACTATGGTACACAGAGTTCTCATCAACCCTCCGCAGCCTAGGCCTCGTCCAGTGCAAGGAGGACCCGTGCATCTTCAGGACGACGGACTCGAAGGTATTCGTCGTCTTCTATGTGGATGACATCCTCGTGATGTACCATAAGAAAGACGAACACCTCGGGAATGCAATAATAGACGGCCTGAAGAATGCCTACGAGATGAAGGACATGGGCGAAGCCAACTCGTATCTCGGCATTCGTATCACAAGAGATCGTGCTGCCGGGCACATCTACCTCTGCCACGACCAGTATATCAAAGCAATGGCAGCAATGTTCGGTCTCGACGACGCTTTCGCACCGGCCACCCCTCTTCCGATGGTCGACTTCGTACCGAACGAGGGAACGGCGACCAAGGCCGAAGTGAAGCTCTACCAAGAGATTGTTGGATCAATCCTGTATACGTCAATAATGATCCGACCCGACGTCGCCTTCGCGGCATCTCTGCTGTCAAGATTTCTTACCAATCCAAGCGAAACTCACATCCGCGCTGCCAAACGAGTGGTCAGATATCTCTACCACACCGCGTACTTGTCGATTCGCTACGGAATGGAAGACGGCGCTCATGTCCTCCTCGCAGCAAGTGACGCTTCGTTCGCTGACGACTCAACTCGTCGATCTTCACAGGGATACATCTTCCTCCTCTTCGGCGGAGTCGTCCAGTGGAAGGCGACGCGCCAAAGTACTGTTACTACGTCTACGACAGAAGCAGAGCTTCTGGCCCTCGAACATACTGCGAAAGAGACGATGGCACTCAAGAGGCTCTTCAGGGATATCACCCTCGATCTCGGCGACGTCTGGAACGTGTACTGTGATAATCAGCAAACGATTCGTCTCGTAGTAGGGGAAGGGGAACGTATCTCAACCCGACTCCGCCACGTCGATATCCAGAATATGTGGTTACGACAAGAGCACGCAGCGGGCAGCTTCAAAGTCGTCTACATGCCAACGAATGATATGCCAGCAGACGGACTTACGAAAAACCTACCACGAGCGAAGTTTGAACACTTCCGAGCACTTCTCAACCTACAGGATGTACGGAACGCATCGCCATGCACACCCAGGGGCCAATTATAACGGAACACAACAACCACGACTATTTACTTTTTCATTTGTACTTACCGCATTCACTACAGATCGTTTTGGAATCTGACGATATCGTATTGCAGCCGCGCCCTCGTTCCACACGGGCGCGACTGAGGGGGTGTGTCGCAGCGCCACACGTGGCGCTGCCGGTTACTGCCGTACGATACCGCTTTCCACAAGCCCATTACCCGTCTTGTACGGTATATAGATAGGACCCTCATACGGGTCTTCCACTTAGAGGAATCAAGCCACTTTCTACCATACAAGTCTTCCACTTGCTACCTCGCTTTGTGATATAACTGAAGGACGACGGAGCATCAAGTGATGAAATGCAAAGCGCGCATTATCTTCCGCGGCTACCTGAATCCGATGGAGAACTGCTCGCTCATATCCTCGCCAGCTTCCAACCTAGATCTGATAACAACAATGGTGGCAGCCAGCCTCTCAATGCCTTCTTTGATCTCAGCTACCTCATGCCATGCCCAGCACAGTCTGATGCATCTAGAAAACCCATCTTTCGACTCTGCTCTCTGAACGCTCCCTTTGTCTCCACTGACGACGAACATGTGCCCGAATGCAACGCGAAGTAGTTTTTCCTTCAAGGCTATGGCTGCTACCGTCTTTGCCACTGGAAGGTCTTCTGGAAGCCGGAGATATGTGAAGAAACCTCCTGCGGTGGCTTCGGCGGCACCTTCTGGGTTATTGGCTTCCACTGTGACACCCAATGGTATCAGAACATCGCAGATAGAGGTCATGAGGGTGTAGTACCTCTCACGATATGTAGGTATGAGAGTCTTCTTGATATGTGTCTGCAGATTGCCGCTTCGTAGCATCTTATCGATAAAAGTGGATGTGAGGTGCGAAGGTGCGCCGCCGGAGCTGGAAGATCCTCTGCGCAGGAGTCAGTCGTGGATCGCCTCATTACGCTGGATAATTACGTCGGGTAACGTCAAAATTGGAAACTCACACTTCGGCCAATTCTTTGGCAAACGCCGGCGTGCCGTCCGCCCAGCCCACTCTGACACCAGGCCCGACCACCTTGGAGAAAGATCCGTTGCTGAGGGTGTGTCCCCATGTACTGTAGCCGGGCATGTCGCGATCTATGTCAACGAGTCTCAGTGGCACGGCGCCAACTGCGTCATCTGGAGCGGATGAGTCCTCGGGCCAGCTCAAAAAGTCGTAGACGTCGTCTGATACGATGAGGGCGTCGTATTCTCGGGCGAGCGCCACAAGATCCTTTCGGATCTGGAGGGAAAGCGTCTTCCCGCTAGGATTCGAAAAAGTTGGAACGATATAAATGACATATTTGTAGATCTTGGGGTAGGTTTTGCCCGCTTTGATTGTGGGAATGTCGGGGCGGCCGAATTTCTCAGCATCTTCGACAGCTTGAGCTTCTGCGATGGCTAGTTCACGTCGGAGGAAAGCAATGTCAAGGCCATCTGTGTTGTTTTCAGGCACACCCGCTAGCTTGCCCTGGAAACCATTGTCTTCAAAGATTGGGCACGCCAAAAAGTACGTTGGCTCAACCATGAAGATCTTGCGCGTGTAGAGGGGGTCTGTAAATTTCAGCAGTACGTTGGCCAGGTTGCCAGACGCGCCGTTGTTGATGGAGATTCTCTCGTGGTCGATCTCCGAGTCGTAGACGGAGGACAGCCATTCTGCAATGCTCTTTCGGAGAGGTGGATGGCCGATGTGAGGGCCGTAGATGAGTGCCGCGGCGGTTTCGGATTCCGAAGTCAGAACCTGGGTTGCGCCGTCTAAGAGTGCGCTTGCTGCAAAAAGGCGTGGGGAGGGCCAGCCCAGCTGCAGGTTGATGAGCGAAGGGGGGTTTGCGGTGACGTTGCTACCCATTGTGAAGTCAAAGTCAAACGTAAGGTAGAAAGCTAGATGTTTCTGCAAATGAGTTTCATAACTTTGACTCAGTTTCGTCTGTTTACTTCTTCAAATGCATCAGCGGACACTATGTCCATCCTCCGCTCCCCATACGTGCATCTTATCGGACAAACCCCGACCTTTGCCGGGGTCATCTCCGCCTCATCAGGCGCTAGGCGAGAGACTCCGACAGGGCCCCGATGCCGCCGATGGGTGGCCTCGTCGCTATCACTTATCCGATCAGCAGCATGTTACAGGCTCATTTCTGCATCATCTTGATAGGAAATAAGCAATGATCGGATTTCATTACCCGTGGTATCTCGAGACCGGGCTGATGTGCCCGAGATACTGGTGAGTGGCTCCCGCAGGATGGGAGAGAAAGCAAAAGAAACCATGTCCCGGTAGTAGCAATGCAGAAGGCAGCCGTCAAGTCACCCATCCCGCTGTCGAGAAAGTCTAGAAAGTCAATTTCTCAAATTACTATCCAACATGTCCCCAAAGTGGAGCAACGCCAAGTCTGAAAGCGAGGCCTTCGCGGCCGAGGTCCGTGAAATAGAGGCCTGGTGGCAATCGGACAGACAGAAACACATCAGGAGGTATTACATCGTCTTGACTTGGTATCAGTGAAAAGTGCTAAGAAGTCTCAGGCCGTACTCAGCGAAGTCAATTGCTGCCCTACGAAACATTGGATTCAAGATCGAATACCCGTCCAGCGTCCAGGGCAGGAAGCTTTGGCGCATACTCAACGAGCACAATGACAATGGCACTTACGAGTTGACGTTTGGCACCACTGAGCCCCTCATTGCAAAAGAGATGGCCAACTCAAGTAAGATTTTCGAAGCAATTGCTGTCAACTTTACTGACTTGTGCGTGACCAGTGCAAACCGTTTACGTATCCGGGGCGCTCTGTGGATTGTCGCAGGCAACTTGGCCAGGTGAAGACCACGCAGACTACCCTGCCGACTTGGTTCCATCCGTCGTAAAGCGTATCTTCAACACGCAACTCTTTCACGACCAACGTCAGACTCAGCTGCGGATGAGATACTCTGAAACCGATCGAGAGTCGTTGGAGTGCATCGACTACATGCTACCTATCATTGCCGATGCCGATATGGGATTCGGGACACTGACTGGCTGCATGAAGTTGACTCGTAGCTTTGTTGAAGCTGGGGTTGCCATGATACACATTGATGATCTTGCCATGGGTCTGAAGAAATTCACGAATGGCGAGGGTCGAACTATTGTCCCCATATCGGACTACTTGTCCAGGTTGACGACTGTCAGAATGACTTTCGATACTATGGGGTCAGTCCATACATGATACTCGTCCAAAAACAATAGAGAAAAAGAACTAATGATACTGGGCTAACAGGGCGGACACGATGCTCCTTTGCCGTTGTGACAGCGACCATGCTGAGTTCATAACGAGGTAGGATGAGCAGCCAGAAAAACCCCTGGGAATTTGTACATGCGCTAAGTTCTCTTAAGTGTGATTGACCCCAGAGACCACCCTTATGTTCTGGGAGCTACTCAACCGGTCCCCTCCTTCATCAAGGCTCTGGAGGCTGGAAAGCTTGCTGGAAAGGATTACCTGACAGTCAAGAATGAGTGGAAGGTCTCGGCTGGACTAATGACCTTTGAAGAGGCGGTCAAGTCCATAGCGACCGAGGAGCAATACAATGCCTATGTGAAAGAGGTTGAAAACACAGTTGTAGCATTGCAAGACCGACGAGCAACCGCCAAGCATATTGTCGGGAAGGACATCACGTTTGACTGGGAACTTCCAAGGACACCTCTTGGCCAGTACATGTGGCAGTGGAGCACAAAGGCTGTCATTGACCGATGCATTCTCGCAGCCCCCTTAGGAGACGTTACATGGAGCCGTCAAGGTAGGCCCCTCCGCCATCTCAACACCCAGTTGCCTGACTAACCTGATGTAGATAAACCAAGTACTAGATGTTTCACAGCCAAGACCCAAGGTTGAGTATGCCTCTAGAGCCATGTGTGTGCTGACAGATGACACCGCAGACAAGAAAGACATGCACGAATTCCATACCGCCTTGAGAGAGGCTTATCCCAACCGACTCTTTGCCTTTGGATACACTGGTGCGTACGACTTTAGCAAGGGCGGATACTCACTGGAAGAAGTCGACACCTTCCCCGCGGACATTGCAAAGATGGGCATCGTGTGGCAGGTGCAGCCAATCTGGGCCACCCAGGGGTTGAGCCTGCATGCCAAGCAGTTTGCGGAGAAGTTCAAGAAGGAAGGGATTGCCGGGTACATGCGGGACGTGGCTGCTCCCGCCATCGCTGGCATGGCTACCGATAAGTATGGGAAGCCGACATCTCGTGGCGGATATCTGGCCGATGCATTCTTTGATGTCGTTGGAGGAGAGGAGATCACAGAGCGTGTCTAAGAGGGGAAAGTTGACTTGGCCGCTGTTGTGCTCCACATAAGCATGTGTTGCTACGCTCGGCTAGAGAGTGGTAGAAGGCTATCATCTGTCATCGGCCAATCATGTATGTTGTGTTTGCACTAGATAATGTCGCTGTCTAGATGACCTTAGTTTGCCAGTGGATGATGTGATGTATGCAGTCGTCTAAGTGTGACTCTGTTACACGAAATGTGGGTGAGAAATAAGGCTCTTGACACGAAAATCCAATCTCTTGTCATACGTATGATGTGCATACAATGTTTCACGACATGGACAGTAAACGGCTGGCATTAAGAAGGAGGTTATTGCTATTAGGTGCGGATATTTCAGCTTCTTTCCCCTTCATATTTTGTGTTCACTAAAACAACTACTTTACCCGTCCATCTACTCGGAATTCCTGGTTAGAAGACTGTTTATTCTACAACTCACCATGGAGTCTCTTGGCGGCAAACATGCGTCTTCGGTCTGCAAGTCGATGTCTATGGTCTTGCTCGTGTTTGCTGTTGCCTCTATTGTCCTCTACCTATTGGTCTCTCATATTCGACAAACCTCACAACACCATACAAAGAAGAACCTGCCCTTACCTCCTGGACCGCCTCGACTACCCATGCTCGGAAATTTCTTCAATAAACCAGACGTATGCTTCAACTGGTTGACACACTACCAATGGAAGTACCTGTACGGACCAATCGTGCATTACGAGAAGGGAGGACAGTCCCACATCATCTTAACAACGGTCGAAGCGGCCCACGATCTTCTGAACAAGCGAGCAAGCAATTACTCGGGACGCACATTCAGTCCTTACGCAGGAGAGCTTGTTTGTAATAACTACAACATGCTCTTTCTACAGTACGATACCCAACTCCGACTGCATCAAAGACTTCATGTTCAGGGCCTGAACCCTCGTTCCGTGGCGCTGTACCATCCTCTGATAGAGTTGGAATCGCTCCAGCTGCTCAACGACCTGCTTCTAGAGATTCAAGACAAGACTGATGAGAAGCAAATGGGAGCTACTTTGAACCCTCACTGGCACTTCCGACGTGCAGCATCCAGCAATGTGAGTATGATAGCTTGGGGCTACCGACTGCTGAGGGGCAACCCCGAGCATGAAGCACAAATCAAATTCTTCGACGTGGCTCCAACATCGGTGGTCTTGAAAACCACACCGACGTGGTACGATACCTTTCCTTGGCTCAGAAATCTTCCCTACGCCATTTCTCCGTGGAAACGAGCGGCCAAAATTCTCTTCGAGCGTGAGGAGTCACACTACTTGGCAAACTATCGCAGCGCCTTGAAGAGACCCGGTTACAATCTTAGTAAACAGGTAGCCATCAGTACTGATAAACTGGGCACGGGGATGTGTGAGACCGAGCAGGCATGGTCTGTTGGAACATTGACCTTGGCCAATGGTGACACCAGCGTTGCTATCCTGTGTTGGTTTGTCGTTTCCATGTTGACGTACCCACGTATCTTGAACAAGGCTCAAGCCATGGTTGATGAGGTTGTTGGCCAAGATCGTTTGCCTGTTTACGAAGACCGAGAGAAATTGCCCTACATTGACGCAATGATCGAGGAAGTGATGCGGTGGCGGCCCATTCTACCGGCAGGACTGGACCATGCAGCCGTCGAGGAAGATGAGTATAAGGGATACAGGATCCCGAAAGGAGCAACGGTGATTCACTCCCAGTGGCCCATCACTCGAGACAAAGAGGTATATGGCGCGGACTGCAACGACTTCAGGCCAGAGAGATGGATCGAGAACGAAGATTTACCCAGGACCGCCTTTGGATACGGAAGGCGACTTTGCCCGGGCAGGCATGTAGGCAGAGAAGGACTGTGGATATTGTTTGCCCGACTCATTTGGGCATTTCGGCTTGAGCAGACGACTGATTCTGTCACTTTGAAAAAGAAGGTGGTGGATCCGATGTGCATGTTGCCGGCGGGCTTCGTTATTGGGCCTGAACCTTTCGAAGCACTGTTCATTCCTAGGGGCCCATGGGTTGAAGCCCTCGTACACAAAGATCTCCAGAGCGCAGAGAAGGATGTTGGTAAGATCATGGAGCAAGTCAAGGTCAAGAAGGGATTTTGATCAGTTCAAGCTGAATTTCAAATGGTTCTGAGTCGCTCAAGATACAAATTTGTTGTTTCCATGTGCTTTCCCACACTACCTAATCTATCGCCTTGTTGCTGTATACTGTTACCTTTCGAAGAAACAGGATGACAGAAAGCAAGGAATGGCCAAAATCCTGCCAGCTTCTCATGATGAGTGGCATTTCAAGCCTCCAACATCGAGGGTTGTGGGGTGCATTGAAGCAGCTTGAAGCCTGTCTTCCCCACGGGGTGAGGATGAGCTGCAATGCTGTTGGCCCGATTTTCCGGCTCGATTGAACCGAGATGTTCAGGCACGCTGAAAGCCGTTTAAATTAGGGATGCATTAATTCGGAATATGTGGCTCGGGCAACCACTTTACATCGAGGTGACAATCCAGGTAGCCACTTTGCCAAGCCTGGGGAATGTTACTCCTCCAATGGTAGTCTGACGTTGCTGGAAATGCCGTGGTTGAGTAACATCAGGCAGATCCCCGGGACATTTACCGAGCTGCGGAATGGACCACTAATTGGACTGCTAACCTTTGGAAATTGCGAGATCAAGGCAACTGGTTGGCAACGATGGAATTGAAAGCAGTAATCTAACTGTTGGAATAGGCCTACATTAGGCAGCAGGAGGTTGCTGCCGCGGTCCGTTCCAGCCACGGTGGTCCGTGTGGCTCAGCCACACGAGGGTGGTATACCCCAGACTTCCTGCCGCCGCTGGCACCGGGTTAGACTTCCACTCAAGATCAAGCAATATCACCACTACAGTCGGTGATCGTTGCTACCCACGATACTCGAGTATTTTCCTTTTCCACCTGTGAATCCAACACTAACAGAGCTTCGGAGTTTGTTGAAAGTACTAGCATTCAAGTGAACGGCGTCAGCAGGTTTGTGTGCGAGTGAACATGAACATAAATAAGTACATGTGGACAGCTCAACGATCATCAATTGCAAGTAAGTCGAAGTGTTCCAAGGACAGCAAGACAGGTCGGAACGGCAATATTACTCCACAAAGTCGTTTCGAAAGATTCTTGTCGACATCATGAAATCTCTCAATTTCTTTTCTGCCTCTTTCGCTCTGTCTAGCGCTCTCTTGGCACAAGCGGCTCGGCCCTTGGAGAACCTCGGCCGAGGCGTAGTAGCTGTCCGCGCAAACGACGAAGAAACCTTGGTCACCTGGCGCCTTCTTGGACTCGATCCATCAGGAATTGGCTTCAACGTCTATCGCGACACGGGGAGCTCTCCGACAAAGCTTAACGAGCAAGTCCTCACGGGCGGCACCAACTTTCTTGACTCTACCGCTGACCCGAATGACGTTAATACCTACTTCGTGCGGCCCGTCGTTGGCGGCAAAGAACAAGTAGCGAGCGGATCTTTTAGTCTGCCTGCCAAGAACGCGGTCGAGCCGGTTGTCCGGGTCCCCATCCACAGCGGCGGCGCTGTCAAGTTTGTCTGGGTTGGCGATCTTGACGGAGATGGCGAGTGGGACTACGTTCTCGACAGACAGACTTCACCTCAGACTATCGAGGCCTACACTAGCAACGGCACTTTCCTTTGGGAAGTTAACCTGGGCCCGAACAGCGAGAACCAGAACAATATTGAGCCAGGATCTTCGACCATTGACGTCGGCCACTGGGACGGTGTCACTGTTTTCGACTTCGACAGCGACGGACGTGCGGAAGTTGCTATTCGTATCGCCAATGGAGTTGTGTTTGGAGACGGGAATACGTTCGACGATGGAGACACAGATAATCATCAATCCATGGCCATCCTGGACGGGCTTACAGGAGCTCTTCGCGCCTCCGCCCCGGTTCCTACGGACTACATCAACGACGGACCGCTTGCTGCCCGTCTTGGTGCCGGATTTCTCGACGGAGAGACGCCTCATCTCGTTGCGTACATGAAGAACCGTATTGGGTCTGGCGATTTCAACTTGATGTATGTGACCTGGACCTTCGACGGCACATCTCTGAAACAGAAGTGGAAGTGGAATTGTGGTGACAAAAACTTCCCCGACGGGCATAACACACGCATTATCGACCTCGACGGGAACGGCAAGGATGAAGTCCTCGAGATCGGCTTTGCTCTAAATGGAGACGGCACGGAGAGGTACACCCTAGGTGACCAGGGCATTATCCACGGCGATCGGTTCCACCTCGCCAAGATTGACCCCGATCGTGCCGGTCTTCAGGGGTATGGCGTGCAGCAACGAAACCCAAATCTCATTTACGAGTACTACTATGATGGATCGTCCGGTGAGATCATCTGGAAGCATGTCGGCGACAACGTGACCGACGTTGCTCGCGGCATGATCGATGATATTGACCCAACCCATCCTGGTATGGAAGTATGGTCGTTTTCGGGAGTCTACAACGCCAAAGAGAATGAACTCACAGAGTCGAATACTGAGCTCGCCCCTTGGCCTCACCTGGGCCTCTGATGGGATGGAGACGAGCTACTCGAACTTTTCAACGATGGCAAGTTTGAGAAGTGAGATTGGGAGAACCCTAGCGCTTCCAATAGTCTCCCTCGCATCTTGAGAGTCGGCGATTTTGGTGGGGTGACTACCGGAAGATATCCTAATTTCATTGGTGACATCCTCGGTGACTGGCGAGAGGAGGTCATCGTCACGAATGAAGCTGCCGATGAGTTACTCATTTTCACGACAGATAAGTCGAGCGATATTCGCTTGTATACTCTGGCTCACAATCCTGCATACCGCAATGCAATAACTCTGAAGGGATATATGCAATCTCATCATGTCGACTACTTTCTTTGAAAGGACATGAAGACACCACCGCAGCCAAAGATCCGATATACAGTCGCTAGGTAAGGGGAGATATCAGAAGGGTAACTCAGTACAATGACGAGCAAGCTCCTACTGGAGTCCGCAAAGGGTGGCAGTACATATTCAGTCTCAAATAAGAACTTTTGCTTTGTGTGTGAGAAGCTCTGACAATCCTTAACGTAGGGAATGTGACATCCATAGCTCAATTTAAGGTTTTCCGACATGTCACATCTGTCATATGTGCCTTAGCCAAGTTCATGCATTCATCTGGGTTATAATAGATATGGGCAATTCGATCCCTTTCCTTCCCTGCTGTACTCATGCGTCTCAAAACAGGCTCATTGCCTTCAGAGGCATCGCAGTTATTAAAGTTATGAAAAGCTACATCTTAGTCACAGCCAACTCTGTTATTGATGGTAGGAATTCTAAGTAATGAAATGAAATGAGCCTTGAACTCGGACACATGATATTCAAAGATATGGAGGATGTGACGAAGACAAGCTTCTGACATTGCATATACTACATGGCCTAGTTGGATTTATCTATAGATACACCCTGAAATCTGTGGTAAAACGATTCTGGGCGCGTCGGCGATGAATAGGAAGTGGTCTGCACTCCGTTCTCGAGCTGCAGCCCCTGAATGATCTGTTGAGGGACGGCGTGATCCGCCTCCTCAAGCCGAGCTTTCCTAGCAAGCCAAGTCAAGGCTGGCTTCAATGCCCACATAATGCAAGCCCCAACCGAGGCCAAGACAGTGAAACATAACACGGGGTGCCCAAAAACGAGACCAGCCTGCATAATGGTACCTGCCAGAGCAAAAGGCGAGATGAACTGCAGCTAAACATCGCACGACGCAGTTAGTACGTACATATAAACTTATGGAGCTTTTCTCCAAACAACAAATGAAGAGTGATACTCAGGGTGTAAGTCGAAAAGCTTACTATTGTGACATTCAAGTATTGCAAGATGATTGCGCGGCTACCCCCCACAGTAATATGAAGACCGAGCTGCCGAGAAGATTTCGTTAACTCACAAAAGCAAGGGCGAGTAATCTGGGATGGATAATAGCTTACTTTCTTTTCAAATCTTTCAACTTTGACTTTGAGCTCCTCCATTTCTTCTCGGATTACCATGATCTCATCTAGAGATCGACTGATCTCGTAGAGTGAGTCATTCATGTGGCTGATTCCATCTTCGCTTGATTGACACACAATACGGCTGATGTCCCGATCGAAAAACTTATCCCAGGCTTTGATTGTCTTAGTGAGAAGGAGAATCCATTGGATCACAAGGTCACTGGTTTGTCCGAGCCACACCTCACTTGCTTCGATGGCATATGATTCACCGCGCATGGTGCCAAGTGAGGACTCTCTCCGAACCAAAGGTATATGTGGACTGGAAAGCTTTCACACGCTCAAGTTAGCATTGAATGCGTTACATGGGGTATCTAATGGTATAAGCTGATGGCATGGAGTGATGATGCACTTGATAATTAGGATCAGATCGCATCTGAAACCATCAAACAAATGTAACGTCAGTATCAAGGAATAGTGGGATTTCGCTACTTACATATTCTTCAATCATGTCCTTCAGCTTAAACAGTACGTTTGTCCAATGCTCAGTGATTCTTGCTACGTGGAACTTTACTACCAAAAGAAAGTATTCACGCGGATCCGTAACCGAAACATTGTCAGCTGTCAAATTTGCAATGCTGATTGCATCTAGCTCGCAACTAGTCATATCTTGGTCAGGATAGGGATCGGCGACATAGAAAGGTAGCAAGTATTCCTTGTTCGGGTCGCTATCATCTTCGAAATAAGAATCCGTCAGGCGGATGGCTGTCCACTGAGATGTATCCCGTCCAGTAACACAGATTGATGTTTGAGCCTCGTGTAGATAGTCGAAGCCATGTGTGATCTGGTCTGACCTTTGAGCGCCTGGTAGAAACGATAAGTCGGTGGACTTGCGTAGAGGAAGTCCGTCTCCAGTAACCCGCTGATCTCTTCGTGGAGATGGGTCTCTTGTCCACACCGGGTAGGCCAAGTGGAACTCCAGAGTGAAGCCACCATCAACCTGTTCATTGAAGTGAGCAACATAGAAATCTATGTGGTGTAGTTATGTAGAAATGGTCTCACCACGGTGTCAAGACTAACAGAGGTTCTAGCTGTGAGATGCTTGAATATGAAGTCTCTGATGACCGGGGCTTGATGTTCAGGAGCTCTAACGGCCAGAACCCCAAGTGTCCATTGACAGGGATTATTGATACAGCTGATCTTGAGTTAGTTACCGCATCAATTGCGCCTTCTCTTGTTCGGACAGGCTCTTACATTTTGCGGGTATCAGCGTCCGGAAGACCTTTCTCGCCGAGTCTCTTGTGAAAGATTAGTCATGAAGCTTCCATGTTCAATCAAGGTACAAGCCACAAGACCAGAGCCGATGTCAAAGTCAACCTCGAAATGCTTCGGAGATATGAGTTTATCCTTACCTTCAAACTGAGGTGGAGATCGAAATCCAGGAGTGAGAGTGATCCATTGTAACCTCTTGGTCTGTTTGACAGATCTCGATCATGGAGCCATGCTGCTAAGTTACTCGGCGTTTCGAAGTTTCCTTCGCAAATTCTTTTCAAGATCGTTTCATCGAGTATGTTCTTGAAGACAGGGAGTTCATAATCCAGCCGAGGTGAAAATTCAGGGATGCTGAGGAAGGTGGAGAGAAGACTAGGGTTTGTTCCTTCATCTTCGAAGCGTCTTTGGTATTTGGTGTGTAAGTCAATGCGAGATATTTCGGGCTTCCGTCTTGTCATTGGACGATTCCACTGGACAGGCCGGCGTGGGAACGACCGTGTTGCTGCTCGATCCATTGTAAAAACGTCATTTTTAAGTTATTAAGTATGTTGCAAGTATGCTTGTTTCCCCATCGCTCAAGAATCATTCTTGAGATGTGAGAGATTATGGCCATATTTAAGTCCTGGGCATGTCAGAAGCCAACCAAGCCCATCATTGCCCGCTGAAAAGGATCGTCCAGGTTCTCTTTCCTCTCATCGGCTAGCTTGAATCCAGGAAAAGGGTTGTCCAAGCGACGCAGAAGCATCTAGGTGTCTTTAAATGCATTTCCGCAACTTCTTCAGCCAATCAGGGTCACTGCGAATGCGGTGCAGAACCTGCGCCACCATGCCTGCGGCCTTTGCTGCATCAATTCCCGATACCCAACGCGTTGGGCATGATCGTGAGCGTTTAGAGGCTTCAATAGGCTTAACATCGTCTAGAGGTGTGCCATTGATGCAGTTCTGATTGATTTGAATACTGACGGGTGTTACCGACAGCCTTAAAAAATTGAGTTGTACATTGGCTAGATCAATGCTGAGATGTCTACTCACGCCTCACGAATGACGGTGAGGAAAGCCGAGATTTCGGCAGCTTTCAACTTCGGAGACAGCAACTTTCCGATTTTTCATTTGTCTGGAATTGAGCGTGACTTCGCTTAAGGCGAACAAGGCAACCGCGCTAATGTTTATTGCGACGAACGGGATTCTTCCACGACATTTCTGAAATTGACACGCATGCTCGATTAGCATATGTCAGCTTTCTTCCGATGCTGCTATTTGTTACTGTGACACCCCATGACACCTTGAACTTGCGCCCTCTATCAGTTACCAATAAACTCTAGGTCCACAGGAGACTTTCTGTCATGTCAATACTATGCACGAGTCTGGCGCCGCTTATCTTGGTTGTTTGGAGAGGGGGGGGGGGTTCGATTACATAGCCTCCAATAAGAATCACATTGGCAAGCACTGCTCTTAGGTACCTATGAGGCATTGTTTTGATCAATGTTGGCCAGCACTTCGTCTTGTGATAGAGTGTCGAGCGTTGGTGGGTGTTGGCCTGCATCATGGCACAAGTGGAGGAACCCGGGCAGAAATTCCCTGAACGTGGAAGCAGCGCAACCATCGGGAACTTGCATGGTTAGACATCGGCAGGCCCGGGGTGATAGGCAAATGGCCGAATGCATGATGCCACGCCATCCATCTCGCAGACGCCCGAAGTACATGTATGCAGTTTTCATGTACCAATTGAGATGAATTAGCTACCTTACGGCAAAGGGGCATTGTAGAATGCACACTGCAGGTCAGTCAAGAAGGGACATATCAAGACTGGCAACTTTGCCTTGAGACCGCCGGACCCACGCCCACCACCTGCGGGATCGGCCGAAGGCTAGCGTAGCGCCACTTAGACATGTGGGCACATAAGGTCACTTCATCCGATGTCTTTCGCCGGTCTACTCTATTTGAACAACCCCTCCAAGTAACTGAGATATCGTGCGCGGAAAAAATTCATCAAAAGCAATAGTGCACTTGGAGTTCCTTGGGTGCGGAGTTTTCCTGTTGCGTTGATTTAGGAGAGTGTGCTTTTGAGGGAAAGTTCGCTCCGAGACTCCCCGCTCGTCGCTCATGAGATCCCTGCTCCCCCAACCATTGAAGCTTCACCCACCCTGCTTGATTTCACCCCGCTTAATTCCACCACCTGCTTAAGTCCACCCTGCTTCATCCTCTTGCATTTTGTTTCCACTATGTTGGCGCATTGCATGTGTAAGGTGAATTACCTGAGTATATGTACTAAGTACCCATACTACAGGTGAGATTTGGTATCATCAGTACATAAGTCAACACCTAGGCCATGAGGAGGCATGTGATCTCGTGAATGCTGCACGGACATGAATATCCTGATACCTGGCCCGAAAGAAGTCAGAACGTTAAGCAAGTAGTGGGGAGATCGGATTTGCAATGGCATACCTTATTGCGCTCAAATTCTAACTTTTGAAACCGGGCAGTAAGCGCAGCGCGGATAATGACATGCGGCGCAGCTCTCATGCCGGATAGGGTTGCCACTTTGACCACAACGGCACTATTTGCTGTGAGTATTGTCCATCATAATTATTCGAGACGACTAACACAGCTCCAAAGATAAACTTGCTTCCTTTTCGGTCCTCTTTGGGAGATCCCAGCCCACAGCCAGCCCGTGCCGCCAGGGTCGTCCACGTCTAGGGGTCTTGCGTTCTCAGGAGGAGATTGGCTGGGCGTCAAAAGTATCCACGATTCAGCATCGTTGATGATTCTGTAGCTGGATGTATTGTCAAGCGAGAGGTCGGCGATGTCGAAAACAATTTCATTGCTAGGTACGGTATTATTGTCATGGCCTTCCCGACATGAACATCCTTGGGCACATTGACATAGGATCGCGCAAGGGTCTTCTTGCCCATAACCTGAGGCAGGTGCGGGCACGGGCCCTGCTCCAACAGCAGACGAGCCGTTCCTGATCACGATTGGGGGTGTCAGTTATCGGATGGCTGGCAAGGATTGGCGAGCAATCTTACACAGATATCAACGAGTTCTCAGCATTCTTGATGTTCTGCATCTTCGATCTTTCGACCGGCGACTTCCTTACAGTGTCTTGATGGGTATAGAAAATAATCGGTCACCGGCGGAAGAATGAGATCGGAATTCTGAAAATACTTTTGGTGAAAAAGAATTGTGCGCGTGTCGAAATGGAACAGCAATGGAAATGGAGAGTGCTGTTTCATTGGCCCAGGGCCAATCTAATGCTGGTGGGAGAGACCTGCATCCTGCATTAGGCGATCAGCACAATGAATGTAAACCAACGGGGATGGTTCTTATAGATTTACAACGAGTAAGGTAACGTTCCCCCACAAACTCTTTTATAAAGTTCATGCATGTTGGGATGTTGGGGCAAGCGCAGCGCTTCAAGCTTTCATGGAATAGGCCCTTTCTTCATCACATTATGGCCTGATAAACTCAGGCTTTAAGCGGAAATAAAAAAGGTTGAGGAGTGTTCACCATGGCCATATCGCCGAATCGACTGGACATTCATACAAGCAAGGAAGCTCTTGTGTACAGTAGAATCTGGGGCTTCTGATTGTTCAAACTACCCAGGGGCGTTTGAAACTTAGGAGTTGATTCTCAAATAGCGATGCCTTCTACGTATGTGTTTCGAACAACGAGTATTTGTTGAGCATCCCGTTGGCTTTTCATGGCTATCAGTAGGACGAGATCGAGATCCTGCGATCAACACTATGAGTATGGTGATACCCGTGCCAAGATTCAAGTGCTAGCAAACATGGTCTAGGGTCATTTGACTGAATGTCGCGGAATGTGAACTCTGTCATAACACTGCACGACCTAAATTTACCTAGTAACAACCCCTGGACGACTTTGCTAGGGTAACTTGAGAGCTATCCCATTGATTGTTACGGCATCACCATAACCTATGGAGGGCAAGACACTTTTCGAGATCTTTTCTGCTAAGCCTTCTTTGCCACCCAAGACTGAGCCAGGTAAGTATTAGCCGTGAGTGCTTTGGAATCAAACCCATACAATGCTTTCTTGCCCCTAACCTTCTCGCCTCGCAGTGTTACTCCTCCACAGGCCTTTTCAGATTCCAGGAATTCAAACCCAATACTCTTCGTGACTTCAACGATTTCGTCCAGCGAAAGTTGAACAAACGGGCCGGTACCCCAAAGCAAGGGCCCGCAATTGACCCAATGGCCACCCGTTCTCAGGAGAGAGTGTATGGTGTCCAGGTATGTCATAAAGTTCCTTGCCGTGTCGATGAAGAAATGTGTGACTATCACGTCGTATTCTACTTCCTGGTATTTAAAAATGGACGTGAAGTCGCCCTCAACCAGAAGTACTGCGCTCGCATTTACCAGCTTATCTGGAAACGAGACTGGCCGAAGCATGTCTGCTGTGGTTGCATGATGTGACCAACTATCCACGAAAGGATGAAATGATCTCATCTCGGCCTCTTGGTGAGTTTCTAAGAATCGGTATGCAAGATTCATGAAAGATGACCACTCGTTCATTGTGACCTCAAACCCGCCCAAGGAGGCGACTTCATGGGCTAAACGACCAATTCCTGAACCTGGGAAAAAAGCCCGAATGTTTGTGCGGGACTTTTCAGGGAAGAGAGACTGTAGGGTATCGAGAATGCAGGGGAAAGCATCCTCCCGCTCCCCCTGGCCAGCGGTTGACCAGTCACGGACAAAGTGCTTCAACGCCTGAGAGACGCTGACCTTTTCGGCCAGTTGACCCGCTTTGTCCTTCGCTTTGCTGTGCTGCATGAGCTCCTCATGCGAGAGTCCGTAATAGTCGAGAGCAGTGTCGACGATGCCGTCGCACAGTTCTTGGTTGACGCTAATGAGCTGTTCTACTTGGTCAAACCTTTTCGAGTAGCCAATTGCCTTCTCTAGTAACTGAAGCTTGTTAGTGTGTGGTTCATTCTTGGCTTTTTGATCCCCTCGCTCACTTTCTCCTGTGCTTTGGTGACGTGCTTGTACAATCCCCTCAAACGATCGAGTTCTGTCATCTGTCTCGACTTGTACCTGGAGAACCCGAAAAGAGCCTCCAATAATCGATGGCGAGGGTGGTTTGTATCCCATTTTCCGTGATGCTTGCTCATCCGCTTCAGAAGACTCTTCTTCTCTTGTTCATGGAGAGGACTAGGCTTTTTTGGGACATCCTCCACAGTGATAATTATTTCATGGATCTCAGTGAAGGATTGATCGGGAATCTGCAGCTCTTGGTCAGTTATCTATGCTGTTTGACAAACACCACACACGGATACTGTGCATTGGAGTGACCCCTTACCGTTCCTAGGATCTTTTCCGCAAACGACCCATCGTCCAAAACAATTGCATTGTCTCCGACGTCCCGAGTGCTGTCTATATCAGCGCTTACAGAATGGATACTATAGGCGAGACTGAAGGCAGCCCGTATAAAAGTGTGAGACAGCTTCATGGCAGCAGGTAGCGCTAACCGTAATGTAGTGAGCTTGCTAGGGGTGGGGCTTGGTATGGCTCGCCGGTTTCAAAAGCAGTGCAGAAAAACAAGCAGATTGCTTCAATTTCGGTTCCAATCCGACGGGAGCAAAGTCAATGGCCGCTGTTTTTCTGTCGGTGAGAAGGAGGGAAAGGTTCTTCCCTCATTTGATCTGAGGATGAGGAGAATTCTGCAAATGACCGTAGTCACGATTGTGAGTACCTTGATAGATGCCAAGATATGAATGTGGATACACCAAACTCGTGAGATTTCGCATCGCATTCATGTACAAGAGATCTGATGTCTATTCCCATCAGGATCTTACTCCATCTCTAGGTCCCGCTATAAACTCCTTGCTGTCATTGTGTCCCATTATGCGTGACCATTAGTTCCATTGGTGAGCTTCCCATTCGCTGTTACCGCGTCCTCCTTCAAATACTCATTCAGACGATCGCGCGTCTTGCAGTTCTCCAACGCAAAGCTAGCAGCCAACTCCTCGAGCTCACCCTCCGTCTTGCCCTTAAAGAGTTCCGCAAACTCCCAGCCAGCATACTCGCTCATCAGACACTCCCGTACCACACGCTCAACCTGCCTATCAAAGTTCCACACCTTGGGGTACTTCTTCTTAAGCAAGTGGGCGGGAATCTGCTTCTTCAACTTCTCGATGAAGGGGGCGTATACTTCATTATCGATAGCACTCTTGTCTGCGCAACCCCAGAAGTCCAGGCCATTCCGTTGCTTCTTCTCAACAAACGGCTGGATGAGGCGCATGTACGGGCTCTCCGGGTCGAGGTAAACCATACCCTGGTATCCAATATCCTTGTACAACCAGATACTCCACGATATGCCATCGAATTCCCGATAAATGGCGAGCTGCTCCTTCAGTAAGGCGAATCGCTTCTCGTTGGTCGCCTCGGCGTTGGGATCCGTCTTCGGGTTCTGATAGACGGGGCCCCACTCGCCGTTCCAAATGGGCACGCCGGCCTCTTGCATGAATTCCACCTTGCGCTTCAGACTTGTGCGCAGCTTCTCCTTCTGCTCGGATGTGCCGTCGTACTGCTCGGGAAGGGGGAAACCCATCATGCTGTAGTCATGACAGCTGTAGACGCTATTGGGTAGTGTCTTTTCTGGTGAGAAGGCGGAGAAGTCCATGGCGTAGGTGTTGCCGTCCAGGAAGAGGATGTGATCGGGATCAATGGCGCGGATCGCCTTCTCGGCGCGCTCGTACCATGCGATGAGGCGGGTGTGCTCAGGGTCTGCTGGCTCGTTGAGGGGGTTGTATCCTGCAATGACCTTGTTGCCAGCGTAGTGACGGGCAAGGGCCTCCCATAATTGGATTGCGCGATCCTGGAAGTCCTTGAACTCCCAGAACAGTGCTCTGCTGATGCCCGAGTCGCTGTGCCAGTCCTGGTTCTGTCCACCTTGCACGGCATGCAGGTCAAGAATGACATAAATGTTGTACTTAGCGCAAATATTGACGAGGCGATCGAGAAGATCAAAGCCGGACTGCTTGATCACGCTCGGATTGTCGTCGTCCTGGAAATGACGGTAGTTGAAAGGTATCCTCAAGCAATTGAGACCCAATTGTGCGTACAAGGCGGCATCGGCCTCTGTAAAAAAGTGGTGGATGAGACGGTTGAAGAAAAAGTCGGCTTTCTCCTTGCCTAGGACTTCTTCCAGGGCAGCACGGTGTTCAAACTCGTGACCGGCGTATCCGGTGATGAAGTTCTCCATGTTGAGCATGCCACCGAGACCAGCGCCCTTGAGGATTACTTCATTGTCTCTCTCGTCGACAATTTTGGTTCCCTTGACGCGTAGCATCGTGAGAGGAGGGTTAGATGTGGCGGGCGTCATTGTGAGCGGGTGCGGGGTTCTAGCTTAAGGGGTATGTCGTTGCTGATTGTCAGTCTTTCTGAGGACGGTTCTTTATACCCATCAGCATCGTGACCAAGACCATTTAGTGGACCAAAGTGATAGTCGTCGCCCAATCATGCCATCCTATCGAGGCTCTGTTCTGCTGTCATCGCGCATAGCTAGGTGAGCGTCCGGCATTGCCCCTCATGGTCTTAAAAGCGACACTCCGCGAAGGTGGGGTAGTGTGGAGCCTGGCTCAAGACACATCCTCCATCTTATCCCGCATGTGAATCAACCCGACTGGTTCAGCTAGAGTCTGGGGTACAGCGATTTGCGCATGACTGGGAACTAGGCTTTGGCCGATGAGACGCCGGGAGCTGCTTGATGGCGTTCTTGGAGGTCTTCATTCTGTGCCGAACAAGTTAAATCATGGCATCTCCATAACAATATTCATTGCTTCCGGTTTCATGTCGTGTTAAGCGGAGTATCGATCGAGTTGTATTCAGCCTGAATGAATCGGTGTAGTATTACCGGTAGTCAGCTTTCAGGCCCTTGATAGACGAAGAATGCAGCCATCATGTCCGGCAACTAGCTTCGACTAGACCCGTAAACGATAAGCCGGCGGAGATGGTACCGAAAAAATCCTATATGCCTTCTCCAAAACGCGACGCACAAGCTCCATCTCGCGAGTCTCGCACTCCCAAAATGCGAGTAGGTCAATCACCTCTCCCACGGCGCCATACCAGCCAGTTGGTAAGAAGGTTCCGCCATCAGAACCGCTAGACTGGGTGAGTAATGCTGCCGCTACCAACGCAAGTGCGCTACGCGAGCAGGAACGCATCATGGGCAACGTTCCATGGTGGCGATGCCTGTACCCTAGGCGATTGATGGCGAGTCGATAAAGGTGGTTTTCGAGACCCTTTTTCGCTAATCCCTCCAGATTGGGAGTAAGAGCTTCGCCGGAAAAATCGGGATTCGCCCCAAAGGCATCGAGGAAAGCGGTGGTAAACGGCCAGTAAATCACCTCATAAAGATTCACCGCGTGACCTCGAAGCACGAATCTGCAGACATCGTCCTCTTCCGGAGGCTCGGCGAATAAAAGACTCGGAGGAAGCGAGCTTATCCACTCCTGTGCCTGTTCCTCGTACTGCGGGACTGCCGCGGCCATTGCCGCGAGGTATGCCTGGCGCGTGGGATGTTGTTTCTGAAGGCCCACCATCTCGGCACTAATCCGAGAGGCAAGCCTTCTGAGAGAGATCTCGGCCAGGTAGAAGTACCAGGACGTTCTCTCGCGAGCCAGACGCGGATCCGTTGCAGTCTCAACTTCTGCCCTAGGAGCTGGCGGCGTCGGGAAGAAGGGCGGGTAAAATGCCAACTCCTGGTCGCTTAGGGAAAAGTCCGGGAGGTAAAGATCCCCTCGCATCTCTCGCTCTGATTTCCATGAGGACCAGTAAACAGCCTGCTGCAGAGTGTCGATGGAATAATTCTGAGACTCATGGCCCGACTCGACGCTGATGTGGTAGCGTTGTTGGGCTTCAGGGGTAAGAAAAGAAAATTGTTGGCAGCTAGCCAGTGCCTGCACGAAGTACCTCCACGCCTTAACAGGCTGGAATACGCACATCATGTAGACCCCTGAAAGAAACAGACATTGAGCCGCAATAATGTCATCTGACGATAGCAAGATACCTAGTCGCTTCTGCGCAGCCTGGAAGAAAGCTTGAGCATCGCTGTGGGCTGCGGAGCCCAGCATTGTCTCTTGACTAGGGCCAAAAGCTGTGGCTAAAGACCCCAGTGCGCAGATCAGGAGAGACAGACAGGACTCGGCTGACCAGTTGATTCCTTCAAGTACCGTATGTGAAACCATTTTTCGAGTTGCTGTCTCGTCAAGGATCGGGTTTTTGACGTGGACGTAACTGAAGAAATTGTCGAGCAGGTCGTTGATGCGCCGTGGTTCCAGGTCGAGAGCGCCAATTAGAGACATTGGAGAATTTGCAGCTACTGAGACATGATCAACATGCAAAGCCGTGTCTCCGGCCTCAATTCCGTTGGCGAGCTCCTCAAAGATGGCCCATGACATGACATGTTCTGGCCTCGGAGGCAGAATCATACCCATCAGGATAAGAGGCCCCACAGGAGGTGCTTCTACCCGATGCTCGACCAAGGCCTCGACCACTCGTGTCTTGTTGCTCGGCAGTCCATCGACTGTGACCGATCTCATCATCTCCTCTAGATCATCGAGACGTTCCAAAATCTTGAGACTCGCTGGGTCGAAACTAGACAAGTCGACGGGCGACTGGATGCAAGTAGCTCCAACCTTGAGGCAAAAAGAGCATGCCGGCTTAAGATTATCGCATTTCGTCCTCCGAGCCCGACATACTTGGCATGCCCTGACGGCTCTCTTACGCTGGTAGAATGCGGTTCCGCGGGCTGCAGGCCGGGTGTTGGTCTTAGACGTGGACTGTTCCGGCCGACTACGGTCTGGCTCTGGCTCGTCTATGGTTGACGGCACGTGGCTGTCCGGGGCAGATGGGTCTGCCATTAAGAAACGGGATGGTTCCAGGCGCCCAATGGCTCAAATGTGTGGGGGATAAACAATACTAATTCTGGGAGACGGTTTGTGGGTTGTGATGAGAGGTCGGATGAGGTGGAAAGCTGGAGAAAAGAAGGGGGAACTTGTCGCGGAATGTCGCTTTTAATGTTCTTTCCTTCGCCGTCTGGACATTCTTGCCGGGCTAGCCCGAAATGGATTGCGGGGAAAGTCCGGGGCTCCACACCAACCCGAGGATACGTACTGTCGTTCCACACTCTCGGATTTTCGAACGCGGTGGTCTCGGCCCAACACGGAGGCGCGTGGACTGATTTTCTTCACGAGCCATTCTCAGCCTTTGCCAGATTGGGCGTTGGTTCGCCTAGCTGTGGCTTGATCAGTCGCGGAATGTCGCTCTTACGCCGCCTGTCTTGTTTTTCTTGAACAAGGGGTTCAGCAGGAGCTATCCGAATGACCTCAACACAGGTTGCTTGGGACTATACCGCCATCACGAATAGGATGATCCAACAACCTGACTGCCGGTAATGAGTAGCCGGCAGAGGATATAACCTCCAAGACTTCCCCGGATTCCTGTTGATCGTCTTTTTGTTCTCCAGTCTCCGCAACTCCTCGACCCTGGTCACCCATCCTCAGTTTCCACATCGAGTCATAGTCGAAGTTTGTCACATTTCGTGACAACTCCCAGCAAGCATGGCAGAGAAGAACGACGTCTCGGATCACTTGGAAGCAAGTGTTTCCCATCATGATGCCAAAGGGATGGCTGTCGGCGCAACCAACCAGCAGGAGCACGATCTTACTGTTCGAGAAGTCTTCAAGAACCACAAAGCCATTGTCTGGTGGTGTTTCTACTGGGCCATGGCGGCCATTGGATGGTAAGCTATCCAGGAAGGCTTCGAAAAGTTGCAATTGGCTGACTATACGACTCCTAGGGGTTTTGACGCTCAGATCAACGGCGCCATGATTTCCGTGGCATCCTTCAGGAGGGACTTTGGGTACGAATTTAATATTCACTCTTACGCAAGACTTCAACATCGCAAAGGTGCAAAGACTGACTGAAGACTTTACAGATATGTCCTCGACGGCGAAGCGATTCTCCCTGCGGATTGGCAGTCAGCCTTCAACATCATTAGCACCGTCGGCCAGTTCTTCGGAGGGTTTGCCTGCAGTTGGCTAGCAGATAGAATCGGACGCAAAAACTCCCTCCTAATCGGCGTCGTCATCTGCACCGGCGGCTGCGTCGGCGAGATTCTTTCAGATACCAAAGCAGCTTTCCTCTGTTCCAAGCTAATCCTCGGTCTGGGACTCGGTTTCTACCTCACTCTTGCGCCCCTCACATGCAGTGAGCTGGCCCCTGTTGCCCTTCGAGGATACGCCACGGCTGGCGTCAACTTAGGCATCGCCATCGGCCAACTTTTGTCCAATGCCGTAGTCAAGGCCTTTGGAGAACGATCCGACCGCTGGGCCTACCGCGGACCCTTCGCCACCCAGCTCTTCTTCGTCCTCTTCCTCGCCATTTTCTTGCCTTTCACTCCCGAGACCCCCTGGTACCTTGCCCGAAAAGACAAGCTTGAGCAAGCAGCAAAGTCACTCAAGAAGCTATATGGACAGAATTACGATGTCAACGCTAGGCTCTCTGGCATTGTGGCCACGATTGAGGAGGAGAATTCGAACCAAACACACGAGCTTGGATTTGTCGACTGCTTCAAGGGCACCAACCTTCTTCGGACAGGCATCTCGACTGGCGTCTTCCTTTGCCAGCACTTGGTAAGTATCTCCTGGCCTGGAAGTTCTCGACTCTTTGCTAACTCTACACAAGGTCGGTATTATCTTTGTTCTCGGATACTCGACATACTTCTTCCAGCTCGCCGGTCTTGACGTCTCGAAATCCTTCGATCTCGGTGTGGGCGTCACAGCTTGCGGCGTCCTCGGAAATATCGTCAGTTGGTTCGTCATCGAGACCTTTGGCCGCCGGAAGATCTTCCTCTCTGGAATGGGAGCCCTGACAACGCTTCTCCTGCTCATTGGCATCATGGACGTCGTCCCTACGGACGCCGCGAAGTGGGTGCAAGCCGCCTGCACCGTCATCTATGCTTTTGTGTACTTCATGACCATTGGTGCCATGGCTTTTGCCATCCTCGGCGAGGCTTCCAGCTCTGTTCTACGCGCGAAGACTATGGCTCTCGCTACCGCTACCCAAGCAATTTGTGGCTTGGCGATGAATTTCGCGATTCCTTACATGGTCAATCCCGATGAGGGCAACTTAAAGGGCAAGGTTGGATTCATCTTTGGTGGTCTGGCGTTGATTGGAACTGTGGGAAGCTTCTTCTACGTCCCTGAACTCAAGGGCAAGACCTTTGATGAGATCGACCGTCTCTTCGTGGCGAAGGTGCCACCAAGAAGGATGGGAAAGATGTAAGCTAGTTATTGGACAGGGAATCATAGGTACATATAATTGTCATTGAATTATGGCGGTAGATCGACATACAATGTAAAGTGCTTAAAGCACAATTATACCAGTTTGAACCCTTGTCACCCCCTGAAAGAGGCTTCCTTCTATCTGATTTATGTGACATTAAACGTGCACGTGCATTGCAGCTCGGCTGCAAATACCTTTAGCGTTTAGGCTGCCCTTCTGTTCCTGGCCAGGTAGGCCCAGGGCTCTAGAAAAGACGCGCTTGATCTTCTACGCAGAACATGGCGTTCATTCTACTTTCTCGGTGAAGGCTGGTCATACTCGGCAATGTAGAAGATCAAGTCATCCGGCTGGATCCCGTCCGAGTCCTCCAAACTCGAAACATACGCTCCAGTGACGTCCTTGCCCTCCATACTGTTCCACTCCCAGCACATCTTATGAATGTGCCAGTAGAACGGGTTGTTGGAAATCTGCTCCCATCCAATCTGGCCCATGTCGATCTGGAAGCTCGTCTTGGGCCCGACGCCGCGCACCTGCCGGGCCTGCGCGATCGAGTTCATCGCTCTGAACTCCATGACGTCGACGAATTGAACAGAGTCGAGGTCGGACAGCCACTTTCCTGCCCGGCTCCAGACGCGGGCGATGATGTCACGCAGGGTCATACCGTTCTCGTCAAAGCCGTTGGCGACATAGTCGACCTTGATGCGGTTGCCGGCGATGCGGAACTCGTTGATTTTGGAGCCGCCAGACGACACTACCCACGTGTCGTCGCTGTTGGTGACGCTGTAGCCGGCGTCGTCGAGCTCGTCGCAGTGTCCGAGAGACAGGAGGCCGCAGAGGACTGCGAGGCAGTAATGGAGGATAGACCGCATGTCTGGAAAGAGCAAGAATGGGTGGCCGAATGAGTGTGAGGGTAGAGAGCAGATGCTTCTGGGAGGAATTGAAGATGCGTGAGACCCTAGACTCGAAGCTGGCCCATTGTCAGGTGCTTAAGTACTTTAGGAAACGCATCAAGAGTAAACGTTATGTCTACCAACTTTTAGCATTCCTTGACATAGGAACAGCCCCAAAGCTGCCGCTTAGAAGGTTGGTATCCAGCACGTTGAATCCAAAACCTGAAATACGAATGGAGCATACGGGGAGTTATGACACAGAGAATAGCCCCGGAAAGTCAAAATTTGCCTGGGAATCGGTCTCTCCGTCCGCGAAACCGAAAATCGAGGCGTTCGAGCGTCACGTATTGACTTTTGTCGAACGGTCGGTGGGGTCTAGAAGCCGAGAGCGTCGGCAGTCATTTCATTCTAACTTCTCGCAACGATGTTGACAGTCGACCAAGTAAGTAGGCTTCCAATACAGACTTTACCGTCAAATTTGCGCTAGCGCACGGAGGTGCCGTTCGTAGCCACTAAGGTTGTTCTATGCATGGAACTGAGTGAATGTTCTATTTTACTTCCGCGCAGGACGAACGCCCGTGTACAAGATCATCAACTGGACCGAGCTGAGAGCGACTGGGGCTACTGCGAGCCTACGAGGAACGGCCGCGCACTTGTATTAACTTTCTCGGCCATACTATAAGTACAACCATGTATTAATTAAGTAAAACTTTCCAACACTGGGCGTAATATCCCACCCATGATGAAGCACAATTATCGCAAAATTTCTTTTGTCCCCATCCGCCATCGTAAGCCCCGTCTAATCAAACTAGAATACTCGGACGTGAAGGCAATGGCGCAGAGCCTCATCGATACAACCATTCTCAATGGGCCTATAATGGTTCTAGCCATATAAGTAGTCAGATGGGCAATAGGATAGAGACAGTTTGTTGCATTCACTCCTCCATCTACGACGACCTTGAGTGTTTCAAAAATCATTATATTCACACTACTTGCAATAAGTTCAAACGCATCATGCGTTCCTTTTCTACTGTCCTTCTCTTCATTGCCGCCCTGGCCGGCCACTCTGTCGCTCAAAGTTGCAACGACCAATGCGCAGACGTCTTCGCCGTAGCAAGCTCAGAATGCCCACACATCGGCAACACCAAAGAGGACGCCGACACCCTTGACGGCCCGAAGATGAGCTGGAAGAACAACATCTGGTCCACGCGCGGTAAGGACGGCGCCGTGGTTGAGATCGATCCTAGAGCTTGCACTCTGAGAACATTTGGCGGCCGAGACGACTTCTGCGGCATCTGGATCGGCGGCAAGGAGGAACGAGGAAAGGGGAACACTGAGGTTAAGCAGCCGAACGCGCTGTTGCAAATTCCCTTCAATGGTGGCTGCTGCAAGATTGACAAGGAATTCTGCGCGGATGGTGCGATTGACTGGGCGCAGTTGCTGAGGGTGAAGAAGGGGCCGGACGCGTCGTAAGCATTGAAAAGTACTGAACATTGGAGAATTTTCTCGGACGAAAATAATTATTCTGCTGAATTTGAATTCGTGGTTTTCACTCTTTAAAGCACCATTGACATTGGCCAATGAATCATCTTGACTGACTTATACGCTTTTCGCGTCCTCAAAGAATTTACACCCCTTGAGTTTGATCTTTCGCATCTCATTTGGAACATTGGGAACACCAATAATAGTGCTTCACTCAAATCCGTCGCTGTATCGCCTGTGGCAATCTACTAGGTACATATACTGACTTCAAATAACGGTACAATACCTGCCAACAACTAGAACATCTGACTAAGACTGATTAATGTGGCAGGTGCAGGTGGGTCACGTGAGGCAGCTCCTTCACATCTCGGAGCTGCCCCACCTACACCTTGCCCAGATATCCAGCCCAGCCAGCGCTCAGCTTTTCCTATCATCATCATCAGATCCAATACAGTAGTATTGCCTCCACAATTAACGATAAGTATTTGATTGTTGCTCTGTCATAATTTCCCACCGCATGAAAAAAAGGGTGCGGCCCCAATATGCCAAGATGCTGCATTGTCTACACATCAAGATGCGCACGATGGCGGCTAATTGGGCAATACGCACAGCGTGCTACACCACAGCAGACGCAAGGCAGATCCTTATTAATTGCCTGCCCGCCCTGACCACATTGACACTACGGCAACATGGATGCGTTAGCTACAGTTAATCGAAACTCAGGACCAAACCACTCACGCATGTCCAGATCGGCACTGTTCTGATTCGTCTTGGTCCCCGATCTTGGGATTATCCAGGAGACAAATCTAGTGGAAAGTAGGATTTGACTGTGAATCTTCACGTCAACGTCACTCATCTGAAGTTGGTTGTAAATGCGTACTGGTAGAAAAAGACATGGCTAAGGGTCATAATCCCAGAAGTCAGCCTTCTTTGCTAAAGTCCTATCAAACGAAACAGTCAGCTCGGATTCCATGCTTCCGCTTTCCTTAATAAATACCCTGAAGGTATTAGTCGCCTTAAATTCTTGTTTGGGTGTTAGATGACTTACCTTCTCAAATACGCTTCTTTCAAGATCTACTGGAAACATTTGGTTATGGGTCAAGATCCGCTGCTGAAAATTTCCTCGTTTAAATGTATGCCCTTATATAATACCCATATCTCTGAATCTCACATGCTGTCATCACATATTGGTGATCAAGCGGCCCAGGCGGATGGTGCAGGGTTTCACTACTGCCGTCAAACTGTGACATTGTCTTTCTTTAGCATTACTAACCAAGCCACAAACGTTAGTGTCCGCTATACAAGACTCAAAATATCAGCAGTTGATTGGGTGTGTTCGACTTCCCAAGTCTCCAAGACCTCGCTAGATCAGCTCTCCCGTCAGTTGTACGAACTTGCCATACGCGGTTTCTTTTTCCCTCATTCCATGCACCCGGCGAATAACGGCTTTCTTTCGGATTCTTTACCTCGGTCGTTCAAAAGGCGGCTGCCGGGGCGGGGGGGGCGGGGTCTGGTGCGTAGCGTGACAAGGCACTGAAAACAGTCCGAGACAGGTCTTAACTTGACGAGTCAGGAAAGTAGAGCATTGGGATATGGGCTTGCATTACATGTTTGGTGACACAGGGGATCCCAGAGATAAGTCAACCTACCCCCTTTTGGCCACCCCATTTTAGGTGGGCCTACACCAAAATCTACTACTTTTTACCCTATACTTAACTAGCTTAAATTATAAAAAAATAAAAATAAAAAGCAATTTGTATAACTTAACGTACTTACATAGCGAGCGATGTGTTACGACCCAACATGAGACCAGGGTGTTACGGCCAGCTAGTCGTAGGGGTAGTTTGCAGAAGTTGAGGCTGCGGAACTGGTAACAGTAATCGTAGTCGGGGATAGCTTCAGGGAAGCTATGTCTGTCAATCGTAAGGGTAGGTAAGGCTTCGGTGATCAATCGTAGTCTTGTCAAGGTAGTAGCTGAAAGCGGATGTTAATCCTGATACGAAGTTAATTGCTGAAGAAGCTATGGAAAGTCTGTCCTAGAGTCCAGCTCAAGTCCATCCTTATATACAAGTCCTGATCCTGAACATGTCCCTTGTCCCTTGGGTCGTCTTGGGTCATTCTGATCCAGAATGATCGTTTAGCCCCCAAGTCGTGTTGGATCATATTGATCCCAAATGATCCTTATCTTATCATCACGTGACTTGTACCATAGTTCTTCCGTTCCGTGAGAGGGTGCCTTGTGTCCCCTTGTCCTGTGCATGTATGGCGTATCGTAACCGTCGTAAGCCTGCGGGGCAGGCCCTGTTCTTGGTCGTGCATGTTGGGTCGTAACACAGGGCGTGCCCCGCTGACGCCTAGCGGCTACGGCGCATCATATATGCAGGACGGGACGGAACATTGGGGAAACCCCAGGAACGGAAGAACTATGGTACAGGTCACGTGATGATAAGAGATATGATAAGGGATAAGGATATGTTGGATATGCGACATATCCAACCGAGTCAAGGATATGTTGGATATTCGGCATATCCAACATATCCAGACAAAGTGGACTGTTCAGCACTGTTCAGTTAGGATCGGACTTGTATATAAGGATGGACTCGAGCTGGGCTCTAGGACAGACTTTCCATAGCTTCTTCAGCAATTAACTTCGTATCAGGATTAACATCCGCTTTCAGCTACTACCTTGACAAGACTACGATTGATCACCGAAGCCTTACCTACCCTTACGATTGACAGACATAGCTTCCCTGAAGCTATCCCCGACTACGATTACTGTTACCAGTTCCGCAGCCTCAACTTCTGCAAACTACCCCTACGACTAGCTGGCCGTAACATAAAGCTCATATAATAAATAGGGAGGCATGTAAAGAGCAATAATGTTTTATTCCTTATAACTAATATTTATTAAAGTTAGTCGATTTATAGCTGTTATAGCCATTAAGGATTAAGAGGCGATAAGAGCCCTTCGTACGAGTCCTTATATACTAATTAAAGTACTTTAACCAATCTGGCCAATTGTCACAGACCCGCTGTCCTAGCCCCCAACCTTGAGGTTGGTGTTGAGTAATCCGGTGGCCGGGTTACGTAAGCCTGAGGCTGGATAAAACTCTGCATCCTGTATTCTGTCGCGCATGTCCAGAAACGTAGCTCCTTGAGCTACGTCTTGTCAACAGAGCCTGTACCTGCTTAGGATAGAGCCTGCCCAGCATCCACCTGCCAAACAACCTGCCTGCTACCGTGACACCGTAGTCAGTATACTTAATAGACTTGAAGTTACGGTCTGGCTATAAGGAAGTCGGTATAAATAAAGGGTCCTCTATTGGTCATCGGGCGCTCGAGGCATCTGGCCGGTCGACGGTCGAAGGCGTTACTAATATAATAGACGCCTACCTCTCGTGAATAGTTAAGGAGCCACGATTTCTCTATCCCGTCTGGTATTAGAGGGTCGTTTTTTTTTCTTGTCAGGCTTCTCGTCCGGCTCGAAGAAATCATGGGGCGCATCGTTTTGAGCGGGAGCCTTTTGGGTCTCGGAAGCCACCGGCCGATTATCAGCAGCAGGTGTCGACATGGTTGGCAACTTGTCGAGGTATTGGGGGAAAGTCGATGATTTACAAAAACAGAGAAAGCGACATGGAGAAGGGCAGGAGTGATTTGTTAAAGACTCCGGACGAGATAGGCACAGCAAAAACTCTGCAGTCTTGGCAGCGGTACAGTGCCACCTCGAAATCCTTCCGGTGGGATCTAGTAAAATGCTAGCTAATGATCACCCCACGCTATGGACAGAGGCAACAAGAACTGGCCAACGACAAGGTTCCGATGAGCGACATGAACTTGAGTCCTCAAGTACAAGTATCTTTCGGGACGTTCCGACATCGGTTCGCCCAGTGTCCCGGATTTGTGGGTGAGATAGCTGAGCTTAAGGTTGGGTGGTTGGCTCTTTGTGTTTATCAGATCCTTTCTTGATCCACTGCGGAGGGAACCTATCATCTAATCAGATGGTCCATATCTCTGTTGGGGAGGGATCACCACCTTGGCGGGACTAGACTCCGACTAAAGCAAGGATGGATTCCTTCTCGGGCAAAGTATACAGTGCCATTGGACTGTATGTCAAGATGTGCCGCCGCGGAAGCTGCACTTTTCACGGCTTGCCATTTCTCTGGGCTCCGATCCTAGACCAATATCTCGAGAATGAGGAACCATCTCCGAGTTACGTGAGCGGTACGGGTGTTCCAAGTGAAAGAGAAAATTCTCTGGAGATATCAGCCCACGGATTATGTAGCAACCTGGATAGTGCTTGCTTTTAGCCTGAATTAAGCTTACTCGAGTGGTTATTGCTACTCGTTCGAGTCGAGAAATGGGTACAGGACCCCTGTTCCCAGCAATAATCCCGCAAAATCGGCCTCGGACTTTGTCCGTATGGGCTTGGCCGCTAGCTCATTCCCAATTTGCTGATTCTTATGGTCGCGCCCTGCAAACCAAATACTAAAAGATTTCTTCATTAGTTTTCTGATTTGCTAGAGTCTTTAGGGTCTGCTTCACAGTGGGAAAGCTGTTGAACCGGGATGCTGAAAAACCAATAGACTTCGCAGTCTTCCACTAGAGCCTCTCAGCACGATTTCCGAACCATATTGCCCTCACAAGTTACTCTTCCAACAACTGATTTAGTTCCAGAGTCTTTTAATTAGTGTTGCTAAAGTAAAAAGGCACCACTTGATGGGCGGTGGTGTAAACTACATGTAAGCAGGTAGAATGAATATTGCGGGGAAGAAGAATGTATATGGAATTGAAGCGGGTTATGTCTAGTTATGTTGGAAGCACCCGTATCATCAAAGACTTTTAACCGCCTTGAGTCTGTTTTGTCTAGCAAGTTGCGTAAGCCCTATCGTAGGGGCAAAGAGATCGAAGATGTGAGGGAGCCCAGGGTAAACATGTAGCTCCATCTGCACATTTGCGGCTGCAAGCTTACTTGCAAAGGCTACTGCCTCAGCGCAAAACAAATCAACTCCGCCAACGTCGATGTATGTGTAAGGAAGATTCACAACGTCAGTCGCTCGCCCTGGTGCCGCATACAGAGGTACATTCGATCCTCCGGCCCTGCCTTCGAGGTACGCGTTCCAGCCAATCTGATTCGACTTATCCGTCCAGGTGAGGAATTTTGAAAGAGGATTGTCTGCTTCAACCCTAGTTCTGTCGTCTAGCATTGGATATATGAGGATCTGCTTGGCCAATGGCGGCGACAAGCCTCGATCCCTTGCCAGCATCGATGCGCCTACTGCTATGCCACCGCCGGCGCTCAACGCGTAAAAGCCTATGCGAGACGCATCGATATTCAAGTCGCCTGCATGCTCGTTCAGCCACTTTAACGCGGCGTAACAATCCTCGGCGGGCGTCGGATATGGAAACTCGGGCGCTAGACGGTATTCGATAGCGAACATATGGACCCCGGATTCCAGAGCGGCCTTCGCAGCGAGGGGCCGGCTGTATGGGTCGACACTCCCCGCAACAATCCCTCCTCCATGTACGTATATGAAAGCTGGCTGCTTGCTTGTAGTTTCGTTTGATTTTGACGTGAATTGGTGGAGCGCGATTGATTCGCCGTCGAATGACTTGACCTCGTGCTTGGTCTCTATTATACCCTCCGGCAGCGCATCTTTGAGGATAGCCGAGAGACCCGCGTTGACGCTGGCTCGGAGCTCCAACGCATTGGTAGGTCCTTTTGGCGGTCGGATGGCAATCAGCGGACCGGCAACCGCCCAGAACTCTGTGTCAAATTTCAGACCCGGCATTCTTTGAGTCTGTTTTGCGTAGTAGAGAATGGACAGAACCCCGACAACCATCCCCAGGAGCGAGAAACCTGGGCCCATGGTGGCTTTTTATGCAAAGAGCTGGTTACAAGCTCCCAATCTGCCAAGGAGATGGATTTTCGCCCTGTTATACCTTCCCTGCTGGGGGTAAGCGGAAGGCATTATATCCCCATAAATCATGGGTTCAAGCTGGGCAGCTTAACGTTGGCGCCACTCGGCACCATGAACCTATTAGTCTCGAAACTTCAGATGACTATAAGCTCCGCGTTACAAAGCGCTGAATGGTGGAAGCTTCCAATTCGTCCGAGCGGCATGAATCAGCTCCAGGCCAGCAATCCGTTGGGGCTCGGGTGAAATCCTCTGAGCGCATGACCGATGGGCATTGCCACGTAGGCAATGCTGGTATGGCTTCTTTCGTTTCTTCCTAGGAGACGTTCTGCCTTCTGAATTGACTTTCGGCTTACATTGCATGGCACATGACGTCGCCCACGTGTCGAGTTTTGTTTAGTTGTCAAATCTCGGACTTTCACCAATTCTCGTCCGTGTAGTGCTGTCATGACTGACTTGATGACTGATGGTTGCGATGATACGCTGACAGAGATATTGCCATTCTGGAGTTGAGACTAAATACTGCCTAAAAGTTTCGTCTGACAATCGGAAACTCTTCTTGCAAATTGCCGAAAGAAAACTTTCATGCAGACTAAAAAAGCAAGAACACCTAAACCGAACCCGAAGTTGACTGTGCTAATAAATTCGGGCCATCCATAAGGCTCAGTCAAATACATCAGTCGCATAACGCTCGTTGCGAATATTGCTGAACCACTCTTCCAGCTCCTCATCATTCATCGGCTTTCCATCGTCCAACTCACTCTTCTCCCTAGCCGCTCTAAGCAGAACATCCTTCACTCCTTCGGCCACTCTGTTCGAACCACAGACATAAACTCTGGCACCTTGATCCCACAGCCCGTACAACATCTCACGCTCCTGCCAGATACGATCTTGCACGTACTTGGATCCGTTAGAAGCTTCAGGCTTGCGACTGTATGCCCTGAACATCCTTACAGCACCGACAGCTTCCCACTTGTCGAACTCTTCACGGTACAGGTCGTCAGCCTCCGGGTCACGGCACCCTAAGAACAAGATAGCCGGTGCGAGAGAGCGACCGTTGTTGAGTAGGGTAGCACGTTCTTGGACGAAGGCACGGAACGGTGCCAAGCCGGTGCCGGCCGCTACACACAAAAGAGGCGTCTTATGCATGTCGATTGGAAGCTTGAAGCCGCCCTGTGAAGCACGTATGGCAACTTGTAGACGGTCACCGGCAATCAGGGTAGAAAGGTAAGAGGAAGTGACCCCGACATGCCGGCCTTGTCCCGATAAGGCAGGCTCGTCTAGAACGCCGTAGGTGATGGTGGCGACACCAGGATCCACAAGAGGTGACGAAGAAATTGAACTATTCACTATCGTTAGCATGATGATTGGAGACGGGCGTTCCAGCCTTAGCTTACTATTGACGAACTCTCATAGGAGGAAGCATGAGGAGGAAGTGGTTGAAAGGGATGATCAAGGATGGGAATTGCTCGGCAATATCGAGAACCGATAGCCTCTTTGTCTTGATCTCGGTGTCGTAGCCACCGGTGCCTAGGTACTGAAGCTTGCGACTCACTTCTTCGTTCTTCGCAAGCTGCGATAGAGTCAAGATATTCTGTGCTCTAGTTGTTAGTATTTGCTTCAAGGACTCATCAAGGGCAGATCTCGGAGCTCACCCTCTTTGAAGCGGTTTGGCATAGCTCAACGTAAGAGCTGAGAACGTCAGAAACCGGGCTGCTAACATCAGTTGGCAATGTCGTGGGCCCTGAAGCCTGGATGGTGACATGAGAGTCCCAGGTAAGATGGAAGCGACGCATCACCCTGGCGACTGTGTCCTTGGGGTTGTGAGGCAACACGGCGATATAATCACCAGCCGAGTATCGCATATTTGTGGGAAGCTGCACCTCAATGTGTCTCTTGACAGGGCCCAGGTGTCCGCGGGTAAGAGTCCGAGAATCTAGTACGAGAGCGTCTCTGACGTCTTGGCGGAGAGTTGAAGTCCTCGGAGTAGAGAATGACACTGACAAACCTGCCTCAGCGATGCTGTTGTTGTCTCCTTCGGACTGCCCACCAAACTCCTTGACGAGCACAGGCCATAAAGACTCATCCTCCCAGGCCTCAAAGTCAGAAAACATGTCTCGGTCTTTGGCATCCGTCGTAGCAAGCGGGATGATCCGACGGGCTCCGCGTTCTTCGAGCGTATAATCGACGAGCTTGGGTACCCGAAGGTATGTTTTTACCCAATCGGCATGACCTAGATAAATAACACTTTATCAGCAGAGGTCATCTCGAAGAGTTGGTCAAATCTTACCGCAGCCGTACACAGCATAAGACACGTTCTCAAGTTCCTTGGCCTTGAGGTTGGCCATCCAGTCAACAAAGAGCGCAGCGTTGTGAGGCGGTTCACCCTCGTAAGAAGAGGTGACGATAACGACGGGACGATCTGTTGGAAGAGACTCTCGTGCGGTGTCGAGTGAGTCAACAGTCGCGCTAAAGCCATGTGACGCCGCATCGCTAGCAAGTCTCTGGGCCATAAATTCGCAGGTGCCAGAGTTCGAACCGTAGAAAATTGCCACATTCGCCTTCTTAGCAGAGTCATCTGCAGCCCCTGCTCCGCTGGTACATGTAGCTTCGGGGGCTTTGGCCTTTGTCTGGGCGGGCACTCCTCCGGTCAAAGACCCGGCCATCCGAGCTTCCAGCATCGACGGTGTTAATCCCTCTCTCAGAATGGCTCGAATATAGAAGTCTTTGGGTTTGATTGTGAGCGTTTGGGAGACTTTAAGATCGTAATTGGGGTCGTGCATGACAAAGTTGAAGTTCTGCATCAGCAAAGCAAGGGCCAACACCATCTCTTGCCAGGCGAATGCCCTACCAATACAGCCACGCATACCGGTGCCAAAGGGGCTCCAGCAGTTAGGGAACTCCTTCATCAGCCGGTCGAAGTTCTCGTCGAGCATTCTTTCGGGTCGAAACTCCTCTGCGTCATCTCCGAATACCTTGGGGTCAAGATGTGACTTGGTCAAGAAACACAGGATCTGCTCCCCGGGTTTGACGCGGTACTTGCCACCGATGATCTCGTCTTTCATGGCCTCTCTGCCGAAACCAAAGATGGGAGCACTGTGTCGCAGAACTTCTCTGATGACCTGTTGACTGATGTTAGTATAGAAGAGTTAGAGCGCCATCACACATCAAGATCAGGGGGTTCTGTGTAATTCTGCGTAGGTCCTGTATTGGAGGGAGTTTCGATGTGAGAAGATTGAGAGAAACTTACTGCACTCAAGTACTTCAGCTTTGCAACATGTTCGATCTTGAGAGGTCTATCGCCAGCCGTGGTGTCGACTTCTTCTTGTACTTTCCGGTACACTTCAGGTCTCTTCAGCAACCAGTACATGGTGAAGGTGAATGTAGCAGCAGTAGTCTCGTGGCCGGCGACAAGAAAGGTGATCAAGTTGTCAATAATGCTCTCGTCCGTCATCTTACGGCCAGTAACAGGGTCAACGGTGTTGAGCATTGCTGTCAACAGATCCTTTCGACCATTGGCGTCATCCGGGTCCTTCTTCCTAGCCTCGAGAACCTCTCTTGCGATGGACCGAATATAGGTGATATTTGCCTTGAACTTGCGATCTTGTTTCTTGTAGAAGACTTGAGGTAGGACGCGCAATGCCTTGTCACCGGCTTCTTTCATGACAGCGTACATTGCTGTGATGAAGGGGTGCGTGTCTTCGCGGTAGTAAGAATTAAACCGGTATCCCATCGAGCAAAGGGCGACTGTGTCCATGGTGAGTCTCGTCATGTCTTCGCCGATGTGGATAGGAGTAGAAGATCCGTGGCGTGCCCACTTGAGGGCTAGTTGGGCGGCTAGGTCGTGCATATCGTCAAACATTCCTCTGATGGCAAGAGGACCGAAAGCAGACATCAAGACTCTATGGGCGATACCCCAGTTCTCCTCCTCAACGCCTTTCGACTACCATAGGGTTAACCCGATGTAGCGGAAAGCCTGTGAGGACTAGGGACATTATTAGACTTACTGTGAAAAGGCCATCGTGTACCGCCTCGCGAAGCTCCTATGATGTGGTGTCAGTCACATCACAAGCACTCATATGAAGTGACTTACAGCGAGGTCCCCTTCTATCGACTTTTTGAACCTCTTGTCGTCGCAGCACTCGTTGACTAACTCGTGGGTGTTGACAAACACTAGCTTCTGGCCCAGAAGATCAAGCTTGTAAATAGGGCCTGGAGAACAGTCAGCGTTGTCTATACCCCCCCCCCCCCCTATGCGTCTTCCGAAAGCCACATATTCACTTCTGGGGTAATGCTACACACCATATTTGTTTGCCATGTGTACAAAGGACCCTAGGGGATAGTCCTGGTCGATCTCGGTCACGTGCCCCAATACGGGCTTCCGAGGCGGCTCCGGAATTTCGACGATGGCGTTCGGCATGTCGACGGCTTTCCTAGAAGACCTTCGAGAAAGGCTGAAGACTCGCTTTCTCTTTTCGAACGTTGGAAGGGTGTCTGACGACTGAGTATTCGAGATGGACGACATGATGGGCTTGGTGACTCGATGGTCTGATGTAGCCTATATATCGATGTCTCCCAAAGCACAGATATTGTAATTTTGATGATATATAGGCAGTCCGAGGCGATTGCCAAGCACAGTGGGACAATTTCGAGGGCCGCCGGAGTCGGTCAGACCGGTGATCCTTCCCTTCGGTGTCCTCGGGGCAAGGCTGATTGTGGCTGAGGGAGCGAATCCACAGAACACCACGTTGGAGAGACTTTCGAATTGGACAAGAACACCACATTTACCACGACAAGTGTCTAAGATTCGTCATGTCTTCGTCCGCGGAGGGCGCAAGTGGGACTCTGAGTCCTTTCGCGCCGTGCATTGGCCCCAACCGGTCCTCCGCGGGCGTCCGGTGTCCACTTTTTCGACCGCCCTACCCCCTTTGCCTCGCTGCCAGACTTTCTATGTGATACGATGGGAATGAGAATTCTTGGATCAGAAACATGACTATCCCCTGGAAATCAGATTTGTTCATTTGGGCGATCTTCGTCAATGTGCACTCAAATCCGACTGGTATCTCCCAGTACGCTTCAGTGAGCGCAAAGAATCGAAGCTCTTCGGCATCGGGCCGCAGCCCTCGTGACATCAAAGGCTGGAAGAAGCTGGAGTAAAGGTGTCAGTTTCGACTACCAACATACTTGATTTTGGTAAAAACCCATTCTTCTGTTGGAAACACAATTGAGATCGTGCCCAAAAAGTACGGGAATCGGCCAATGACTGCTCTTACCCTGAATTGTCGACCGAAGTGCTTCCCGAGAGTACGAGGTTATCGGGTTTCATCGATGATGACTAAGATTTAATCCTGCGAAAGAGTCGTGCTTAATTAGTACGATTTCGCAAATATGCATAGTCGGCAGTTAGCTCTAGAGGCTAGAGCGGCCGAGCCTCGGAGCAAAGAACCAATTTATCATCGTGACTAGTGTCGCAGCGCCACACGTGGCGCTGCCGGTTACTGCCGTACGATACCGCTTTCCACAAGCCGATTACCCGTCTTGTACGGTATCCCATCGAGTGCTGTTGGGCTACAGATACATTCACAGAAGGGATCCTGACCACTCAGGGGCAGCCAAGAGTTTTCTCGACCAATCAATGGCCCTATTTGAAAGGTACTTCGGTTGCCTATATATTTTGAGTGTGATAGAGGTACCAGCAATCATCAGAGTTACAAATCGCAACCCCACACTGCTTGCATCCTGACCTCGTCTTCTTTCTCCTATCTCTTCGCAAGTTCCGTATGACTTCGCCTAATGCTATTCGTTTGTTATTACAAGACAAGCAAGCAGAGGGCTTCCGTAATACCCTCGTGAATTGTTACCATGGAATAGAATTCTCTCTTGTATCAGTGGCCCTCTGGGGCCGGGCCCGTTGCCTCCCATGAACTAATGGCCCAAAGCACTGAATTAGCTGGGTGGAAAGGGTCCTTCGCCATTCGTACTGAGAGTTGGCCCGAGCCCATTCCGGCTCGCCCCAGAGCTGGAGAAAGAAGCTATTAACAAGTATGCCTCGTTCCAGCGAAGGTGGTTCATGTGGGCGTACAGTCGCGCTATCACACTTCTCGGGCGTACAGTCAGCTGTACAGGCGCTTGCGAGGTCTTCAGGAAGTATCGCAACGTTGATACAGGAATGTACAGACCCTTCAGAGTCACTATCGTCGCTCGAGGCCATCGTGACGAATTGGCATGTGTAGATAGGCGATTTTGGTGGTGAAGGGAAGCCAGGGATTCCTAGGGGTAAATGACGTACTGTCATGTATTCCTGATGTGAGGGGTTAAGAGTGGGTAAAAGAGTGGAGCAATGTATCTGTAGCCCAACAGCACTCGATGGGATAGATATGACCCTCATACGGATCTTCCACTTAGAGGAATCAAGCCACTTTCTACTATACAAGTCTTCCACTTGCTACCTCGCTTTGTGATAACTAGCTATTCGAGTAATTTAGTTACAGATTATTTTACAAGGAGAACATAATTGAATTGTCGTAGAAAGTTAATTTGATTTTGAACAATCCCCCAGACCTCGCTGATGCAAAGGGTATTTCCTTAGTTGCTAGATCGAGTATTAGTTGTTCGATGCTGTTCACTTTGAAGAGTTACTTGAAATTATCCAGAAAGAACAAAAAAGAATACTCCATCCCAACCCATCAATATGGTTATAATAAATTGAATTTGATTAGAAAATGTGCTCTAGCGACAAGAGCATAGGTCAATTATTTCCTTGCCAGACATTCATATGCCAAAAAGGTTGGGCACGGGAGGCAAGCTGAGCAGGAAGAAAGGTTTTCTATTAGTGCGTCATGTATGACGATCAAGGTAGCCCTCTACGGATTGAACTGCGAGAACTGTACTCCCATCTACTCTTCCAGGTAAAAGGTTAGACACCTCTACGGTTTATCATGAACCCGTATCGAGGCGACCAAATGGCCCGCAAACCCAAAACCCGCCATTGCCATTATAAAAGTTCTTTGCAGATATAGAGCCCCTCGAGAACATCATTCTACATGTGTTACTCGTTGGAATTATCGATATCCCTCTATTCTAAACTGAATTTTCCTTTTCAATCATGCAAATAACGTCTTCGCTCGTGTACTTGCTGCTTGCAGCTACGGCATCATGCCAGCAAGACGGCAGCAACCGAGAGGCCGATTCTCTGGGCATGACAGCGACACAGCCTTCATTGATCACACCACTCGCTTCAGCTTCTCCGTCCCACGTTGATGAGAATTCTAAAGACATCGCCAACGCCTCTTCACCAGTTATCCCAATCCCAGTCCCGACAACCTGCATCATATCCACCGGGCCCGCCGCATCGATGGCACTATTTGCCCCGCCGAGCGTTGCCCCGCCGAGCGTCCAGCGACCCCCTAACGGTCTCCCCTGGCTCGCCAACAAAGACGATAAGGACGAAAATACAGTCTGGTGCATCTCCAGAAGCCATTACGACGTCTCCTACAAGCCCTACAACCCTTGGGCCCTCGTCGGACAAATGGAGCCACGCTACCGGCACAAATTTGTTTTCCCCAGACTTATGAAGGAAGCACCCGCGAACGGGGAATACGAGGTCATTCCCCGAACCTACCGCATCACCGGCGACAAGTGGCTGCCCCTCTTCAAAGACGTCAGAGAAAACACCTGCATGCTCATCAGGGCGAGGAACTTTGGCGAGATACGGCCGGATATTTACACTCGCTCATACTCCATGTTGGCCAAAATTGACGATTACACAATGTTGAAAATGATTAAATTCAAGTACACCTACAAGATCGAGCCCCTGTACAACATATACGGCGAGCCTCACCCCAACAATTGGGCGAATCAGCAGGATGACAGGCCTCTGAAACCGGTGAAGCAGAAGCCCATACCCTGACCGACGTCGGCACTGTTGGCCCCATCAGCATTGTAAATGAGTCGGTTTCAAAAAGAGCTTCAAGCACTAGTACAGCGCGCACATTATAGATTAATGGTCCAACGAATGTCGTGGAAAACTCCTCAATGTTGGTAAAACCCACAGAGAGCTTAGTTCAATATCCCTAATAAAGAAGGTAAAAGTGTTTAAAGCCTAGGAAGCTCAATCAAACGCCCATTGTATCGCCTTCAACTTCTGCACGACGTACATAAAAAGAGGCTTTGTGACAGAATCCATACATGCTCCTATGCGAGTCATGGACATAACCCATTCGGAATGGTCTGACCATCACGAAACAGGCCAGACTGTCATTTCCACCTGGTCCTAGCTCTCTGCAAGACTTATTAGGATAGCATTAGGCCCACAAGCCTGTGGTGATTCCATCCACTCTTTAGTACGAATAGACGCTCTTTTCTGCTCACTCACATATGCATATTCCGCTGGCCACCCTGACTAACCGTCACTTTGCGCCCTGGGGCCTCATTGTGCTTTTTGCTATCCAATCTACATATAGTTTCGACATGACTTTGCCAATCCAAGCATCGATGCTAATACTAGACTTTACTTTTCGCTCGCCCATCGTCTGTACGCCTTGCTTTATCCGCGTGGGTAGGGTTCGGTATGGGTTATTTGGCCGCATCACCTTGATGATTCGTGGGGCCGTATCAAGAACCACGGAAGAGTTCGAAACTTTACCGCGTTTTCTCTCCCCAACTTCCACCAAGGCGTGCAGAGTTCATTCCACTCAGCAAGGCGTCAGCGTCAAGGTAGTATGGCATTGGCCAAGTGCCCCCATAGGTTGATCTTCCTGTGATTTTGCCTCTACCCTTGTGAGAAACAAGACCTAGAATCAAGGTTCTTAATTTGATGCTTGCGTACTTGCGATTCTGGCGCCCGCAGCGGTATCGCAGAGATCCTCTCAACGATCAAGGTAAAGTGGCACGAGAAGGGTTATCCAAGCATAGTCGTGAAATGTCAGGTGACTCAATTAGTCCCGTAGGCCATCCATATCAAAGTATCATGTACGCTTCCGTAATCCTCCACTCGAAACCAAACCCCCGCTCTTCCCAACAACATATCAGCATGCTCACTCCTCCAACCGGTTCTCCTCAAGAACCTCTCTTTCCGCCTTTGTCCCTTGCCAATTCACCATCTTGAGTAGAATGGGAATCAAGATTGCAATAATCATACCCGCACCCAAGAACCCAGCCGTAACACCAAATCCAGTGTGATACGCCGGCGAATCCTTGCTCGGCCAGATACGGCTCCCGTACACACTCGAAAAGTTGCCAAACGCATTCACCATGGCCAACACAATGGCGCGCTTCTCAGCCGGCAAGCTAATAACACCACTCGTCCAGGACAGAACGAGCGGCAGCGCAGACCAAATACCCGCAGCCAAGAAGCAAACCATGACATACCGCACAATCGGCGTCTGCACCGCAGCACACACAACAGCACACGCGAAGCCCAGGCCAAGCGGCGCAGCAACGTGCCACCGCCGCTCCTGGTGCTTATCAGAGCTCCACGCAACAATGTTGAGGCACACGGAGGCGACGGCGTAGATGGGCACCGTCATGTACTGCGCCTTGACAGTGTCGTAACCCAAGGTAAGCGTAATGGTCGGGATAAAGTACGAAATCGTGCCCGCGCCAACGTCGAGCATGAAGAGGAGGATGAACATGTACGTCCGCGGGTCCGACACGGCAGCGACAAAGGCCTTCCAGTGCGACAGGCGCGCCTTCCTCTGCCCACCCGAGGCAATGCCGTCGGCGATGATGCGGATGCTCGCGAGCTGGCGCTGGGCGGGGGTGAGTTGCCTCGCGGTGGCGGGGTAATCGAGCAGGACGAAGAAGGCGATGAGCGCGACGCCGACGGTCGCGACGCCCTCTACGATGAAGAGCCAGCGCCAGCCGGCGATGCCGTGCGCATCATGGAGGTTCGCGGTGATAGCGCCGGCGAGGAGACCACCGAACGCGCCCGAGAGGACGGCGGCCGTGTAGAAGATGGCGAAGCGCTTGCCGAGCTCGGCGCGAGTGTACCAGCACGAGAGCAGGAAGAGCACGCCCGGGAAGAAGCCGGCCTCGATGCAGCCTAGGACGAAGCGGAAGCCGAGGAGGGCGCCGTAGGTCTTTGAGATGGACATGAGGGCGCTGAGGGCGCCCCATACGAGCATGATACCGGGAAGGAAGATCGATGGCCTGCTGCGGCTGAGGATCATGTTGGAGGGGACCTCGCAGATGAGGTACCCAAAGAAGAAAATCGAGAGGACCCAGGCGTATCCATCGTCGGTGAGTGAGAGGTCCTTTTGCATTCCTGCGATCTTTGCGTTTCCCTGCGGTTGAGAGTATTGTCAGTGGGACCGTGCTTTGAAATAGCGTTGAAAATTTCATGCGATGCTTCGTTGCCCCTTATCGCCATGAGGGGAAGTGGGAGGCAGAGATGAGTGAGATAGACTTACGATGTTTGTGCGGTCGACGTAGTTGAGGATGTACATGATCCAAAGCATGGGCATCTAGAGTCCGGGTCAGAATCATCTTACTGAGGATCACTGAGGCGATTGACATTACCAGGTAAAGGTCAATCTTCCTGACGAGCTGCTTCTCCTCCCGTGTGCCGGGCACATAGTTCCTCAATGCTTCGGCGAGCTCAGCGTCCGCCTCGCTGACGACGGGTGCATTCTTGTCTTCCTTCATCTCGAGAGATTGCTTGCGACCGTTCTCGAAACTCATGATTGCGATACCCTCGCTCGTGCGTTGTCGTGGTCGTCGTTGATGTCGTCGAGCGTCGTCCGTTTTCTTTGTCTACCCTGACTCGGAGCGGCTGAAATTGGCGAATGCTCTTTCACACACCACAGTGTTGGTCTGTGTGTCGACCTCTGGAGCGGAGCTGAACGCGACGCGATCTCACTCGACTGGAAGAGCGACTAGGGGTTGTTAGGAGGAAGAAAGAAAGATCCGGGGATCTGGAGATGATGAGGCTGTGAAGGGATGAAACCTTCTTTCCATCCAAACACGGTAGCATTCACAGCGACGTCTGATATATAATGTTCACAAAACGCGACTCGTGTCTAGTGCGTCGTGTCTTTGCCCGGGGTCCTCCGTCCTTGCTCGCTTTCCTCCCCCACGGGGTAGACACAAACTGGGGAACGAACTATAGGGGAACTAAAGCGGGGGCCGCTTGAAAGGGTGGGCAAGTCTGGAGTTCTGGACCTGTCACATACGAATCGTTCATCGTTTTGCTCGAAATCAGACAATGAACTATTGCTCTTGGACCAGACGAGGCGTGATTGGGCTGCATGCGTCGAGGACCGGATCTGGATCCATACGAGTGGGAGGGGGCAACCAACAAGCGAGCACCAGCGCGGTCTTGTGTCCGGGTCTAAGTGCCGGCCAGCGAGGGCGGTGTGCCCTCCGATTGGTACCGGGCTTCGCCCCGTCTGAGCTTCCCCGCCTTCAACCATGTGAAGCTCGAGACGAACATCACGAACGCTGCATGTGTGCATATCAAACGTGAAAAAGCAAGGCTCAAGGTGGGCAATTCATCAAATGTGATCTCATTAAGTCGACGATGCTGTCGTCAGCCGGGCATCTGCGAGTTCAACAAGTCTAGCATGTTGAGCGGATATTGCTCCGGACCCATGCCAAAATTGTTCATCATCTCTCCGCTGAACATCCATTGGTTCCAGTCTTGGCCCATCTCCCCTTCATTCCAGACTTGAGGAATCTGTTGGCCTGGCTGTCCAGGCTGACCGGGCTGGCCTCCGACGACGTACTGCCTCTCCTGGGGACCACGTTCCTTGAATTTGTCCAGCATGTTGCTCAGACCGCGTCCGATGTAGTGAGCCACATGACGGGCGCAGCGGTTAGTTTCTTCCAATAATTGAACGACCCGCTCGATGAGAGAGACCACATCATCGTAACGTATGTCCAGCCTCGCAGGCTTCCATTGCGCGTGGACTTTCATCAAGAACATCGCGGCGTACGCGATGGTCGTCAGCAGGTACAAAGGCACCCCAATTACTGCCCTCCGCATGTCGGTGTCTGTCAAGATCAGCTCCAATGCGGCAGACGCGCTCCCGATGGCGAGGTTGATGAAGTCGCGGCGTTCATCGGACATGGCGTATTGGTCAGTCGGGTTTGATGGATTCAGACCTCTGAGGCAGATGGAAAACAGTAGGAGACGGGCAAAGTGATAGTGGAGGATGACGCCCTTAGCAGGGTACTTTGAAATGTGTTTGTCCGGCACTAATGGAAAATGTTAGTTGGCAATTTGTTGGTGCCGGGGCCGGGAATTCTCTTACCTAACCGAGTTTCCCATTGAAGCTTCCATCGACCTAGATCGGCATCGTATCGCTTGAGTGCCTCAAACTCATCTCTGGCAACTTGCCTTGATGTATCTGGCCCAAATGTATGAAAAACCCGACTCAAAATGATAAAGACACCAACCTGACTATGCAGACGATGGTCCGCTTGAGTGATGCCTGGCAACATTAGGAATGCCTCGTGGTGTGTGATGGTAGCGTCCTCGTTGATGACAGGAGGCCTGCCATAAGCAATGCTAAAGTGATGATCGCAGACGTAGAGGAGGTACCAAAGCCGAGCCTTCTCGACATGTTGCGGTCCCTTGTTGAGTGCCTTTGCGCAAAATTGATGAAGGTTAAGCTCTGTCGCAATCCGCACTGCAAGGCCAGATACCTTCCAGCTGATGTCTGAAAGCCAAAATGCGCCGATGCAAAGTCCCCTCACGTCATCAAGACTGTGGTAGCGATCGAACATGGTCTGGCTAGCCAGCTCCAGAAAGGTTGGGTAGCAGATATCGAAAGCTCGGCCTTCATCTTGTTCGTGCAAGGCAGTGACAGCAAGGATGGCGGCCGTGAGCAGTGGTGAGGACATGCGCGTGGCCGTGAGGTTGTCGTGGACTAGTGCAATCCCTCCCCACAAGTACGCATTGAGGGTCCCACGGAACGTGGAGAAAAGCTGCTCGGCCTCCTGGACGCTAAACTTGCCCTGGGCAATGAAGTCTGGCTCTTGGGCCCGACTGGATGGGAGGTGGACCCGCGCCCCAGGGTCGCTCCGGATGTTCCGCAGTTTAGTCACTTCGAAGAGGCTGGCCATTGGCGCACTTACAATGGCTTGGTCTTCGCCGTTGTCTTGCGCCGTGGGCTCTGGTGAGTTCTCCCGCGTCATGGCCGTGACATCCGGGGGCCGAATGGGAGACGGCCCCGTACCGGGACTGCTCTGTGAGCCGGCCATATTCTGAGGACTCTGGGACATGCCGGCGCCGTCGTGGTGGAATGGTGGCACAGGCACGAGCTGCGGCATACTCAGAGCCCGCCTCACTTCCATCATGGAAGCCTGGAGAGTCTGAAGTTGCATCTCCATCTTGGTTTTCCACTCATTCTCGCTGTCGAGCAAGGTTTGGAGACTCTTGTTGACGACACACTGCAGACCAAGGCGAGAGCATCGGGCACATTGGTTCTGGCCCGGCTCAATGCCACACTTGATCTTACGATTCTGGCATTCCTGGCCTGTCTCTCCTCATGTTTATCAGCGACTAGTCTTCTCTTGAGGTCATACTTCTGCAAGGGAGTGGGAGTTCAGTCCGAAAGTTTGGGAAAAACTCACATGCTCGGATCTTTCTCGAAATCTTGGGCAAATGAGCTTGCTGACCGGAGGCCACTCCCGAGACCGCCGCCGATGACGGGGTCTTGTCCGGACCGTCGATTCTCGCACGTTTCATGGTCCGAAGGGCTGGATAGAAGTCCGTGTGAATTTCGTGGGTCTTGGAAGGGAAGGTGGACGGAGTGGACAAGAGAGAAGGGCGGGACGATGGCCGAGGGGAGAAAAGAGGGAAAAGATTCGCCGGACGACGTGCATCTCCTTTGTTTATAAGCGGGCCGGTCTTCTTTCCGTGCGGGGTTGCGACGCCTCCACCTGCTCAAACTCAGTCCCGTCCACTTGATCAACTTCAGCGCCAGGCACTTGTTGTTGTGCTGGGAGACTGGGAGTGCCGGCTCGGGCTAGTCCTGTTTCTGTCTCGTCCCATTTGCGGATGGGAGGAATGGAGAGATGGTGAGGGGAACAAGCCTCCAGGCGAGTCCAGGGTGTGGAGGACACCCCCATTAAACTTGGACAGACACGGGCCCGCAATCCACCTCGGGTGTCCTCGTCCATCCAGAGTCCCAGACCGTCGCAAGAGTCCTCCGGCCGTCGCGGCTGGATTTCCGAGTCTTGGCCGATCTGGGGAATGCAAGGTAGGGTATAAGATGACTGGGTCTACCGTTATTCCCAGTTTGAGTCAAGCTATCGTTGATTTTCGGAAGAAAAGTCGCCGACGAGTCACGCCAGGTCAAAGTAATCCTCAATCGATAATCCACGATGGCTGCCACAGGCGCTGAGGCGACCCGCGTCGGCTTCATTGGCCTAGGCGCCATGGGCTTTGGTATGGCATGCAACCTGTTGAAGAAACCGTCATATCGTGTTCAAGGCCACGATGTTTATCCCCCAAGCCCAGAGAAATTTGTCGCTCAGGGTGGTTTGTCAGGAGAGTCTCCAAAAGAAGTGGCGAAAAACAGCGATATCCTAGTCTGCATGGCAGTCAACGCACAGCAAATCGATGACATACTTTTTAATGATCAGACGGGTGCTCTGCAAAGTGAGTTGTCCGCAGGCATCGCAGCCATGAGCGTCCAACTGACCTAATTCCCGTAGCATTACCAGCAAATGCTACCGTTCTCCTCTGCTCCACAGTCCCGCCAACGTATCATGAGGCACTGACGCCCCGGATTGCGGCGGCGGGCCGGCAAGATGTTCTGGTCGTGGACAGCCCCGTATCGGGTGGCACGAAGCGTGCAGCCGACGGCACACTCAGTATCTTCGCTTCCGGGGCCCCTGAAGCGCTGCAACGTGCAGACGGCGTTCTGCGCGACATGTCGGAGAAGCTGTACATTATTCCAGGGGGGCCGGGAGCGGGTAGTAAGATCAAAATGGTCAACCAGCTCCTGGTCGGAACGCACATCGCTGCTGCGTCAGAAGCTATGGGATTGGCCGCCAAAGCTGGCCTGAACACCCGCGAGGTATACAATATCATCACAAATGCCGCCGGTAATTCTTGGGCATACGAAAATCGCGTGCCGCACATGTTGGACGGCGACTGGACACCGTTGTCTGCCTTGAACATCTTTGTCAAGGACATGGTGAGTTGTTCGCTCGGTTTCGACGTGATGTCGTGGCTAATGATCTTCAAAAGGGCATCGTCGTCTCAACCGCGAGAACTCTACAATTCCCGGTGCCTCTTGCATCAGTAGCCGAGCAGCTGTATATCTCAGGAGCTGCACATGGATATGGTGCAGAGGATGATTCCGGACTCGTCCGGGTGTTTCTCCCTGGATCCCCGAATGCTGTGAAAGAGCAGGCAGGCCAGCTGAACACACAAGAAAAGTTGACTCCGAGTAGTACGCCACTGGAAATCTCAAAGATTGGTATGGTGGGATTGGGCGCGATGGGCCAGGGCATGGCTGGGTCTCTTCTCCGAGCCGGTTTCACCGTCCACGGCTACGACGTATACGAGCCGGCTATCGACAAGTTTGTGGCCAACGGAGGCAACGCTTCCAAGGCTAGCAGCCCTGCGGAGGCAGCCAAAGGCGCAGACATTCTAGTTCTGATGGTTCAGAACGCTGCCCAAGCCGACGATGTTCTCTTCGGCTCCGGGAAGGCGGCGGAAACGTTGCCCGATGGCGCCATCGTGATTCTCAGCTCGACGGTCCCACCCTCATTTGGCAGAGAACTTGAGGCCAAGCTCACAAACACTGGCAAGGGCTTGAGCCTTGTGGATGCACCTGTCAGCGGTGGTGTGGTCCGCGCCGCGAATGGTACCCTTACAGTAAGCTTTTCATCTCGTTCGCCCGAGCTAAGACTCATCACTAACGTCTGTTAGATCATCTGCTCTGGAGATGAGGCTGTTCTTTCCAAGGTCAACAGCCCGTTACTAGCGATGACAGGAACTTCAAGCAACCTTTGCCACGTGCAGGGAGGTGTCGGTGCTGCATCTTCAGTGAAACTTATCAACCAACTACTGGCCGGTGTTCATATCGCAGCCGCTGCTGAAGCTATGACATTCGCCGCTCGCCTAGGCCTCGACACGAGACGCGCTTTCGAGATCCTCGGCAGTGCGGCCGCATGGAGTTGGATGTTCGAGAACAGGGTGCCTCAAATGCTTGATGCCGACTGGACACCACACTCCGCCTTGGCCATTTTCGTCAAGGACCTCGGCATCGTCCTCGACGAGGCAAAGCGACTCACCTACTTTGCTCCGATTTCGTCAGCAGCTCACAACATGTACCTCGCTGGTGCGTCTCACGGGTGGACGAAGGAGTCCGATGCTGGTGTCGTTAGACTTTGGGAGTTGACGGGCCTTTCTGTCTCCGGCAATGCTGGCCCCAAGGCTGAGGAGAGCAGCGCCCCAAAAACTGAGAATGCCGAGGTTAAAGTAGGCCAGGAGCAAGGCCTGCCGGCACAAGAAACAATCGACTCGCTCCCGGCCGAATACTCAGGAGATGTGATCAGCTCCACTCGCAAGGTGGTCGACAATGGCGAAGTCCCGGTTCTTGTGGTTTTGGATGACGATCCAACAGGAACGCAAACCTGTCACAATATCGATGTCCTTACCGTGTGGGACTCTGCCACACTGGATGACGAGTTTAGCCTCAACCCGACTGGATTCTTCATCTTGACCAACTCTCGCGCACTGCCCTCTGCCGAAGCCAAGCAACTCATCGTCGAGATTTGCAAGAATGTCAAGACGGCGGCTGAGAAGGCGGGCAAAGCCTTCGAAATCGTCCTTCGAGGTGACTCGACGCTCCGTGGACATCTTCCGGAGGAGCCCGAGGCTGCCGAAGAGGCCCTTGGCAAGTTCGATGCCTGGGTTGTGACGCCTTTCTTCTATCAAGGCGGAAGATACACGATCAACGACGTGCACTATGTCAAGGAAGGCGATGTTCTGGTTCCTGCGAGCCAAACACCTTTTGCCCAAGACGCCACCTTTGGATACAAGAACTCGAACTTGCGGAAGTATGTCCTCGAGAAGTGTGGCCACCGATTCGAAGAATCGTCATTCTTGTCGGTCACTCTCGTTGATATCCGCGTAGGAGGACCTGCCTGTGTAACCAAAAAGCTCCTTTCGGTAACACCTGGCTCCAACACAGTCGTCATCGTCAACGCTGCCGCAGAGTCGGATATGCATGTCTTCGTGGCAGGCCTACTTGAAGCAGAGAAGGAGGGCAGGCGGTATCTTTACCGCACTGGTGCCGCCTTCGTTTCCTCCCGCATGGGCATCACTGGGATCCCGCCTTTGACTATGGCAGACCTCGGGGTGTCGGTCAAGGTCGGTACCAAGCAGCCAGGTGGGCTGATCGTCGCCGGCTCTTACGTTCCCAAGACGACGGCTCAGCTGAAGGTGCTCAGGGAGAGAAGGGGCGACAAGTTGGTGGTGATCGAGCTCGATGTCGCAGGGCTCATCGAGTCTTCCGACGCGGCCGAGAAGGTCGTGACTGCAGCAGCAGCCGAGACAGCAACCAAGCTTGCAGCTGGCGAGGATGTTCTCGTCATGACATCCCGGAAACTGATCAAGGGAGGCGATGCGCTTAGCTCTCTCCAAATCGGTTCCAAGGTAGCTCGGGCCTTGGTTCAGCTCGTTGAGCAGATTGATGTACGGCCGCGCTATCTGATTGCGAAGGGTGGCATCACATCATCCGACGCGGCCACAAAGGGGTTGAGGATGAGACGGGCCCGCATCATGGGTCAAGCTGCTCCCGGTGTCCCGCTGTGGAAGTGCGATGAGGAAACTAGCCGGCATCGTGGAGTGCCGTACGTTGTTTTCCCTGGCAATGTTGGCAGTGACAGCACGCTCGCCGAAGTTGTCGAGTCGTGGTCGATTGAGAATGTTGCATAGAAAATTTGCATGGAAGCGGGACAAGCGTAGCATGTAACGGCTGTATACCAAGTAACAAGGCGTTGGGAGGTTCTGGATAGTGGACAGACAGATTTGATGTTGATGAACCTGATCGTCGAGATCGAAGACTTACTTCCATGGTGGTTGTGGTGTGTGTGTGTGTTGACTGGAGATGACCTGTTCGGCGAGTGTCGTCGGGAATTGTCGGGGATAATACTCCGACTGGCTGATGTAATCAGATAGCTCGCGAGAAGACCCACCTTCATAATCTGACCAGTCATTGGGCGCTCATTCCCAGGCTCCCATGTCGTACATCTCCCTCCCCAATTGTTCATCTCTCGACCCTCGAACTGTCCCCAAGTCTTCCTCTCTTGAGTGGACGGCGTTGATATTTCTGCTAGACTTTGAACTACAATGTATGACAACCAGTCCCTATATCAAAAGGATACAAGTTATTGACCCTTGTTCTTTACCAGCGTTCAGAAAAACCTCCCCACGTCATGACTCATCCGCCCCGGTTTTCTCACCTCGATCGATTACTACGTAAGGCCAACAGCACCTCACATCGCACTCACTACAGGCTGAACCGCAAATACTATCCGTACATATCTGTTCCATTAAGCATCTCTAGAACAACCTTTTGATCCAATCGATGGACGGTAATGGCATCCAAGGGGTTTCGCCTCCAACCGTGGAGGCCACAGAGTCCTTAGAGCTCATCAAGACCGCCGAGGATCTCATTTCCCGCTGCAACAAAATATGCGACGAGCTCGAGCACGTGCGCTCAGCTGTTGAAACCCAAGCCGCCAAAGTCAACAACCACTGGCACGCCTACATCCCCGGCTTCAGCACATTCTGGCAGGCCAACGTCAGCCAACGCACACGGGCAGAAGCCTTGCTTCAACGATGCGCAGAAACACACGAACCAGGCTCAGAAGCAGAGGGTTCGCTATCTCGAGACTTCAGACTAATAGAGGGTGAACTCGCATCATACGAGAATCACTGGTCGGCGATCAAGAAGTGCCGCTCAATCACCTGGTTCCGCTTTGCTGTTCCCTACTCCAAGGCGGGCGGCCAGCAAACTTCGGTGTTCGTCAGTGCCATTGTCGACAACGGGCATGAGTGGATGAGGGTACTTAGCATCACCGAGCGGGCTCTGTTAGTACAGATGGCCGAAGCAGACTTTCCCTGGGACGAGCCCGATAATGAGGACGATGACGCCGAGCTCGAAGAGGTTATCAATGACGAAAAAACCCAGATCGAGGTCCTGAAGAGCGCAAAACAGCTGTTGGCTGCCGCTCGCGAGATACATGGGGGTTACCAGCATCGTGTACGAATCGTGCTTCCCAATATCAGCCGTGGCAATGTACCTGCCATAGACAGGTTTTTGAAAGGTATTGAATGCCTCAGTGACGACCGCATCTCACTTGCATTGGAATGCGCCGAAAAGATCCAGGCTTCGCCCCCGCCTCTCGAAGTCGCGATACCAAATCTTCTTAGTCATGGCAATGCTGCGAAAGCACCATCCCTGACTCCGTGTCTAAACATCGACACGTCCATCTTTGTGGCCCTAACGACAGATATCTCCCACAGCCACAGCTCCCAAAGGAAGTGGCGTCCCAAGATCTTGGAAGACGTTGGGGATGAAGCGGAGCACGGCCCTAGGCTGCCCAAGTCCCTCTATCCCCTCCTTTGCGGCCACACGCTCGTGTGCACTCGAGAGGCGGCCGAGACATGTCTGCGCATGGTGTACGACGCATCTACAGAATCAGAAGTCTCTCGAATAGAGATATTGCTTGGCCAGGAGACGATCAGGGGAAAGCAAGACGACAAGATGACTTTCCTGGATCGTGTTCTACGGCAGGATGGGTGGTGCATGGAGGGAAAGGACCATGAGGCAACGGAAAAGCGACGCCGAAACCTCGTTGCAGAACTCCAGAAGCTGTCTTGCCATCCAGTACCCGAAGACCTACAACTACCCATTCGTATTGTGGAAGACTTTCGCAGAGAGCATGTCGCAGAAGAGGTCCGCAAGGGTACACTGCCAAAGGTCGTGTTGGCGGTGGAGCCAACGTTGAACAAGACAAACTGCTCGTCTTTCTTGTACGGTTGGAAGACGAACCACACAACGATCACATGTAATCGGCATGCTGTGAGACGGTTGGGGAACCTCGTCAAGAAGATGCGGTGGTCTCGCGACGCAGAGGCGGCTCCAATCATCGCTATGGACTGGGCTCGAGGTCTAGCAAAGATGCCATTCCCTGGCGAGGTCTTGGTAGATGGTCCGCTGGAGGCGGTCACAGAGTAGTGCCTCCTTCTCTCCTCTTAACTCCCTTCACATCTCATCGTGGAAATGCGCTCGTGCATCGTTTGGTGATGATGGACCGTGGAGACTGGATCATGGAGACATGGACTCTCCGGATGTTTGAGATATGTAGAAAAGCAAACAAGCCTATACTGGCCGCCGAAGATGCTGGGCTTTAGTATATGGAGATGTGCAAGTGTTGTGTGTAAGTTAATCGCAGGGTGCCGCAGCAACCTTCAGAGACTAGGACCTCTCGAAGGATTCGGCAACATTTGTAAGCTCTTGCGCAATCACAATTTGTCAGCACTAAGAGGGAACACAACACATAAGAAGATAGCCATCATTCGCAAATACAACAAAGCTTGTCTCATGTTGTATCTCCACATACTATCATCGTAGCCGTGTGTCATATTGTCGATCAAAATGGTCACCGTTCCAACCACTCAGGCCGAGGCTCTGGCTTGGCTTCGAAACGTGAGTATATATGCCATATTCCAGGACACCACGCTCACTTGATAGACAGTCCCACAATGTCCATGACTCTCTCCAAACAACAGACTTCGACAAGATCTACTCCAAAAATGCCCAGGTCAAATTCACCAACTTTCCCGTTGCCGAGGGTGTGGATTCCATCAAGCAGATCATGGACGCGGCGTTTGGGCAGCTGTCGTATATGAAGCATGTTACTCGTCAGGCGGGTAGGTGTTCCGAGCCATATACCTTCTCTAGTATTAGTGCTGAAAGCTTTCAGATAAGGTGGACAACAGGATCTGGCTCGCTGTGGATATCACCTACCGAGTCAAGGGCGACCCTGATAACGAGGACATTAACATCCCGGCTGCAGGGCTGGTCACGATCGTGACGGAGGGGGAAGAAGCTGGCAAGATCGCACGTTTCGATGTCTATCTCGATAACACACCTGTCAGGGAAAAGATTGCAGCTGTTGCGAAATTGGAATCGTAGGCAGACTCTGTCGGAACAAAGAATATCACAGCAGCACAACGAGTACGCCGAGATAGTTGCACTACAATCTAACAGAAGCTGGTTTTGGGTCTGCAGCTGATTTACCATCGGCTCTATGCTTCTAGTTTTTCGAATGATACATGTATTGAGAACATTCATTCCAATGTTTACAACTATGAGAGACGGCCTCAATAGACCTGGTTGTGACAGTAGATGAAGTAATTACTATCTCTGGTATTTGATTCAAGTACATGTACTCATAACTTCATGCGACTATCTCTCCAACACAGCTAACGGCGAAGTCGATATTCCATCTAGCTGAAGATGGCCTTACTTCTGAAGTACCGTATAAGACTTCATTGCGCCATTCGACCAGTCCGAAAGAACACCTACAGCCCAGTCTACATCGTGGCAAGGTGGCTCCCAGGTCGCGGCGCCTTGCGGGCAGTCGGACTCACTGGTTTCCATAGGTCAGATATGTCCCCGAACAGAAACCAGAAACAGCATTCAGCTGGACTTGCGTAGAAGGTAGACCTACTTATAGAATCTCACACAGGTGTTTGCCTTCATGAGTACCCAGTTCGCCTTCTGAGACCAGCTATTGGCGCCGCTAGCCATGTTCACTAGGTGGGTTCGTCAGATAGCTTGACGCACAAAAATACTCGAACCCCAGACTTTGGACGAATGTACAATCAGCAACTGAGAGCGCATGATACTGACTTACCACAGCTGCCAGCTACAGGGCAGAATCCCTCAGTTTCATACTGATACGGATAGAAGTTGCTGACCATAAACGTCAGGCTAATCAGGTTCGCGCTACAGGCTGCCGAGACAAGAGGAGCGATCAAGGCCAATGAGTAGATCTTCATGATACCGGATGTTCACTGCACTCTTGGTTCGAGAAAAGAAGTCGACAAATATCGTGCTCGCAGACTTTAGTAATAAGAGAATGAATATTGTGCCGATAGAGTCTCATGGTATCTGATTCCACTTCGAGCCTAAGGTTCTCTTATATCGTATTTTCTCGCGACTGATAGAGCCTAAATGTTGCAAAGCTAATTTCTTACTATCGCAAAAACGACGCCGTTTATTACGGGCAGCAATTAACGCCATATATACGCTACGACACTTACGTTGAAGGATTGACAAATGTGCCATAGGAGCTTTTGCGGAATTGCGATTAGGCCAATAGCAAGAGACCGAGCCTGGAAAGCACCTTCCTAATCGTCTCGAAACGCGGCGCGGCCCGCCTATGTCATCCAATTGATTTTGAGCCAAGCAAAAAGGTGCAGGAGGAATGTCAAAATCACCCAACATTCAACTCTTGGGTGACTTCGCTTACATCCAAGTCGATCCTTCCGCAACTACATCTCCCCATTTCCTCTGCTCAACTCAGCACAAATCCTCTCAGCATTACCTCTTCGCGACTGAATGCCAAATCCCATCTTTCGTGATCCGAAGAGGCTAGACGAAAAGCGCGTAATACGCGAAAAGTCTTGGAAAGAGAAAGAAGTAGTATAACTCGAGATGCATTGCCTGAAGATCCGTGTACTCAAGTGAGTAAGTACATGTGAGCGCTAGCGGAAAGACATTTTGAGAAGTGTGGAACGAAATATCTAGCAGAGCCTATTGTTTATCAGTAACAGTTCAGAAGAAATGAAACTCGCATGCGTTATGCATGTTTGATACCATGGGCCCTTTGGGAGGGAGATGCCTTCTACGCTTTCGGCACTAATCCAAAATTAAGCGTACGAAAAGCTGCATTAACCTACAATGTATCTCGCGCTACTCTTCAACGACGACAAGCTGGCCAACCTGCTAGATGCGATACACGACCTCATAACCAAAATTTAACCTTGTACGAAGAGGAGACCATTGTGCGATACATTATTGACCTGGATTCACGAGCGTTTTCGCCTCGCCTAAGCGCTGTTCGAGAAATGGCCGATCGACTATTTTGCGACCGTGGCGCGCGACGCATCGGAATAAACTGGGCTTCAAACTTTATACGACGACGACCTGAGCTCCAGACGCATTTTAATCGAAGAATCGACTATCAGAGAGTCCTCTGCGAAGATCTAGACGTATATTACGCTTGGTTTTCCCTCGTACAAAATATAATTGCGAAGTACGGGATACACGATGCCGATATCTATAACTTTGATGAGACTGGGTTTATAATAAGTAAGATGTCCTCCGAAATGGTTGTTATAGCCTCTAAACGACGTGGCAAGCTAAGAGGAGCATAACAAGGGAATCAGGAATGGGTTATAGTAATCTAGGGCATTGGGTCGTGCGGCTATTCTATCCCGCCGTATATTATCTTTATAAGTAAGGTCTATCTTGATTCCTGGACGTGCGATAGCCCCCTCCTACCCGACTAGGTAATTGCACTTACAGAAAACGGTTGGACGATAAATGAGAAAGGCCTAGAATGGGTAAAGCACTTTGATTTCCATACAAAGAGGCGTACGAAGGGTGCTTACCGCCTCCTTGTCCTTGATGGCCACGAAAGCCACCATTCTGTCGATTTTGAGCTATACTGCAAGGAGCAGAAGATTTTTACGCTCTGTATGCCTCCTCATTCATCGCACAAGCTCCAGCCTCTTGATGTTGGGTGCTTTAGTCCCTTAAAACGGGCGTACGGCCAAGAAATTGAGGTCCTTATGCGGGTACATATTACGCATATTGCAAAGGAAGACTTCCTCCCAGCCTTTTACAAGGCGTACGACAAGGCAATAACGACGTCAAACATTCAAGCAGGCTTTAGAGCAACTGGCCTTGTCCCGTACAATCCAGAATATGTAATTTCACAGCTAGATGTGAAGCTTCATACCCCAACACCTCCAGGTTCTTCTGCTGGCTTACCACCAGCTTGGGTCCCAAAGACACCAAACAACCCAATTGAATTCACCTCACAGTCTGATTTTATTACAAATCGCATCGTACGACACCAGAATAGCTCCCCGACGTCAATTATCAGGTACATACAGCAGCTAAAGAAGGGAATTATGGTAGTCGCACACAACCAGGTTATCCCATCGAGTGCTGCAAGGCGACAGTACATTGGCTCCACATAACGGGCCCCCTTTTACCCCGCACCGCATCTGGTACATCCACTGCTTGAGTTGCCCCTATGATTTCCACTCCGGTACATCTACCAAATCCATCATTACCAATACTCAATTAATGGATTCTGACGATTCTGACGGATCTGGCCGTTCCACGGGCTCGGCGAAGTCGTGTATCTTTGCCCTGCTGCCCGAGGACCTCGCCGCCGCCTGCACTGCCGACTGTACGCCGGAGCAATGTGATAATGCCACTGTTCGGCCCCGCGAGCCTCCGGAGGTTGAGCCCGGTATCCCTGGGAAGTACACGAGGATGGGCTGCCTCGAGTGCGATGTAGCTCTCTGTAACTCAGAAGATTGCTGGTACCGATTTCATACGCAGAATCTCTAGTAATTGGAAGTATCTATTATCAATTACGTTGGTTGGTTGGAAAAAGGGGCCCGAAGTGGCCCGATTGGCTGCTCCCCCGCATCTCAATGTACTGTCGCCTTGCAGCACTCGATGGGATAATACAGGCATAAATGACTGAGTATCAAGAGGTAAATGAGCGTATAAGCTGCCGTCGCTATACGAAAAAAAAACAGCTTCAGAATGGTAGAACACTTACAATTAATCAGGCAAAGGATATAAAGTCTCAAATTGATGTGACGAGGCAGTTACAGGTAGAAATAGGTCAGAGTAGTGGTCGTGCGAGAAGGATAGAAACGCGCGCGCGACGATGTGGCATCTGTGGAGAGACTGGCCATAATGCTCGCACGTGTCAGAAAGTTGAATCTACCTCTTGTTACGACCCAACATGCATGACCAAGAACAAGGCCTGCCCCGCAGGCTCGCGGCGGCTACAGCGCACCATGTATGCAGAGGACAAGGAACACTAGGCACCATCTCACGGAACGGAAGAACTATGGTACAAGTCACGTGATGATAAGAGATAAGAGATAAGGATAAGGATATGTTGGATATGAGTTATCCAAGCGATCCTTGGATAACCAGGATATGAGCTATCCAACATATCCAAACAAGGACACTGTCCAGCACAAAGGAAATGTTCAGGACCAGGACTTGTATATAGGATGGACTCGAGCCGGACTCTAGGACAGACTTTCCATAGCTCTTCAGCAATTAACTTCGTATCAGATCTTATGATCGCTTTCAGCTATCTTCCCTGAGAACCTCTTTGATAAGACTACGATTGATCACCGCAGCCTTCCCTTACCTTACGACTTACAGACATAGCTTCCCTGAAGCTATCCCCGACTACGAATACTGTTACCAGTTTCGCAGCCTCAACTTCTGCAAACATACCTCATTCCGACTAGCTGGCCGTAACATACTACTAGGTTACCCAGTAGTTTAATAATCTAGATTCCTTATGGATCCCTATATATAATAGGATTTCTAAGAAGAGGTAGATTTCTTCTACTAAAGTCTTCCGCCATGAATTCACTCTTACTGTTCTAGTTGGAGGGCCCTGATTTAACGGTGCTGTATTTGTCTATTAAGCCCACTACTCAACAAGGCCCTACGGAACGTATTGGACAAATAAGTCAAGCGGGCTTACTAGCAGCTCCCGTACCTCTTGGGCTCGGGCTAGCACGTCAAAAGGCTAGAAGGAGCCCGGAGGTCCATGCTCGGTAGCCGGAGGTTCGTGGGGTCGGGCTATTGCCGCGTCACAGCGCTCTAGCATATAGCTTGTATAAGTAGTAGTAAGGTCTTCTGACGGTTAGTCAGGGTGGCCAGCGGAATATGCATATGTGAGTGAGCAGAAAAGAGCGTCTATTCGTACTAAAGAGTGGATGGAATCACCACAGGCTTGTGGGCCTAATGCTATCCTAATAAGTCTTGCAGAGCTAGGACCAGGTGGAAATGACAGTCTGGCCTGTTTCGTGATGGTCAGACCATTCCGAATGGGTTATGTCCATGACTCGCGTAGAAGCATGCATGGATTCTGTCATCTTCTAGAAGGACCTCAACTACTATACAGCTACGTACAGAAGTAATAAAGGTATCAGAATCACTAGAAGACATCGCAGCATCAATCAAAATAGTAGTAATAGTAGCGATAACAGGTAAAAGAGCATAGAGGTAAACGACGTATCGTCAAGTACCCCTTTGAATGCGGGGTGATAATGAGTAAATAGTGGGTATTTTGAGCCTTGGCAAAAATGGAGCTATCTGGCACTCGATGGGATAAGGGTAATCAGGCGGTCAACCAACCTCCTTCTCACTGGCCGATTGAGGTTGGCTGATAACGTGGACTACGCAGTAGAAACGAATTTGATGGTACGAGCAGAACCTCTGCAGCGAGTCGCTGGTCAAGTCATGGGGGATGGTCTGGGCTCCCGTGGCTCCTTGGACTTCCAGCAGACCAGGAGATGGAAGACAGGTTATTGTCGCAACCTGTCTTGAGTCGGCATCCCCGCACTGAAGGCTCTAGACGCGACATAAAGCTGGCTGTTACTGCTATCTAAAGGTGATGATTAACAACGAACATCGGGTCACCTGCAGGTTCGGGGCATCGAAATGATAACTTTTGTCAGAGAAGCTGCTTTTGAAAGTTGAGAGTATTAGGGCGCTGAGTGCCTCGTGTGTTGTGATGCCAGGGTGTGCACGAGTTGCTGCACCGGATGGGTCCGTTTCATCCAAGACATGTTAGTTTAATCGACCTTTCAAATGTAGAAGACGGAAACCAGCTGTAAATCACAAATCAAAGACGATAGAGAGGACGACCAAGAACCTTTTATCGGTGCCCGTGGTCTCGTTCCGGACCCAGGTCCGCCGTCACGGTGTCGGAACGGAGCTCTTCTTTGGGACCAACTGTCGCTGAGTCAGACACCGCCCACCCACCTGTATCCTGCATCGCAGCCGAGAGTCTGGAACGGGGACTGTTGAATCCTTCGCTCAGCTTCTCCAACAGCGGCATGCTATTGGTCGCGAATCCGATCAGATGGCGACACCAAGCAGATAACCAACAGTCAGACTGTCAGACAGTGGGAACCCTGGAAGACTTTTCCTTCCAGAACTGCTGTGCCTCTATTCGTGCGGCCCAGGCCACAGGTGTCAGCAGAATGGACCAGAATGTTGCGGCTGGTGTCAACAGCGTGGGAAAGGGGGGCTGGAGGTCCGACATGGGTTTGATGAGGGTTCAGAAATGTCCATCCCTGTGTACAAATGCTCCACTGGTCCCCGAAAATTCAGATAGATCATGCCGGTTATTTCTTGCGAAAAAAAAAAACTTTTGTAAGGTTTTGGTATCCATTGCTCTACGGATACACGCGCCGATCGACAACCATACGGTGGTAGCGTTCGGACACGGAGGAGCGAGAAGAGTCCACACTGCCGGGACCCCGGGTCATAATTGAGGGGAAAAGGACTGGAAGAACCGGTTCTTGATACGAAAACAAAGATCGAAACGCATCAGCCATCCCGTGTCTACGACGCCCGCGCGCCGCTCCGCCTCCGGGAGACTGCAGAAAGGGATTCCTTCGCGTGGCCAAGCAGCAACAGCAACAGCAAACTCAAGACACAGCCACGAGGATTACTGTATCCCAGGGAGGCCCAGGCCCGTGACCCGTCCGACTACGGGGAACGCCAACCGCGCGGAAGCTTTCCTGGATCTTGCTCATTGTGGTTACCTGGTGGCACATGCATGGGCAATTTGGGTGTGTGTGAGACTGAGTGTGTGTCTTGTCTCTCTGTCGTGGGACCGTACTGTCAAGGGGGGCCTGAAACTCCAGCTGGATCTCGTCCAGCCATAGACATTTGACAGCAAACATGACGTTGCCGCAGCCCCTCGGCAGATTCGATCCGCGCCAGCAGACTAGCGCATCCTCCATTTCATCCTCTCATCAAGCTCCTCAACCCACCTCAGAAGTGGTGTCTCCCGTGTCACCAGAGTCAACAACAACTTCTTCTCCGCAACTGGGATGGCACGCTCGAAGAAACTCCATCCCTCGCAAACCAGTGCCTCTCACATCAGTATTTGCACCGAACAAGTTCGGCCCAACCGTTCATGTCACGGAGACGACGCCCGAGGAAGACACCACGACGCAGAAGACGACCACCCGCGGCCCAATGGACACGCATGGCATCGACCTGAGCTCGCTTAGCGGATCGGCGCATTACCGCGCTGATCCCACGTTCCACGGCCGGGAGTCGCCTGAGGATTCCCCAAGAGACGCGGATGCGCTTCACCACCACGGAAGCGGAGGAGGCGGAGACCAGCGCCATGATGCCCGTGCCGGCCTGCTGCAGAATGTGCAAGAATCTATCTACGATGGGAATCGCTCACCTCCTCCCGGCGCACAGCAGCAGTACGATCATGGTCACGAGCACGAGCCCCCGAAACCGCCGCCTTATGTCCCGGCGAATTACCTAGGCCCGCCAAATGACAACAACAAGCCGTTCCGGATGAAAAGACCTCACTGCAGCTGGCACTCATCATGGAATATGTATCTCTGGCTCTTGCTCGGCATCGCCTGCGCCATCGGCCACCACGTCTACTACCACGCCCTGGACGGCCAACCTGCGGACGATCAGGTGCGCATGTTGCGGTACGGGACGATCCTTGCTTTCGCAGCCAAGGCGAGTCTGGGCGCCGCCGTAATATCGGCGCTCCAGCAGCGGATTTGGACGACTGTGAGATCGAGGTTCATGAGCATTGCCGCTCTGGATTCCATGTTCGCTGCAACGGAGAACGTTATTGCTTTTGTAAATTGGGAGTTCCTCAAGGGTGCCAAGGCGGCTGCTGCTTTGGCCCTGTTCGTGTGGTAAGCATCTTATTCGAATATGAAGGGTGATGAAAAACGCACCGATGATGGATTGTTGCTCACGCGGGTCACAGGCTTTCTCCTCTGGTGGTCATTCTCACAGCCAACACTTTGCTTGTTGAGCCCAAGACCATTATGCAAAACACCACCTGCCCAGCCGTCCGCAGTCTGAATTTCGCGAGGGAGGACACCCACGATTGGCGAAAACCCATCAAGATCGATGGCCGTTATGAGATGCCACTGTCCATCTGGAACTCCACCAAGCCGGCGGACTTGGAGCCGGAAGGGTGGTTCGACTATTACACCGGGCCAAGTCCCAACTTTCAGCAGACCGCGACCCTCGGAGCTTTCTTGCAGGAGGTTGTCGCGCGGAAGAACGCATCGATGGAGGTGTGCAGCAAGGGCTGGAACTGCACCTTTGAGGTAGACTTCACCGCCCCAGGATACAAGTGCAGCGAACAGGCTAGAGGCATCGGATCGACGCCGGCGAACCTCACACAAGAGTCTGGGCAGGCTCCACCGCCGTTCGGAACAGATATTCTCATTCCTGATGGGACGTATGCCTATTACGCCTTCACGAGCGGGGGAGAGTATTCCACCACACAGATGAAAGATGTTGAGATTGGGGGTATTCCGAAGATGGATCCGCCGTATCCTGAGTACATGGGAGCTCTTCGCACGGAACCGGTCATTTGGATAGGCCACGTCGTTCCGCCCGACGCGGAGCATCCAGCTTCTTCCAAGGAGGAAGATGAGTTGATGCAATATGTACCCAAGATCTTTGCGTGCGAGCACTATGTCACAGAGTATACTGCCGTCTTCAACTATACCGACACTACGCAGTCAGCATACATGAAGAAACACAATTTCACCATACCTATCATCAACACGACCTACATCCCTGGTCTTGACGCAAACGACGGCACAGCAGACAACATAACGGCGACCCCGAAGGAGAATTACGTCGTCCCCCAAGACGTCGAACGATACCGCCGCATCGCCGCGTACCATTCCCTAGGCTTCATGCTCCGCAAGTTCCTCAACGGCACCGTGCAGATTGACAAACAATCCGCAAATCCAATGGCCAACACGGAAGCCATCCAGACCAAGCTCCTCGACCCACGCAACAATTATTTCCCCGTCTTCGACCTACAGGACATGGTTCAGGAGTTCTACGAGGACCTCATCCTCTCCATCTTCTCGACCCCGCAGTTCCTCCCCGTCGTGTGGGCCGCTCATCCGGATGAGGTCTCTGGCGGACTGCGCGAGGGCGGCGTTGACGGGAATCACTCGGCGTACCGGTTTGACTGCCAGAAGTCGCGCATGGCTAATATGTACAGTTATCACGCCCGCGACCTGTGGATAGTGTACTCGATCGCTATATTCCTAGCCAGTTTATGCGTGACAGTCGGCGCGCTAGCGGTTAGGGAGAATGGAGGTGTTTTGAGAAACACGCGCTTCTCCAGCGTCGTGGCGGCAACGAGAGGCCCGGCATTGGAAAAGGTGAACTGGGAGGGCCCGGATAGAGACCGGGGCGATGTTCCAAGCGATGTGAAGAAGCTGAAAGTGGGATACGGCGTCATGGGTTCGAACGTTGGCAGCGGAATGGGTCCAGATGGAGGGAGATACCCCCGGGCAAGGGATAGCATGCTCTGGTCACCAAGCGAGATCAGATGTGGGTTTGGACTGGAGGGTGATGTTAATCAGAGGAGGAAGGAAGGTTCCTTATTTCACCGATAGCGAGCGAGCATTGTCAATAATCAGATCAATATCGAGGATTACACCTGTATCCCTACAATTATTAAAGCATGCTTATGTCAATACATGCGATGGACTATTCTACTTAATGCAAGACCAAGTCATCCATGGGACATCCCTTATCCACAGAAGACGTCTTGGTCTTCTCCGTGATGATCTGGCGAGTTAATTCCATCAACTGGTCGGCCAGCGCGTCGTCCTGAGCAAGCTTGCTGCCAGGCTCAGGAACCGCAGGCGGACATATGTATTGGCCGGATTCCTTCGTCGCGGCAGCGGCGTACACCATGGATACGGCTCCTTCCCATTGAGACTTCTTGAATGGTTCCATCCCAACCGCCATAGCATATCCTCCAAGAGGATATCTACATCGTGTCAATACGTAAATCTCCCAAACTTAGAACGGAGGCTATAACTCACGGCTCGAAAATCTCCTCCTTGCTCATCTTGGTGCTCACGAATCCAGGATGAGTGGCGTTCATCAACACGTTTGGGTGTCCATTCTGCGTGACTTTGCGGTTGAAGTATCTCGCATACAAGATACCAGCAAGCTTGCTCCGACCATACTGACCGTTGGGACCCAAGTCGGTGTTCAACTCATCCAGGCTCTCAAACTTGCAGTCGCTAGGCGTAGCCTGGTGCGCGTTGCTAGCCTGATTCGCAATCCTCACAACATCGCCCTTCTCCGCCGTCTTCTTAATAAGTGGCAGAAGGTGCGACGTGAGAATGACATGGCCCATGTGGTTCACGGCCATGTGCCGATCGACACCGTAGTCGGTGAGCTGGTAGGTCATGATGCCCCTCGCCGCGTTATTGACCAAAATATCAAGACGATCCGTGTCATTCTTGATCTGCTCAGCCACCTCTTTGACGAGCTTCCAATCACCCATGTCGCACTGGAACCATTTAGTTCTCTCAGCCTTGTCGGCGCCAAGATCTTTTGCAATGGCATCCTTGGCGCCGTCGACGACCTCCTTTGAGACGGAGAGGATGTAGATCTTAGAGATGTTGTGCTTGAGAAGGGTGTAGGTGACGCCATAGCCGATACCTTCGCTGCCGCCAGTAATGACGGCTACTTTGCCCGTCTGGTCGGGGCATTCGTCTAAGCTGAACTGGTGAGTTCCCAGCTTTGAGGCTGGGCCGCCGAAGTTTTCGGCGATGGTGTTCTGTCATCCACGTTATTTCTCGTTCAGTCACCAGTTTCGTGATTTCTACCTTGATGGCATCCATGACTATAGGGATCCTGAGAGTTCTCGTCGTATTGTAGCCGCGAGTGTTGACAGAGGGCGAGAGAGTTTGAGGCGCAATAGATGAGGATCTGGGGTGAGATGAGACTAAAAGCCTCCCACGCCTCAACACACCGATTTGAATTCGCTTGCAATTCATTGGTGCCCGTCAATGTCAAATGATTTCATCCGTCTGTCACTGGACAAGACTCTTGGACCTCTTCTGCTTCTGATTGCTTATAAGGGAAAGTAGTTTGAGCCCCATGAATCACCATCATGTCACTGTCTCACCGGTGATCGCAGCCGCATAAGGCTGCTTGATGACGCGCTGATGTCCGTGTTGGCGCATCCGGGCTGGCGCTTGGCCGCTGTAATCCGGGGCTAAAGCTCCCCAGAGGAACTAAGCCCTACGCCTAGGAAGACTGGAAATCAGGTCAATAGCATATTAAGCTATTTATTTACCCATTCCGCTAGGTATGCGATAGGTACTGCAGCACGAGATATCTGGTTCGTGTGTCGTAATGGTTACGTAGTTGAGCTGCCGTGCACGTCAAACTTCTGTCAATAACACTTCTAGAATCCCACGATGACTGGACGTTTGTGTTGGTATTCTTTCCAGCAGAAACTTGCTCTCGCCCGAATAAACATAAAATCATCACTGTAGTTCCTCTTATTGAATCTCATTATCGACTCACACAATGAAGATTGAATTATTGGACATCACCCTTGGAACATTGGATGATCTTCTTTCTTATAGCACTAAGTCACTGTGCATTCCTGACAGGAGCATTGTTGATGTGCCTGAATTGGGCTGGATTACCCGTAGTGTGAATCGTCCCTGAACTATCCTCCTCTTTAGAAGTCTACATTTACGCAAGCGAATCACCAAGGCACAGCATTTGATCTATTTATGAAATGATCATATAGTTAGAATCCGCTGCTGTCCCCCGTTTCTATGTGATTGACTAGAATGGAGATGGCTATTGGCCAGGGCATTCGTAGAAAGTAAATACCATCAATGCAAATTAAAACTATGTGGAGGTCAGGTTTATTTGCGGAAAATACTTGTTGTTCTGCAACGGCTTCATCAGTTCGGCCCGCTGAGGCTAATGCCAACGCCCTAAACCTAGCTCAAGACTTTCAAAAGTATCGGATATTACCGATACATGTACGAGCCTTCCTCCCAGGCTCTCCTCTAACATAGGGCCTATGGGTATTTCCACGTAACACTGGATGACATCATGTCAATGCACAAACATCATGTCGAAATCAAAACATCGTAAGAAATATACCTTTAGGGGATGCTTTAGGGGATACAGGGCCTGGCTCAGTGGGTCCACACATTCTTAGACTCCGGTCCAGCGCTAGGTCGGGCTTACTATGGGACGTACCCTTCGAAGTTGCCAGCTCAACATCACGCCGGAACTTTCATTGATGAAATTTCTCATCTTTTCATTGTCCACCATGACGACAATGTCCAGTCGAATTAGAGTAAGATTTATGTTGCACGAGGAGGTGCCTCATCTATGAGCTCATTTGGATGAATGCACCATCTCTAGTTTAGGTAGCCTTCTTCTTTCGTTTGTTAACTGGCGTGCACTCATCAATAGTTGTTGGCCGGAAATTGCACCGTATGAGTTGACTTCTAGTACATTGACACTGGTGTGCAAGAACTACCCTTAATGCATGTACTGCTAGGTGTATTCAAATCATGGAATCTCATCGTATCAAATCCGAAGAGACCCGGCTTCCGCGTTCTCAAACATGAAGTCTTCAGTTGCAATCACGTTCGACGCGTGATCCTCGATTAATTAGTGGAGAGTCTACCACCTCAAGCGGAGTTGCCCAAGTAGGTAGCTTGTAATTGCCCCTAGATGACTGTAAATTCATCTAACTTCACTAGAAAGCTTTGCAACCGACGTTGCCGCAGGCATACTTTGCCAACTTTCCCACGCATCGATCGTGGGCACAGCATCGGCGGGGTGTAGCAAGGCCACCAACGACTTCAGGACAAACACCAGGCGACTAGCTGTGCTTGGACCGCGTCGTCCTCTTGGCTGAACCCTCATAGATCGGCTATTGTTCCCGGATCATCTGTTACTCGTGTTAACATCAACGTTGGTGCCAGTATCACCGAGTGGTTGTAATTGTAACCGCGATAAAGACCTATGAAGCAACCAGTCTCCAGACAGATATCTCTTGGGGACACAATCCGAACTGTCGCGATATGTCGTGTGCCTTCTGCTTGAATGCCAACGGCTTCGGTGCAACGTCCACAAGGGTGTACCGTGTAACATGTGGTGGTAGTTTTCCTGTGCGCCACAAAGCTTCTTAGCGACGGGACGTCATCTCGATATGTGTAAGGTTCGAGACCGGCTGGCTTGACTGGTAGAACGGCTGGTGCCGTCTTGGGCGACCAGAGAAGAACAGGGTTAGAGTCATGGCTCGGAAAAGCTTCACAAGGTGTGCGACTTCAGCAGTATTTGAGTCTTGGAAGATGAGGTTGACCAGATTCCGTAGTGTCGGCATCCCACACCTCTGAGGTTTGCGAACAGCGTCAGATTCGGGGTAGAAATGCGCCTTAGCAGGCCCTGCAAACGACGAGCGACAAACCTGACTCACACCAACAGGATCAATTATTCTGGTAAAATCATCTAGAGCATAACTCAAATCCCGTCCTCTTCTCGTTCATGTGGCCGATCCCTCGGGAGCTCTGAGACAGTAACAACCCGTCCCGGGAGTCCGGAGATTTGACAACTGTCGTATGGTCACAATGTGGGCATCGAGATGTTTGATAGAGAACGGTTATCCATTGAAAGTAGAGAATAGGTAAGAGGCTTGCTCTGAAATAGGTGATGCGAGCGAGTGTGGGCCTCGGTGATTATGTAACCGAGGTCACGTGACGGGTAGTGAGGCCACAGATGGTTGAAGCCATCACGACAACAACTTTGACAGCGGCAAAGGGAAGTCATAAAGGCTAGCCCTCCCCACCCAAAAAAGGCCACTCCCGAACGAACACCGCGACATTGCCGAGTCTACCTAAGCAAAGCGCGCCAGGACGGCACAGTTGCTCACCCGGATGGACCAAGACAGTCAACCTATGGGCGACTTGCCATCTGTTAGATAATAGTTTGCTTTTCAGACTGCTTCAACAGCCTTCAAGCTCTTCAAAAGCCGTTTTTGGGTCCACATATGCCCGGTGGCAGCCCGCCCGGCCCGGCATCTAAGCCTCTTTGGGAGTTTCTGTTACCAAATATGACGTGGGGCCTCCCCGGTCAACACCAAAACGAACAGTCAGCCGGTCGTTGTAGATGCTGAATCTCCGCGGCACTAAGGGCCGTTAAAGCTGATGCGAGATCCCCAGATCCCGTATCGAGTTTGGGACGGGCTTGAATTGGATGAAATGTGAATGGGCCGTGTTGCTGTCACTTGTCCACTCGTCTCTTGTTTGATCCAGTCTCTTCTCACCACGCATGCTGTGTGACATATTTTGCACGATACCACCTTCGCCAGCGTGTGGCCTGTGTTATCGTTCCTAGCCAACTTTTCATCGACAACTATTGCCGAAGAATATGTGAGTACATTCAAATTCAAGTTCCCAATCAAAGGAAGAAAATGTTGCTGAAAAGAAGCACCAGTTAGCCCTTCGACTCTGCATGCTTCGAAGAGGGCAACTCATGTTCTGTCCCCTTGCATGGTGGCTCCGCATCCCCATACTATCCAGTCCTACCCCGGACTTGGCGCAACGACGATCACATAATACCCGATGTTGCGCTGCAACCCAAGGAATTGGGACTTCGACATTGATCGATTTCTCAACCCCTTTGTTCCGCCTCCTCCTTGGAAACACCTTCCATATCCCATTTCTCACTTCTTTGGCTACCGCAAGTCAAAGCCCCAAAATGTCGGCAACCTCGTTTCGATCTTCTGGGCCTGCGTTGGCGTCTTCTGCGGCGTCGCCGTAGTCTCCATCGTCTCCCGTCAGATACCATCCTTCAGAGACCATGGTGCGCCCATTATTGTGGGCAGTTTTGTAAGTCTAGCCTCCCCTTTCATCTTGAAATTTGCGCACATTACATGTACCCACACCTTCCACACACCGAGAATTGTTACGGAGAGCACCGTCAGGGGGTGGATGAGAGGCTCGGACCTCAACTCCCCCATCCCGTTTCATACGCCTCTCGGGTGACGACACCGACCACTGCTACACAGCACACCGGCCAAGAAGTGACGCTCAGTAAAAGACTGGCTGACTCGTTTTCTCTTCCCGACACAGGGCGCAGCCGCCGTTTTAGAGTTCTACTCGATCGAATCGCCCCTCTCTCAGCCCCGTAACTCAGTCTTCGGCCAACTTCTCTCCGCCATCGTAGGGGTAGCGATCTGCAAGCTGTTCCAGCTGAGCCCGCACTTTGATTCTATTCGCTGGCTGGGAGGAGCCTTGTCATGCGCCTTGGCGACGACCGTAATGGCGCTTACGAAGACGGTTCACCCCCCTGCTGGCGCGACGGCGCTGCTCGCTGTCGTCGATGACGGCGTCGTACACTTGGGGTGGTTCTTGATGCCTATTGTACTCCTTGGCTGTGCCCTGATGCTGGTCGTCGCATTATTCATCAACAATATCCAGCGGCGCTTCCCGCAGTATTGGTGGTCACCCGAGGACGTTCGGCTACACCGCGTGCCTTGGAGGCGCCATGTGGGCGATGTGGAGAGCAAGGGGGAGCCCAAACCTGATGAGATTGATGGGCGGAGCAGAAGTGATTCCACCGTGAGGGAAGATGCGGTGCTGATTATGAGGCCTGGGGAAGTACTCGTTCCAGAACACATGTTCATCACACCCGAAGAGAAGTTGTTCTTAGAAGAATTGAGTAATCGGTTATGAGCCGCCTTCGAGAGCGATCTATGTAGTTGCGAGGCTATGAAACCAAAGCATACTGTTTCGTAAAAGTAGTTTCCTAAGAAATTCATTTCCCAGCCCTAAGTGAGTGCCTCGCTATTAAGCGGCAC